ATATCATAATGAGTTTAATGTTCAGTTTCATCTTTTAGCATATAGGTGACTTCTTTTCATTAAATTTATCCTTCTTACTACCTATTTCCTTCTCTCTGATAAACACTAACTTGACCACAGAGTCTTAAAGTCTACTATTGCTGTATTTAATTCATGAATTAGTGCATGTACCACATATAAGTGGAATTAGTTGACACTTGTCTTTATCACATTTGCTCACTAAGCAAATACTTTTTATTTAAATAACAAAAGTAGAGAGTAGGAATAACAAAGGATACGTTAGTGAACAGGTGATTAACCCAGGCTTCAAACAATTATAAAACTATTTCTAATTCACTGGCCTTTCACAATTTGTTACTCTCCTTCGATGAAAATTTGTTAGAAATATATATCTAGCCCTTACATGCATGATGAACTACCTTGAGTTGGCAGTTCTCAAGAAAACACGTGAGAGGCAGGCAAAGAAACCAGGCCCTTGGGGGCTGGAGCGATAGCACAGCAGGTAGGGTGTTTGCCTTGCACGTGGCCAACCGGGGTTCGATTTCCAGCATCCCATATGGTCCCCTGAGCACCGCCAGGAGTAATTCCTAAGTACATGAGCAAGGTGTAACCCCTGTGCATTGCCAGATGTGACCCAAAAAGAAGAAGAAGAAAGAAGAAAGAAGAAAGAAGAGGAGGAGGAGGAGGAGGAGGAGGAGGAGGAGGAGGAGGAGGAGGAGGAGGAGGAGGAGAAGGAGGAGGAGGAGGAGGAGGAGGAGGAGGAGGAGGAGGAGGAGGAGGAGGAGGAGGAGGAGGAGGAACCTGGCCCTCAAGTCACCAGAAAGTGGAAAGTGTCAGTATTTGAGAGGTTGCAAAGCCTCTGGCTTCAGTCACATCAGCCAATAATCCTCAAAGAGTCTCAAACATGCTAAATATTCAGCACTAGAATGAGATAGATTGCAAATTAAAGCAAAATCTGTTGGTAGGTGTATGTGAGCAGAGTCCTACCTAGGAAATAAAATGTTGTCCCCGAAGTGCCAAATGTTGGAGAGTAAGGAAACTGGACACAACACTACAACTTTTTTTTTTCTAAATAACAGAGAACCAATCTCTAAATTTTGGGCAATTCTCTGGTCCCATTTTGAGAAACTCTATGTAAGTTCAACTGTACATTCTACAGCTACCAACAACACCTACCTAAGCGTTTCAAATTCTCAGATATTTACTATCATGTGAATTTGTGCAATAAATAAGACACCTGCCCTCACATCCATAGCACAGCGTGGTATTGTACGTGGAGGATTTGGAATCATTCAGTTAAATTTGCTTCTACACAAATGTGACTCCACTTTATAAAATGTGCTTAAGGCATTAAAAGAAAGAAAAAAAATTCCCCCTGTCAAATTTATTTATCAGAGCAAATGCTGTTGTCTTGTAGTGCGTTCGATGAGGAAACTTCTGTTCTTTTTTTAGATTTGGAGGATTGCTTTTCCTGACAGAGAACCCTGAAATGCAAACTTGTCCTTTGTCCCACTTGTTTATCCATCTTATCAGTGTACACATGGGTTGTCAATGTGATTCAAAGATAAAAATTCCAAAGATAGAATTAGATGTTTTTCTGAGAAATAATCACCCTACCACCACGAAAATACGCTTGCTTCTTTCCTTTCCATTCTTAAAGTGAATAGTCTTGCAATTTCTTGCCATTTAACCTTTCCTAAGGATAAGAAATAATAACTTGGTACTGAAAAGCAGCATACTTTTTTTACAATATTGAAGCTAGAGACTGAATCTCAAAACTTCTGTGAAATGTCATTAAGCACATTTCCGATAGACTTAGTACACTTCTGAAAACTTATTATCTCATAAATACAAGGATGAGAACATTTTTAATCTTAAATTAATTATAATAGAAATGTATGTCTCAAATCAGTGGTGTATAAGCCTTCTTGAAGTAATTTTGACATTCATTTAGTAAAAATTTGGGGAAAAAAGTTGGGGGGAGTATAAAAATACAATGGTAAGAACCCACAAAAACTTTTTTACTCTGTTGTGGAGGAATACTATCCAAATCAAAATTTACTACTGTACTTCAACTTTGCTAGAGGCAAAAAACCAGTTTTGTGGCCCCTTCCTCCCCCACAGGCACCCAAAAAAATCTTCTACTGCCACCTGCTGGCATTATATGGCCAGTGATTTTCAAAAATGTTTCAATGTCAGAAATTCTAGGTTAAAATGGAATCTTTGAAAGCAAGAACGATCTTTGGATTCTTGTCTATCTTTATATATATATGATAATTTTAAAATATCATGTATATATTAATATAATAAATATGTTTCTCGAAGTGGAGAGGCAGAATCGAAACAACACATTTTATTAACCTCACTCACTGACTCACATTGCTCCAAAAGGAAGTCAGAAAATATCACAATTTTCATTCTTTCCCTTATTACAAAATCCATCCAACTAAGTCCCAGGTCAGAAATAAATAGTCAAAGCTTAATGGACTTGAAAAGTACCTGTGTGCAAAGTATTCACAACTCAAAAGTCTGTATCAGCTACATAAGTTTCTGTCTTTTAGCCAAAGAACCACAGTTTGATCCTGTATTTGCGAAGGCTTCTCTGGAAAAAATATAAGCTCTGAAGATGTCGGCATATTACTGATGGACGATCACAAAAGAGAGATTAAAGGGTGGAACTTTCCTGTTGACAAAGTTCTGGACATGTATGCAAGATTTTAAGATCTCTCATTTAGGCCAAAATTCCTGAAGTTCCTTTCCTTTTTCCTTTTTCCCTTTTCCTCTCCCTTCCTTTTCCCTCCATTCCTTTCTATTCCCTTCCTCTCCTTTCCTCGGCCATACCAGTGGTGATCAGGGCTTACTCCTGGCTCTGCACTCAAAGATCTCCTGGGAAACTCAGGGGACCTTTCGTGGTAATGGGACCCAGGTCAGTGGTATGCAAGGCAAGCACCCTACTCGCTGTATTATAGCTCTGCCTTACCCACGCTTTTGAGAGAAAGATTTTTTGAAATTTTGTAAAAAGGTTTTAAGAAAAATATGATTCTCTTTAATTTAGTTTTATCGTCAAAAACAAACCTATAAGGGGCTTGGAGGAAATAATTTTTTCAATCAATCATTCTTCCTGCCAATAAGAAACTAGGAAATTTATTTTTTGTTCTTTAAACACATATCACACATTAAGAATTTCTCACGTCACACTGCTTCGTCTATTCTAAAACATATTGAAAAATAACTTGGATTTGACTAATCACTTTCTTCAAAATTAATGTTAGTTAGGTACTGTGTGAACCAGAAGGCAAAGTAACAGAGAATCTAAAATCGTGGTTCTCTCTTTCACATCCCTAGACATGAGCAAATTTGTCTACTAAGACACTGAAGAATTGTCTGCAACTTTACCATGCTATAATTAAGACTTGTACAAACATCACTGCCAAAAAATCACCAGAGTGGGTGGGGAATACAGCCAAGCGAACTCTAATTATGGAAGGCGGGTTTTCTAAGATCTTACATTCAATAAGCAAAAGCAAGATCAGACAGCCAAGATAGGTTACCAAGGCAATATAAATAGCTTCATCAAATTCAGTTTGAGTCCCCTTCTGGTAACAACTCTTATCTCCCATAATTGACTTAGAAACATAATTGGGGATTCTTTGTTTGGAATCCAGCACCTAAGTGTTACTGAAAGACAGAGTTTTAAGACATGTACATGTCATTCTCACTTTGGAAACATAATAAAAGAGTGGCACCACAATATTCCAGATAAGTTTTCATTCTGTATTTCAGCATCACCACAGAATTTATTTTCAAAGTTCCAGTTAGATTCAGTCAAGTACATGCTAGCATTCCAAAGCTAGTATACAAGGTATGTCTACAGCACAGTAAGTTTATGTACATTGATGTCAGCACACAATCAGCACCCAATCAAGAAGCAGTATTTTCTGCATCTCAGATGTGTCCTCACATCCTAGATGTGTCCCTATGCACCCAGAAAATGGGAGCTTTCATTTTACAAAATAATGTTTCAATAAAATCTCAAAAATCATATTATATAGTATACTCTTAGTGTCTGGATCTGTTATTATAGCCTAAATGTGGAGGCATTCTGCCCCGTGCTTACAGAAGCAAATATTTATTTAAATCTACAATGTCCTAGTAACAAACTGTGAAATTCTCATTATATTCATGTTTTAAATACTCAAGTAGCATTTCCTTCACCTTCACAGGGAAATAAGACCTCAACTAAATGCAGAATCGCTTGCAAATTGATTATATTTATACTTACCATACTAAATTATAGCTATAACATATGTCATCTAGACAGTTCCTCATTGGCAGAAAATATATTAAATTTTACCTTTTCATTTGCTTTGCATACTTTAAACAATGTGCTTTAGGCTGCATGCTGACAAATGACTCAATGTTTATTTTTTTTCACAGACACAAAAAAGTGAATAATTTTTCAAAGAGTGATGTTCTACTAAACTGCATTCTATGCCATTAAATAAAACTAGACATCTTCTCCAACCGTCTTAAAGTACTGTTACTTTAATGCTCCTATATAAAGAATGTGAAGCAAGACTTATATTTTTCAAATTGATTAAATACAACAAGCTAATTTTAATCACCTACACCTTAGAATGCATTTGGCATATGTAGTTGATATACAATGTGTCGTGACAGAGGCTGGTTTTTTCATAAGCAATGTTATACTTTGACATACTTCCCCATAGAAAGTTCACAAAATACACTCTTTTAGACTGACACTCTCATTTCGACTTCATACTCTGCAATTACCCTCCCCATAGAAATAGACAAAATTCCCCATTAGAAAGTTCACAAAGTACACTCTTTTAGACTTGATACTCATTTCATCTTCATCCTCTGTAACTATCCTCAATGACAATGCGAGGCAAGAGTATTTCCACAGAATTGAGATTCAATGTGTGTATTCAGTTCAGGGATTACATAATAAGACAGCAGATATGCCAGAGCTCTCCTACCTGTGTACCTAAGCTGGCTGCCATCATGTGAGTCAGAAGCTTAGCTGCAAACATGGAATACCTGGCACAGAAGACATGGGAAAGAACAGCCAGGCAGAGACCTGTAGGAACAACAAAAAAACACATGTGCATCTGGAACCATAAAAGACAAACAGCAGTATGGTGAAAATATCTGGGGCAGTCAAGTATAAGAATGCCGTGGTCTCCACAACACCCAAAAGGAGAGAGAGAACACAGGGGGTTGCCCTGCCACAGAGACAGGGGGGATGGGGGGATGGGGGTGGGAGGGATATTATCCATGGTGGTGGAAAATGGGCACTGGTGGAGGGATGGGTATCTGATCATTGTATAATTGAAACCAAAGCACAAAAAATTGTAAATCTACAACTTTAAAAAAAATAATAAAATAAAATAAAGGGAAAAAAAAAGAATGCCGTGGTCTCAATGTTAAGGCTACAATTTGAATCCATTCCAGTTTGTATGACAGCAAAACTATTTATATTATTGTTTTTGGAGGACCACACCCATCAGTGCTCAGGACTTAGTCCTGGCTCTGCAGGCATGGGTCAATCCTGGTGGGGCCTAGGGGTCCATCTACGGTGCCCAGGATGGAACCCAGGTCAGCAATACAAGGCAAGCGCTTTATTTGCTATATTATCACTCTGGCCTCTCAAAATATTTAATTTATTAGTTAGAACAAGGGCTGGAGCAATAGCACAGTGAGTAGGGGGTTTGCCTTGCACGCGGTCGACCCAGGTTTGATTACTCCACCCCTCTCAGAGAGCCTGGCAAGCTACCAAGAATATCTCACCCACACGGCAAAGCCTGTATAGCTTCCCATGATGTATTCGATATGACAAAAACAGTAACAACAAGTCTCGCAATATGTTGTGAGACGTTACTGGTGCCCGCTTGAGCAAATCATTGGACAATGGGAGGACAGTGCTACAGTGCTACAGTTAGACCAAAGGGTAACTTCAGCTTTCAAATAGATAGGCACACTTGCCCATGAATACTAAATAAATAGACTTATCATTTCATTCATTAAGCATTTGGTTTTCATTGCATCCATTTAACATTTTTCACTATATTGGAAAAGAATCCAGTTCCACTCTGATGTTTTAAGAGCAAGTGGTTTGACAAAATAACGAGACTTAGGAACGTGAGTAGCATTTTTCAGACATAAAAATGTGTATGGTACTACCAAAACTCAGGTTCAGTAATTGAACTTTGTATCTACTATGAATGGTTAAGTAGAGATCACCATGGGGATTATGAACTTCTAAAACAACCTGATGTTATTGAGTGACAAAACTAGACACAGTTCATTCCCCTTGAGATGATATCCTAGTCTAATCATCAATATTCCGAAGTGGGGTAAGGAAAATAATTCTTATTTTTTTAAAAAAAATGCACATGAATTCACTTACTCATATTGCTATAAACGGATGGGCAGAAGCTCAGCATTAACCCAAAAATCTTTCATCTTGCAATTCATAAAAATGTCTTTTAATTTTAAATTAAAAGTATATACATACTTTTATTTTCTACTTTTTAAAATTTAATTGTTCTGTATACAGCATAGTTCTCCTACATGTATCTTTCTTTCTTTCTTCCTTAAAGGAGACAGTATGCATTTACCATTTGGTTTTCTCATCTGCTCTAAATCTATGCAATAATTTTTTTTAAAATAATTTATTTATTTATTGAATCACTGTGGGAAAAGTTACAAAGCTTTCAGGTTTAGGTCTCAGTCATGCAAATATCAAACACCTTTCCCTTTACCAATACTTATTTTTTACCACGAAGAACCCCAATCAAACCCCACCCCCCACCCCTCCCAATGCCTGCGAGGCAGATGAATTCTATTTGACACTCTATCTGCTTTGATTAGATTCTTTGTTTCAATAAAAGATGCACCACTATTATTTAGAGTTTACCCCCTCCCCCCAAATCAGACATGCTGAGAAAGCATTGTGAAGTGATTCGCTTTCTACAGCTGGGTTCAAGAATTAAATGTTGGTTTTGGATTTCCGCTATTTTGCTAATTAACCCTGGAAGTATTTCTACTGAGAGTCAGATAATTAAGAGATTGGTTTCTGTGCTCTGGAGTCGTGGCCGTGCTGGAGAGCCGCTCGTGGGGGGCAACTGGCGACCTCGGTAGGACGTGAAGGATGGACTGGAACGCCCCCCTTCCCATGAAGTTTTAGTCGCCCCCACACCCCCGGCTCACACCTTATGCAATAAATTTTTAAAGCAAATCACACATTGAGTTAAATTGTCTGGGTGGGCCTCTGAAAAATGTGTACTTGAGTTCTATGATTAATCTTTACAGAAATGACCCTCATGATTACTTGTAGGGCTGGAGCGATAGCACAGCGGGTAGGGCGTTCGCCTTACAAGCGGCCAACATGGCCGACCCGAGTTCGATTCCTCCGCCCCTCCCGGAGAGCCCGGCAAGCTACCGAGAGTATTCGATATGCCAGACACAGTAACAACAAAGTCTCCAATGGAGACGTTACTTGTAGGAAAAACTTTTAATATTTCTAGGTCTTACTAAGGTAGATAACCATCCAAACAAGAAATAAGACTATGAATTAACCAAAGACTCTAGCTAGAAATTTAGCCAAAAAAAAAAATTAATAATCCCCTTTAAGGAAGTCTGCCATGGGGTATTTTAGACAAGTGTACAGATTCTGGGGCTGCCTCCAAAATCCACCCCACCAGAAGCATGATTAATCCAGAAACTACAAAAACTAGCTGATTTTTCATCTTTACTTAGCATTTATAGTCTATAAACTATTGAAGTTAAGGCAGGAATAGTGGTCCCTGGGTGCAAGGCATCAGAAATTCCTGAGCACTATCAGGTGCACCCCTATCTCTCCCCCAAAACTCCAAATAACGACAGCAAAAAAAAAAAACCCAGAAAAGCCTATTAAAGCTTTCACTTCAGACTCACTACGGTAGACTTGGAATTTTCCATGATGAAGTCAGGGTGAACTCAAGGGCTGAGAGGTGTGTGTGTGTGTGTGTGTGTGTGTGTGTGTGTGTGTGTGGTGTGTCTAAGAAAGATGAATTGAAAAGTTAGTAATCATAAGGGTTTTTTTAGTGTGCTTTATCATAAGTTTATTGTAGTAGAAGATAACAATGTAAGGTGATTATATTGAGATTAGTATTGGGTAGAAGAAAAATAAATGAATCAAGTATTTTTCATTGCTCATAAGAAGAGTTTATTCAGTCTTTTAACTTCACTTGAAAGTTTTCTGTAACACACCCATTTTATCATCAAGAAAACTGAATTATGTATATTAGACTCCAAGAGGAATGCTAGCACGACACCTGGTGGTAGTTCAGAACTCAAAGCTGGCGATGGGAAAATGAGTTGGATTGCAATAGCTATTGTCATTGTCAGTCATACTGTGCTATGTGGATGCATGTACTTTATCTGGGTGCATGTTTTATTTAGGGGAGAAGAAAAGGGCTAAAAAACCTCCAGCAGAACACTCCCCCGTCTCGAACTGGACTTGGGGAAGATACTGAATACCTTATATTTAAGGAAATACTTGATAGCAAGTTTCCAAGGTATTATATACTAAACATTTCTCTTTTGCTTTCTTACTGAAAGTTGAATATCTGTATATATATATATGTATATATATATATATATATAAATTTACATTAGTTTTATTAGATGGAAAACTTGTGTTATAGTCTCTTAATATAAACATGCAAATCACACACTGTAACACACAATTGTTTTTATTGGGGCCACTCCCAGCAGCGCTGAAGGAGGAGGCAGGGACAGCTTCCAAAAAAACTCAGGGCAGCAATGCAGATCCAAGAGCTTAGTGTTCAGGGCAGCATTCCAGGGGCTTTGCACGCCCAGGGTCATAAACAGCGATCAGGGTATGGGAGATGCCAGGGTTCAAATTCAGGGTCTTGCACATGCAAGGCAAGCATTTCGCTATGCTGAGCCAGACACCTGATGTTATACATAAAATCTGTGAGTGAGGGGATGTTTGGGCCACACCCTACTGGTGTCCAGGATTTATTCCTGGTTTTGTAATCAGGAATTACTCCTGGTAGAGTTCAGGGGACCAGATGAGATTCTGGGGATTGAATGCAGTGAGCCGTGTATAAGACAAATGCCTTATTTGCTATACTGTCTTGCCAGCCCCACAAAATTTAGGTATTAAATAATAGTTTAGTCTAAGTAGTATTTTAATAGACTTACTGCTTGACAATTGTGAACAAAAAGAGAAGCAAAGAATTGAGCAATTTTCTTTTACTGTTTGTGTCTTCCCAAGCAGGTTATAGACTCACTTGGAAAAGAGCCGTTAATTAGTTCACTGACACAAATAACCTTGCTGTATAATTCAAAAGTGAGAGGACAGATAAATCAACCTTAGGAAAATGATAACATTGATAGTTTTGAGTCAGTTATTATAATTAAAGAATAGCTAGATTTTTTCCTATTATCATATTGGACAAAAGATCTCATCTGTTGATATTTAAGTATTTAAATAATTAAATATTTGCATCTGTGCATATATATTTTTATAAATGAATACGGAAATATCTTCATTCTTTGATATTACTTAGAATGGGATATAAAGCTTACCATTCGGCAAGCCCAGTGGAAATACTTTTCTTATGAAAATTTCTTTGAAATACTTACAAATTTTGAACCTATGTCAATTCTTGTAACCGTCTTTTCTACAGTTAAACCCAAATAAATTCAAATTATCACTATTTTGCCATTATCTGATTTTGGAGGAGAGGTTGGGTCACAGACAGCAGTGCTTGGGTGTCTTCTCAGGGCTCCTCATGAACCATGTGGTGCCAGGGATCAAATTCTAGCTTCCCATGTGCAAAACTCATTCCACTGAGCTGTTCTCTACCACCCTAAGCGTTGGATTATAGTTCTAAACATTTTAAGAAGTAACATTGGTTTGTCCTTTCTGCCACCCCACCCACCCTGCCCTCAGTGAGTTTAGGTTTATTGAGTTACACCCATCACAGTACTCCTGAGTCACACCCAAGTACATCGGGCACTTCCAATCCTCTGTGCTTATCTTTAACCCCTCCTTTGTGCTTTTCTTCCTCTACCTGCCAATCACAAATATCTTCAAATGAGACCCCATAACCTGTAGGTCCAATCTTTTGCGGGCTCTGGTTTTGTATACGTAAGTGAAATACTGCTTTTCTCTTTGATTTATGTCTTTTGCATAGTTTAGAGCAATTTCCTTTTTGTATAGACACAAGGAGAGAGAGAATTAATGCTATGCCTTGGTAACAATGGAGTAAACTGGCTCCAAATAATATTTAGTCCTGGACATCTGTCATATTTACTTGACATAAGCCTCAGTCACCCTTAGTTCCTACCACACCAAAAGGGGATGCACTGAAGGACTTACATGAACCCAGGGCAAGTTGTAAGCTACTCTGCTTTCAAGAAAAGGGACAGGCGAAGCACCATAGAAATATAGTAAGTTAAGAGCACGGTTATGGAACAAACTGACATAACCCCAAAAGAAATAACTAAAAAGAACCCTGTTGGGGTTAAAAAAAAATAATCTGGCCTGAGGACTGTAGTCTGGGACCTATAGCGAGAAGTCCCCAAGAAGAGACACCCTGTAAGCTAAATATATACTGTGTTCATACAAAATGACTAGAAAGATAATTAAGATATGAATTTAATATGATTGTTTACATGGATTACTAGCAAAGGAAAAGAGAAAACAATACAGTCTTAGACAGAATTCTACCCTTGAGTGGATCTCCTACTAGGAATCTACAGTGTAGAGCCCCTAGATGAGATTCTGTCCTTCAGTGGATCTCCTAGAAAAACTTCCCCTCAAGGAAAGGCTTTATATCTGCTCATTGTTTATGATAATGTTCACCTACACCTATGTGTAATCGCTACCCCCAACCTGTCACGATTTCTCTATAACTAACATTGTGAGACCTGAATAATTGGCCACTGGTTACCTACCAGCCTGGTGGTCCCCTTTCCTACGTTTGTCAGCCGGTTGGGGGAACAGTGGACCCCAGGGACTTCCAGGTCACCACAGGATGGTGATCCTGATTTTATAAAAACTTGAGTTATGAGCTTCTTCACTTAGTTTCTTTACCACTCAATGCTAGCTCTCAGTTTCACTTCTGCTTTTCAGTAGATCATTTCTTCTATTTCCTTTCCTTCCTTCCTTCCTTCCTTCCTTCCTTCCTTCCTTCCTTCCTTTCTTCCTCCTTCCTTCCTTCCTTCCTTCCTTCCTTCCTTCCTTCCTTCCTTCCCTTCTTCTTTTCTTCTTTTTTTAGCTTTTTGGGTCACACCTGGCGATGCTCAGAGGTTATTCCTACACTCAGGAATTACTCAGGCGGTGCTCAGGAGACCATATGGGATGTCAGGAATCAAGCCTGGGTCAGCAACATGCAGGGGAAATGCCCTTCCCACTGTACTATTGTTTTGGACCCAAGTGGATCATTTCTATTGGCTTCATATTCCTCAACTCTCTCAACGGTCACGGTCACAGTCCTCCCATTGTTCTTCGATTTGCTCAAGCGGGCCCAGTAACGTCTTCATCGTGAGACTTGTTACTGTGTTTGGCATATCGAATACGTCATGGGTAGCTTGCCAGGCTCTGCCGTGCGGGCGAGATACTCTGGGTAGCTTGCCGGGCTCTCGGAGAGGGCCGGAGGAATCGAACTCAGGTCAGCCATGTTGGCTGCTTGTAGGGCAAATGCCCTACCACTGTGCTATCGCTCCAGCCCAACTCTCTCAACATGATATCCTTTTGCTTACTACTAGTAATTGGCTAAGAGCAAATTTTTTTAATTTGAAACTTTTCTGGGTTGAACAAAAGTCAACATCAAACAAAACAATATACAGTACTTACTGTCTATAAGGGGAAATAATTTGTCCTATTTTGCTGAAGAAATGGTCTTCAGGACTGATGGAGATGATCCTTCAGCAATCAGGTGTTAAGCCTGTTCAGTATACTAGCCACTAGCTTTAGGTGGCTAATCAATTTAATGTTAAGATAAATTATATTTAGGTACAATAAAAATTTCTTGTACCAATCACATTCTAAGGACCCAATAACCAGATGTTGTCAGTGGCTAATGTATTGGATCATGCAGAATATTTCCGTGACTTCAGAAAGATGTGTGGGAATGGGGAGAGCAGGGATGCTGTGTTAAATTGTCCTGAGTGAAAGCCAAGAAGATATATGCTTTATTTTAGAACAAACACTATTATTACGGTGGCATTTATTTTAATAATTTTATTTCAAATGAGATGATTTGAGGCCTAACATATGAACATGATCTACATATCCCTAAGTACATCTCATTACTGGAGCATGTCAGACCAATGCAGCATATTTAATTATCAATAACTAATGAAAAACTATTATATGTCAGACTGAAGTTCGGCAATGGAGACAGTGTTCAAGAAAAACCTTCCTGATCTCATACTGCTGCTTTCTTCCTTTTTTTATCAGTATTTCCTGATGAATAGTAGTTTAAGTAAGATCATAGACCACTTTTCTGTGCAAAGAAATATGCAGTAAACATTCTAGGTAACTTTCAGGAAAGATTGGTTTTGTGGGGTAAGGGGTGGAGCTATACCTGGCAGTGCTCAGGGCTTCCTCCTGGCGCACTGTGCTCAGGAATCACTTCTGGCAGGGTTCAGGGCACCATATGAGGTGCAGGGATCAAACCCAGGCTGGCTGTGTGCAAGGCAAGTGCTCTACATATCATACTATCACTTGGGCCCTTAGGAAAGATTTTACTGCTCTTAAAACAAGATCCAAATTAAGTACTTTTCCCTCAAAATGTCTAGACATTCTTATGTGAAGAGCTACATCTCTAGACCAGGTAAGGATAAGACTGAAAAAAAATCATGTAAAAATCTCTGAGAGAGAGAGAGAATCTCTCTCAGAGAACCTCTGATAACAACTTTGAGGGGCTGAATTAACAAACCTTGGAACTAATTATGCCTATTAAGACATCTGAACTGCCTTCTATTACTTTCAGCCAATTTATTCTGAATAATGTCTATAAATGAGCTCCTAAAATTTTTTTAATTTGTGAGAATGAAGTTACTTGCATATACCTTCTACCATTATTGTAATGGCTCTCTTAGAGCAATGATGACGGTGAATTTGAAATTGATAATCTGTAAGAATTTGACACAAATTTTTAGAAGATCTCTTTAAAAATAAATTTGAAAGTTAACTTCCGCAAACATTTATTATGTCAATTAATGAATAACAACAGTAATGTTTATTTTCTCTTCATACTGATGAATTCCAGTATATATCTACTTTGGATAAATAAGAGATTAGAAAATGAATTTTTATTTTCCAAATATTGAAAACTTTTAACTTAGAAATACTGCGACTGACCTGAGGTACATATAAATCCAGAAGAGAAAAAGGCTTCATTGTAAGCAGTCAAGTTATCAGTCTGGGCGTAGACAGCATACATAGACATGTATGAACAGGCACATTCCACGTAGTCTGAAGTATCCTCAACCACTTTGCAAAACTGACTGTCAGACAACCAGCTAGGGCAAAAACACAACCGTCACTACTCTCCTTTCATCGATACTTAATGTGTTGAGATGGCTTTTAAAGAAAAAAATAAATAAAGCAACGAACCTAAGTGTTTACTCAAGACTTAACCAGATTATATGTTCAAGAACTAACACTGGAGGGAACATCTTGTCCAGGACATGACACAACATATCCCAGAAAACATTTTAAGAAGCAGCCTAAATACTAACCAAATCTACAAAAGCATTACCAGCACCCAAGAAGTTGTGCCTCTCAATACGGCACATCCAAAGTTGAAAGGATGTTTCCCTATGGTTTCTTTTCTTTTCTTTTTCTTTTTTTTTGCTTTCCTGGGTCACACCCGGCTGATACGCAAGGATACACAAGGCTTACTCCTGGATCTGCACTCAGGAATTACTCCTGGAGGTGCTCGAGGGACGATATGGGATGCTGGGGATCAAACCTAGGTCAGCCACGTACAAGGCAAACACTTTTCCACTGTACTATCTCTCCAGCCCCCCTATGGTTTTCAATAGCAGTACTCTCTTCTACCAGAAAACCACTGTAACTGTTATTCTTCTCAAATCCTTGTATTTTATGTTTCCCTAAATTCCTTCCTTATTCATTGTTTTATCCAGATAAGTTATATAACTGCTTTCCAAAGTTTTTTCAAGTGTTTCCTGGAAAATTTGGCACAAGAATCTTTGCCCTAACAGTAACAAAAAGATAACATCACATACTCAGCATTCATCAGAAACTACTGGTTGAATTTCTTCATTATCAGTGCCTCTTCATTCCTCTTTTTTCTACGAACACAAAAGTTCTTAACCCATTCTCATTTTCAATCTTGAAACACTCATTATTAATTACATAGTGAGGGTTTCAGAGTATTTATGAATTAGGTTTAAGACCTGTCATCGGGCATTAGAAATTTCAATTGAAAATTATTTTTTCACAAAAAGACTATCAGGATTTTTCTGTTTGGAGGAAAATCTCTGACCAAACTAAGAAATTAATCCTATTCAGAACTTTATTTTGCTTGGCTGAAAGTCAGTAATAAGCAAATCTAGTGGAATATTTCAACCCTCCATCTCAGCTAGCACTTTCTGATACTATAGCATTAATTGAGTAACACTGAGAGAACTGGTCAAAAACTTAAGGATTTAAGCCAATATTTAAAGAATTACTCTCTTCTTCCCATTTCTGTATATGACTTTAATCCCCAAATGTGTTCCAAACCATATGTAAGACGGAGTTTTAAATCCCTGTTAAAACATTAATAATATTATTACAAATCATGATACCTCAAAAAATATCCCCAAACTGACAATATCTGTTCTAAAACCAAAGTTTAAATGGAACTGCTAAGAAGAAATTCCATTTTGCACAATAAATTATCCAAAATTCAGAGCAGGATTATCTTGTTAATTGATACAACTCTGAAAGTAACAATAATGAAGAAATAATGTATTAAGCAAATAATAATTCGTTTGTCTGTATTTATCACATGAACAATGTTAGATCATTTCTATGCTCTTTTGTTCTATTATTGTAAAGGTTATTATCCAGTCTAGCCCAAGGGCATTATCTAAGTCCAGAAAAAAAGTAGGATCAATGGTACTGGAATAGCAAAAGGCCAGATCCTGTTGTTAAAGAATTATTAGTAGGTACCTTGCAGTTGCCCGATTCCAAAGGAGACATTGAGAGGTTTGGGGAACAATTCTAGACTCAGCAGCATAAATCCTGTAGAGAACCTCATTATGGTCAGACAGCGGTTTTGAACTCTGACCTTTCACATTCAAAGATAATACCTATAATAGCAAAAAGAACAGAGAATGTAATATATTTTCTAAATAATGAATGAACTTCTCATTCTGGACTGTGGTTCATTTTTCAAGTGACCTTCATCAGGGAACTATATGATTCTCCAATGCTAACCCTCTACTCTGAATTCAACCACTGAGTAATATTCAGCTGACAGAGTAATATTCAGCTGACAGAACTAACTTTGACTGTAATCACATTTATACACCTTGAGTGGAGATATAACTCAATTTCAAATTAGTGAAAACTAATTTTTTCCATTCTCTTCATATGTATGTGAGTGCAAGTGTGTATATAAAGCACAAGTAATGAAAGAAATATTTCCATTTTTTTAGTCTAAACATTCTACATTTTATAACTATGGTGAACACATTTCCTAATTATCTCACCGGATATGTCTGTGTAAGGTACACTACAAAACTGGTCAAGAAAATGCATTTTGTATTCCTGCTAAGTAAAAACAAAATCTCCAACCACATCACTTTCCAAATGATAGATTACCTTATTTCTCAAGGCAGGAAGCTTGTTTCCAGTTATAAACCACTGATGACTGCTATATTCTATAAACTGGACCAATTCACATTTACTTTTCCCAGTCATTAATTCTGCATCTGGAACAACCAATAGTCTCTCTGGAATTCTAATATAGTCTCCTTCTTTTCCTTCAAACTTGTGCCCATTGATTTGTTGAGGATACCAGTGAAAAGCCATTATGGACAAATACGGGCAACTGTCAAAGATGGTTTTGCTTCTGCAACAGAAAAGTAAAGTCTCGTAAAAAAGCATGTACTTGCATAAGTTTATCCAAGTATATTTTGTAAAATCCATTACAGTGGGGTTCTGTTCTCTGCTGATTTTTGGACCATGCTGGCTGTGCTCAGGGCTAATTCCTGGTTCATGCTCAAGGACCACATCTGACAGACTCAGGTGACCATATGTAGTACCAGGGATCATACCTGTGAGCTGAGTGCAAGGCAAGCACCCAACCCACTGTACTATGACCATTAGGGCTCTGTTCTATATGTACACTGACCAACCCAGAAGCAGGAGGGAGCATGCTTTAGTTCTTATAGAGTTAATTATCTTATTTTATGCAGCACTTTTGCTTGACCCTCATTATAATCTAAAGCATGGGTTTCTTAAGTAGTTCCAGGGGTAACGAATGAAATATGTGGTTATAAAATGTACCTTCTGGTATTAGTCATATCAGCATTGGTATTTATAAATGGTTAAGGAAAGTATGTACTACTAAACTGAAACCCTCTATTTAAGAGTATTCTAAAAGTTATATAACTCTGAGCACTACACATGCGGCCCCAAAACAAAACAACACAAAATTAAAATGAACATTGTATATCCCAGAACTTTGTTCTCATCAAGAGCATTCTCATCCCTTTATAAACTATCAGGGCATTGTAACTTTGGAAGAGAAAGCTGTCACATCCATGATCCTTACCTATGTAACCTCTGTTTAAACAGCTTCTAGGAATAAAATCCTGTGTTCAGTGAAATTCTCCCCAAACCACAGTGTATGTTAAAATCACTAGAAAACTTGCTTAAAAATTCAGGTTCAAGGCAAGTTACTAGGCTTGCTCAGCAGAGCAAGTCTGTGCCACATGCTTGGGACTGTAGGGATCTGTAGCGATAGCCCAGCAGGTAGGGCATTTGCCTTGCATGCGGCCGACCCAGGTTTGATTCCTCCATCCCTCTCGGAGAGCCTGGCAAGTTTAAATGAGCCCTCCGGAGAACCTGCAACATTTTTCTTAGGAAGTCACCATGTTTATAATGAGAGACTACAAAAGCAGATTATATCTGAAATTTGCCTGGAAAAATCTGGAGCACATTATGACAAAAACTATTAAGGTTACATGGGTTTAAATAGATAAAAAGGACATTTTTTTTATCATGCACCTAAATATACCGTGTCAAGACCCCTAAAATACTTAAATGGATAATGTGAGAAAGAAAAACTTTCCCCACCAAACATACTTCCTCTTTAAAAAATATTTCATAAAGTTACCCACAATTTTAGGGCTGGAGAGATAGCACAGCAAGTAGGGCATTTGCCTTGCATGCGGCTGACCCGGGTTCGATTCCTCCATCCATCTCGGAGAGCCTGGCAAGCTCCCTATGGCGTATTCAATATGCCAAAAACAGTAACAACAAGTCTCACAATGGAGACATTACTGGTGACCACTCGAGCAAATCGATGAACAATGCACTACAGTGCTACAGTGCTACCCACAGTTTTGAATTGCTGGTTTCAAATATCTATCTTTAATTGAGCCATTCAGGACACCTATGTCCTAAATGCCTATTAAAACACCTCAATATTTATAGTACCTGGACTCCACCACAGATGATCAAACCTCATTTCTTAATATTCTAGACCAGTCTCCTTCACCTCACTGGTGACTCATCTGAAAGCTGCCACTCTAGATCTTCCAACCAGTCTTCTACCTCCCTTCTACCACTCAGACACTTTTAAGACTTTGCTTCTCAGTACTATTATAAACTTCAAAGATGATTACACTCTCCCTGACAGCAAGATCTGCTGTATCAAAGCACTTCCACAACACTCACTTTGATAAAATGATGTGCTTTCCATGCAGTGTGCTAGGGGATGGATATGAACATCCAGAGAGACACTACTACAACTGTTCAACGCCCAACTTCAGCCAGGCCTTCCGTGCCACCTGTCTCCCTAATGGCTGGTCTAGATTCCATCACTATGCTCAATTTTCAAATCCTTCACTCTTCATGTCTAAGGCAATGTAGGTCTAAGACAATGTATAACTAATGCATATTAGAGCGAATAAAGTCTTTAAATTTTTCTGAGGAAAAATGTCTTCAGTTCTCTCTTATTTTCTGTTATAAACAGAAACATAGAAAACATTTTCACGTATATTTTAATTCTACTAGCTAATCATTTTAAGGTGACATCATCTCATCTCATTTTCCTGCCTCAATTTTAGTCTCCATCTTCTCTTACCTAAACATGTATTTCCTATCTCTACTGTCTTCCTAGTTACAATCTTACCATATTTTTTTAACCTGTAAGACAGTTAACATAAAAACATAACATAAAAACTCTAAAATTCTAATGATTTTAGATTCCCTCTCTCTCAAATACACACACACACTCCTGACACACACATACATACACACACATACTACCTAGCTCATCTTATATTCAACCTTAAAGAATTGATCCCTCAAACTTATGCTCTCTCCAAACACATAACTGTTTTTGCATGACTTCCATTGTACTTGGTGTTTTTCTCTTCCTGAACAACTCAGAGGAAATGCAAGTCTATGGAAAGGAAATTCATGACAAAAATCACATGGAGTCACTTATTTATTGCATTCACATTATACCTTGACTTCTGAGAATCTACAGTGTATTAGATTCTGTTCTAAACCCTGGGAATATATTAGGACAAAGAATCTCAAACCACCACTCCTATTATATATTTCAATTTTCTTTTCTTCTCACCGGACTTTTGAAGCTACAGACATGGGAACCAACTTTCACAGCTGGATACCTATTTTCACAGATGTTCTTAACTAAGTCAACAAATATGGGAAAACAAATGAAAAGCAAAGAAGTAGAGACTTCACAGATGAATTCAAAGCTATAGACTATTTGATTTTACTTAACAACAGTTGAAATTGGTCATGGGGATAGTTCTTAATGAGTACATTTGCTCGTGCGTGCACACACACACACACACATACACACACACACACACACATACAGTGACCTTAGTGTAAAATTACATAAAGAAACAATCTATAAACATTCATTCCCACCAAAAAATAGGGGAGGCAGATAAATAAAAATGTGCTCAAAGAAGACATACAGATGGCCAAAAAGTATATGAACAAAAAATTCTCTGCATTAATATCAGGGAAGTGTAAACCAAAACAATAAGATACTGTATCACACCAGTGAGACTGGGACACTTCACTAAGAACAAAAACAACCACTGTTGGCTAGAATGAGGGGAAAAAGGGGACTTCGAGTAGGAATGTAAACTGGTCCAGTTTACATTGTTTTTGAAAGGCAATTTGGACACTCCTCTAAGAAACTAGGAATTAAGCTTCAAAAAGACCAAGTAATTCCATTTTTTGGTCCAAAGGGCCCCAAAACTCTATTCAGGAAAGTCATCTGTACTCCTGTGTTCATTGCAGCACTATTCCCATTAGGCAAAATTTGGACAATCCAAATGTCCAAGAACGAATGACTGAATGATGGAACTATAGTACAAATATACAATGATTATTACCCAGCTTTAAGAAAAAAATGAAACCATGCAATTTTCTGCTATGTGTATGAATCTGGAGAGTACCATGCTGAATGAAGTTACATCGGAAGGAGGACAGACACAGAATGATCTCTCCCATATGCAGGATAAAAAGAGTCATTCTAGGGTAACAACAAATTCCAAAGGCAACACAAACTGATAACTGATCTTCAGTCAGGAGCTGACCGCGGGGAAAGGGGAAGGAGAACAAACACTGAGACAATGATGGAAGAAAATGAATATCCTGGTGGAGGGTATGATACTGGAATGTTTCACCTATGACACCCTACTAAGAACAGTTTCAGAAGCCACAGAACCTAAAGTAAAATTTAAATTAAAGGCCGATGGCACAGCGGTAGGGCGTTTGCCTTGCACGCAGCCAACATGGCCGACCCGAGTTCGATTCCTCCGCCCCTCTCGGAGAGCCCGGCAAGCTACCGAGAGTATTGGATATGCCAGACACAGTAACAACAAAGTCTCCAATGGAGACGTTACTGGGCCCGCTCGAGCAAATCGACGATCAACGGGAGGGCCTTTACCTTTACCTTTAAAGTATAATGACATATTATTTATTATTTTATTCATTGATCTTGCTAGTAATCCTTTATCCACAATGCCCATCTTTTTGAATTTCATGTGCCTTGCCATCTAAAAACCAAAGTTAAAAGTTTTATAAATCCAATCAATATCTTAATTAACCTAGTGTTTCATAAAGGGCCCTGTATGTAGAGATAATATATATTATTATACCAGCTTTTCTAAATGTGTTCTTTAAGTAATCTCTGAATTTCAACATGACTGAATGAGTACTGACACCAGCATTTATAGGTAAATCATAACAAACTCTATATTTTTACAAACAAACAGGCATGAACACAGTATTTCAATTATTATATATTATTCTGAGAATTGGGAGGTATCTGAATTTATAAGCATGTTCTATTATCAACCATTTTTACATTAAATTGAACAGAAATAAAATATTACACTGTACTACAATTCAATTTGCCTTTTGAGTATAATTTATAACACCATGGCTGCTGAATAGTTACAAAAGTAATTGAAGCTAATAAGAAAAATAAGAAGCATACCCTCTCTTTCCCCTCCTCTTCTACCCCTCCTCTGTTTCTCTCTTCTCCTCTGTACAACCCACACACAGCAGAGCTGGAGACTGAGGCCAGCACAGGCTGACAATCCAAAGGTGGGTTAGCCCCAGAGCTACACCCAGCAGTGAAGCATGTACTCAACCATTTGAACTATACTCTGGGTCCACATTTTGCATACTCTCTGCCACTGGACTCCAACTATGAGGCACTACAACCCGAGAGTTAGCTCCAAATGAATAAAATGAACCATAGATTCAGCACACAACTAAAATTCTTTAATTGGGTAAATTCTAAACGCCATCGTGTGTGACATTATTTTGCTCACTGTGAAGGCATACACAAACAGGCTGCACTATTTATTTCAAATTACTTACTTCTCACCAGGTGAGCCACAGGTAACATCAGTCAGTAGAGAAAAGGCAAAATTTTCTGTCACTTCAGAAAAGTGACTGAATCCCTTAGTATCCTTGCGTTTAGGGTTAATAAGCACACAAAGAATCTCATAGAAAAGATTTCGGCTTTCAGAGCTGAACACTTGGCTTTTTCCTTCAAGGGTTATCTGAAAAAAAGTTTAAGCATGAAAATATACTTTCAAAAACAAGATGCATAAATGATCACTGTCACTGTCCTCCCGTTGTTCATCGATTGGCATGAGCGGGCCCAGTAACGTCTCCATTGGAGACTTTGTTGCTACTGTGTTTGGCATATTGAATACATCATGGGGAGCTTTCCAGGCTCTGCCGTGCCTGGAGATAGTCTCGGTAGCTTGCCGGGCTCTCCCAGAGGGGCGGAGGAATCGAACTCGGGTCGGCCATGTTGGCTGTGTGCAAGGCAAACGCCCTACCGCTGGGCTATCACTCCAGCCCATGCATAAATGATATGTATATGTAATATGACAATGCATATAACAATAATTAACAATAACAAAAAAGGATAACAATGAGCTTATAGAGCATTTAAGACAAATTACTAACAATATATATCTCAAATATTTCCATTTGCACATTATAAAGCACCGATAATAAATGATAAAGAGCAAAATCACCAAAATATTTCCTTTTTAATAGCTAGAGAAAAGACCAAAAAATACTTTAATAGAGCATATAATTTATTTGTTTGCTTGCTTGTTTGCTTTTGGGTCACACCTGAACTAGCAGTGCTCTGGGTCTTCCTAACTGTGCTCAGGAGTGACCTCTGTCAGTACTCAAAGACCATGCTGCTATGGGGGTCTGGTCCAGGATTGGTCATGTGTAAGGCAAGTGCCAAACTCCTGTACTCCTATCTTTCTGGCCTGACTAATATCATCTTAACCACATCATGAGTCAAAATTAATTTCACTTTTATATGTGCCCAAGAATTATTTTTTAATAAATTAAGAATATAAGATTATTCTTAATTTTCTTTTCAGTCAACAGAAGTCATCATGCCACTGAATTTTGAAAATATTAGATGATAAAAAATCCTTTCCAATCAAGAATAGTCAGAAACTACATCTTCTCTTATTTTCTTAAATATGAGCTTTTCTACATAAACCTTGGGTTATTTGTTGTTCCAAGAGCAGGAGGGGGAAAAGTGATGTGTTTCCTTGCCAGACTGACTTGGGCTACATACTACCCATGGTCTGACACAGCATGATGTGAAAACACTGACTAGTTATTCCACATACTCTCGTGTACATAAGAAATCTTTTTTTAATTAAAATTAGTCATCAATTTCTCTGTGATTTGTACTCTGTGCTTTCTTTGAAACTTGAGTGAACCTTTATGAATGAACTTAGAATGTACTTAGAATGTGTCTTCATTAATGATCCCAAATCATTTTTCCTACCAGTTGGGTTCATTGGTTCATGCTCCCAGAAGTTTTACAGGTTTATAAGCAATGTTGGTAAGCAAAATTTACAGCTGAACTCAAGATCTAAGTTTGTAAGCATACAAATCTCAAAGATAGCAAAGAAAAATGGACAAAAAGGAACAACAGAAAATGAGAATACTATGTATAGAATTAAAATTTTCTCAAAGTGAAAATCACCAGAATGACAGGGAACAGTCTGCTGCATACTGAAAAAACAAAGTGAATGTTAACAAAATATAAGCTCTAGAAATACTCCAGCACAAAGAGAAAACATAACAAAAAAAGATACATCTATGAGACAATATGAAAATAAAAGAGCATGTAAAGACAGAGTACAGTTCCTTTCTAAATTACTAAGATACTTGCTTAAAAATGCAATATGCTTTATACTAGCAAAAATTAGAAAAGAAAACACCACCAATGTATCTGGAAAATTTTTCAATATTATTTCAAGACTTCAAAGAAATTCACTAGAACCAGACAGGAAAAAGTCATTACTTAAACAAAAATTCAGTTTAATGTCAGGTTGTTTTTTTGCAAATGAAATATCAGAAGCCAAGAGAGGTACAATTTAAATAGTTGTAAAAATTAAAGACTGACTCAAGAAACTTTTCACTCACATTTAAGGGTTATATAGTGTTTCTATTAGCAAAGCACGGCAAAAAAAATTCAACACAAGGGGCATTTGTATAATCCTTCACTTCCATCACCTCCGTGAAGCTGTTCTCAGGAAATTATATTATTTTCTCTAATTCTTACAAAAAATCCAGTTAGGGAGAAGCTAGTGTTATTTTGTTTTGTTTCCAGATAAGGACACTGACGTAGAAAACGGATGCCTAACTTGTCCCTGGACAGAGATGAATGGCTGAGGAGGCGCTTTGGCCACTTACCCAGCCCTGACTCAAAATATTCTCTGCTTGCCTGTTCTAAAATAACATTGACTCAGTCTGCAGACAAGTCAGTCAAAATGACAGCAAAACATAACACACCAAAGCCAGGCAGAAAATGAAGTGCAAATTCTAAATCACTGACAGGAGGATTAGAAAATAAAATAAATCAAATGTAAAAAATAATTCTCAAAATATAAGATACATCACATTGGGGCCAGAAAATAAGTGAAAGGCTGGAACACACAAAGATTCCCACCTCCCGGTGCTGCTGGGTGTGGCATGGTCCTTCCCAGCACCTGCCAGGCCAGTGTGCTGGGACTTGCAGAGTCGCATTAAGGATCATCAGGGGACGCCTCCCACACCCAAAGAACCACTTGGGCGTCCCCTAAACATATTTAAAAACAGATGATAAAAAGAAATCTGCTGGCTTTGTGTTGCACAAACAACAACAACAAAAAAAATCCTTTCTTTTCCGTTAGCCAAAACTGATTTACAAAAAAGCAAAAATTTTCTCTAAGCAAGAAAAAACATTTAAAACAAAAGAAGAAAATTTAAAAAAGAAAGATCCAGGGAGAAAATACAGCAGGCAAGGTGCTTGCCTTGCATGTGTCTGGCCTGATAGATCCCCAGCACTCCAGGTGGTGCCCACAAAACTGCCAGGAGTGATCCCTGAGCCCAGACTAAATCCTGAGCACTGCTGGGTGTGTCCAGAAACCAAACAAAAGCAAACAAACAATAAAATCAAGACCTTTGCTGGGAGAGCCATCTATGAAATTTTCACAGAGTAAATTATTGTTGTGCTCATTCTATGTTCCAGAATAGAAAAGTGGAGAAAACATCTCCTGACTCATGGTTTATTAATCTTTAGGTACCTAGAATCCAAACCCCAATCAAATAAAAAAAATACATAACAACTAGGCTATCTTAAAATAATACTATTTTATTAAGGCAAACTTGAGAACATTTTAAAATAATTTTCATTGAACTATGTCTAGGAAAATCAGGAGATAAAATTTGTGACAGTAAAAATTGGACAAACCCAGATCTAAATTTTATCTAGAAAACACGTAAAGTGCATTATTTTTAAAGTGTTTTTTCAGCATAGTATGCCTTTTTTTCTGCATATAGTTATTTCTAATAAGTGTAATAATAACATCAAACATTCATTTATATTACTACAAATAAATATCTAGTATAGAGCATGTTCTATTTCAAAAAAGTTAGAATCTTGGGGAAAATAAAATTTACAAAACAAAACCTCTAGGCTTCATTGACTTGGAAGTACTATTCTGTACCCCTCAGTCTGAGTCTCTATTTTGTATGGTATAGAGAAAGGGGTACTAGAGAAAAAAAAGAACAAATCTTATTTGAATTTCAGATAAACAAGTTTGTAAATCAGTGTGTCCCAATTAGGGAATGAAAATTAAAATGTTTACTTCATTTGGGGGTATGGTGCTGCCAGCAGGTCAATCTGTACCTGTGAGTTGAGTGCATCAGCAGCCTGATGGCAACGTCAGACTTTCAGATACCCCAAAATTTCTGCTGTGCCTTTGACCAGACCCCAAAAACTTGGGGCAAAGTTTACCAAGAAAGTAAATGGCCAAAAGTCAGGTATGTGTGAGACACACCCACAAACCACCTCTGGCTCAGCTACATAATTGGAGGCATGGCCTCTCTGGTTCCTGATTGAACTGCTTAATGGCCATGATCCCAGAGTCTCAGAAACAAAACTCGGAACCCAAAGGCTTTTGGCAGAAATGTGTCCTGTTCCTGCAGTAGGTTACTGGCGCTGGGCCACTCCAGGTGGGAATAGGTTTCGTGCTTTGGCCTGTTCCCCCTGGCGGCCTGGTGACCACCATCATCCAGAGGCCATTGGACATTCAGGTTTGGGCCTGCAGTGACGAGACACACGGGGCCTCACCACATGGGGGTGGAGCCGACTCTTTCTCCCCATCCCAATGAGACCCCGAGTCACTGCCTACAAATGGCCTCTTTGGCATCAAAATATTTCCTGTTTAATAACTAAAGAAAAGACAAAAAAAATACTTTAGTAGAGCATATAATTTATTCGTTTGCTTGCTTGTTTGCTTTTGGGTCACACCTGAACTAGCAGTGCTCTGGGTCTTCCTAACTGTGCCAGGTATGAACTGGCGGTGAAGGGGCAACTGCAGTCTCATGGGAAGGGGGATGGTACCAGCTCGTCCTTCATGCTGAGGTCATGAGTTGCGGCTCTCTGGCACGGCCATGGCTCCAGAGGCAAAAGGACTTAGTCCAGAGCCCAGCAGCTTGCAGAAGAAAAGTGAATGGACCATGCGTTAAACTACGGCGCCATGCCTCCCCGGGAGGGAAAGGGTGTTGGACCCTTCCACCTTTTTCCTCCCTGGCAGCAAGGTGGCCACCGCCTCAGAGCTTATAGGAAAGCCAGGTACGAGCTGGCTGTGATGGGGCAACTGCAGTCTCATGGGAAGGGGGACGGTACCGGCACGTCCTTAACGCCCTACCGAGGTCATGAGTTGCCCCCCACGAGTGAGCGGCTCTCCGGCATGGCCATAACACCAGACACACAGAAACCAATCTTGTAATTACCTAGCTCTTTGCAGAAATCCAAAATCGTGGCCGCATGACATTATATGATTCTCATAACCAGCTATAGAAAACAAAATATTTCACAATGCCTTTTCAGCAATTCTGAATGTTTGGGGGGAAATTCTAAGCCATAATGGTGCATCTTTTGTCGAAATAATGAATGTAATCAATGTAGAGAAGAGTTAAGTAGAAATTATCTGCCTCACAGGCATTTGGAGGGGTGGGAGGGTGGAGGGTGGGTATACTGGGGTTCTTGTTGGTGAAAAATGAGTACTGGTGAAGGGAAAGTACTTGTTTGATCGTTGTATGACCGAGACTTAAACCTGAAAGCTTAGTAACTTTTCCCACAGTGATTCAATAAATAAATATAAAAAGAAAAAAATAAAGGTGGAGTTCATGCCCAATTCAATCAGCTAATCAGTGGCTGAATAAATAGCAGTACTCCTACAAAAAAATATTTACTTCATTTGTGATGTAAAATATTACAAAGAACAAAAACAACCAGTATTGCTAGGTAAAAAGGCCCTCATTCACTTCTGGTAGAATATAAACTGCTCTAACCTTCCTGGAAAACAATATATACGACGCTGCTCCAAAAACTAGGAATTGAAATTCCACTTCTGGGTATCTACCCTCAAGGGCCCACAAACTCTATTTAGAAAAGACACTTGCACTCCTACGTTCATTATAGCACTTATCACAATAGTCAAAATCTGGAACAACCAAAGTGCCCAAAACAGATAAATGGATAAAGAAACTGGCACATAAACAAAATGGAATACTCAGCAGGTAGGGTGTTTGCTTTACATGCGTTTGACCTGGATTTGATCTCTGACATCCATATGGTCCCTTGAGCACCACCAGGAGTAACTCCTGAGTGCAGAGTGAGGAAGAACCCCTGAACATCACAGGGTGTGACCCAAAAAAGCAAAAAAAAAAAAAAGGAAATACTATTCAGCATTATTTTTGGCAAGGGTCCCACACCTGCAGTGGTCAAGAGGTTACTCCTGGACCTGTGCTCAGGAATCACTCCTGGCAGGATTGAACCCATGTTAATGATATGCAAGGCAAGCTCCCTACTTACTGTACTATCTACTCTAGCCCTCAAACATTACTCAAATAATAGTCGTTAAGAAAATAAGAAATCATGCGATTTGCTTGTATGTGTTTGGATCTGGAGAGTATCATGCTGAGTAGAGTTGGCCAGGAGAGGAACAGGCACATGCCAATATTTCCCTCAGATTTGTGATATAAAGAAACATAGTATGGAAATAACAAATGCCCAAAAGTAACAAAATCTGAAAACTGGTCTTCAGTAGGAAGCCTACCATGGCAGAAGCAGACCAGGGGTATGGTGGGAATGGGGTGTCACTAAACAGTCTGGTGGACATTATGACGCTGGAATGTTGTACGCGTTGAATCCCACCATCAACAGTATTGCAAATCACAGTGACCAAAATAAAATGAAAAATTTAAAATCTACATTGATCATTTATCTGAAATTCAAAGTTAATATTTTATTTGTCAAAAAGTAACCCTACTATGTGATTATCTATACTTTCATTGCCCACTGCATACCTGTCTGATCTCTCCATATAAATATGTCTAAGAGCTGAATTTTTTTACATAGATATAAAATGCTCCCCCTCAATGGCTTTTTTATTTTTGCAACTCCTGTTATTATAAGTTAGATATTCCCACACTTACTTGACCTACCATCCCCTTTGTAGAAAAGAAATCACTCGGCACCAACCACAAACTGTCCCCCCCCCCACCGCTTCTTAAGAGAACACAGAAATTGCTCTCAGTTGCACCAGAAAATATTATTGGCCCACTCTGCCCTCACCACTGCCTCTCCTGTCACTCCAACGTCCTCCAGGGAATGGTATCATCAACATGGTCATCATCCACGTGGTGGGAAACACTGTGTATGTCATGATGAAGCATTCTTAATACCCTTATATTTGTACAAATATTTCCATGTCTCTTTTTATTTACATACTTTCCCCCCAGTTTTATTGAGGTATGATTGATGAAACTGTTGGCTTTGCTTATACTACAAGCAAAGAGAAACTTTGATCAAGTTTTTATTATTTCCTTCACAAATTATGTTTTTTTAACTTAGATAGACCTTCCAACTTTACATTTATATGTGTGTATGTAAATATATTCAAAATGATCCATTCTTTAAAAACAACTTTGATTTACTGATTTGAAATATCAAAGTATCACCTTTATGTTTGAAACTTTCATACATCCTTGCATGTATTACTCCACATAGTGAATATTTATTTCTAGAACTTTTTCTGCATAAAATAGCAGTGAATTCTCTTTTCTTTTCTCTTCTTTAGTTTTTACTGTTTATTCACTGTAATTTTTGAATCAGGCTAAAGTACCCTTTACTTTTTTTTCACTTTTGTTTTTAAGCTGTTGTTTGAGGCATTATGATTTACAACAGTGTTACTGATAGGCTGGCTTGCATACAATGTCCATCCCAACCCCACACCTCCACCAGAGTCCACTTTCCTTTACCAGGACCTCCATGTTTCACCTTTACTCCTGCCCCATCCCCTGACTCTCACCAGGCTTCAGTCCTCCCCACAGATGGTAAGCAAATGCTGTGCTTTTTGAGGAAGCCTCCTGTTCATATCTGTATACTTTATAATTTTATTTCTACCCTTCAGACATTATATTTTTAAATCTACAACAAGAAGTAAATTCAGCAAACCAATCTAAAAACCCAAAATATGTTGTTTCCGAAGGATGTTTTAATATAGTATTTTATAGTATTTGTTTATAAATTTATATACTAAACTATATTTATATATCTCTACCTGATACTCAAAACTTTATATATATGCTATATATTATATAGATCTATATAATCTATGTTGATTTTTAAAAAGCATCAAATAAACCCCCACAAGAGTCTCTGCCCGGATAATTATATATTTATCTCTTCTTTCATTTATATTCTTGTAATCTAGGCTTTAACTGTCCTATCTCATGCAAGTATATAGTAGCCCAAAGCAGAATTCTTCTCTCCACCCCTCTTGGAGAGCCTGGAAAGCTACCGAGAGTATCTCGCCCGCATGCCAAAGTCTGGCAAGCTACCAATGACCTATTCGACATGCCAAACACAGTAACAACAAAGTCTCACAATGGAGACGTTACTGGGCCCGTTCAAGCAAATCGATGAACAATGGGCAGACAGTGCTACAGTGCTTCATTTATATTCTTAAACTCTTACACTACCATTTGATTCTTTCGTGTGCATGGAAAGTATGATGCTAAGTGAAAAGAGTCAGAAAGAGAGGGACAGATTTAGAAAGACTGCACTCCTCTGGGGAATATAAAGTAACAAAATGGGAGACGCACACCCAAGAATAGTTGAGATAAGTAAGAGGAGGTCTGTTCCATGGCTTGGAATCTGGCAGCACATGCTGGGGGAAAAGGCACCTCAGATAGAGCCAGGTTCAGAACATCAAGTAAAGAGTGTTTGGAGGATTCACTCAGGATGCCAGATGAGTGCTGAACGTAGACCACAGACTGAACACAATGGCCGCTCAATACCTCTACTGCAAATCACAACACCTTAAAGGAAATAGAGAGCAAAAAGGGAATGCCCTGCCAGAGAGGTGGGCTGGGGGGATAGGTATCATCCAGGGTGAGGTGGGGGTTGGGAGGGCTCCTGGGTTCATTGGTGGTGGAGGATGGGCACTGGTGGAGGGATGGGTACTTGATCATTGTATAACTGAAACCCAAGCAAGAAAGTTTGTAAGTCTACAACAGTACCTCATGGTGTTTCACTGATTAAAAAAAATTAATAAAAAAAATAAAAAATAAAAAAATTCATTCATGTGCATAAGTATAAATTAAGGCTCAAAATGATACATGACTGGGGCCTAAATCCCCACCAGTTTGAATGCCTGAGCTCACTTAGTCATTCCTTAATTCTCAATTTTGGACATGCAAGCCTTCAGTACTGGAATGGAGCAAGATATGGACAAGCAAAGGGCATTTCAAAGGGAAGGCAGATGATTTCAGCTGAGCCTCTCTTTTTACCAACTAAAAAAACTGAGAAACAAACTCCAAAGACATCTGTCTAGTTCCCGGAGAATCAAAAATACTAATTTCTGACATCAAGTACTACTTTTCAGACACTGTACTTTTTACCACCGACTTCTCGTTCGTCTCTATCTGAAGACTGAAATTTTTAAGCAGGTATTGGTCAAATCCAAACAAAAGTAGTGTCGGGAGAAAAGTTGCTCCTGACTTCAAAAATGTTAACTATCACAATTTCTTGTGAGCTTTTTTATTTTGAGGTTTTGCAATTTACAGAATTTTACTAAGCCAATTGATCCATAATTTGCTTCAGCTGCGGAAAGTCTGGGTCGTACAGGGTGGGCTGCAGGATTCCCGCGGGGAACACCATCTGGTTCTTGTTGGGCAGGTAGTAGGCATTGAGGGCCTGCGGCAGGAGCAGCCACGTGGATTTGTCCACCTTTGGCTGGTCACGTAATGAGATTTAAAGACGACCGTTGGACTAGAGCTGTTACTGATTGGATTCCACGGGATGTCAAGAGACCGCGTGGCCGCCCACCTATCAGATGGTCAGACTTCTTTGTCAAGATCATGAACGATCGGTTTGAGGCCCTCCATGTTCCTGGAGCAAAGAGATGCCATTGGGCTACACTAGCACGCGACAGGGACAAATGGAGACGTTACTGGCGCCCGCTCGAGCAAATCGACGACTAACGGGAAGTTAAGTGATTAAGTGATTAAGTGATTACTAAGCCAAATGCTGGCATTTGGAAGGGCTTCTTACCTTGTCTATCAGATGCATCACAGCACTAAGCTGTTCATCTGTGCTCTCTGTGGCCACTTTCCTACTGATGCTGTGAAGCACGTGATTGAGAATGTCACTATTCAAGGGCTGTTGTAATTGATCCGCAAGTCCCCAAATAGCCTGCGAATCCGCATCAGAGACAAGCGTGACGTTAGCAGTACCATACACTTTGTCAACCTTGGCAGCACCTTTTGGGTCAAAAAGCATAATCTGGAATCGTTTGGGAAATGGATTTAAAGACCCTATGTCTGGTGTTAAGATGACATCCAATACGGTGTTTCTTTGGCCAGGTTCAAAGACCAATGTCCCTTCCGATTTCACGAAATCCTTCCCAGAAATTGCTGGAGAAATAAGGGTCCGGCCAACTGTTTCAGCACTCCTCAGTTCCTAGAAATTAAACAACACTGCTTTAGCGGGATGATTGCTAGCACCACTGTAAATGGTAGCATCTCATCTTATCCTAAACAAATCTTTATTTCTAAAACAAATTATATCTCTCTTAAATAAACGTGTGGGAATAACACTAGCAAAATGTGAGATTTTGTGCGTTTTCTATCCTAAAATAAATTAGAGAAATGAGTCTAAATCACATAGTAATGAGCTGAAGAAGGATGGGTTTCAGTAGGGATCAAAATATAGAATTAGGTAGGAGAGACGATCACTGCAGATTTGAAGAATTCCTCCAACTGGGAACACACACAAATTATACTTTGACAGATACATGTTGTGAGAAGCAAGTATGGAGGAAAAGCCAGAATGCTTACGTATTTTATTCTCAGAGATTTTGAGGATTAAAGTAGGACAATGACATTTTTTATTGATTTTTTTAAATTTTAGGCACCGTAGTGTACGATCTTTAACGGTAGTATTTCCCATGAAATACACTACAGCGCCACATGCCTGCCAGTGTCCATCTCTCTCTCTCTCCCACTGTTCCAAGGTCTCCCCACCCAAGTCATGCTCACCTTCACCCACAGTCCTCTCATTTATATGACTTCTGCAACAAACTGCCTACACATTGGATGCAATCCATGCACCAGAAGGTCCTGCATGTTTGAGTCACCCAACACAGCAAAACAACCAAGTACACACTGTAGCACTGGAGCACTGGTCTCCCACTGTTCATCGATTTGCTCTAGTGTGCACCAGTAACGTTTCACCAAATTGTGAGACTTGTTGTTACTGTTTTTGGCATATTGAATACATCATGGGTAGCTTGCCAGGCTTTGCCGTGAGGGCTAAATACCCTGGGTAGCTTGCTGGGTTCTCCAAGAGGGGTGGAGGAATCGAACCCGGGTCGGCTGCATGCTAGGCAAACGCCCTATCCACTGTGCTCTCACTCCAGCCCAAGTACACACTAGACTGGAATTTATTAAAACTCCAATCTTTGAAACCTTGAGGCTAAAGTGTCACCATCAGGTCTTTTGAAACTCGAAAAAATAAAAAGGCAATGGTAGTACTGTTCAGATGGCAGTTTTCAAACTACGTGATTGGAGTTGCATGATTCAAAAGAAAAAGGTGGGTGGGAGAAAAGGGTGAGAGGGAAAAAAGGGGAAGGGGATAGGCACCAGTTCAATAATGCTGCTTTAAGCAAACATTTTAACACACTTGTCTAATTTAGCATGTTTGTTCCCTCAGGAAAATAGATCTTAACCAGTAGCACTATAGCGCTGTCCTCCCATTGTTCATCGATTTGCTTCAGTGGGCACCAGTAATGTCTCCATTGTGAGACTTGTTGCTACTGTTTTTGGCATATCGAATAAGTCACGGGTAGCTTGCCAAGCTCTGCCATGCAGGCAGAACACTATCGGTAGCTTCCTGGGCTCTCCGAGAGGGAAGAAGGCACTAAACCCAGGTCAGCCACATGCAAGGCAAATGCACCACCCTCTGTGTTGTTGCTCCAGCCCTTGCATGGCAGAGCCTGGCAAACTCCCCGAGGCATACTCAATATGCCCAAAATAGTAACAACGGAGGCATTACTGGTGCCCACTCAAGCAAATTGATGAACAATGGGAGGAGAGTGCTACAGTGCTAGACAGTGTCTTATTTAGAGTTTTGTCACACAGAGCCTAAAAGAATAATGCTAAGAAGGTGCATCTCATTGTTGGGATCCAGCTAAGAATCGGTTCACCAGTGTTACATAGCCTCCTCTCCAAGGCTCTAGAGAACCACTTTCCTCTTCTCTTTCACCTGTGTCACCTAAGAGGAGGGATATAAAAAAAGTAGCAGCAAGACCTCATGACATCATTAATATAAAGAAATATAAGGATCAGTTAGTATTAGGGGGTCTAGAAAAGGATATTTTTCAAGTACCTGACAAATAAAGCATAACAAAGACAACTTTTGCTACTGGTCTTAAAACAATCATATATGAAGAATTTTTAACCCTGTAGGCACTTAGTAAAACAGACTCAAAAAAAAAAAAGACTCATGTAAGACACTAAATAATCAACTTGGTCAAAGAACCAAAAATAGCAAAGATTGTCATTTTAAAACATGATCTGGGTGAATTTTAAGTGGTTTCAAGGATAAAATTTAAAGCTCTAAATGGGCTGGAGTTATAGCACCGCGGGTAGAGCGTTTGCACACAGCTGACCTGGCTTCAATTCCTAGCATCCCATGTGGTTCCCCGAGCATCATCAGGAGTAATTCCTGAGTGCGTGAGACCTAGGTGCATCACCAGGTGTGACCATAAAAGCAAAAATAAATAAATAAATAAGTAAAAGTATAAACAATATGAAGTAAGGTATTATCATTGGGAAGCAACACACCAGTTTTTCTCTGCTTCATTATACATGACACAATTAAGGAAAACATTGATATGGGTTAATATGTGTTCCATGCAGGGGGACCTGCCAGCAGGTCAATCTGTACCTGTGAGGCGAGTGCATCAGCAGCCTGATGGCGCCTTCAGACTTCCAGATACCCCAAAATTGCTGCTGTGCCTTTGGCCAGACCCCAAAAACTTGGGGTAAAGTTTACCAACAAAGTAAACGGCCAAAAGTTAGGTATGTGAGAGACATACCCACAAACCACCTCCGGCTCAGCTATATACTTGGAGGATGGCCTCTCTGGTTCCCGATCAAACCGCTTAATGGCCATGATCCCAGAGACTCAGAAACAAATCTTGAAACCCAGTGACTTTTGGCAGAAATGCGTCCAGACCATGCAGCAGGTTACCGTCGCCTGGCCATTCCCGCGGGGGAAAGAGTGCTGTCCCTCCGCCTGCTCCCCCTAGGAGGCTCAGTGGCCGCCATCCTCCAGAGGCCATTGGACAGTCAGGTTTGGGTCCGCAGTGATGAGACGCATTGGGGCCTCATGGGATGGGGGTGGAGCCGGCCCTTTCCTCCTCATCCCAACTAGACCCCGAGTCACTGCCCACAAACGGCCTTTCTCACTCCTGATCAAGCTGCTTAACGGCCATGATCCAAGAGACTCAGGAACAAACCTCGGAACCCAGCAGGTTTTGGCAGAAATCCCTCCAGATTTAGTGTTAAAATTTCAGAATTTCAAAATCACGTAGCCACTACTGCAGCCGCACGACATCATGTGGTATTCATAACCAGCAATAGAAAACAAATTGTCTACTGTTGCCTTTTCAGCAGATCTGAGTGTTAGGGTAAAATCCCAAATAATAATGGTGGGTCTAGTGTCAAAATATTGAATGTAATCAAAGTAGAGAGAGAGTAATGTGGAAATCATCTGCCCCACAGGTAGGGGAAAAGTTTGGGATGGGGGTATACTGGGGTTGCTGGGGGTGGAGAATGGGCACTGGTGAAGGTACTGGTGTTTCGTTGTATGACTGAGACTTAAACCCGAAAGCTTTGTAACTGCTCTCATGGTAATTCAATAAATAAAATTATAAAAAATGAAAAAAAAGTAAGGTGAGTTCATGCACAATTCAATCAGCGAATCAGTGGCCGAAAAAATAGCAGTACTCCTACAAAAAAAAAAAAAATGTGTTCCATGCTTACCTGGGTACTGAAACTAACAGATATCATTAGCCCTGTCCCGGAATGTCTGACCACCTGCAAACTGATTAAAGTGGCCTCCTTATGAGTCACTGGCAATCGAGAACCCACAGAAAAATACACAAGGCTTTGAGACTCATCCTTCTGTAAGACTTTAATCTGTGCAAATCTGGCACTATTGTTTATGGCTGCTCCATCAGTTACTTCATACAGTTCCACAAAGAATTTTATTTCAACTTGAGGTATCTGAGAATGAGAAAGGGGGGGGGGGGGGTAAGAAATGATTTCAGATATATTTTTATTTTTTAGGTAATTTTTAAATATTAAGAAACATTTTTCATAAGTAAATATAAACAAATACACATCTATAGATATATCTATATATTTACAAAATTAATATTTAAGCTAGAGTACTTATGAAAAAAATTATTTTAGTCTTAAATAAACACTTTCATTTGAGGTGTTTTTAAGAAAATCAATATCAATGACCAATATGCATTTAAATAAGGAGAAAAAAGTAAACTATTGTACCATAAAATACTATTACTCAGTATTCAAGAGAGAAAACAGTAATGTTTTAATATGCATTAATAAGAAAATAATCATATCTAAAAAGAGAAACTGCAAAGTTACACACAGCGTGATAGAGTAAATGGTTACCCTTATAAAAAGTTCGCTATAAAATTTTAATGGATACACGTTTAACAACTGGTTTTAAAAGTACTATGACGGCTCTTTTGGAGGAAAAGGGTCAAGGACAGTGTTGGGTGAGGATTGGAGGATGATACTGGATATGGGGAAAGAAGCAAACTTTATCATCATAAAGTTTAATTTTTTTAATATTTTAAATAAATATGACCACGTACTGATAATCAATTCTTTAAACTGATTGTTAAATTTTATGAATTTTCTCAAAGAACTAAATATGTCTAGATTTTGTCAGCTGGCTATATGCTGCTTGTGCTTCCTGTAGTTCTTTCACACCAATTCCAAATAGTTTATTCTCTAAAGCCTGAATTCAAATTTATGATATACTGTTAATTTGCTGGTTTTACTTATTTCCTTTAATATAAAAGGTAAAGGTAAATTTAGGCCCTCCCGTTGATCATCGATTTGCTCGAGCGGGCCCAGTAACATCTCCATTGGAGACTTTGTTGTTACTGTGTCTGGCATATCGAATACGTCATGGGGAGCTTGCCAGGCTCTGCCGTGCGGGCGAGATACTCTCGGTAACTTGCCGGGCTCTCCGAGAGGGGCGGAAGAATCGAACCCGGGCCAGCCATGTTGGCCGCTTGTAAGGCGAACGCCCTACTGCTGTGCTATCGCTCCATATCCTTTATATCCTTTAATATAATATATTTATATCCTTTAATATAATTCTCTCAAAAAAACAAAAAACAAAAGTACTTTAAATAGCATTGTGAACATCCAGGGCTAACTTGAGGCTAAGCGAATGCAATTTTCCCCTGCATGTATCATTATCACATTTGATATACAGCATATCTTTTTCTATCGAGCAGGGGCCTTAGTCATCATCTGTTTTTTGATTATTTTAATTACAATTATTACTTCATGAAACAATACAGCAAATTCTTTAGTATTATCCAAGAATAACTCAATCTTACTACACATAAACATCTTCTTTGGTTGTCCGAAGAAATTGATTTAGCTTTCCTATTACACATAAATTTTCTTTTGCTGATAAACTTTCAGTAAATATTGCAAAATTCAGATAACTATGTTTCACCTCTTTTGAAAAACTATATTTGGTAAATATTAGAAAAGCATGGGTAAGCTATATTCAAAACTATTATTCCCTAATGGCCAAGGAGTTTGAACTCACAATAGCTTTGTTAAACAAAAGAGTTTTGCATATTGCATTGCAGCAGAATCTCTTCTTTTTTTATTTTTAGTAAAATGTTTTTTCTTATTGTGCTGGAGATTAGAACATTACTTATAAGCACTTACAATCATAAAGATATGTTATAATTTAAGTAAAAAGCAATCTAAAATTAAACAATGTACAGATGGAGGAAAACACATAATTAGGTTAGAGACAAAAGGAAGCATCTAGTTTTACAAATACTCTGTTCAAACAATATTCCTAACGTATATTAGGAAACCAAAACCCACAGAACATAATAGTTTGATAACCAAGGGCATGTGACCTTAGGGGACCCAACACAAGTACTCCTTCATGAAAACAAGTAAAAGCATGACAATTCTAGAAGGAAATTTTAAAAGGTATTACTGCAACTTTAGAGAGGATCACTATAAATATTACAATAATCCTCAAAATGAAAATAAGCATCAGAAAGTACATAATGTAAATCTGTAAGTTTGTTATTTTAGGATAAATATAATTATGTGTCTTAAAGTAACTATACTTGTGTTTGCTTTTCCTGCATTTAAGGTGTTAAACATCTACCAAAAAACTATACTTTTAAAATATTCATTATAATTGCGGGTAGTTTCTGTATTAGATATTTGACTTCTATAAATTACTAAACAAAGAACAAGTATTAAGCACTGAGAATGCCTGACTCCTGGGTGCCACACACAGTGTGAACAAAGACTCAAAGACTCTCCAAGGAAGGTCTCTGGCTCATTGGCAGATCAAAACTGAGCCCTATAACTAACAACATAAGGATAAAGAATCTGAGTAAAGAATAAAGAACTCCCATTCCATGGATAAAATCTGTTTATGATAGAAGTATATATATATATATATTTATACATATATTTGTGTGTATGATAAAGGTTAAGAGGTGGTTAGGAAAGTAAAATACATTTTTATGCATAAAACTGACTTGAAGGATTATTCAGACAATGCAATTCTGAGTCAACAGGCATCTTATAATTGACAAGAAGTTAGCAAAAGAGAAAACTAATTTTTTTAAGAAAAAAAAGAAATTACTATATAACACTGCATTTGTGTATATAACACTGCATTTGTGTATATAATGCTGCATTCATGTATTACTGATGAGCTTATTTACCATAAAGTAAAAAAAAAATCAAAGTGCAAGAAATCCCAAGCCTCTTGCCCCCCAAAGAGATTTAGACTTCATAGCTAGGTGAGATACAAAGGATGGGCACATAAAAAATATGTAAGATTCAAGAAAGTGGCTTTATTTTCTTTTTTATTGTTGTTGTTGATTAAGGTACTGCCACTTACAATTTTATGTTATTGGCAGTTTCCCATGCACATGATTCAACACACCACCCATCACCAGTGTAGCCCCTCCCCTCCCCCAAGGACCCGACACCCTCTCAACCCCCACCCCAACTCAGCTGTGAGGAACCGGTTTGTTGTTGGGTTGCTTTTTGCCCTCTGTTGCTCCCTTACTGACTACTTTTAGTTCCTACGTATAGGGTGAGCTCATTCTGCATCTATGGCTTTCTGACTGACTTCATTCAGCATGACATTCTCCAGTTCCACCCACAATGCTGCAAATTGCATGAGTTTGTTCTTTCTTAGAGCTGCACAGTGTTCTTGCACTGTCTATCTATTCCACAACTTCTTTATCATTTAATCTATAATTGGGCATTTGGGGTTTTTTTATGCTTTAGTTATTGTACTAGCTGCAGTGATGAACAAAGGTGTGCCTACATCCCTTCGAATTCATGTATCTTGTGTTTGGGGATAGATGCCAAGAAGTGGTATCACTAGGTTGTATAGGAGTTCCAGTCGTAGATTTTGGAGAGCAATTTTCATATTGCTTCCCACAGAGAGTGAACCAATGGCATTCCCACCAACAGTGGATAAGGGTTCCTTTCTCACCATAAACCACCAACACTGGCTGTTTCCAGACTTTCGGACATGTGCCATTCTCACTGCTACAAGATAAAATCTCAGTGCTGCTTTAGTTTGGTTTGTTTTCTTTCTCACATGTATAAGTATTCAGGGCTTATTCCTGGCTCTGTGCTCAGAGACTATTCTGGTGTGACTCTAAGGACTATACAGGGTGCTCAGGGTGGAACCCATGCCAGTCACATGCAAGGTAAGTGCTCCAGACTCCCAGTGCTGCTCTACTTTGCATGTCCCTAACCATGAGTGATAAAGAGCACCCAATAAAGAGGCTTTTAAGTTTCTGAATAACTATAATTAGTTGGCAAGACCATGACTCATCATCTCTCACCTTCCCTTGTTTGAGCCCCATGGGGATCAAGCATTTGGTTTGACCCATTACACAGGTCGTGGTCCCAGAAACAGTGAAGAGTGTATCCATCAGGTTCATACCAGCTTTCTCTAGCAAAGTGGCTGATTTGTTAAATGTGACTCTCCAAAAGACTGTGACATCTTCAAATGCCCTAGAAAGGAAGCAAAACCCATGCAAGTGTATTAAAATGTAAGTTATCCTGCTATCTACTGCGGAATAATTAATCACTATACCTTACTTTATGACAGCTAATGCTGAAAATGACCAATTCTATTAAATTTGAACAAAAAAAATAAGGCCAGGGTTTACTATGCATTCTTTGATCACATTCCATTCAATACTCAATAAATAGGTATATTGAATGGCTCTGTATCAGGCATGTGAAAAAAAATAATATTTTTTTCCTGCTATATATTCTTATACCCCACAAAAGATGAAAATTACGGAGAATCTCTGACTTCAAGTAAATGCTACTCCTTTGTCTTTTAATAAGAATTCTTCTGAAGGGGGCTGGAGCAATAGCAAAGAGGGTAGGGTGTTTGCCTTGCATGAGGCCAGCCCGGGTTTGATTCCCAACACCCCATATGGTCCCCTGAGCACCTCCAGGGGTAATTCCTGAGTGCAGATCCAGGAGTAACCCCTGTGCATCACCGGATGTGACCCAAAAAGCAAAAAAAAATTAAATAAATAAATAATAATTCTTCTAAAGTGACAACATTATTGTTAAAAATAGTTGATATTATAAAAATGAATAAATAAATAAATATCAAGAGATAAACTACTTTCTCAGAAAAATTTAGGTCCGAAATTTATATATGTATATATATATATAAAATCTAGAGATGTGCATATCCAAATGAATGTATGTGGTGACGACTCAGAAAATATTTTGTATACTGTTATTAAGTTGTAAGAAAATGTTGGTCTGACAAGTCTCCCTAACAGCAAACAGCTGTGAATGTTGAATAATCAAAATATCCATGGTTCAAGATAACCAAGTGTTTGACTGGACTTAGTAGTAAGAACACCTAGCACTGCCACTTGATCCAGGTGCCACACATGGCCCCTCTGGTATAATCCTACCACATGTGCAACCCCCAACAATATGACAACAAATGAAGGGGGGAAGAGAAAGGAATGAAAAATGAAGGAGTTATTATCTAAGCTGATGCTTGGGAGGTATTCAGAAGTATACTTTTCTTTTCCAAGATAGCCCTACATTATGCTCACAAACCAAATGTGTTAAATCACTGATTAAGTAACACAGTGTTTGTACACTGATATACTGAACCCCACAGAGCTTTTTATCCATGCTTCATCCTGCCTCTGTCATTTTATGAATTAAAAATGATATTGTATAGGCACACTAGTCGTGAGCTCTCCCACACACTGATGGACATACCTGTCTGGCTGTCTGGTGACAGTCAGGTACAGTGTGCTCAGACCAGCCCCTTCACCCAGGGCTAACTCTTCCTGGGACTCTTCACTGAATCCTATGATGCCATTGTGAAGATCACTCCCTGAAAAAAATAATGGGGCCTTATAATATCCTTAAGACTTTAAAAAAGATCTTCAGTGTGTTGAAAATAGTTCCATTTCAGATAGTATGAAAATATAAAATTTACATGTGATGGAGGTAGTTGGCATTTTAAAACCCTTTACAAAAAAAATAGAAAACTTTGAAAAAAGTACAGAAGGAAGAAAATATCAATCCCTGTCCCCACACTGACATATATACTCATCTCCCCCCCACAGAATTTAAGTTCTACCAGAGCACCAATTCTTTTATTTATTCCTATAATCCCATAATCCAGGACAGAGGACAGCACAATGCTCAATAAGCTGTTATTGAATAGTGCGCTCCATTTAAGCAATGTAGTATGAAACAACAGACCAAAAGACATTTGTGTTATGCATCTAGCAATTTACCTTCTAATCACCTAACTGAAAAACAATTAAGCGATTGCTGAGTATCTCTGAGTAAAAAGAGACTCCACTGAGCAACACCCGAGGGGAAAGATCCTACATACTATACATTGCAGAGTTACTGAAACAGTAACTCTAAGTCCATGTCAACATTTAAGCTGCTTTCTCAGAGACATAAAAGTCCCTGCTGTTCTCTACTTTATAATGGCCCCATTTGGTGAAATGATTCTAAAATCTGTGATCCCTAAGAAGTTAGTCTTAAAAATCACCCAGACCCTGACTTCTAAGGCTCCCAGGAAACAGCGTTCCAGACATGGGGCATTGGGTTCTGGCTAAGGACACAGAAATCTGCTTATTCGTTTGTAGGGGAGTGCTACAGGCTGGGTCTGCTCTGCGGGTCTGCAATGTGAGTGCATTTGGAGTCTGCTGATGGGGTTGCACATGTGATTCACTTTTTTTTTCTTCTAATACCTCCTCTATTTTTAAGCTACGTGAATTAACAATCTTTGCCACAAGAATTTTCACTGCAAGCATTTTGGGTCACTTAACTAAGTGACCATACAGTATACATAAGGAAGAAAAACATATAGAACCTCATTCTGGTTCAATAACGTGACAATATGTCTGGTGAATTAGGTGCCAGGACCAAAACTAATGTATCAGCAGACATTGGTATGCCATGACATGCACTGTATCCACTATGGGTTTGCATACATGCCTTGCTGTCATTTTTGTTGGTATGTCACCGCTGTCTTAAAACCTATTCCCACCACCTCCCCTGCCCCCCACACACATACAAACCCTTTACCATTCCTCTAACCAGGACAAGAAGCTTTTCTGAAGATCCAACAAGTAAATGAACAATGCTTGAAACAAAAAAAAGGTCCCAGCAATCTTATTGATGGGACTGCACCTTTCTGACCTAGTTAAATATTTTGACCTTTAGTTCTGATCATATTCAAATAACTGTATTGAAATTTATATGTCATGAAATAGAGAACTATTGAGTGTCAGGATAATTTCAACAGAAACGTTTATTGTTTTAAGCTAATATAAACTAAAATTAGTAAATAATTTGCAGAACAGCATTTGTAAGATTTTACTTATATTGTGAAATTATAAATTTTGAAGATTATTCAACAGTCTAAGTTAAGTGACATTTGCAGTCCATTAATTCTTGCAACCACCTCAGAATATCATGAATTCAGGATACGTGTTCATGCTACAAAAAAAAACTGCTTTAATGAATTTGAGTAATTCGAACAATTTACCATCTTAAATTTAAGGTAGAATGATATTTTTACAAGTACTGCATCATGAGGTAATTTTTTCTCATTATTCAAAAGGCATACCTGTAATAATAATCATGGCTAAAGCTGAAAATCCCATATCATCTGTCCCCATCACAATTTGTGCTCCCCCTTGAGGGTCTGTGAGAAACACGTAGAAAAATTCCTGGCCTTCAGGCTCATCATCATCCAGAATTTGAATCAGTGCTTTATGTTCTCTTTCTCCATCAACAAATGTAAGGAGAAGAGTTTGTTCTTCAAAGTCGTCTTCTTCAATTGCCCATGTTAGATTGGACATTCCGTAAGTATCAGGAAAAGGAAGTGCATTTGGTTCCTTCTGAGCAGATCTTCCACCAAAAGTCTTAAGTGTCACACTGACATTACCAATACACCCACCAGTTCTTCGAATAAGAACTTCTGCAACATTAAGTGTACCATTCTTCATCTCCTCCTTCACGTAAACAATGGGTGGTCCGAGGCTAAATGTTCCATGAATAGAAATGTTGGTAGTTACTGCCACCTCATCAGGCTTCTCAGATATGGTCGGTGTTCCAGGAAAGGTGACAAGCTTTTCAGGAATCACCGACATACTAGTTGCCTCAGTAATAATGGCAATTATTTCAGTTGGCTGTGGTATGGATGTGATTTTAGTTGTGTCAGGGTATATCGTGGAGGAGTCAGTTTCTACAGGAATGAGAGCTGTGCCCATGGTTAAAGCCACCTGAGTTGTCTTAGGGAAAAAAACATCCACTGCCTCCAGGTCATCATCATCCAATATTGTAATCTCTGCAACACTAAAATCTGGATTCAGGCGTGGTCTCCAAATAGCATCCAACTTTGGTGATTCTTTCATTTCTACTGAAGTTAGATTAATGTAAAAAGTTTCTTTTATTTCAGGAAGCTGATCATTAGTAATCATGATTTCAAAATCAACCTCAGCCTCAAGGTTTTGAAAAAGCAGCTCCTTTTTCTGAACAGGTTCAAAATCCTCCAGTGGCTTTGCACTTCCAGCAGTTGTCTGATAAGAAACTTTAATAAGATCACCGTGGAACCCAAACAGCCTTTGTACTTGTAATCTGACTGTCTGTGTGTCCTCTGACACGATGATATTTCTTGAACTTGGCGAAAACTGGAAGACTCCCATAGGTTCAATTTCTGCAATGGTGAACCCTGATCTGGGAAAAAAAAATAACCATGAAAGAATTTATTAAAAAAAACAGAGCTGCCGCTAAGAGAAGGACCACATGGAGGGTGCGGGAACCACAAATCCCGGAGGAAAAAAAAAAAAAACAGGTTCCAAAAAGAGCCGAGATCACCGGCAAGTTCCAGATGGAGTAGGTGCCGCAGCCCGCCTCCCCCAGATGGAACCCCGGTGACCAGAAGCCTCTACAAACACAGCTCGAGTATGCGGGAACGAGGACTTTTTCTCAAAACCACGTGGCCGCTTACGCGGCCGCGCGACATCTCTCTATATACAAAGTGATCAATGAGAAGTAAACCACCCAATCTTTCTCCCTGAAAATCAGAGTTAAGTTTGGAGCACGGCCACAGCCCCAGAAACACAAGGACTTAATGCAGAAACCAGCAGCTTAGAGCAGAAAAGTGAACGGACGATGCGTTAACCCAAGCCATCATTTCTGCCCAGAGGGGAAAGGGTGTTGCCCCATTCGCCCTCTCTTCTCGGGAAAGAAGGATGGCGGCCGCATGGGAGCCTTGTGGACAGCAGGTATGAGCCGGGGGTGAGGGGGCGACTAAAACCTCACGAGAAGGGGGGCGTTCCGGTCCGTCCTTCACGCCCTACCGAGGTCAACAGTTGCCCCCCACGAGCGGCTCTCCAGCACGGCCACAGCCCCAGAAGCACAAGGGCTTAATGCAGAACCCAGCAGCTTGGAGCAGAAAAGTGAAAGGACTATGCGTTAATCCAGGCAATCATTTCTGCCCAGAGGGGAAAGGGTGTTGCTCCCTTCCGCCCTCCTCCCTCTGGAAAGAAAGATGGCGGCCGCATGGGAGCCTTGTGGACAGCAGGTATGAGCCGGGGGTGTGGGGGCGACTAAAACCTCATGGGAAGGGGGCGTTCCGGTCCGTCCTTCACGCCCTACCGAGGTCACCAGTCGCACCCCACGAGCGGCTCTCCAGCACGGCCACGGCCCCAGAAGCACAAGGACTTAATGCAGAACCCAGCAGCTTGGAGCAGAAAAGTGAACGGACTATGCGTTGATCCAGGCCATCAAGTCTGCCGGAGGGGAAAGGGTGTTGCCCCATTCGCCCTCTCCTCTCTGGAAAGAAAGATGGCGGCCACATGGGAGCCTTGTGGACAGCAGGTATGAGCCGGGAGTGTGGGGGCGACTAAAACCTCATGGGAAGGGGGGCGTTTCGCTCCGCCCTTCACGCCCTACCGAGGCCACTGGTTGCCCCCCGCGAGCGGCTCTCCAGCATGGCCATGACTCCAGAACACAGAAACCAATTTCTTAACTATCTGACTTTCAGTAGAAATACTTCCAGGGTCAATAGGTAAAATAGCAGAAATCCAAAACCAACATTTAATTCTTGAACCCAGCTGTAGAAAGCAAATCACTTCACAATGCTTTTTCAGCATGTCTGATTTGGGGGGCGGTAAACTCTAAATAATAGTGGTGAATCTTTTATTGAAACAATGAATCTAATCAAAGCAGATAGAGTGTTAACTAGAATTCATCTGCCTCACAGGGACGGGGAGGGGTGGGGGGTGGGGTTTTATTGGGGTTCTTCATGGTAAAAAATAAGTATTGGTAAAGGGAAATGTGTTTGATATTTGCATGACTGAGACATAAACCTGAAAGCTTTGTAACCTTTCCCACAGTGATTCAATAAATAAAAAAAAACAAAAAAAAAACAAAAAAACAGAGCTGCCATTGTAGAAATTCATCTCTCACATATTTAATGAACTGTTCTAGGGGAATCTTAAAAATGGCACGTCTTTTAGGAATCCATGAAATTCTATTTACACATTGATGACTAGAGCAGATCACAGTAGCTGTAGTCATGGATGATGGGACCCCACATGAGTGAGCAAAGTATTCAGAGGTCTCTGGTGTACTTCTCAGTCATACTGGGAGCAGCTCTCTGAAAGACACGGAACCCAAGTGTTGCTGCATGTAAGGCTCTCTTATCTACCCTCATATAGGGAAATAAACACTTGTACAATTCCCTAGATGGCAACTGATTTTCTGGTCAACCAGGCAGAAATAGTTGTGCCTATGAGGACTTCCTCTAGTTAGACAGTACTAAAGCTTTTGCTCATACAAACATTGCTAAACTTTTTAAAAGAATTGGAAGAAGTATAATTAAATAGCACAGTGGTAGGGCGTTTGCCTTGCAGGCAGCCAACATGGCCGACCCGAGTTCGATTCCTCCACCCCTCTCGGAGAGCCCGACAAGCTACCGAGAGTATCTCGCCCGCACAGCAGAGCCTGGCAAGCTCCCCGTGACGTATTCGATATGCCAGACACAGTAACAACAAAGTCTCCAATGGAGACGTTACTGGGCCCGCTCGAGCAAATCGATGAACAACGGGAGGACAGTGACAGTGATAATTAAATAATTTATCCTTAGCTTTTTTCTGTGGAATGATAATACAAGTCAATTATTATGTCAGAGATTACATTGAAGAACAATATCCCTATTCCAAATCACTGACATATACTGTGTGTGTGTGTGTGTGTGTGCGCGCGCACATTACTTTCTGAAAATATACTTTGTGAAAATCTAAATTTGACTGCTTTTAATAAAGGCACACAGGCATCATCACACTCAACCATAAAACATTCATCACAGAGTAATATGAATAATGGCAGAGAACATTGCAGAGAATAGGGATAAACTCCAGGAAGTGAAAGTGATCCTATGTCTTCTGTTTCAACAGCAGATTTCACATTACCCTGCAGAGACTTTCAAGGTCAAGATGAGAATTGTCTTACCGAAGCTGAGCGCCCCCGGGGGCACTGCTCTGTACTCCCAAAAGGTGAACGGGGAAGGCCTCTGGCTGACCTGGTCTGGGCAATGTCCACACTAAGACTCCTTTACTTTGTTCTCCATGGGAAAAGGACAGGTTTCCTGGAAAATAACAGGAAAAGGGAAGTAGAACATCACATTTTGGGGTTCTTTAAAACGCAGTAAAATATCCACCCATCTCAGAACCCTCAGCCCGATGGTACAGTGATTAGCGCATATGCCAAGTGGGTTCCTGACCAAGTTCGATCCTGAAATTGCTAGCTGCCTCCATGGAGGTCCCTGAGCACTTCCGGGGTGTCTGGGTAATCCCTGGCACTGCAGGGTCCTCTCAGCGATCCTCAGGCTTTGTTGGCTTAGAACCCCAGTGGGGAACCCAAAGCCTGCTGAGCTCAGACTGGGAGGCACCCCTAAATTTTTTTTTCATAATATCAAAGCAGTCTACAAAAGTAAAAGAGACTCAAAAGGTCACAGAGTAAGGTAATGAGAACTTCCTAGAATGCATGGATCTTGCCTTGGATCCCTTTGTAATTTTCTCATTTATTTCTTTTATCTTCTGGCTTAAGCACATATGCCAGTAGTGGGAGGAGAACTGTGCTGGGCAACCTCAGTTATATGTCTGGTGATAGACACAGTTTGGAGTGAAGTATCTTAGGGTATTGGGCTGAAAAGGTAGTACTGCAGATAAGGTGCTTGTCTTGCACATGGCTGACCCTTGTTCTCTGGCATTCCATATGGTCCCCGTGCCCCACCAGGACTGATCCCTGAGTGCAGAGCCAGGAGTATGTTATGAGCATGACCTGGTGTGCGCCCCCCATCCCAAACTCTGATCACCTAAAACAAGAAACATAATGTATATTTTTACTTTAAATTATTTTAGAAAATATTTGGAGGTGTTGACTATGTTTATTGCATTGATTGCAGTGAAGCTTTTTACAGATGCATATGTAACAGACACACATATACTCTAAGTGAATGAAAAAATGTCATATTAATTATACTTTATTAGTTTTGATACTCTCGGTAGCTTGCCGGGCTCTCTGGGAGAAGTGGAAGAATCGAACCCGGATCGGCCGGGCTGGCTGCGTGCAAGGCAAATGCCCTACCGCTGTGACAGTGTATACTTTAATTTAAAAACTAATCCAATTACTTCAGAAAAAAATCACAAATAGAGGAGAATGTAACAACTACTAAATTGGCGAGTTTATTGACATTTTTTGATATTGGTCATTTCCCCATTATGTTTGAAAATTTACATTATAAAAGCTAAAGGAAGTTGGAAAAACATACTTAAAAATGTCAATCTATTTGATACTTCTATTAGTTTAATCAAATTCCTACAGAGTCACTAATTTTATAAATGATTTTGATTTATATATATTACACATTTTACACAAACCCATATACATACTCATAAAGAACAATTTATCACACGTATGTTTTATATTTAGTAGTGGTTTATTAATGTCTGTAGCATTGTAGCACTGTCCTCCCATGGTTCATCAATGTGCTTGAGCGGGCAACAGTAAAGTCTCACAACAAATTGTGAGACTTGTTGTTACTGTTTTTTGGCATACTAAATACGTCACGGGGAGTTTGCCAGGCTTTGCTGTGCGGGCAAGATACTATGCGGTAGCTTGCCGGGCTCTCTGAGAGGGGTGGAGGAACTGAGCCCGGGTCAGTCATGTCAGCCATGTGCAAAGCAAACGCCTTACCCACTGTGCTATCGCTCCAGAAAAACTACATTGTATGGAATTGTACAAAGCATTCAAAAATCACAGAAAGGTAGCTGAGGAGATAGCTCAAAAGGCTGGGGTGCATGCCTTGATTCCTGGCATAACCCAAGTGAATCCCAGTGCTAAGACCCGACCTCTGAATCTTCTGGCCATTACGCTGCTTGCAAGGTTCCCAAAAATGACACCAGAGAGAGGAACATGGTTCTGCAGAAGAAAAAGCTAGAAAACAGATGAGAAATAGAATGGAATATCTTCAACTTCAAGGGCAAGCCAAAGGAAAATAAAGAGGCTTCAATGTGTGCTAAACCCAGTCATTAAGACACTCTGATATGCAAATGTGTCTCTCAATGAGGCCAATAATGAACTAAATTCACTCTTTTTCTCAGATCCCATTGAGATCAAAGCTGGTATGCTATTATTCTTACTATGCTTTCCCCTGACCCTCATCATCAAAAGGACTTCACTTTTCATTTTTCTATATCTGTGATGCCAGAACCTTGGGAAAGTTAAAATCACACAGTGCTGCTCATTCCAGTTATTGCTGACTTCTGCCTAGTGACCAGAGACTGTGAATAGAGGAGAGGATGCTCAAAGATTCTAAACCTTCTATACACTCTCATTATAGAAATTCGTAATGAACTTCCTATAACATGTCAGAGGTCAAAACACCTAACAAGTACCTCTCACTGAGTCTCACAGAGCAGGTACTATAATTGAAAACTGAAAAAGATACGGTAACAGATGCCTTTCTATTAGGAAGCACCAAGTGGATCTGTCAATAGATTTGAAGCTGGGTCATTTCACTATTGGTAAAATGACAGATCAAATTGATTTAACAATGTCCTAATGCACAGAGAAGTTTGCTCAATGAACACATTTCCAGATGAAGGATAAAGTTTTCAACTTGACAGAATAAGGTTTTTCTCATTCTTATCAAGTAGTCTGTGCAGCCCTGATCACCTAACATAAGATGGCACTGGAAAACTTCTAAATACCCAGAGAAAGGGTGACGCAAGCAGAGTGGCCAGGTCCTCATCTCCAAGTTTACAGACTCATCTCAGGACAGCTACAACTCACCCTGCTTAGGAGTCATGTTGCCAACAATGATGAACTCCGGGACTTCAAACCCAGGAGCGTAGCCAGCAGCCCAGGCGACCCAGAGGGGGCCGTAAGTGCCTCTCCGAGAGATCACAATGTGGCTTGTTCCAGCAGCAATGTCCATGAGGGGGAAAGCAGGAGATTCAAACCCAACCTGAGAAAAAATGTATATTTATTTCTTCATTAAGATACTTGTTTGTTGAACTGTTGTCTGGGTCGACTTTCTCTTTGTTTGCATATATTCTTTGTCTTAAAATTTATCCCACTGAAGAGTTATAGTTAAGAAATGGCATTTGTAGCTGAGATAAACACCAGGAGGATTACTCCATAGCTCAGAGGCCAGCCAGGCATTCTAGGGGAAAGGGCAGCTCAGATAGAGAAGGGAGCACCAAATAAAGGGTGTTTGGAGGATCCTCCCAGGAGGGGAGATGCATGTTGAAAGTAGACTATGGACTGAACATGTTTGCCACTCAAAGCCTCTTTTGCAGACCACAACACTCAAAAGGAGAGAGAGAACACAAGGGACTGCCCTGCCACAGAGGCAGGGTGAGATGGGAGGGATGGGGTTGGGAGGGATATTATCCATGGTGGTGGAAAATGGGCACTGGTGGAGGGATGAGTATTTGATCGTTGTATAATCGAAACCCAAGCACAAAAAAATTGTAAATCTACAACTGTACCTCATGGTGTTTCACTAAAAATAAAAAAAAAATATTAAAAAAAAACGAAATGGCATCTGTAAGTCTAGTTTTCAGATTACCTAAGGAAGACAAATATTTCGCTTATGCTAATTCCAACAAAGTTTATATGCAATTTAAAAAAACAGGGAAAAATGCCCTTTGAGCAAGGTAGCCTTTTCCACAGGTGATTCCTCTGGAAAGGATTCATTCTGTTTTATAGAACAATCAGTAGCTAATATTGGTTAGGGGGGTATTGCTCTTTAGCGAAGGTCTGAATGAAGGAGGATAACTCCAAAGGAAGAGCAATGCTGATCCTGCTCATTCCTAAACACACATATTTTTTTCCTAAAGTTTCAATGGCTTTTTCAATGATTAACATTCATTTTTCTTTTGTTTTCTTCTAGAGAGACAGTTTTGTCACCGAAAACAAGTCTATTTCTGTGCCACTGTTATGCAAATATACAATAGTTGAAAACCCCTCAAAAATGACTTTGAAATTTATTATTGTATTTTTATTTTAACATTCAGATTAGGATTTCATAGCCATTAAAGTGGGGTATAAATTTAAAAACGTAATCAATTATGGTTAAGTGAGAGCAAAAGGTTAAAAGTAGCATTTTAATATGGTTTTTTCATGGTTCTTCATAAAGCATAATTTTCTAGAACCAAAATTTTACTTCTTTGTAACATATAACATTGGCTTTCTTCACTTTAAAATAGGCACATTGGAACCATACTTTCAACCAAAGTTCCTCTCAGATCTTTGATTCAAAGTAATACAGTTTTTGAGGATCAGAAAGCTTCAAAACTTTTTACAATAATTATCTTTCTATTCCACATCAAGAGGACACTATTTTAAAAGCAACCTACCCAAAATACCATGGGATTTACAGATGAGTTACAGATGAAATAAGTTATGGTGAACAAGTAAAAATAAATCAAAATTTATAGCTTCAAGTGTGGTTTGGACCACTAAATTTTCTCTTTTGGTTCCAGAATCTATATATTTGGATACTATATGAGCAACAATTATATATAAAGATTCATTTTCCTTGTTTCAGAGTTAAACGGTGGGAAGCAAAATACTATGGTAGGGTGCCAAACAATAGCATATGGAACCACAGAAAAGGAAATAAGAAAACATTCAAAATTTATATCAGCTAGAGAGATTTGGTATATATATATATATATATATATATATATATATATAAAAGATTCTGCTTGCTATAACTAGAAGTCGCATTAAAGTGTCATAATCGGACCTCTCCCTCAATCTCTATCACACATTATACACTAAAATACTGTTTAAAAATATGAGATATAAGTATACCAAGACATTTGCCAACATTGCCCTTTGGGAAAATAAGTATTGTGGCAATGTGCAAAGACAAGGACAACAAAATGCTATAAAACTCCAGTATACTGGTTCAAGATTAAAGGAACCAACTACTCAACCTCCTCAGACCCCTATCCCACATGAGCAAAGATATCCACAATTGCTTCTTGTGTCAAACTGCCTTGGTCAAATTCAAGGAACACTTAGGTATAAGGAGTAGTACGCAATCATTTCTCATAACAGAGGAGGCCCAAATCAAAAAAGTAAAACCTTCAACTCACTCTTCATTTTCATAGAAATTATTCATTTCAGATTAGGAAATAATCTTTTCTAGATGAACTCAAGTTGAAAATCCAAATACTTTGGTACAATAATGTTAAGGGATTCACAAATGTTGTTCACAATTCTAGAAAAATATAATCTAAAAGGTTGGCATTTTAATCATTTAAGCATAAAATAACAATATTTAATATTTAGGAAAAAGCTGAAAAAACATTTAGGTGACAATTATTTTAAAAATTTACCTTATGTAAGACAAACACCATGAGATAAATTTTTTCCACACTTCAAAGGGAAACAGACTTTTATATTTAATGTCACAAACTGAAAACATTTTTCTCTAACATGTCACAATAACTCTACTCTGATATTCACATAATACTTAGATTTAAGATATTGTAAAGCTTTTTTTCGGTGCTTCACCCTGTATCAGAAAGCATCGGATTTTTTACTTTATTTTTATTTTTAAAATCATTTTATCAGAGAGATGTGTTCTTTTAAAAACATTTTTATAGTATATTGTGTAACATAGTTACAATAGTGCTAACTTTTGTGGTTTTCATGGACACAGTTACTGAACCTTCACCACCAAAGTGCCCAAGAAAAATTCTGGGACTGGGGTCTTATTCCTTCCCATAAAAACATCCTGCAGCAGTTTCTGATCGTAACACCCAAAGCCATTACCTGAGAATTGGAAGCTTCCTCAGGTACAGGAACAACAGCAAATTTCGCTTCTTGGAGAATCTTTGGCATGCCATAGATACGCCCACCAACAAGCATCACAGCCACTAGTTGCAAGGTAAAATTAGAGCCCAGAGACAGAAAGACCTAAAAACAAGCAGCAGCATCACCGCCCTTTTTATTAATTTGAAGTTAGCAATTTTATTATTTTTTAAAATATTTTAATTTTATAATGTAGTTCACAATATTTGATTACATTCAATATTCAAACACCAATCCCACCACCATTACACCTTCCCACCAACAAATCTGCAATGTTTCCATCCCAAACCCCAATCCCTATCTCAAAGCACAACTGAAATAATATAATTTGTGTTGTCTGTTATGAAGAATCGCTGAAAATGGTTACAAAAAATATTCATATAGAAAAGAGTGTGAAGATTGTTCTATTTTGGCAGGGGCCATTAAGACATTCTTTAGGATATCACTAACATATTGTTAAAGGTTGAGTCATCGCCCCCCCCCCCCATTTTTTAAAATTTTATTGAATCACCATGAGATAGTTATAAGCTTTCATGTTTGGGTTACAATCACACAATGATCAAACACCCATCCCTCCACCAGTGCACATTCCCCACCACCAATATCCATATCCAATATCCAATATCCAATATTCAGTATACCCCCCCTCTCTCACCCTCCCCCTGCCTCCATGGCAGACATGATTCCCCATAATCTCTGTCTACTTTGGGGCATTATGGTTTGCAATACAGACCCTGAGAGGTTATCATGTTTGTTCCTATATCTACTTTCTGTATACATCTCCCATCCCGACCGATTCCTCCAGCCATCTTTTTCTTAGTGATCCCTTCTCTATTCCAACTGCCTTCTCCCCTTTGCTCATGAAGCTGGCTTCCAGCTATGGAGTGATTCCTCTGTCCTGATCACCACACCTTTTTAATAGTCAAAAAAACCCCAAAAACTTATCAGAAAAGAAATACTGAAAAAGAAGTTAATTTTACACTGATTCAAGTTCCTTTTTTTACCTTTTTCAACTATATATGTTACCATTCCCCTCTATCATGAAACAAACTACCAGTATGAAGACTGTGTGAAAAGGATGAGTACTTTCAAAGTATAACAGAAACCATAAACCAGCAACTTCTCTATGTGTACCCAAATGACTCAAGAATGACAGAATCACAGAGATCTTATTCATGATGGACTCATTTGCCACCCAAAAGGAAACGACTGGTGAAGAGTCACAGCTCCTGAAATCAGCAAGAAACAGACTTCCTTTCCAAAAAATTATCTTCACTGAATTATTAATTTGATTAAGTTAACAATAATTTGAATATACTAAATAATTGACTACTGTGGACAAATAAAAAATGCTAACACTGTAGGCTAACACCATGCAGTAAGCTTTCACAGCATTTTCTAATAAAAATAGAGAAAATCATAAATTTAAATATTGGTGAAATTCTAAAATTTCAGGTTTTTTAACCTTACATTTTTCAATGGAATCAGTGTTATTAACAACATATAAACCTCAGGTTGCCTTATAACATAAAATATTACAAAAACTTCTTGTACCTTTACTGAACATAAAATAGTCATTTATTCTTTTAAATATAACTGCTGAAAAATGTATTACAGCTGCCAAATATGGAAAATATCTACCATATTGCTTTCAAATATTATGCAAAATGGGGGTGACAGATGTTTCATTCATTCAATCAATCTTCATTGTTATCCAAAGGAAAGTCATTGAACATGAACCAAGGTCAAGTGCATTAGAAGGAAACAGAAATCAATCCGTGTCCTGACTTTAATCAGCTGTAGCCCATCTCTCCCCTAAGGGTGTACTCATTCCCCACAAGCACCCGAGCTGGGTGGCTGAGGATTTTTTTTTACTTATTCCAAAGAATGTAGGGACCAGTCATGTGTGTTTTACCACCTTGCTTCCTAGTCATCCAGTACAAAGAAAACGATTTACCCAGCTCGTATCCTAGATACAGTAATCAAACATAAAACAGAACAGTGAATTTGAAGGAAAGCTGGCTGGTGAGAACAAAGACAGGTGGTATAATCTTTAAAGGAACTTAAAGCTTTTTAGATGACTGAAGATTCTGGTATGGCTTTCGACTTTCTGGATTCAGGACTGCTTCACTCAAACTATTCTACTTATCATCCATCATTCTTAATGGTAATTGGACGTAATTAGAAAGCATTCAGAGTCTCATAATATCCCATGCAAATTTCCAGCTCTGTTTAGCTACTCGTTTTTTATTTTTTTAAATAATTGGCTTCTAATTGGCTTCTCCATCTCTGGAAGGGGGCAACAGAGAAGCGCTGTCTGTCACTTTTGTCTCTCCTATGCCTCTCACCCAGGCTGTTTTACAGAAAGAGTTCCATAAATGTATGAATAAATTACTCAACCTCAAGTATAAAATTTCTCTTACATTATAACTGAAATTTTCTTAAATTCCCATTCCTTTAGCTAGCTTGCTAACAGTTCTAATAAGTTGGTATGCACCCACGTAGAAAGCCTGTTGTTAACCAGGTGTGGTAATTCATATCTAGGGCCTTGTGTTAAAGCAACATTACATTTTCTCATTTTCTGGGCATAGGAAATATGCAATGGAAATACAGCACAGAGAATTGATTCTAAGTCTTGCAACCAATATACAAAACATCAGCGAGCACTGCATTATAAAGGGTGCAAGGAAATGAGAAAAAATTCTACCTTTGGTTTATGTGTGCCTTATACACTTTATCCCAACCTGGGAAGACTAACAGGGCAACAACTGATAATCTATGTGAAATTATGACATATGGAGAGAATGACAATTCTGAATGGCTACTGATAGTTGTTGAAGTAAAGAAAAGAAAATGATCATTTACATCTAAGTTAGCCAACTCCTGTGCTCTACTGAAAACACAGAGGATTAATAAATAACTGAAATAAATTAGAGGATATTAAAAACCAAAGATGTAATTTAGGGCTGGAGCGATAGTTCAGTGGGTAGGGCGTTTGCCTTGCATGCGGCCGACCCGGGTTCAATTCCCAGCATCCCATATGGTCCTCTGAGCACCACCAGGAGTAATTCCTGAGTCCAGAGCCAGGAATAACCCCTGTGCATCACCAGATGTGACCCAAAAAGCAAAAAAAAAAAAAAAAGGATGTAATTCAAATCAGTATTATAAAAACTATGTATTTATAAACATACCATTATATTTTCAAAATGGAATAAAAAGAAAAAGAATTACCAATTTTCAAAATGTTTCAGGTAGTACTGTGAAACCAGAGTAAGGTCAGTGAGGGATTTCATCTACTAACATGTATCACATATTTTGAATAGTCTGAGAATAAGTTTTTACTATGGTAAAATATAATCCTCAGCCACCCAACTCGGGTGCTTGTAGGGAATGAGTACACCCTTAGGGGAGAGATGGGTTACAGATGATTAAAGTCAGGACACTGATTGATTTCTGTTTCCTTCTAATGCACTTGACCTTTTTACTATGCTCACTTGTTTTGTTAAATAAAATAACAAAAAATATATAATTGTTTGATCTGGGAAGTTAGCTCAGGGCTCAGGAGAGAATACCTTGCATGCTCAAGGTCCCAAGTTCAATACTCAATACCACATATGTCCAGTGCTAACAGGGGAAGCTCTGGAGGCCCCCAATCATGGCCATATGTGATCCTGTAGTCCCAGCCCCACTGGATCCAAGGAGCAAGCAGCACTGTATTGCTGGGGCCCAGTGGGCAAGGTCTCACTGAGAGTGTCCCCCTGCTCCCCTCGGCATTGTGTGAACATCCCATCAAAATAATCTACTATTCACTGGGGCATATCTTGTTGTGAAATAAAATCTTAAGTAAAAAAAAAGAGATATTAAATTATTTCTAGAAAAGTAAAAGGTATGCCTCCTAGTGTTCATTAGCAGAAATTGTAACTTGAATGTTTTCAGAAGTTGATGCATTGATCTATATGGTAAATGTTTCAAGTTACATTATTTTTAAGCACAGGGTATTTAAACAAACATTCTTGCTTGTAAATAAGACCACAATGACATTAAGTTAACACATTTCTTTAGCTTGTCATGAGTCATCACAGACTTGGGAATTTTTTAATATAGAAAATTGAGGTTGGAAATGGATAAAATAGGTTCATAGCATTAAATCAACTTTCCAAAGAACTAGAAGGATGTAGAAATAACTACAGCATTCATGGCTTACAAAAATTCCTCCATTTCCCCCCATTCGACTTTATTAAACAACAAAAGACCTCAACATGCAAAAGATCAGAAAGTTCTATATTAAGAAGGCACAAATTGTACCTCATGGTGTTTCACTAATAAAAAAAAAGAAGGCACAAATTAGTATTTTTTATTGGCCTAAAGTTTATGTGGGACTAATATCTATTTCTGAGTGAGCTAAATTTAGTTTAACACACATAGGAAACCTTAGTTTTTCTTTTGTTCCAGTTTTGAAGTTTCTTTCCACAACTGAGAATGTTGTAGGTAGATCTAGAAGCTTTCTGTGCCTTTCAGGGAGGTAGAAGCTTCCATGTCACATCCAGTTAAATGCTCACTAGTTCACCAGTTCATGCTAAAACACTGGCTCAATATCTCCAACAAGAAAAGAGTTATGCTATGTTTCAGGACTGCTCAGGCCCTGTCATGGACCTTTTAAACAATTCTACCATTTTCCCGGGCATAGGAAAGTTGGTTTAAGACAGAATATGACAGTCTTGCCTTGTTGCTGCGATAGTCACTAGCTGACCAGCATCCCACCATGAAGGCGGACAATTAAAGGCTTGATATTTCAGGAAACTTATATGGGTGCTCCTTAAAGAGTTCAGAATTCCACTCTCACCGTTCCACTATACAGACAAGAAACTCTCTGAATGTCCTTTTCAAGTCTCTCATCCTCACAATCTACCCTGCTGATTATCCTTAAAATGTCTGGTATGTGGCAATTCTTTGGGGATGGCCTTTCCTAACTAGGATATGATGAATCTCCAGAGCCAACCTGAATCCAATGTATAAAATAAATTAACTGTCACTCAAATCCCTATCTGTGGTTCAGACTGAGAAAACTGATCTATTTTCCACAAGGAAACCACACACTCTTATCACTGTCACCCCAAATGTGCCCCAAAAGTCTTCTACACTTTCTTATCAATATCAATCACAGAAAACTACATTCCAGATTTTCTTTCCAGGAGAGAAGAAAGTACAGACCCTGTGTTCAAATTCCAAGGTGTGTATGCTCATGGAACTACCCTTTGAAAACCTGCAAATCCCTCCCCTTCAACATGCATGCAGTTTATGTGTGTGTAAACAGTTGTGTGTGCATGTATGTGTGTGTTTGTGTGGGTATATATGTATGGAGAGTATTCAGAAAATTCCTTTGGACATTATATAAGTGCCTTCTCTATTTAGATAAAAATATCTGTCTCCAAAAATCTATATAAAATTTGTTATAGCCTCAAAATCAATTATCTAGTATTTGCTATATTATTTCCAAGGCTCCTTTTATTGTTACATGCATACATAGCTTTTTTGCTGTCATGTAAATCGCTTGCAACTGTCAATGAGATACATAAGCATTCTCTTAAAAGTCTTGGACTAGAATGATGAGGAAACTAAAACAGTGCTACAAACCTGACTCGGGATAGGCACCATCTCTACTTTGTATCTGACTCCATCTTTGACCACAAGCTGCCTCTCTGCATTTTCAGTAGTTGACAGCTGATCCTTTTGATTGGATGAGATTAGAAATCCAACAGCCACATCTCCAAATGTCCCAGCATGCCGGGTCACGTTAATTTGGATGGATCTACTAAGGTTTTGCGCAATAAGTATTGACTGGTTATCTGAATACAGAGCAAACACTCCATGTGGGTCATCGTTTGCAGAAACAGAGAAGCTAGTGATGCATTTTTCTGGATCCAGTTCTGCTCCTCCATCTACAGAAGTAAGCTGGATCATATAATCTTCTTCTATCTCAGGTGTATCATCTGGTAGCAGGTGAACATCAAAGCTTGCCTCACTCTCTCCATCAGAAAAAGTAAAAAATCCTTTCGTAGAGAGAAAATCTCCGGTAATGTCAAACTCACTACTTAGTTCCCAGTAGACCTAAGATAGAAAAGGGGAAAAGTCCAAGTTATTTAATTCTGTACAGTGAATGAAAAATCCTTTGTTAGTTTTTCTTCACCCAAAAAAAGAATGTAATTGTGCATATTATATTCAAAGTCAACCACTTTAAGTGCTTAGTTAATATAGAAAATACAGTAACTTAAATCATTATATGCAACTTGCAGGATTATAGATTAAAAATCTATTTTTCACATGATTAAAGAATAACATTTTAAATACTTATAGAGAAGCAAACTAATGTTAAAACACCATTTTCAAAATACATAGGATAATGAAACATAGTGTCTGAAAATCAAAAAATAAGTATATTATCTGACTAAAATAGGATTTGGTTTTGACTTTTTTCCTATAGGTAGGGGTGGGCAGGTGTGTCACACCTGGCAGTGCTCAGGGGGCTTACTCCTGACTCTGCACCCAGGGTTCACTTCTGGAGGGCTCAGGAGGCCATATGTGATACCAAGGATTCAAATTCAGGCTAGCCACATGCAAAGCAAGTGCCTTACTGCCTTTACCATCTTTCTGACTTCCTGTTTTTGTTTTAAATTAAGAAGAAATAACTAGGGCCACAGAAATGATACAGAGAGCCCTTGCCTTGCATGTGGCCAATCCTACATCAGTCCCAGTATTTTATATGGTTCCTGACTGTTAGTACTCATCAAAACTTCTAGAAGTCAGAGTAGCAAGACTGTGTGTGGCCCAACCCTCCTCCCCGCAAAAAAAAAAAAAGAAAGAAATATCTGTAAATTTTGAGAATGAAAAATTTTTTAATATTTTTTTTCAGCACACAAATACTTTGATGTACTCTATCTGGGTGAAGAGTATCTGGTCTACAGGTCATATGAGGCCTGCAAAATTCTGTGATCTGGCCCCGGTGTGTGATAGGAAAGACATCTCATCAGCTACTCAGTTCACCTGTCCATATTATATGGCCGAAGAATGATGCTATAAATATCCAAATGGTCCTTTCTCCATTCCTGTTTAAACAAATATCTTAATGATCTACTTACAAGAACACCCCCTAAAGTTGTCAATAAATACCCAAATACAACCTCTTAGAATACAAATTATATTAAAAAGCAAAACCTTGATGAATATTTAAAAATTAACCAAAAATAAAATCACTGATAGGTTTAAGTAGAAAAAGATTCATGTTACACTAAGTAAGAAGATTCAAAGTATTTTCAGTCATACTCTTCATGATTAAGTGTGAGGAAATTTCTTTTAATAATTTGCAACTGACTTTATTTAGAAAGAAGACAAAGACTGATGAGTCGTGGGAAAGTCCAAAGATGCTTCTATGAATATTCCCTAAAAAGTCATGACTCTTTAAGTTTATAAGAGACTGGAACAGTTTTTCTCTTCTTCCCAACTGCAACTGTTAGAAAAATGTATTCCTCCACTTCAGTTAATTTAAAATGATTCCTTACATGGATGAGTGTGTTTGTGTGTTTATGTAGTGAACTATTACAGAACTTTTTACAAAATATAACCCCAAAAAATGAGGTGTTCTATTACAATGTGAATGAAGCCAAAAGCTGTCATGTTTTGTGAAATACAGGAAGACAAATAGCAGATAAACTCGCTCATATGCAGTATAAACAGGGAACACAAGGAAGGGAACAGGCACTAATGACATTCCTGGACTTGAACTAAAATATTGAAGTTACCAAGCAGTGGGAGAATGGAGTTTGGTAAGGGGGTAGGGTGGGGTGAGGGAGCTAGAACTGACATCAGGACAGTAGGTGTGGGGCACTTTGGCTGTGGCAAAAATGCAGAAACATTGTACATCAAAAGCACAAATGTTGGGGCTGGAGTGATAGCACAGCGGGTAGAGCCTTGCGCATGGCTGACTTGGGTTCAATTCCCAGCATTCCATATGGTTCCCCGAGCACTGCCAGGAATAATTCCTGAACGCAGAGCCAGAAGTAACCCTTGTGCATTGCCAAGTGTGACTCCCCCCCCCAAAAAAAAACAAAAGCACAAATTTTAACACTATTACAACAATGCTACTTCAACAGTAACAATAATAATAGTAGTAGTAAATTATACCGTAATCTCCCCAAAAATACCCTTCACTCTTTGGACAGAGAAAATAATGATTAGAGGTCCTTCCAAAGCTGATGGCTCCAAATACGTTTTCTGGGACAAAGAGTCAGGAGCAAACTGAACCACTCCATTTGGATCACCAAACTTTTGTACCTAAAGATAGAAACAGAAAGCTAAATGAATGAGAGATATAACATGTATGCATACAACTCTAGTTCCCAACACACTGATACACAGATAAGCTGAGGAAGTAAAAGATAATAGAAAGTATACTTCAATAAATATACTCTACCTAGCTACCTGACTTTATCTTTTGACCGTTTTGGTTTGAGGTCCACATCTGGCAGAGCTCAGGGATTACTCCTGCCTCAGTGCTCAGGGATCATATATAGTGTTGGGGATTGAACCTAGTTAGCCACGTACAAAGTGAAAGCCTTACCCACTATTCTATCTCTCCAGTCATAGTTATGTTACTTTCAAAACACCTTCCTTTGCCATATTTATTTTTATCAAAAACAAGGGCATGCTTAATCTCCAAGTAGAACAGCAAAATGGCCTGAAGCTAAGCTGAAATTCGTAGAATCCCTAAAGGATTGTCTGAATTTAGCTCTGCTTTCTTCGTGTTTCATTTCATTTAATCACTTAACACTAACTTCTTCCTACTCATAATATAATGTGGAAGAACACAAAAGTACCATAATGGATAACATTTGTGTGTATCTACCTGGCATGCTATAGTCCAGCTGTTCAAACACTGAGCTTGATTTTTTATGACTATATTTCATATATTTTCAGAATAGGTAATGAATGTTGATACCTAAAGAGTAAGGACATACTATAGTGGAAATAGTATATTCCATTAGAGAAATTTGATAAGAATGTTAAATTAAATTAAATTACAGAACTACTCTAATTTGCCTTGCACATGGCTGACCTGGGTTCGATTCCTCCATCCCTGTCAGAGAGCCTGGCAATCTACCAAGAGTAATCTACTGCACAGCAGAGCCTGGAAAGCCCCCTGTGGAGTATTCGATATGCCAAAAACAGTAACAATAAGTTTCACTTAGTGTTCCTGGAGCGAGCAGACACCATTAGGCTACAATAGCATGCGACAATGATGAGTGGAGATGTTACTGGTGACCACTTGAGCAAATCAATGAACAATGGGGACAACAGTGTTACAGTGCATATTTCATAAGTGTAATCAATATTTAACAGAAAGAAGATTATTCACAAAAAATGTGGTAAGCCTCATTAAAACTGTTGGAAGAACTTAGACAAAAAACTGAAGTTTCCTAGAGAAGAAATCCTGCCTCAGGACTCCAACTTGGGAATCAGCTTGAGTTTCCAAGTGCTGGCCTGCTCTATAAACTGAAACTCAAGACTTCAAGTCTGTCCTTCTTTAAATACCACTCAGCCCCACAATCAGGTGAGGGGTGAGCCAATTCCTTCAACCTACTTTCTCCGTCTCTACATAAGTTTCTGACTCTTCCTTCCCTGGATTCCTCCCCGGTAATTTTTGGAACAAATAGACCTGGAGGGTCATATCAAACATGTTGAATTCGGGTCCAGCCTGTTGCTTAGCTAAGGGTTTTTATTTTTAAATTTAGTAGTTTAAAAAATTACTAATTAACACATTATGTTATAAACTAACATAATAATTACAAAACTTTGCCTATTAAAATCATTATGACTTATATTGGTTTTATACCCTTCAATGCAACATAAGCCAGTAGGAGTTAACAGATATAAATGTAGCTTTTTTTGACTCATTGATTAAATCCAAAATGTTGCAGAAAAGTAAAGTAAACTTACTATTAATTTAACATCTTTAGCTCTTGGGTCTAGTTTAGCTTCTCCTTTCACAAGGTGAAGTTTAATGATGAAAGTCTCTTCCACTTCCACCTCTTCATGAGCATAGATGGTCAGAACTATGGTTCTGACTCCACCTTCCCCCTCTCCAAAGTAGAAGGACCCACTCACTGGGTCGGCAATGTCCCTGTTGTGTGGTGGCAAAACTTCCTGAGAATTAGGTCCTTCTATCTCCCAATTCACCTATGGGATGTTAGGTTTTTAAGAGAGATATCAGTCAAAAAGAATTATTTTGCAAACTGTGATTTTAGAAATATATAGACATACATGAAGATTACTCTGATGCTCTGCAAATTCCCATTTATTCTTTACAATAACATTTGTATTACAAGTTTGTAATGTATATGATCTATACATACCTATAGAATTTTCATTTTTCAAGGATAACAATGTTATCCAGAGAGATCTTTCAATTGGTTGAGTGCCTGCTTTGCATGCTGGGGGCCAGAGTCTGATCCCCGGTACCATCTGATCTCTGAAGCATAGCTGGCAGTAATCCCCACCACAGCCCAAAGCCAGAAGTAGTCCCTTAACACTGCAAGGTGTGGCCCCATCCAAAAAAAAAAAGAGCAAAGGATAGCAATGTCTAACATAAGAAACAAATTCTAAATTGTCTGTATATCAGACATTGCCTTACAGTTTTTGCACAGCCCTATGAATAAAAACCTACTTGAATAAGACAGTGAATGTCTATGGCATTTGCAATCTCTTCCACATACACTTAACAAATTGTAGACGTAAAGCAAATGCACCCGTAGCACTGTAGCACTGTCCTCCCATTGTTCTTCGATTTGCATGAGTGGGCACCAGTAACGTCTCCATTGTGAGACTTGTTGTTACTGTTTTTTGGCATATTGAATATGCCACGGGGAGCTTGCCAGACTCTGCTGTGCAGGCAGGATACTCTCGGTACCTTGCTGGGCTCTCTGAGAGAGATGGAAGAAAAGAATCCAGGTCAGCCACGTGCAAGGCAAATACCCTACCCGCTATGCTATCGCTCCAGCCCAAAGCAAATGAAAACTGGGAAATTATTTTAACTGTAAAACATTTTTAATATTATAATTTATGCATATTTCACATTTCTATAAATTTTACATTCCCTACTTTTCATATACATAAAAAAAATCAGCCACTCTTCAAAAATTCTTAAAATTTTACTTGTCATCATTTAGGAAGTTACGTTAGAATTAAAATTTATGCTGTTGATATACAAACTTATTATCTACCCTCACCCACAAAAGTGCCCACAATACCCCACTCTGTCTTTTTTTTTTATATAATTTATTTATTTATTGAATCACTGTGGGAAAAGTTACAGAGCTTTCAGGTTTAGGTCTCAGTCATGTAAATATCAAACACATTTCCCTTTACCAATACTTATTTTTAACCCCGAACCCCAATAGACCCCCACCTCCCACCCCTCCCAATTCTTGTGAGGCAGATGCCCACTCTGTCTTTACATCTCTTCTAGTTTGTCCTTTTTGCCACTCTTATCCAACATCCCCCATTCAAAATTAGTTATATATTCCAGTTTCAAGGGCCAGTCATTATTCAGTACTGTCTACGTTCTTATTTTGACATTCCAAACTCATGCTTCCCTGATTTTACACAGAAGTAAAACCCCTAGTGTTATCAGATCACTTCCTTTTATTTTTAATTGTTCCAGAATTTCGGTGAGAGTAGACACCAGCTCTATCTTGTTCACTAATTCTCAGTGTTCAGAACAGGGCATGGCACATGAAAAGCTTCCAATTAACACTTGTTGAGAGGCTGAGGAGATAACTCAAAGGGCTGGAGCACGTGCTTCACCAAAGAGAATCCGAGTTCACTGTATGTTACTGTATGGTCCCCGAGCACCAAGTATGACTCAAGGGGCTCCCAGAACCACTTTGCATCACCAGCCCGAACTGACAGGCACAAGCACCATCCTTGAACCCCTGTGCACAGTTTGGAAGACCTCCTTCCTAAATACGGTAGGGTTTGTGATGGCAGAACACTAGATGAAGGACAACCATGCGAGCAAGCAGGGTTCCACAAAGGATTCAGCACCATCGACCATATCCACACGATAACCAAGCTCATTGAGGTTTCTCGGGAGTTCAAGATGCCGCTCTGTTTAACGTTCATTGATTTAAAAAAGGCCTTTGATTCTGTTGAGATGGAAGCGGTCATTGAAGCCCTAGCCAATCAGGGCATTCAAGCCCAATACATCAGGATCCTCCGTGAGCTGTATTGCGGATTCACTACCAGGATCTCACCATTCTACAAAGAAGTGATCGTTGATGTCAAGAGAGGGGTGCGGCAGGGTGATACCATTTCACCGAAACTCTTCAGTGCCACCCTCGAGAACATCATGCGACGACTGGAATGGGAAGGAATGGGAGTGAAGATAGATGGTCGGCAACTACACCACCTCCGCTTTGCTGATGACATTGTTTTAATAACACCAAACATCAGCCAAGCGGCACAAATGCTGGCCGACTTTGACCGTGAGTGTGGAAAGGTAGGACTACAGCTGAATCTCACGAAGACAATGTTTATGAGAAACAGCCTTGTTCCTGACGCCCCATTCGCTCTCAATGGAACGACCATCTCCGAATGCAACAGCTATGTGTACCTAGGTCGAGAGGTCAACATGACAAATGACCTGGCACCCGAGCTGCGCAGGAGGAAGAGAGCGGCTTGGAACGCCTTCAAGAACGTCGAAGAAATAGCTAAGAGGACGAAGAACCTCCGGCTCCGGGCACATCTCTTTGATTCCACTGTTCTTCCTGCATTAACATATGCCTCAGAGACCTGGGCCCTACGCAAACAGGATGAGAACACTATTCAGGTCTCCCAAAGAAGGATTGAAAGAGCTATGCTTGGAATATCACATTTCACTCAAATGAGAGAACGAATCCAGAGTTCTGACATCCGTCGACGATCAAGGATTAGGGACGCTGTCTCATTTGCCAAGGTGTCAAAAATCAGATGGGCTGGTCACGTAATGAGATTTAAAGACGACCGTTGGACTAGAGCTGTTACTGATTGGATTCCACGGGATGTCAAAAGACCGTGTGGCCGCCCACCTACCAGATGGTCAGACTTCTTCGTCAAGATCATGAACGATCGGTTTGAGGCCCTTCACGTTCCCGGAGCGAACAGATGCCATTGGGCTACACTAGCACGCGACAGGGACAAATGGAGATGTTACTGGCACCCACTCGAGCAAATCGACGACTAACGGGAAGTTAAGTGATTAAGTGATTAAGTGATCATGATCCATTATTTAATTTTTAACTTGCTTGATGGAGTTCCAAGAGAAAGGCTGTATTCTTCACAGATTTCTTTTTTACATCACAGGATTTGGAATTTACTTCCTATCTTTATTGGTAATCAATAAATATTATTTGATTGTCAAAAAGGAATCTGGAGAATAGGAAAATCCAAAACTATACTTAAATCTAACAAAAAGTACCTGAGTCTCTCCCAGGAGTCCTCCAGTCCGTTCCAGAACCAAGGATATAGTCATTGTGGAATTGGGATTAGGAACAGAAATTCTGCTTTGATTGAGAAATCGGACCACGCCAGAGGGAGAATCACTCTTGGCGATTGTGATTCTGCTCACAAGGTGGCGCCCGAGGATCGCTCCACCAGCAGCTCCAACCAGCACAACTTCAATGGGCTCAGCAAATTCACTGCAGGGCAAGAAGAAACCATTCTGAGCCTAACATATTGAACTGCTTCTGAAATCCAAATAACTAGTCATTTCCCAAATTGTTCATGCATATTCAAGTTAAAGTATCACAGCAAGTGGTAAGAATAGGGTGTTCAGCTAAAGGCATGAATGAACAACTATATCATGTAACCTGCAGTAGTTACTAGTCTTTCTCCCTCCTCCTGTTTAATTGCCAATATGCTAAGGAAAGAGATTGTGAATGTTTCTACATTCTTATTAGACTTTTTGAATCTAGAGAACAAAAAAATGTTTCCTCTATTTGAGAAACAATGGCACATACATCACAGTGGGTATTCCAGTAACCTTTTCCCTATCAAAATTCCAATATGCCCAAAACGTCCTACTTATTTCCTCATAGGCACATGTATTCAAGTATACTTGTCTTTACTGAGCTTTTTAAACACTCTGTTCTTTACAGGTGCTAACCCTGTATTGAGCACATCAGTCAATACCAGTCTGTCACTTCATACTTAGATCTGCGGCAGATTTACTTTAGCAGATATACCATGATTGATTCATAATGCTGTTGCACACTTAACTGACTATACTTCAGGTAGGTGTTATTAGATTTGGTCAATGGTGGACAACATATGTAATGGTGGTTCCAATAGCTGTCTAATTCCATAGATGGAATAAGCCCTCTAGGTTCATGTAACACGTAACATTCAGATAAGGATTAAATCACTTATGGATGCTTGTCTCAGAACATATACATTGCTAAGTGATATACGATTGTATAATACAGATGTAACTTTGAGGTTCCTTGGGAAAACAAAAAATTGCATGATTACAATGGACTGGAATCAAACCCAGATTACCTCCAAGATTTACCTGCAATCTAAAATTTTATTAGCAATTTTTTTTATATCTTAGGATTGAAACTCAATGTTTATGCTTTATATGTATCAACAACACTGGCAACATCATTAAATTACCTTTCGTCATCATCAACAATGGAGACATTTATATAACTTAGGTTCTGGCCATGCTGAAAGGTGACTGAACTACCATGCAGTACATAATCAACACCTCCAGGAACTGCAGAGGAACTCTGAGAGATGAAATCAGCTGTCACCAAGCCATAAGTACCATGAAGCCTAAGCACAGGAATCATGATCATCCCGACATCTTCCTCCACTGTTGGAGGAAGAAATGAAGTCATTTAGTGTAATGAAACAATTGATGAGGTGAACATAATAGCATCATGGGAAAATTTCTGTTAACAAAGAAAGATATATTCTTCTCAACTGCAGATGGGAATATTGTCAAGGATAAATGATACATTGGGCCAAAAAAGAAGTCTTAAAATATTTCCAAAGCTTGAAATCATAACAAATTTCATTCCCGCCACAATGATATGAGACTAGACAAGTAACAAAAAGAAAAGAGAAAAACCGAAAAGTTACAGAGATTAAACAACAAGCTTTGGAATAGCTTTTGGATTGATAATGAAATCAAAAGAAAAATTAAAAACATATCTTAGAAACAAACAGATAAGCTATCAGACTCCAGGACTTATCATATGGTTATTGCAACAAAAGCAATAATAAGAAGGATGTTCCAGGCCAGGGAGATAGCACATGGGTTAAAGATACCTGGTATGCATCTGACCCAGTACCTTTCCTGACACCAAATTGTTCTGACATCATTACTGGATGTCACCCTGGAGGCCCCTGAGGAGCACTGGGTGTGTCTCTGCTTTCTCCCAAGTACAGCTGGAGTGACTTTGGGGGTCTCCAGCCCCTTGGCGTCCACATGGCACTGCTTCCACAAGACCTTCCATTGAGCCGCCAGCAGCCTCACATGCTGGGCATCACAGGAGTGGACTTGCATCCCCTGAGCACTGCCTGAGAATCGTGCTCAAAGGGAAGAAGGAAGTTTACCATTATATAGGACTGCACCCAGAAACAAAAGTGTCAAGTAATTTATTCTTACAGATGAGGAAACTAGAAAAGGAATGCCAAGCAAAACCAAGAGTCAGAGGAAGGAAGGAACTAATGAAAAGTACAGGGGAAATAAATTCAAAATAGGTTTATAACCTCAATATTAAATCCAAGTTCAAAATCTATGTAGAGAAAAACAGATATAACCCACCACGATATTGATCTGACGTGTCCTCAAAGATTTAAGTCATTAACAAAGCAAATGAGCAAAAACAAACAAAAGGGTTTTTTTAGCAAACTAAATCATTTCTGCACTGTGAAAGAAGTAAAGCCACCTCAGGCCAGAGCAATAGTATAACGTGTAGGCCTTGCACACGGCTGATCCGAGTTCAATCCCCGACATCCCATATGGTCCCCCAAGCACCGCCAGGAGTAATTCCTGAGTGCAGAACCAGGAGTAACTCCTGAGAATCGCTGGGTGTGACCCAAAAAGCAAAAAAAAAATTAAAAACTAAAGTAAAGCCACCCTGCCAAATGGGACAAAATATTTTCATAACTTACAACTGACAAAGGGACATCTACCATACATGAAGCACTTACAAAACTCAACAACAAAACAAACATGGCGATAGATGCTGAAGAGACACCCACCCAAAGAAAATATACAGGTGGCCAGCAGGCATATAAGAAATGCTCAACATCATTGATTATCAGACAAATACAAATGAGAAGTACAATGAGAAATTACTCATGTCAGACAGAATAACCCTATATTAGAAAGGGGCTGGAGGGGGACTGTATCTTAGATGCCCTCCAAGAACCACTGTGTGTGGCTCTGGAAGTAGTCTCAGAGCATAATTTGGGAGGACACAACAAAAATAAACGTCTGGAGCAACCAGTGCTGGTGAGGATGTGGAGACAAAGGAGCTCGCATGAATTGTTGCTTGGAATGTAAATCAGTCCAGCCTCCATGAAAAACAATAGAGAGATTCCTCAAAAATTAAAAGTAGACTACCATCTTATCTGGAAATTCCATTCCTATATTTCTATACAAAAGTTATATGCACATCTGCATTCATTGCAGCATTCATTATAATAGCTAAGCTATTGAAACAACCCAAATGTGAGGAGTGACCATAGATGTTAGAGATCCATAATTAAATCCTATTCAGCTATTAAGATAAAATCTTGCCATGAACTACATGAATGTAACTGAAATAGGTTATTATAAGCAAATAAGTCCAAAGGAGAAAAAGGAATGCTAGAGGATCACACTTGGATGTAGAGTGTTTAAAAAGTGCAAAAATTAGGAGAACTGTCAGATTCTGCCAAAAGAAATGAGTTTGCCAACAGAAAAGGTAAGGGTAGGAAACATAGACAAGAAGGGGACTAGAGAGTCCTTAAAATATGTAAATTCCATATTACATAGCAATAACACAACTATAAATATATGAAAACACTAGCTTGAAATGATATTTGCACCTCTATGATCATAACAGGTCTATCAGAATAGCCAAAACAAGGAATCAACCAAATGGCCATCCACAGATGACCTGACATAGAACCTGTGGATATCTAAAATCAACAGAATATGACTCTTGTCGTTAAAGAAAAAGATGAAGTCATGGAAATGAGTATAAAAATGATGCATAAGAATCTTGAGGTGATTATGCAAAATAAAAGAGAATTTTATTATGTGAAAAAATATACACATATAGGTTTTATTTATATGTGAACAATGAATAACGAAGCTAACTTAAAAAATAAAAAATACTCGGCTCTCCAGCACGGCCACAGCCCCAGAAGCACAATGACCTAATGCAGAACCCAGCAGCTTGGAGCAGAAAAGTGAAAGGACTATGCGTTAATCCAGGCAATCATTTCTGCCCAGAGGGGAAAGGGTGTTGCTCCCTTCCGCCCTCCTCCCTCTGGAAAGAAAGATGGCGGCCACATGGGAGCCTTGTGGACAGCAGGTATGAGCCGGGGGTGTGGGGGCGACTAAAACCTCATGGGAAGGGGGGCGTTCCGGTCCATAACCTTCACACCCTACCGAGGTCACCAGTTGCCCCCCGCGAGCGGCTCTCCAGCACGGCCACGGCCCCAGAAGCACAAGGACTTAATGCAGAACCCAGCAGCTTGGAGCAGAAAAGTGAACGGACTATGCATTGATCCAGGCCATCAAGTCTGCCGGAGGGGAAAGGGTGTTGCCCCATTCGCCCTCTCCTCTCTGGAAAGAAAGATGGCGGCCACATGGGAGCCTTGTGGACAGCAGGTATGAGCCGGGGGTGTGGGGGCGACTAAAACCTCATGGGAAGGGGGGCGTTCCGGTCCATAACCTTCACACCCTACCGAGGTCACCAGTTGCCCCCCGCGAGCGGCTCTCCAGCACGGCCACGGCCCCAGAAGCACAAGGACTTAATGCAGAACCCAGCAGCTTGGAGCAGAAAAGTGAACGGACTATGCATTGATCCAGGCCATCAAGTCTGCCGGAGGGGAAAGGGTGTTGCCCCATTCGCCCTCTCCTCTCTGGAAAGAAAGATGGCGGCCACATGGGAGCCTTGTGGACAGCAGGTATGAGCCGGGAGTGTGGGGGCGACTAAAACCTCATGGGAAGGGGGGCGTTTCGCTCCGCCCTTCACGCCCTACCGAGGCCACCGGTTGCCCCCCGCAAGCGGCTCTCCAGCACGGCCAGGACTCCAGAACACAGAAACCAATTTCTTAACTATCTGACTTTCAGTAGAAATACTTCCAGGGTCAATAGGTAAAAGAGCAGAAATCCAAAACCAACATTTAATTCTTGAACCCAGCCATAGAAAGCAAATCACTTCACAATGCTTTTTCAGCATGTCTGATTTGGGGGGGGGGGGTAAACTCTAAATAATAGTGGTGAATCTTTTATTGAAACAATGAATCTAATCAAAGCAGATAGAGTGTTAACTAGAATTCATCTGCTTCACAGGGACGGGGAGGGGTGGGGGGTGGGGTTTTATTGGGGTTCTTCATGGTAAAAAATAAGTATTGGTAAAGGGAAATGTGTTTGATATTTGCATGACTGAGACATAAACCTGAAAGCTTTGTAACCTTTCCCACAGTGATTCAATAAATAAATTTAAAAAAAATACTATATGCTCAGTGTAAACCAAGCTAGTTATCCTAGAGAATGGAAAAGGAGATGAAGGTATTGGTGGAGGGCATCTTTTGGGAGAGGTGGGGGCACAGGAACTTTTTAGTTACAGAGGATGAAGCTAAACTCTTGAGTTCCCATAATGTTGTAAACAATCATAAATCAATAAAAGCAAATAAAATCAACTTAAGAAACTTTTAAAATATTTTCCCAGGTTTTTTATTTATTTCTTAGTGCTCATCTACTTATTAATCAAGCTTTTTTTAAAAAGTGCATTAAAACTGTTTATGTTATTTTTTTAAATACTCTGAATACATATGAGATGGAATTGTTTATATATGCAATGTTTAAGTCTACAAATTGCCCATCTGGTATTTATGGAAAATATCATGACTTTTTAAGGTGAATTACAGTTGTCACAAGTTGGAATTAATGAGCATTATGTGAGAATTTAAATGCTCTATTAAATCATTAGCATTGGTATTTTTCTCAGTGTGCTACGATACAAATAAATAATTCTTGATTTATTGATCATATTAAATGAAAGTGAAAATCACTTAAGTATGTGTTCTAAAGAGAAAGCATCTGTATTTCAGTTGAAGCAAAGTAATAAAAATAAACAAAATTTGTATTATTTATATTAAATCTAGAAATACAATTCTAGTTCTTATGTTTTTAAATCTAGATATATAATTATATTCTTCTTATATTCCTACGAAATCTACTAATGATCTGAAAATGTGTACTTCTATGGATTTCAATTTATTCTTCAAGTTCTTTACAAAATGTATTTCTTCTTAAATGATGCTAACCTCTCTGTATTAAAATGTTTAATAGAGTTTACATTAACTATAGCTAAATAATACTGTACTTAAATAAGAATCATAAATATGAGACTAAAATCATTCCAGATATGGTGACCCAAACAGAAAGCAGAAACAGAAACAAAATTCCAGTTCTCATTTACTTCTGGTGAAAAGAATGAAATATGGCTCAATGCAGTTGTCGAATAATGTTCTAGAAACAGACTTCCATAACTTAATACATTAAGTCAATAAAAAGCAACTCCTAACATGACTATTATTGTTGTTATGTTTTTTTGGGTCACACCTGGCTGTACTTTGAGCCTATTCCTGCTCAGAGATTATTGCTGCTGGGGCTCAGGGGACCACATGTGGTGTTGGGAATAGAAGCAGGGTAGGCCACAGGCAATGCATACACCTCAACCTTAACCTTTGTACTCTGACTCCAGCAAACATCTATTAGATTTATTCACTTTAAGGTGTGAAATGATTTTTTTTTACAAACTTAAAACAACTAGATAACCAAAGAATTTTAAAAAGGCTGGTGAATTATTTTCACAGAGAAGATAACATGCTTATTTTTTTATTTACGTTTTTTGTTTGTTTGGGGGGCCACATCCAGCAGTCTGTAGGCCTCACTTCTGGCTCTGTGCTCAGGGGTCACTCCTAGCAGGGCTCAAGGGACCATATGTGGTGCTGGGGATTGAAGAAAGATCTGACAACATGCCTAGGAGGTGCCCTGCTCTCTGTACTACACTCCAGCCCCCATATTTTTATTTTTAAAGATATATGCAACATACGCCTTTAGATAAGATCAGAGAAGCAGCAACTCAAGGGAGAGAATCCATGAGAGGAGTATTCATGATCTTAGGCTGGGATTAAAGACCTGTTTTGTGAAAAGATGATCAGGAATAGAGACACCACCTACACACAGTCCAATAAATCATTCATTACAAAGCTGAATCATTCAAAAGTGAATATTCATTGATTTTAATCTATATTATTTTAAATTTTCTCTTTCCTAACTATTCCCTTTTGTCACATGCAAGTTCCAAGACAGCCCTAAGTTAACTCAAAATATATACTTAAAGATAAATTTATACAAAAATGTATATAAAAGCATACAAACCACCTTCCCACCAAACTAAGAAAATTTACATAAAGGACATTCAAACTGAAAATATGGTTATATGCTCGTATTAAGAAAGTAGAAAGTGGTAATTAGCAAACCTACCTTCAAAGGCAGTATACCTTGAGTCAAACTCAATGATTCCTTCAGCATTATCATTTCTCATTATGATGATTCGGACAGTGGAGATATTTCCTATTTCAGGAGGCTGATCCACCTGAAGTCCATTTTCTTGGATCATAAAATCATACCCTCTTCCAAAGTCATGAAAAAGAAAAGAAAAAAGTCTATAATTGCTTCGACCGAATTGAAGAGTACTCTTTTTAAAGTTCCCCAATACTAGAATACCTACTTCCCCTCCCCCCCCCATGATGCTTGAGACAGATTTTGATGACGTTCCCAATTACCACTGTCTGCATAAAACCAAAATAATATAAAACTGTTGAACTTGGGCCATGGGCAGAAAATAAAATTGTTAGAAAATTGGGGGAGTGGAGTAAAATGCATCTTGGGAACTAGGAATACTGACAAACACACTTAATATAAATGGACCAACAAAAGGAATGCAATGCACACAAAATTAGGGTGCCTGCTGCACCTGAGACCATCCTGAAAGGATGCTTTAAAGCAATAATGATGCTCATTCCACTAAAGAAGCTTCAGGCTAAACCTTCAAGATTCCAGAAAATACCATAGCTGCTGTGAACACCAATCATTATAAGTGGCTCCATTCTTTGTCCAATGACATATTTTTGCTAAGAAAGCTTCTATTTTTTGTTAGATTGATACATGCTCATCAAAGAAAACTCTTGAGTTCCAGGTTTCTTTAATTTTTTAAACAAGAAGGTGAGAGCAAAAGGCATTTTAGTCCTTCCTTCAACTTCCAAATTCTATTTACCTTTGTATTTTTAGCCTATCTGGTTTTGAAAGATGAAATGTTAGAAGCGACAAGAACCTTCATAAGTAGTGTGAGATGAATTGCAAACTGGCTAATTAAAATAACTGAATAGCAAAGCAGTAATTTTTACAGCTACCAAGCAACAATGGGTCTAAACACCTTCCTCTCTTTCTGTTCAAAGTCTAAAAAGTCATTTAAAAATATTTGTTTCTCCAGAATTAATCTTAAGAGAAATTCCTTTTAAAGAGAGAGGAGTCAAATCCTCAACCCCCCAGCAAGCCAACAGCACAGATCAATCTCATCATCAGTGATCTACTTTTACCAAATTTCACTTATTTAAAGGAAATAGTTATCAGGTAAAATTTTAGCTCCTTTAAGGTAAGTACTAATTTATTCCCACCATCAGGCCCAAATCAAGTCTGAAAAATTTAATTCCAAACCCACAATGTTTTGTTTGTTTTTTTTTTGCAGGGAGAATAATATATACACTCTACCCAGGTTACTCGGTGAAATATTGATATAAAAAACCTTTTTGAAATAAGTCAGAAAGACAAATACAGAAGCTGGATGGTTTCACTCAGATTTTAAAGATTAAAAAAGAGAGAGAAAAAGAGAAGACAAAGGCAAAACAAACCCCTCACAAATCCCAACAAAGCAGAGGCTAATGGACAGGGAGAAAGAACAGAGGGAGCAAAGGCTGGAGGAAGCCTGAGATAGGAAAGGGGTTTGGTGCTTTGCTGGTAGGTATGGTATGGTGACAGAAATTTGAAGAGGTGTAAATTGGATGCTAACATATGCAGCAGAGTAAACCAAGGCTATGTCAATCAAAATCATTTTTAAAAGCGTTTAAAGCATGTCGATGATGTAACATGCAAAAAAGTAGCAAGAAAAATAGCCTGAAAGTCACATAAATGCGAACATGATCTTAGCTGAAAGCTTTGTACAGCCATCTGGGCAGAGGTGCTCCCAGGGCTGTTAAGTCTGTGAGGATATGAGCGTGCTAAGGCATTTCTCACCTTTGTTACTCAAGCCAGGTTCATTATTACAGCAAAAAATGAGGGTACACCAATATGGTTTATTCTGGACCTGCCCTAAGAGCATGGAATGCTCTCAAAATAACAAAATTTGACTCAATTTTCTTATCCATTTTTAAACTACTACCAGGAAATGTTTCTTACCCATTCACTCTGAAAAGCAATATGGAGATACCAAGGAAAGAAATCTCTCACCAGCATTTTCCAAGAGAACAGAGATAGGGAGAATTCAGCCATAACTATTAAACTTCTGAACTAGAGGACAGTAGTTTTATTTCCTCACTAAATTACAAACCCACATCATGTTAAATTCTTTGGCTGCCCAGAGTGCCCACATAACAAAAACACACACTTTCAACTTTTGGGGGAAATTTTAGCTTTTAGAATATTGTGTATTATAGACACCGTGTCATAATATTATCTCCCGCGTCCTACTCTAATGTCCTACAAATCGGAGAAGGGAAATCAAGTTTGATGACTCAATATTGAGCCTTACATAATGGAGCCTACACTCTATTTCACTTTCTGAGTTATTTTTATTCCTAATTATCTTCCTTTATTTTTAATCTTACCTTCCCAGGAGTTTCACCTTTGTTAGCACCAGGTAAAAATCCTCCGGGCCTTCAGGAAGGCCATCATCAAGTATTTCAACATGAAAGTTTTTCACGATCTCCTTCTCTTCAAAGACAAGCTCTCCTGGCCCAGGGACAAAATCCAATCCAGCCTCTGCTGTTTCACTCAGAGTGTTATACCAGAGTTTTACTCGGCCAAAAGATCCACCAGACCGAATGACTGTGATGTTAGCCTATGAAAAGCAGTATTTTACTGGAATTCAATGTACCACCACTAGTGGACTATACTTAACTGTGTTAAATTTATCTATACATGTTTATAAGAATATAAGATAGATTTAAAAATAATGACATCAGGAGAAAGTGAGTAACTTAAAACTCTGGGACATAAACAAGATTGAAAGATCACTCTCAGCATAGACAATAAAAATTTTATGTAGAATTTGAAAAATTTTACACTTTACCCTTCGAGCCTCTTCTGATACTTGGAGTTGCTCTTGTGAAAAAGCAAACTGACCGTAAGGAAAGTCACTGGCCACCACTGTGATATTAGCAGTGTTGCTGAATTCACTCAGCACTGCCCCCTCACTGATTCCAGTCAGCTGAAACTCATAGAAATGCTTTTCCTCAGGAATGTCATCATCCAAAGCCTAGAAAAGAAGTGAGAATTCACTGCAAAATCATGGTAACATCAGCAACAACAAACTGGAATATGAAACACCTCCCATCCATCCTCTCTCTTCAACCAAAACAAAGAGCAGAATAGAAACCAGTGAGCCTCTACCTGGACTACTACAACAGCTGCAGACTGTCCATCTTGCATTGTCAGATTCCCTGATGTTTCAGCAAATTGTCCCACAGAAGAAGGGAATATTCTCCAGAACACTGTAACCTCTCCCCAAATAGCTGGGCCACGAACAAGGCTATAACAACATACCAATGTATGGTTAAATACATTTTTGTTGAGAAACATTTTCAAAATATTTATGTGTCATTCAAAATAAAATTTTAAAATGTATTTCACGTGTGTTTAAATAACCTGATCTATCAGCTACAAGCAAAATGAAACTCTTAACTTTCAAAACTAATAAAAACCAGTACTCTGGGTTCACATAAATTTGCTTGACAAGAATACTAGTGAAACTGTTTACAATAGCCAGAATCTGGAAACAACCCAAGTGCCCAAGAACAGTTGACTGTTTAAAGAAACTATGGTACATCTACAGAATGGACTATACAGGTGTTAGAAACAAATGAAGTCATAAAATTTGCTTATAAATATATGTACATAGAGAGTATTATGCTGAGTGAAATGAGTCAGAAGAAGAGGGACAGACTTTAGAATGACTGCATTCATTTTTGAATGAATAGCATGAGAAAAACACCCAACAACAGTAGAAACAAGGGCCAGGAGGACTGGTCCATGGTTGGAAGCCTGCCTCAAATACTAGGGAGAGAGCAGTTGGAATAAAGAAGCAACCATTATGACAATGATTGGAAGGGATTGCTCTGGATGGGACATGTGTTCTCAAAGTAGATAAAAGACCAAAGATGATGGCCTCTCAGTATTTGTATTGCAAACTATAATGCCCAAAAGGAGGGAGACAGAGACAGAGACAGAGAGAGAGCAAGAAAGAGAGAGAGTAGGAGTAAAGAAAAGTGACTGACATAGAAGCAGGTGGGGAGGGAGGGAGACTGGGGGCACTGGTGGTGGGAAATGTACACTGGTGGAGGGATGGGTTTTGGAACACTGTATTCCTGAAACCCGATAATGAATGCTTTGTAACTGTGTATTTCATGGTGATTCGATTTAAAAAAATTTTAAATAAAAAAGCAGAAAAAAATTCAAGTTTTTAAAATTTTTAAATAAAACAATAAATAAAATTAAAAATAGTCGTGAAAGACGAATACCAACAGTGAAAGATATAGAGAAATAAAAAATGCACTCATAGACATTTTATTTAAATAGTTTCAGTAAAATAGTATAAATATGAATGTGAACAATTTAACAATGATCTCAAAGAACAGGATTTCACTCATTCAATACTAATGAAGAAACTACTAAAAGGATTATTAAGTCAAATTCAGCTATTTTGTTAATAATTGTCCCATTCCTGAGAAATTTTGTGATAAATCAAGTTGCCTGATAACACTAATTTAGTTATAAAACAGATCCTGAACAAGAGCCGGGAGAACTAGCCCTTGGTTGGACGCTTGCACAAGTGTTGGTGGGGAAGGCATTTGGGATGGAGAAGGAACCACTATGACGAAGACAGCTGGAAATGACCACTCCGGATAAGAACTACGTGCTGAAAATAGGTAAAGGAACAAACCCAATAACCTCTCAGCACCTGCATTGCAAACCATAATGCCCAAAAGGAGGGTGGGGGTGGGAGAAGAGAGAGAGAGGAAGGCGGGGGGAGGGCTGCATAGAGACAGGCTGGGTGGGTGTTGGCAAGAGGGAAACTGGGAACAGTGTTGGTGGGAAATGTGCACTGGTGAAGAGAAGGGTGTTGGAACATTGCATGACTGAAACCCAACCATGAACAGCTCTGCAACTATGTGTCTCATGGTGATTCAATCAAAAAAAAAAAAAGATCCTGATCTCAGAGCACAGTTATAAAATGTATGACTTAATGATTTGCTAATTTATGATACTGTAGCTGAAAGACACATTTATCTAAATGAAGTAACTCCGTAGTGATTAATCACAGAATGAAGTTCACCACATGAAACTCTTGAAGTCAATTCATTCCCTTTCTTAAGATGAATTATACACATTTAAATATATATATATTTATAATCTGATTTTAAGATAGTACAGATGTCTTCAACTTCTAACAACATTCTCCCAATAAAATGTCGCAAACTTATAAAGTAATGCTTGAAGAATATATCTGCATTGAGTGCAATGTATATAACGCAGAGATCCCTATATTTATTTATTTGGCCTATTTCCGCTTATCGGAAGAAAACAATCACTCAGTATTTCCCTTGTTATCCATTCTCTTTAAAAGAACAATCAGGAAGAACCAGAAACTACCTCCACCTTCACCACCCTTTGTAGTTGCCCCCATGAAGCCGTATTAGTCACTTTGGGAAATGTCCACCTAAACCATAAAATGTGACATTTGTAAAATAAAACTTCAAAACCCAAACCTATGTAAAGATCAATTACCTGATGATAGCAGTACCATTATACTGTGCTGAGGGTTCCCCGATGAGGATGTGCCTAGAGGAGGGAGCTATCCCAACTTCCCCGAAAGCTCCCTTATCGCCCCTGATGATAATTGAAGCACTTCCTAAAGAGAAGATATTTACCATGTGAGTAATAAACATATGTTTATACACCCAGTGTGAGGATGGCAATGTTCAAGCACTCTACATATACTAGTCTACTCAATCAACCCCCGACACTCATATAAGATGCTTAGATAATTCTCATTATTATTAAAGACATTATAACTTAATGTTGAAGACAATATGCATTGAAAACACTTAGCAAATAACTTGTTAGTGAAAGAGGGAGGATCAAGTGGGCAAAAATTCTACTATCCCTCCGATGGTAAACAAGTACTCTTCTACCATCTGTAGAAATTCACTTCTAGTATTATAAATATTTTGTAACTCACTGCAGTTGCATATTACATTACTATATTAAATTAACTATATGAAAAAATTAACTATATGACAAAAGTAGGAATTCTTTGAGTAAAGCTACAAATATTCACAATACTGTACTATGTTATCTAAACAATAATAATAACATTTAATTAAAGTATCATTTGCCCAGTATTTAATTAAAGAATTTTTAAAAATCAAGAATTTTTGGAAGCATTTGATTTTTCTTATTATAATTTTTAAAAATTTGTTAAACATTTATATTCTAGTGGAAATATGGATGGGGGGGGCTAGTACAATAGGTACCAAGCTTGCTTTTCACATAGACAACCTCGTTTGATCACTGGTACTTCATACAGTCCTCCAAGGCTTGCTAGGAATGATTTTTTTGCACAGAGACAAGATCAAATCCTCAGCACAGCTGGGTATACCACCCCCCCAAAAAAAGAAATATAAGCCACATTCAGTCACTTGAATACTCATATAAAAATTAGCAGTAATACGCAGGAAATTGTTTCGAAAGAGCTCATTTAGAGTTTTATGACACACCAAACTGAGTTGGTATACCTTCACTTTGACAATGGACAGATGGAATAAAGAGTAATTTGTCTGGTGAAAATGCCACAATTTGGGGCTGGAGTGATGGCACAGCGGGTAGGTTGTTTGCCTTGCACACAGCAGACCCAGGTTCGATTCCCAGCATCCCGTATGGTCCCCCGAGCACCGCCAGGAGTGATTCCTGAGTGTATGAACCAGGAGTAACTCCTGAGCATTGCTGGGTGTGACCCAAAAAAGCCAAAAAAAATGCCACAATTGGAAATACATTATGCATTCGTTACTATTGATAAACACTTTGCCTTAATAAATCAATATCTCTTTTTCTTCTGGGTCTCCGAAAAATCATTAGGAGGCCCAGGGGTCCCTCCTGGTGATTTCTGACCAGCCTTGATGGCAGTTCCAAGCAAAGGTCCAAGGATGTGGTTCTGCCCCAGCTCTGCAGTGCAGGGGAGAAGCCAGGTCATGGTGAAAGCGCTTGGGGGAACTTGTAGGACCACATACGAAGGTGTTGAGAGGCCTTTAGGGCTGCACCCAGCAATGTTTCTAGGGCCATGTGGTAACAGGGATCAAATCAGGGTCAGACACGGGCAAGGCATGACCCTTCACTCCTGTACCTTTCCAGCCCCTGCCCTATTATCTTTGTGTAAGACATCAACCACGACACTGAATGTGATATCGGCAACTGAGCTAACACAAAGATTATGAAAGAATATCACTGTATCATAGATTTCTTGGAAATCAATCAAGATAAATATGCAGAGAGAAGGGGACAGAGAGATAGTATGGGAAGATGCTGCTTTTGTACACAGCTGACCAGGTTCAATCCCTGGCCCCGCAGATGATCTTCTGGGCCCCTAGGAATGATCCCTGAGCACAGAGCCAGAAGTAAGCCCTGTGAACAAGTTGTGCTCCTAAAACAACAATTAAAAATATGCCGAATAAAAGAATAGATAACATTCTCTCTACAACTGAAAAATTTCCTTAACCAGAAGAGTCTACCTTCTTATCCAAAAACTCTTGCAGATTATAGAATTTTTAACTTCAAAGAGGGCATGGGGAATATCAAAGGAAATCACTTTTATATCAAAGTTTCTGAGTCAATTTTAATAATAATTATTGTTGGTAACACAATAAAAGCATCTAAAAACATTAATTCTTTCTTTACACATCTAAGAAATACATTTTCATATGGATTTTAGACAAATTAAAATTGTTTTTACAATAAAATTATTTTATGTTTCTGAAATATTAAAATTAAAATATCAAGGTAGTCATAACTGATGAAAATAAGTATAGGTAGGTTGAAATACCAGATATAATGATGCTATCTTAAAGTATCATTTTACTAGAAAGTAATATGTAGACTTGAATAACAGGTAGAAAAACATAGGTGATAGGAAACATTATACTTTCCAGTGAGTAACTCCAAACCCACTTACAATATACATGTGACAAAATTTGTTACAATCTGCTACTCTTTTGAATAGTTTCATAGTATTCTTCCATAAGCATAAAAACTTGTATATTTTTATAAATGTTGCTACAATAAATATATTTGTATTTTAAGAAACAATGCAACTAAGTAGTATGACATCTTAATGTACTACTTTACCAACAAGAGGGATTATAATTTTAATCTTTAAACAACCTTTAACTATAATACAGCTGGAAAATGATAGCTTTACACTTTAGCAAATATTTTAGGAATTATTAAACCTAACTACCCATCTTTGTAACAAGTGACTATTGTGTTATATTTTTCTGAGGACTTACATTTTAATTTTCAAAGACGTGCATTTTTCTTACCTTTTACTGGTGATATTTCTACCTCATCGACGGACATCAGCTGAATGGTGAAATTTCTATCTTTCTCCAAAACAGTGTCTTGAAGTGTATGCAATACAATAGTCTTCTGGGACTCAGTCTACGTCACATGTGAGGAACAACACGTTTTCAAGAATGACCCAAACCAGATTTTACATATTCCCATTTTATTGATAATGTTTATATGCCAATAAGCTGATTTTAAATATATCCCATTCTGTTTATGATTATGGGTTTTTCTAAAGAGAATTAATACATAAAAATTAGCTTATATGCAAATCTCATTTATGCTCTTAGTAAGAAAGTTTTGGCTAAATTTTAGGCAAACATAAAAAAAGAGCAATCCTGGGGTCAGAGTGGTAGTACAGTGGAGAGAGGGTGCTTTCCTTAAATGTAGCTGACCCAGGTTCAATCCCTGGAATCACAGTTCCTGAGCCCACCAAAAGTGATCCATGAGCAGAGCCAAAAATAAATCTTGAACACATCTGAATGTGACTCAAAAACAGAAACAAAAGGAAAGAGAGAACAAAAGGGAATACCCTGCCACAGAGGCAGGGTGGGATGGGGGTTGGGGGGTGGGAGGGATACTGGGACCCATGGTGGTGGAGGATGGGCGCTGGTGGAGGGATGGGTACTTGATCATTGTATAACGGAAACCCAAGCACAAAAATTTGTAAGCCTACCACTGTACCTCATGGTGTTTCACTAATAAATTTTTTTTTAAATTACATACAGAATAGATCAAATCAATCAATCAATCAATAAACAGAAACAAAATAATTGAAAGTACAACCCCTACTTTTTATTTCCACCCAGCATCGCTCCAGGCTTACTCCTTGCTTTGAGCTCAGGGATTACTCCTGGAAGTGCTCAGAGAACCCAAGTAAGCACTGAAAGTTAGGGGAAGAGAAAATGAACAGTGGAGAACAGTAAATACCAAATTGCTGCAAAAAGTAAAAGCAGCAATAGGGTTACACTTCACCCTCTAATTCTTCTTTCAGTTCTTTCAGGATGAGAGGCTAAGTGGAATTCAGAAGAAACTGATATCCATGCATGTATGGAGAAGTGTAAGGAGCATGCCAACCGGTTACAGAAATAATTACAGTGAACCACTCCTGAAGGCTCTGAACCAGGCTGTAGAGCTAAAACACCTCTCCCCCTCAATATTCTACTGAGAAATTTCTCAACCAGCCAAACTACACTTACCCTTAAGAAAATTAAGTTGGACTTTCAAGGAGAGAATTTGAAATTCTGCTTAATATCAGAAGAAAAAGCTTCAGAGATGAGGTGAGATAAGACAATTGGATGAGGAAACAGCAACAGGGCAGCAAAGAATCATGAAACCACATAGACCATTCCGGGGCTTAGAGACAGACTGGTACTGAAATGCAGAGGACAATAATTGAGCTAAAATAAAAGACAAGGTGGAAGGTACAGCCAGGGTTTCCCTGTGAAACGCTTTGTAGTGTTTCCAGAGCCTGACCTTGGCCTTCTATAGATAAGAAGCCATGGAGTAGGAGGCTGAATAATGAGATAACTTTAACAATGAACTACAACTACAAAAAAAGAGAGAAAGACTTGACATGAAAATCAAAGTGAAAAGACACTACACAAGGAAAGATTAAAAAGAAATGGATTTTTAGGCAGAGTAGAGAAGTAATGGTAAGAAATGCCATGAAAGGGCAAATTTGACCAGATTTGTTGATCACATTAAAGAACGGGTGAAGACTGGGATGATAACTGATGTCTGGCTTTGTCAACTTGTTTTGACTTCAATCAAGAGAGAAATGACAAGAGAAGTATGTGTGTATCTGTGTGTGTGTGTGTGCGCGTGTGCATGTGTGTGTGTGTGTGTCTGTGTGTGTCTACACATTTGCACACACAAGGAAAAGAAAAGATTTCTTTTCCCCATAGTATATATTATTTTTTAAAAATAAGCCAGTTGTCCCTTTTCTGTAGTTAGAATTGATCATTTCACTTGATCACTTGACTTCCTGTTAATCATCAAATTGCTCAACCGGGCACCAGTAATGTCTCCATTTGTCCCTGTCGCGTGCTAGTGTAGCCCAATGGCGTCTGTTCATTCTAGAAACACAAAGAGCCTCAAACTGATCATTCAGGCTCTTGATGAAGAAGTCTGACCATCTGGTAGGTGGGCGGCCACACGGTCTTTTGACGTCCCGTGGAATCCAGTCAGTAACAGCTCTAGTCCAGAGGTCGTCTCCAAATCTGTCCAGCCCATCTGATTTTTGATGCCTTGGCAAACGAGACAGCGTCCCTGATTCTTGACCATCGATGGAGGTCGGAACTCCGGATTCTTTCTCTCATTTGAGTGAAACGTGATATTCCAAGCATAGCTCTTTCTATTCTTCTTTGGGAGACCTGAATAGCGTTCTCATCCTGTTTGCGTAGGGCCCAGGTCTCTGAGGCATATGTTAATGCAGGAAGAACAGTGGAATCAAAGAGATGTGCCCGGAGCCAGAAGTTCTCCGTCCGTCCTCTTAGCTATTTCTTCCACGCTCTTGAAGGCGTTCCAAGCTGCTCTCTACCTCCTGTGCAACTCAGGTGCCAGGTGATTCATCATGTTGACTTCTCGACCTAGATACAATTAGCTGTTGCATTCAGAGATAGTCATTCTGTTGAGAGCGAATGGAGAGTCAGGAACGAGGCTGTTTCTCATAAACATTTGTCTTCTTAAGATTCAGCTGTAGTCCGACCTTTCCATACTCACGGTCAAAGTTGGCCAGCATTTGTGCCACTTAGCTAATGTTTAGTGTTATTAGAACAATGTCATCAGCAAAGAAGAGGTGGTGTAGTTGCCGACCATCTATCTTCACTCCCATTTTTTCCCATTCCAGTCATCGCATGATGTTCTCAAGGGTGGCACTGAAGAGTTTCGGTGAAATGGTATCACCCTGTCAAACCCCTCTCTTGACATCGATGACTACTTCTTTGTAGAATGGTGAAATCCTGGTAGTGAATCTATACTACAGCTCACGGAGGATCCTGATGTATTGAGTTTGAATTTGATAGGGTTCAAATATGGTTTGAACCACGGGAACACCTACAAGGGTGATTAGAGAACGCCCCAAAAGCCTCTATCCCTCTCGGAGAGCCTGGCAAGCTACCGAGATTATGCCACCCGCACGGCAGAGCCTCGCAAGTTATCTGTTGTGTATTTGATATGCCAAAATCAGTAATTACAATGGGTCTCATTCCCCTGACCCCGAAGGCATCACCAATATGGCAGCATTGAGAAGGATGAGGAAGGAGAGGCTGATAAAATCTCAAGGCCGAATTGGGCTGCCAAAATGAAGGAAGACAAAAATGATTGTCTGTATTTTCAATTCACATAGGATAGCATCGGATGCTTTCCTATGGTACAAGCGTGAAAGATCAAGTACGACATCATTGGTCTGACTGAGACAAGAAGGCATCAATCAGATCACGCCATTTTCGACACTGGAGAAGAACTCTTCCTCTGAACATGCGATAAAAGAGGTGTTGGAGGCATCATTGTCCTTGTCAACACAAACTTGGCCATGAGCATTGATTTATTCAAATGCCTAACAATGCAAATCAGACGTTTACACTTGAATAGATGTGACTCACTGCCAGCAGTTTCTATCTCCGTTGTCTACGCACCAACATTCAATTATGATGAAGGATAAATTGAGAAGTTCTACATGGAGCTGGAGAAGTTCTATAAAGAAGACCACACCTTCTACAAGATCATTGTGGGTGATTTTAATGCCAAGATAGGACCAAGAAGATCAGCCAAAGAATTCCACATCGGGACCCATGGCCTAGAATGGAGCGGACAGAGTGAGAGACTGTCTGAGTTCATCATGTCGACCAAGACCATCCATGGTAACTCAAGATTCCAGAAGGCTGAATCTAAACGTTGGACATGGGAGTCTCCCGGTGGACGGTTCCACAATGAAATAGACCACATCATATTAAGTTGACAGTTTTGCCTGACCAATGTCGTTGTCCCAAAATTCCAAATGGGATCGGACCACCGTCTCCTTTGGGCAAAATTCTACTTCACAGAGCGGGGAGAAAGGGCTGCAAAGTTTAAGAAGAGAACTCCCAGAAAGACCACCAACTGGGAGCTCTTTGGCACTACTGCTGCAACATGGGAAGATGCCGTCATTGACAACATTGACAAGGAATACGATGGACTGGTTCAGCACCTCCATGATTGTGCGAGGAACACCAAGAGAGAGATGTCTCACTATTAAAAATATAAAAAATAATGCCTGTCTTCGAAAACTCTTGAGCTTATTCGCCAACGGGGTTTGGCGCATGCCTCAAGCAACCACAAGCGAAAGTCCGAGCTCACAAAGCAGTGCAGAGATGCGATCAAGGAAGACCTCAAAGAGAGAAGAGCAGAAGTGCTGGTAGATGCGGCAGAAGCTAGGAAAAGCATTCATAACGCCCGCCTGTCCTTTGCCAACTACAAGACCAAGATGACTACCCTCCAATGTCCTGATGGATCTATCACATCTTCCAGAAGGGCAATGGAGAAGATTATCCATGACTTCTACTCAGATCTCTTCAATAGCCATGTCCACCTGCCCACATACCAAATTCCACAGGATGCATATGTCATTCCCAATATTCTCCCTTCTAAAATCGAACATGCCATTTTGTTGGTAAAGAAACGAAGAGCACCCAGCCCAGACAAGGTCAGACCTGAACACCTAAAGAACCTGCCGTCAGTACTTATCAATACGCGGGCTCGGCTCTTCACACGCTACCTGTCTGAATGCAAGGTTCCGTCCCAGTGGAAAACTAGCAGGACTGTACTACTGTACAAGAAGGGAGACATCCACGACATTGGCAACTATCGCCCAATCTGCCTATTGTCTGTCATCTACAAGCTGTTCGCTTGAGTCATCCTGAATAGGATTGGAAGAACACTAGATGAAGGACAACCATGTGAGCAAGCCAGGTTCCGCAAAGAGTTCAACACCATCGACCATATCCACACGATTACCAAGCTCATTGAGGTTTCTCGGGAGTTCAAGATGCTGCTCTGTCTAATGTTCATTGATTTAAAGGCCTTTGATTCTGTTGAGATAGAAGTGGTCATTGAAGCCCTAGCCAATCAGGGCATTCAAACTCAATACATCATAAATGATCACTCTGAACAAAAACTGAGTGTTGATATACATGAATATAGATATACACGATAACTTTCAGTATCTGTATTGCAAACCATAATATCCAAGATGAGAGAGACAGAGAGAGACACAGAAAGAGACAGAGAGAGACAAGAGAAGTGCCTGCCATAGAGGTTTGCAGAGATAGGCCCCCCAGGGCGTGGGTGGGAAGGAGGGACTGGGGACATTGGTGGTGTGAAATGTACAAGGGATGGGTGTTGGAACATTACATGATTGAAACCCAATCATAAACAAATTTATAACCATATCTCACTGTGATTCCTAAAAAAATTTTTTTAAAGTCAGTAAATACAATCGCATCAGTTATTAAGCACTAATATGGAGAAAAAAATAAAAAACAAATTAGAAAAATTAGAACACACTGACAGGAATCCTGATGTAACTATACCTCATCAAAATGAAGCGTCCCATTCAATGGCCTGAGATTGTCTTTAGCCCTCTTGTCTAGTGCCCAGTGAAGGCGGACGGCTCCTTTTCCTCCTGGGGACCTGACAACTGTCAAAGTCACATATGCATCAGGGTCATTGGAAAAAAGGGATTCATCAATTGTTACCTGGAAGAAAGAAAATCACATAGAATGAGAAAAATAAGTAAGAATGAAAAACAGAATGTGGTTTTTATTTACAATGATTATATATATATATATATGTATATATATATGTAAAGTAAAAGTAAAGGCCCTCCCGTTGATCATCGATTTGCTCGAGCGGGCCCAGTAACATCTTCATTGGAGACTTTGTTGTTACTGTGTCTGGCATATCGAATACTCTCGGTAGCTTGTCGGGCTCTCCGAGAGGGGTGGAGGAATCGAACTCGGGTTGGCCATGTTGGCCGCGTGTAAGGCAAACGCCCTACCCGCTGTGCTATCGATGAGCCTGGGTGACTATATAATGTTTTGTACAATGAAAGTCAATAAAGTCAATGGGTTTTGCCTTTCTAGCAAAACCCATTCTGGGGTATAAAATCTATATCCATATCCATAACCCAATTTTCCCTTATGACAAGGATGGTGGTCTGAAAACAATTACGAAGAAAGCAATGTATGGACAAAACAGTTTACCTAATTTATGTATTATACTAAATAAGTCATGGGTAGCTTGCCAAGCTTTGCCGTGTGGGCGAGATACTCTTGGTAGCTTGCCGGGCTCTCTGAGAGGGGCGGAGGAATCAAACCTGCCATGACGTATTTGACATGCCAAACACAGTAACAAGTGTCACAATGGAGATGTTATTGGGCCTGCTTGAACAAAATCGATGAACAACGGGAGGACAGTGACAGTGACAGTGACTAAGTAAGTAAAAACCTCTACCCCTAGTAACTGGCTAAGGTAAGAGATTTCACTATTTTTAAATCACGATCATTATGGCTCCTAATTTAATACGCAATGAAAAAACCTTCGAGAATCAAAAATGAAGAGCATAAAGAGTTTTGAAAGAAAGGTACCTTTCTGCTATAAATTCTAAGAATAATTAACAAAAGGAAAAGTAACTTCACTATGTGTTTGACTTACAGTCTTTTCTTCAAATCCAAATATGCCAAATGGAGAATCATTTTGAGGAATACCAACAGTTAATACAACATCGTCACCAAGACGGCCACCTCCAATCACCCCAACTAAGGAAATATTGAATGTCTCCATGAGTTCAAATTTAGCGTCATCAATTATGGTGATTTCTATCACTGCAGTATCCTAATGAAAGAAGGAAAAAGCAGATGCAGTATAATGAATCAGCAATTTTTGACTACATACATTTTAATTATTTAATTAAAATTTAGAAACAGTAGAAAAAAGTATTTTCTCCCCATTATGTACATGGGGCTGGAGCAATAGCACAGCAGTAGGACGTTTCCCTTGTGCACAGCCATCCCGGCTGAGCCGGGTTCGATTCCTCTGCCCTTCTCGGAGAGCATGGCAAGCTACTGAGAGTATCTCGCCCGCACAGCAAAGCCTGGCAAGCTACCTGTGATGCATTCGATACACCAAACACAGTAACAATAAGTCTCAAAATGGAGACATTACTGGGCCCACTCAAGCAAATCGATGAACAACAGGAGGACAGTGCTACAGTGATATGTACATAGAACTACTTTTAAATCCTTTATATTTATAATATTTCAAGTCGAATTATAGTCTATAATTTCAAGATAAATGGTATATAAAAACAAATGTTATTAAATAGAAAAAACAATGAAATATTTTTTTTGTTCTGAGCCACACCAAATGGTGCTCAGGGTTTACTTCGGGCTCTGTGCTCAGGAATCACTCCTTGCAGGCTCAGAGGACCACATGTGGTATCTAGGATAGAACCATGGTCAATTGTATGCAAGCAAAGTGCCTTACCCACTTTCCTATCTTTTCTGCCTCCGAAATTTAATTCTTGAAAAGAAATATTAAACAGGTTTTAGGGGCACTAATAACTGCTGCAGAAGATAAATCTTACTATACTAAGTATGTTTGTTTTTTGGGAGTCCTACATGGTTTTTCTCAAGGTTTACTCCTGGCGCTGTGCTTAAAGATCACTCCTGGGTTGCTTATGAGACCATATGTGTTGCTAGGGATCAGATCTGGATCAAATGCATACAAGGCAAGAGACTTATCCTCTGTACTAACTAACACTCCATCCTAACAGTGCTAAAATCACATGATCTGAAATGATATTACAGAAATTCTAACTGTCCTTGATAATTAGAATAAATCTCTGATTTCAAGTACTCTTCTTGTAATGTAGCCAAAAAGATAGTAATAAATCCAAATTTGCTATATTTAGATGTTTGTCATCAAGATCAAACTTATTTATTGTGGTCTAAATGATTTTATTTTAGGAATTTCTTTTATGGATCATAAAAGTATACCAGAAATATATCCATATTAAAATGTTTTCTTTATTTTAGAGAGAGTCCAGTAATCAGACACAGATATTTACTAGAAAATGAAGTTTCTATAACTTAACCTTACCTGAAATCTTTAATAACTGAGAAAAGTGAGAAATCTGGAAGTCACACTCATAGAGGTAGGACCCCCCAAAAAATCAGATGCTAAGATGAAAACTTATTAAACTACACTTCCAATCATATTGTAAGATGCATACTAGTTTCTCTACAAATTGTTACCTTTAAAGATAATGATGATCCTAAAGACATTGCTAAATTATGGTACTTAATTCACAAGCAATGTCACTGTCACTGTCCTCCCGTTGTTCATCGATTTGCTCAAGCAGGCCCAGTAACATCTCCATTGGAGACTTTGTTGTTACTGTGTTTGGCATATCGAATACATCACGGGGAGCTTGCCAGGCTCTGCCGAGCAGGCGAGATATTCTCGGTAGCTTGCCGCGCTCTCCAAGAGGAGCAGAGGAATCAAACTCTGGTCGGCCATGTTGGCTGCGTGCAAGGCAAACGCCCTACCGCTGTGCTATCGCTCCAGCCACAAGCACATAATCAATAATGAGGGAGGGAATGGGTTTTGGGTAGAGAAATAGGAAAATGCTGAGAATACAGTAAAAGTTGGAAGGTTATGTTAATGAAAACTCTCCCCTTGCTTTTAATGTGAAAATCTATATTACCCTTCCATAAGAACAAGGTTCAATAGAGAGAAGTTCTAAATGTTTAAAAGTCTTCATTTCAAGTACTAACAATAGTCTTCTAGTCATTATACTTATTGTCCCCTAGGAATAGCTACTAAGTGATAAAATCCATTCAAATTTACCAATGAAAAATCAAACTTTTTATAGCTAGTACCAATATTTAAAATTACTGCTTCTTAATTGAACAACATTGTACTATAACTTCAGGAATGCTTCATTAAAAAAGCAAAACTGTGTACGCACTGCATTAAATTTCTGACATTTTCATAGTTGTTCACAAGTTTTTTCTGTTGATTGAAATCTGAGGTGAATATCTAATTATCTACTGAAAAATTCTCAGTTTTCAATACTTACAACTCTTCATAATATTCTATAGTTTTCCATATTGATAGATCCAAACCTTAAGTAGTTTCTACATTTTTCCAATTCTTACTATTTTGTTCCTTTCCTGTCATTTTAATGTTGAATTATAAATAAATTATAGATGTTAAAAAAATAAAGTGAACACTTTTGCATAAATTAAAATTTATGTATTTAGAAGCATAAAAAACAAATAGAAAAAAGGGACTAAAATTCATAGGAACTGTCAAATAAATTAAGCATTTTTACACACGATTAGACACATCCAACTCAATTATTGTATTCTATAACTTCTGTTTTTCATTTATTTGAGGGGTGTTGGGGGGTTATACTAAGCTGTACTTAGGCCTTCTACTGGCTCTCCGCTCAGAGATCATTTCTGGTGGATTTGGGGGTTATAGAGTGTTAAGGATAGAACCTAGTTCAGTCACGTACAAGGCAAGCAACTTACCCACTGCACTACAGTTCTGGCCCTAACAACTCTTATTTGAAACAAAATCCCGTGAAGACCAGAAAAAGAGTGATATTCTCTTGCCTCAATTCTCTTCCTATGTGCATTAGCAAACTGTAACATTAACAGTATTTGGCTTGATAAAGGACCATTTAGAGCATTATAATATGCATGGTTATGTTTTATAAAATTTGGAAGATGCTTCCCGAATGTTTAAAGTAACCAGAAAAATACTTAAATGTTAGTTGTCTAGCATACTTGTCCTTCCGCAAATTCAAGAATCCCATGAGATGGCTTAAAGTCTTCAAAGTCAGCACTGTCTGCTGTTGCTCTCCAGGAAATATTTACTGTCCCAAAGTTTCCAGCCAGTCGGACAACAGAAATTTGAAGAAGATTCAGAGGGGCGGGCAACTCACAGGCAGTAATTACTCCATCAACATCCTTTAAGTAAAGAATGGAAGTTGAGATACAAGATAAAAGTTACATCTTATAACTTATTCCTCTTCAAATTCATCATTCCTTTTCATATTTCTTATATTTTATCCTCCTAATAAAAAATTATCAGCTAAATGCATGTGTAACAGTTCTCAAAATTCTTACACTTAAAGTTAATAAAAATAAGCCTGCTTGATCTTTGAGCTTAGCTCAAAGAGAACTAAGAACTAATTTGAGGATAACAAATATTTGTATATATCTACAGTCAATTGTTTTGTAGGACAATTGCAGAAAATACATAACATAGTAAATTCAGCAGGCATAAACCACTATAAGGGAATATCTCAACAAGCATAAGCCACTTATGTAAGGGAATATCTATACGAATGAAAGTTTATCTCACTCTAATAACATGGAACTTAAATACTCCTCTAGGATCATCATTTTCATCAATCATTATCTCAGCTATTTCCATTCCAGGTCTCAGCACATTTGGTTGTCCTACAGAGAAGTCAGAGCTCAACAGGTAAACCTCCGTGATGTTGACAATAAATCCTTCATCCAATTCAGGAACATCATCCTGGGTGTGGAAAATGGTGTTTTAAATTTTTGTTAATATTTAATTTGCATTGGAAATATTTTTTCTCAATAAATAATAAAGTATTATCAAAAAAGTACAATTCTATAAAACATGATTTTTGTATTTGATACTTTTGATATATTTTATATTTTGCTATATTCTTCCTGACAATAATTTCAGGATCATAGGAAACATTCAAGCGTACTGGTGTTACATAAATGAAAACTTTAATTAGCAAGGAAAATGATTTTTTAAAAACCTTTCCCCACAATTTTTATTGTACTCTACTTAATATAATTTTGCATAATCATATACTCCAGAAGATTTCTTTTTTGCTTTGTATTGTTTGTTCTGGGGTCATACGAGCAGTGCTCAGGGGTTACTCCATGCTCTGTGCTCAGAAACCACTTTTAAAAAAAAAAACTGAATCACTGTAAGATACACAATTACAAAGCTCTTCACGCTTGGTTTCAGTCATACACTCTTCCAACACCTGTCTCTTCACCAGAAATCACTCAGTGCTGGGGATCAAACTAGGGTTGGTCGCATGCTATGCAAACCCTTTTCCCTGTACTATCTTTCTGGCCCTAAAAATGTATTTTTAAAAATTATTTCTGTCCTTCGGGGCATTTATATATACAATTGTAGTTAATATACATAATTTTTTACATATTAATTGCAGACTAGACTCACCGGCAAAATAGCAATATTGGCATGAGTTCTTTTCATATTCTCTTTCATTATTATAATTTTATCTTGTAATATGAAGTCTTCATTCTCAGTCGCTTGATTATTAACATGCAGCAAGAAATTAGATTTAGCTATCAAGTGAATGGCAATGTCCCCTGTGAGTCCTTTATCACGAACAATTTGCAACTGAAGTATGGTGACGTTTTCTGTAAGAGAGACACATCTCAAGTAAATACAAGTCTTCAATGCTAGCCTAAGCAATTAGGGAGTGCTTTGATCTTTTAGACAATTAAAGAAAGACAAGTAAAATGAACACAAGGTTTATTCCCAAGGAGATTTAAGTTCTGTCTATTGTTCCCATAGTTGTGCTAAGATCATCAAAAACTTCAACAATTCGACCTGTTTTAAAGTCTGACCTCTGACTCTTCAAAACACTTTTCTATGTTCTGCATGCCATAAATTTCACTTATCAGTTTGAGAAGGGGGCATGGCCAGAAATGTTCAGGGCTTACTTCCGGCTCTGTGCTCAGGATTACTCTTTGGAGGTGCTCAGAGAACCATAAAAGGAACCCAAGATTTGAACCAGGGTTAGCAGGAATGCATCTTTTTTTTTTTCTTTTTGGGTCACATCCGGCGATGCACAGGGGTTACTCCTGGCTCTGCACTCAGGAGTTACTCCTGGCGGTGCTCAGGGGACCATATGGGATGCTGGGAATCGAACCCGGGTTGGCCGCATGCAAGGCAGACGCCCTACCCGCTGTGCTATTGCTCCAGCCCCAGGAATGCATCTTAAGAGAAATTTCTGAAGATCTTAGGAAAGTTACAAAGTTACCTATTGAGTAGAGGGGATAATTACAAATGCTAATATTCTTGAAAATAAAAGATCAAATATAAAAAGTTATCATGCATAAACTAGTCACTAGGAGTAGAAAAACCTCTTATGAGTTTTCTGTCACAAAACTGAAAGTTTTTCAAAGCACCAAGTACTTAGTTTACTTTTTAGACATTTTAAATTTGATTTGCAATGTAAATGAAAAAGCCATACACTAAGTCTGCACCACTGATCTGTAAGTTTCTAATGACTAAACTGTGTCTTTAACTGTGAAATGCAGAGCACAATTTGGGGCATTTACTAAGTGCCTCAATAATAGAGGCTTAACAAATAATGAAATTTTATTTTAGTCTCCTGCTTCTGTTCCCATTTACATGGGCATATATGAATTCAATTTCATAGCATTTCCCCAACAACTACTTAAATAAAGGTCATTGAAAAATGTTCAAATTTGCTAATAGATTTTTAAGCCTTCACTAGTATATTCTAAATATTTTAATATATATGACTTGTTTATTTGGATAATAAAATGACTTTTGTACAATTTAAAAGAGTGTATACTTACACTTCAAAGATTTACTAAAAATATCAGCATCTTTATTATGAGAGAAATGTGTCAAAAAAAGCAGAAGCATTCTCAATAGTATTATTGTTTAGTAATTGAATGATACTAAATTGTATAAATATAAAGAGTTTAAAAAAATGAAATACGATATATCAAACTGAGAAACAAAAGCACAGGAAAGAAAGAAACTTACGTTCCTAAGTAAACAGAATAAAATTATCCTGTAACTCTTACTAGAATACTCAACAAGTTACCTTCAGGCTCGGTTGTTCTCAGGAAGAGAGACTCATCAAGCCAGCCCACTAATCCATATGGTGCGTCATTGGACAGAATGGCTATCACAGACTTGTTCCTCTTCTGATCAACAGTAGCACCTTTTGATAGTTCCTCAATCCCTTCTGTATTAATATGCATGAGTGTTATAACCACTGTCTCTGAAAACTCTGGTATGTCATCAGCAAGAACAGTCAGCGTGATTGTAGAAAGTGCTTGGCCTTCAGAAAATGAGATCTAAAATTTGAAAGACAGAATTTATTCGTTTTGGAATTGTATAATTAAAGTATTAAAAAATTAAAACTTAGTCCTACATTCAGTTCTTTCCAGTTGGGGAGTTTCTTTCTCTTCTACTTTCCAAAAATACCCTTTCTATTAACATCCTCCACACCCCCTCCCCACAAAAGTTAGATTTTCTTTTATACTGGCAACAATTTGTAAATATCAGTATATATGTATATATTCATAAATATAAAAGAACATAGGGGTTTTTTTAAAGAAAATAATCTGGGCAGGAGCGATAGTACGGCAGTTGGGGTTCTTGGCTTGCACACACTGACCCACATTCTTCGAAAATACAAAGAGGCTTATATTATTCAAGTATAAATAATTTTGATAGTGTTTATATGTGAAATTTTAATTGGGGAAAACGTATTCTAACTCAAAACATATAATCCTGAGATACACATGTTGTAATTTTAGCAGCTTGCATAAATATTCAATGCAGAAAAATTACCACAACATTCATAAGGCAATGAAACTCAGAAAAACTGACAGCTGACAGAACATATACATTTGACTTCTGAGAAAATTCGATGCAAAGTCTTCAGAAGAGCTTTTCAGAGAAGCACTTGAAACAAAATAGAACATGAAATCCAAGACACTGCAAGGACATCATAAATTTTGCAATTAGGAATTAAAGATTCTTTGAACCCACTATTTCTTTCACCCAGCTGTTTCTATTCTTGAACCTGGGCCCAATTTTACTACCTAGTAGATAATGTGATCGGCTGCCAGTTCCCTTGTTGAAGCTGATCACCCATCTCCCAAGAGCTGGGAGTAGAATCTTCTCTCTATCTCACTGGAAATTGCTCTCAACTTTACCAGACAATTTTACCCAGATAAGCTCCACTAAGAGGGTGAACTAAGGTCAAGAACTGTACAATAGAGATGAGTATCTCTGGCCCCTCATCGCAACCTAAATCAAGTCCAAAGAACTAGCTCAGATCGAAACTCCTCGGAAACTCAACCTGAGATGCAGTTTCCTGTGGATTAGCTTCTCAGGCTGCACGTTCTCATCAACCTCACTTCCTCATAGGCTTATCTCCCCAGTAACCTTTCTTGCCACAACCCTTAATCTCAGACTCTGTGTATAGGAAACAAGCTACATCATTTTACAACTCTGGCCTAAGTTTTTGTAGGTCTGGTTATTTGGTATGAACTTCTTCCCCACCTAAAGTTTCCTTTTATACAAATATTAAAACACTTCCATCCCTAATTTGACTGGTGTCATCATTCTGAGAATATGATATACCTCTAATATGGCTAAACAATGATCTGTATGAACCTCAACAGTGATGACAGTTGTTTCTTTATTTGGGGGCCACATCTGGCAATGCTCAGGGCGTACTCCTAGCTCAATCGAGTATCATTTCTGGAAGGTCTCAGGGTGGCAGGAATTAAACCTGGGTTAGCCACATGCAAGACAAGCACTCCACCCATTATAATAGCTCTCTATCTAGCCCAGTGATGATATTTTTTACAGATAATTTTGCAGGGAAAGTAGGACAATAATAACAACACTAAAACTAACCTTAAATGATAACTCTCTAGTTAGTAAATATCAAATACTGACATAGTCTAACACAAACACTTCATCTATAAGGTAGGGTTTAATCCCATATTTCAATAGCAATCATCATGCAAACGTGACTCTGCTATAATTTTGTAAATTACATACCACTCCAGAGGTAGGAAATATATCTCCAATATTTCCATCAGCTTCCCATATTATGGTTATACGACCATATGTTCCTTTCAAACGTTCAACATTCAAAGTTACTAGGCTATCTTGATCCATTTCTTCCACTTCCTTATATAAGGAATTCTAAAAAATACACAGAATTTGACAATTATCTGAAATTACACAATGTAATTATGAATTTTCAAACTTCACAGTAACATAAGAATTAAGAGAAAAATAGCATTAAATGATTGGTAAGATTGGACACCTGCCAAAAAAAAATAAGAATGCTAATTTGAGTAAATATTTAATTCTACTGCAACAACAGACAAAAAGAGCGACCACAATAACTATATTAAGAGGGAGACACTGATGAAAATAAGTAAGAAAGAGAAAAGCAAATGTCAATGGTCACACTCATATGGGGGACATAAGGAAACACAGCAAAAAAACAGATAAAACAAAATCAAAATAAACCCTTGAGCTCTGAACAAAACTGAGGTTACCAGAGAAAATGGATGTGGAAGAAAAAGTTAAGAGAGTTTAGCCTAGTGTGGTGGAGAGATATTTGTACTTTGGTGATAGTTTTACTGTGGTAACACATATTTTGAAGAGGTGTGAAATTATATCCCAAAGACATACATTCTTGTAATCCAACAGTACCTCAATAAATAATATAAAAGATTTCATGTGTGTAAAAAAAATATGGGGAGTCAGGAGAGAAGACTTTTCTTCTTTGTAATCTCGAGGTAATCCCTCTAGGCCTACTTTGTGCTTGCTAAGAATTTGGTCTATATGGTCTCCCAAGTCCCATTGAAATAAACCAATTTCATGAGAATCAGGTTCTTTTCCTAATCACTTAAAGACATCGTATACTAAATCCATATTCTATAAAAGGTTCCTACAAACTATCATGTTTTCATTAAGTGTAATTTTTAATCCTTTGCTAATGGTCTTTATAACTTTTTTTTTGGACAGAAATGACCCTTTCCCTTGTTTTAGAATCTGTACTCTTTCTTCTCACCTGTACTTTTGCCCTGTTTGCTCAGCTCCATGCTTCTTTCTATAGTTGGGTATCTGAATATCCTCACACAACACCTGAGATTTTTTGTCAGTCATTTAATGAATTGTTCATCAAAATTAATACTTCAAGGGCTGGAGAGAGGGCTCAAAGAGCTGGTGCACATACTTTGCTTCAGGGAGCACTGGGTTCAATTCCTGGCACTCCACAGTTTCCTGAGCACCACTAAGAGTAACACCGGAGTATGATGCCAGGAATAGACCCTAAACACAGTCAGGTGAGGCTCAAAAGGCCCCCACAAAGAGCAATATTTTAATGAAGGCTTTCTTATAATGTTGGCTGCATGCAAGGCAAATGCCCTGCCGCTGTGATAGCACAGCGGGTAGGGCGTTCGCCTTACAAGCGGCCAACATGGCCGACCCAAGTTCGATTCCTCCACCCCTCTCGGAGAGCCCGGCAAGCTACCGAGAATATTCGATATGCCAGACACAGTAACAACAAAGTCTCCAATGGAGACGTTACTGGGCCCGCTCGAGCAAATCGACGATCAACGGGAGGGCCTTTACCTTTACCTTTACCTTTTCTTATAATAATCCCTGGTTTATCCAGAGGAAATGAAGCAATTATAAGCAGTGCAAAGATTTCTCGGGGGAGGGGAGGCTGGAAAGAACAGTGAGTAACTAATCTTGCTCTGCACACACCCTACCCAGGTTCCATCTCTGGCACCCGATCTGGTCCCTTGAATGCCACCAGGAGTGATTCTTGAGTGCAGAGCCAGGAATAAATCCTGTCCACTGCCAGGTATGGTTCAAAAACAAACAAACAAAAAAAACCCAACAACAAAAATAGATTTTTCTTTAAATTTTTCTAGTAAGATTTTTCTTATCATTATGAAAAATCTAAGTTTCCCATTCACTTCTTTTTTTTTTATTAGTGAAGCACCATGAGGTACAGTTGTAGATTTACAAATCTTTATGCTTGGGTTTCGGTCATACAATGATCAAATACCCATCCCTCCACCAGTGCCCATTTTCCACCACCATGGATAATATCCCCCCACCCCCCCTCCCACCCTGCCTCTGTGGCAGGGCATTCCCCTTTGTTCTCTCTCTCCTTTTGGGTGTTGTGGTCGGCAAAAGAGGCATTAAGTGGCAAACATGTTCAGTCCATAGTCTACTTTCAACATGCATTTCCCCTCCTGGGAGGATCCTCCAAACACCCTTTATTTGGTGCTCCCTTCTCTATCTGAACTGCCCTTTCCCCTAGAATACCCAGCTGGCCTCTAAGCTATGGAGTAATCCTCCTGGTGTTGATCTCAGCTATTCTTAGGTATTAATCTCATATTTTGTTGCTTTATATCCCCCAGATGAATGCAATCTTTCTATGTCTATCCCTCTCTTTCTGACTCATTTCGCTTAGCATGATACTTTCCATATTGTACCACTTGTATGTAAATTTCATGACTTCATCTTTTCTAAGAGCTACATAGTACTCCATTGTGTAGATGTACCAAAGTTTCTTTAACCAGTCATCTGTTCTTGGGCACTCAGGTTTCTTCCAGTTTCTGGCTATTGTAAAGAGTGCTGCAATGAACAAACAAGTGCAGATGTCACTTCGACTACACATTTTTGCCTCTCTGGGGTATATTCCCAGGAGTGGTATCGCTGGGTCAAATGGGAGCTCAATTTCTAATTTTTTGAGAAACGTCCATACTGTTTTCCAAAAGGGCTGAACTAGTCGGCATTCCCACCAACAGCCCATTCACTTCTTAGAGTCCATGAAATCTCTATTTGGATTGCTAATTTGAGGGACCAGAGAAATGGTTATAGGGGTTAAGGGATATTCCATGCATGTCACAGGGTTTGGTCTTCGGCATAGCACAGTCCACAACGCATCATGAGGTGCAATTTTGGAGGACCCGATAAGCACTACCAGGAGTGGGCCTGCAGTCCCCTACACACTGCTAAGATGGATAATTCCTGGCACCCACAAAGTGCTAACAGCACAATATTCTTTTGGCCCCAACACTGAAAAATCTTAAGGTCCATCCCCCTCCTCCCACCAATAAACACTCCACAAAAAATGCTACTTCAAGTAAATATCGAACCTTATAGCAGTTTTTTATACAGTGTTTCAACATTGTTACAGATGTTATAAAGTAATAATATCCTGCCAAGGCAATTAAACACTCCTATAGAGAGTGCTTCGATTTTAAGATATGCATATCATTTGTTCACTAAAAACCATTCCTTTTCAGAGAAGCCTCTCTCTAACTGGAGCCTCCTTAACTAGGGTTAGTAAATTGCACATTTAACTTAGCCATAAAATCTTTAAGAAATGCTATTATAAGCTACAGTTCCTTCTGGAAGAAGAGGCCAAAGAGGCCTTCATTGAGGAATTTGGCAGAATGTTTTGAAATAAAAAATAATATCAGTGGTCAATGAGTTAAATACCTTTTCTGTAGATTGTATTCTTGCTGTTTAAGTCAGTTAGAGCTGGTTTTTCTTACGTGCAAAATATACCAGAGAAATACACCTTATTGCAGAGATTGTACGCCTAGTTAAGTAATCTCAATCTGTCACTGTCCTCCCGTTGTTCATCGATTTGCTCGAGCGGGCCCAGTAACGTCTCCATTGGAGACTTTGTTGTTACTGTGTTTGGCATATCGAATATGTCACGGGGAGCTTGCCAGGATCTGCCGTGGGGGCGAGATACTCTCGGTAGCTTGCCGGGCTCTCCGAGAGGGGTGGAGGAATCGAACTCGGGTCGGCCATGTTGGCTGCGTGCAAGGCAAACGCCCTACCACTGTGCTATCTTAATACACTTTGAAAATAGTACTAAGTGACAGAATTGAAATGGGTGCCCTTTTCTATCTGTTAAAGGAACATAGTGTCTGAGCATAGAACTCACCCTGGTAAATACGTCTGCATAGTTCTCCAAGGAAAAGAACCACTATATGTGCAAAGCACAGAAAGTTGAAAAGTTTCTTTCTCTTTTATTTTTCTTTCTTTTTTAAATACCTATCTATGTCTTTCTGTACTCTCTCCTTCATTCTCTACATTTTTTTCAATAAACAGAAATTACAAAGGCATAACAAGACTATTATTTGTATGAGATGTATGTGACAGGACATTGTTTAGTGCATCTGGAATTTTCTTTATCAGTATCCTTTGAAAGCAGGAAAGGAGGACTAATAGCAGAATTAACTCCTATACCAAGGCCAACTACCAAAATCTCATATTTTATCCTGCAAAAGTAACACGAGCCAAATGTGTAGCTCAATGACAGACAGCATGCTTCCCAGGTGTGAGGTCCTGGGTTTTTAAGTCGGATATACAAAAAAGAAGAAAACTCTGAAAAATCACAAACTAACAAAAAATGAATCAGTTAAAAAAAATCATTAAGGGTTCAGTGAACCAAGACAATTTCATGTATCACTGGAATTCACCTTGAAATACAGAAAAGAGGATGAATCAGGAAGAAAAAGAAAAAGAGGGTAAGGTACTCAATATGTGATCATTTAAGTATTAGTTATTACTAAGTAATAGCTAGTAAAAACACACACAATCAATAGGTAATTTTGACGTCTACAGCTGAATTTTTGTTATCATTACCTGAGCAAATCCAATAACTCCATAAGCATCATCATTAGCCAGAATAGTTACTTTTACATAACCATTATTGCCAATTTCTGCTCCTCCTTTGGGATTTTTAAGTTGAATTCTGAAGGACTCTTCTTCCTCTGGAACTGTATCATCAAGGATATTTATTGCTATTACAGCTTCTCTGTCACCAGGTTCAAATATCAGCTCACCTGAACTAGCATAAGATAGATACATATGAAACAAGTCAACTGCAAGAAGTAAAAGAAACACGTATAGTAGAATACTCATAAAACCCTTGTAAATTGACTCACCACACTGATCAATAATAAAAGTTTGGGGAAAATAACATTATGAATAAAACTGTAATGAAGATTTTTATGTAACACTGGTATAAATACAAGTGACAACTAAAACAGGCTAATAATAAATGGTTCTTATATTTTGGACACTTTGTACCACTAAATAAGTACTTAAATTAAGTGCTAAGTAAAAGATATCCTCATTCACTGCCCATGGGAATGTTGATTGGTCCAGCTTGATTTGGAAGACAGTATAGGCATTCCTCAAAAATTCAGGAACTTTTTCATATGGAAACTCATATGGAGTTTGACCCAGCAATTCTACTCTTAGGAATATATATCCCAATACACAGCCCAATATATATTTCCCAATATATAGCCCAAGAACACAATGCTAAAAAGCCATCTGCATCCCTATGATCTTGAAGCACTATTTACAAGAGCCAAAATCTGGAAACAACCTTAGAACCCAAGAACTGGATAAAGAAGCTATAGTACTTATATACAATGGAATACTACTTGGCCATAAGGAAAGATGAAGTCATGTGATTTGCTGATACATGCATGGATGGATTTGGAGAATAACATGCTGAGTAAAATACTCAGAGGGAGAGGAACAGTCATAGAATGATCTCATTCATATGCAGAATATAATGAAATGCAGTAGGGGGATAACTAATGACAAAAGACTATAGAAACAAAAAGGAGAACTGGCCCTTATAAGTGAGCTTGCCATGGGGTGAGGGGGTAGGGGGGACAGGTCTAGAAATGGCCACTACGACAATGATAGAGGTTAGTGCACACTCTGCCTGAGATCTGGGTGCTGAAAAGAAGTAAAGTGTTATGAATGATACCCTATAAGTTACAGTACTGTTTACTGTGGCTTAACATGCCTAAAGGGAATAAATAAAAAGCAAAATGCGCCTGCCATAGAGGCAGGCTGGGGGATGGAAGGGAAACTGGAGACACTGGCAAAGGGAAGTGGACATTGTTGAAGAGAATAGTGTCAGAACACTGTATACTTGAAATCTAAACCATGAATAATTTTGGAACGTTGTAATTTACAAATTCAATGATTAAATAAACACTGGATTTATTTGTGATTAAATAAAAATTGAGAGCTTGTTTGGAGGTTCTAGCAGGGGAGTGCAGCTACTCGTATACCCTCGACCAAAGACCGGGCTAGAGCGATAGCACAGCGGTAGGGCGTTTGCCTTGCACGCAGCCAACATGGCCGACCCGAGTTCGATTCCTCTGCCCCTCTCAGAGAGCCCGGCAAGCTACCGAGGGTATCTCGCCCGCAAAGTAGAGCCTGGCAAGCCACCCGTGATGTATTCGATATGCCAAACACAGTAACAACAAAGTCTGGCAAGCTACCTGTGATGTATTCGATATGCCAAACACAGTAACAACAAAGTCTCCAGTGGAGACGTTACTGGGCCTGCTCAAGCAAATCGATGAACAACGGCAGGACAGTAACAGTAACAGTAAATAAAAATTATCTCTATCATTTTTATTATTTTTCATTTAATCACCTGGAAACAACCCTAGAACCTGAGTACTGGATAAAGTTCTTTAATTTTAAATAAAATTAAATGTATTATTTTAATTATTAAATGTTAAGTTTAATTTAAATTTAGTTTAAATTTTAAATTTAATAATTTAAAATAACAATGGCTAAATTAAGAATAAATAATAAATAAAATTTATAGAGAATTTTTTAAATGAGAGCATTGTATATGTAAGTGCTATATAAAGGCATTCAGCATAAAATGTTGAACATACCTAGGAATAAAGTCAGACAGGCTCGAGATGTAGGCCAGTTCATACAGGTGTGAGTGGGTGTCTCCCATGAGAGCAATTAAATTCTTGCTTGAATTGAGGCACTTTACAGTAACAGAAGCTACATCATGAGCAGAAGGTGCTTCCAGAATGAAAGAGAATCGATTCAGCTCTGAATCCCAGCCGTAAAGGGCAGACATAGCTTGACCAACAAGAAGTACATGAACTGCAGGAGGGAAAAAAAAGCAACTGCAGTGAAACCAAACTATCATCTCACACTCTCAAAGTTGCATTTCAAAGTAAATACGTATGACCCAATTTCTAAAATAATGGCATACAAATTTAAATTCTTAAATGCTATGGAATAAGTAAACCAGTCTGACAGTATATCTGTTTGATAAAAAAAGGAATCTCTGTACAGTAAAACCCAGATTGATTTTAGACTATACTCCTCTTCATATTTATTAGTTAGACATCATGGTACTATATTTTAAATGAAAAAAATCGTACATTCTAACTGAATTATTCATGTTTTAAATTTTCCTTTCCAGTGAACCATCTATATAAACGTGTGATGACACAGATATAAAATCTAGATAAAAAAGCAATCTTTTTTTTAAATAAAACAAAAATTTTAGTTGAAAAGAAAAATGCTACAGGTAGGCGCTGAAGAGACAGTACAGGAAGTAAGTCACTTGCCTCACACCAGTTCAAAATTTCATGACCACAAATGGTACCCCCAGGGTTATTGCTAACCTAGGAGTAACCCTGAGCACCACAATCTGTGGTCCCTAAATCCAAAAAAAAAAGAAATAAATAAACGAAATTTCCTATATATTAAAAGAAAAAATGCTATATAGCAGTACATAATTTTATATATTACAAGGCATTAAAATGTATCATTTTAATGCATATGTAATAATTTGGCTGGAGCGATAGCACAGAGGGTAGAGTGTTTGCCTTGCATGCGGCAACCCAGGTTCGATTCCTCCATCCCTCTCAGAGAGCCCGGCAAGCTACTGAGAGTACTTCGTCCACACGGCAGAGCCTGGCAAGCTCCCCGTGGCGTATTTGATATGCCAAAAACAGTGACAACAAGTCTCACAATGGAGATGTTACTGGTTCCCGCTCAAGCAAATCGATGAACAATGGGAGGACAGTGCTACAGTGCTATGTAATAATTTATAAGGTTGATCATTAAAATACATTTATATTCCTATATTAGATATTTTTAATTTTCAATTACGATTTCAATAACAATTGGATATAACTCTTCATTTCAATAATTTTCATTTGTTAATTTTAGAGTGCTCAAGGGATACTCCTGAAACAATGTTCTGGCACCAAAGATCAAATCTTGACTCCCAAGTGCAAAGTATGTACTCTCGTCCTTTGAACTATCTTCCTGACACTAACAGGGGGTAGAGCACACTTGCTAAATTTGACAATGACACCAAGTTCTATATTTGCATAAATCGGAAGGGGACAGGAACTGACTACTATATTGTATACAAGGTTAAGGAATCCTCAGACTTAAAGCTGGGGAGAAAATGGAGAAAGCAGAGGGAAAGGTGCAAAAAAATACAGACTGCACACAAATTGTGCACAAACTCTCGTAGAGAAATAAACTGAAATGTAATGACACGGGTGGATAAAAAAAAGAAAGAAAAATATGTAGGTATATATTAAGAGCAAAGAGAATTAAAAAATAGTTGCATCAGAGTCCAAACCCAGAATTTTCAGGCTACTGAATGTATGGTCTGAGGCACATCCAGTCCCCAGCTTAATCACATGGCTAGGACTCACGCTAGAGTAACCACTATTTGAAAGCTCTCCATAAATCAGAACTTCACTGACTGAAAAAATGAACTACATAAAGCAAACTTAAGCGCAAACTAGCCTGTCTTTTCTGCTTATATTAACACTTTCCAAGTGCTCTTTGTGTTGTAGAATTCCAGACTACAGCCTAAAGCCTTGAGAACATTTTCCTATGATTCACCAGGCTTCGTCTCAGAGTCACTATTATCAAAACCTGACTACACTAAAATCACACAGAACTAAAATCCAGGAGTCTCTTCTCAGTGTTTAGCCTGTAGGTTATAGTGGAAAATGTCGTATCCATACTCTTGCACACCCAAAAATATCAGTGATCATGTTGCTTTATAGTTAAAGTACTATTTTAGCTCCATAAATACTACCAAAAAGTCAAACATTAAGAATAGTGCTGTTATGCATAAGCATGCCTTTTTTAAAAAATCATACATTTTCATAAATCTTTGTAGAACTGGAAGCATTCAGCAGAGAGAAGGCACTTGTACAGCTCTCATCATCAAGTTACAATCTAGACTCTCAAAGAAAATCACCTAGAGTGTTCTGAACACCACTGATTATGTACCATGATTTTTGGAAATAGGCCCTGTTCACTTCCTTGTACTCTGATTACTATGAAAAAGCAACACATGTAGAAATAGAATAGAAAGTGTAAGGCGCTCAAATTTGCATTTACCATTTCACAAAACACACATCGAGACTATTCAAGATCATGAAATTGACACAAGGAATTTACAAAAGATAAAAAATCCCCAACCTCAATTCTGGAACTATAGTTCTACTAATATTGTAAGAGTCGTAGGCAGTTAGACATGAATGTGTTTGAGGAAGGCTTGTGTAATAAAAGGGGATCTACCCAGGGACCCCTAGAATGGTGACTTAGATGGAGAAACTGCCAGGAAAAAAGGCTATTCTTCCAGATAGCGCTTCCTGAGGGGATAAGGTGTGACCTGCCTCTGGACTTTCATGCTGAAGACCAGACCTCCTGGTGATGGGACTTTCCTGCCCAGGATACAGTACATAGAGAGAAAACATATGGGAATGCTAGGTGTTAAAAGCAAGAACACAGCAAGCCCTGCATCCTAGGGGCCCTCAAGCAAAACTACCAGGCAGAATTGGTGGAAAATCTCTGGGAGGGCCTCACAAGCATCTACTGGGAACAATAGCCCTCCTCCCCCCCCGCAAAAAATAATAAAGTAATATCATGTAATAAAATTAAGGGGAATTCAGCAAAACATAGCTGAAGGCCCCTTCTCTCACACTACATAGCTTCTTTCAAGATCTTTTCATCTGTTTGGAGTACATTGCCTCTGTCTATATGAACCCCTAATAGATAGGATTCTCATCTAAGTTCCAACCAGTAACATTTACTCAGCAACATAACTGCACATGATGACTCAGCGGCATCTCTAATTATTATCCCAAGCACTCATTCCCTCTGATCCTGAAATCCCAGGTTTCCCTATGATTAACAATGTAGTTAGAGGTCTAGCCTCCATCTCATTAACTCCAGACTCAACTCTCTCACGGATATTAGTAGCTAATCCACCATCAACCCTAGTGGGTTTAGCTTCTGATATATCTTCTGAATTAATCTACATTTATAATTTTCTACCCATAACACCTGCCACTTTTTTTACTAACTTAATTTTTTTAATTAAAGCACCATGATCTATAAAGTTACTCATAGTTGAGTTTAAACTTACAATATTGTAGCGCTGATCCAACCAGCAGTGTCAACATCCCTCCACCAATGTTTCAAGGTTCCCTCCCATAACCTCCCCACCCAACCCCTTACCCTGCTCTCTTGACAGGCACCTTTCTAAATTCACTGGTTAAAGTTTGGATCCTTTGATTTCAGTGTTGTTGGTTCTACGGTTTGGATATTAGGGTCTATCATTCCTTAACAATACCTTAATACTCGAATCCCCTGACCGTACCCAAGTTACATGTCATCTGTCTCTTCCCCACCCTCCAGCTCCTCTCCACTCTTTCTTTCTTTCTCCTCTTTCCTTCTCTCAATACTACATCATCCAGGCATTCTAAATACCACATATAAATGATATCATTCTGCATTTATCCTTCTTCTTCTGGCTTACTTCATATAACACGATGTCTTCCAGTTCCACTCATGTTGCCACAAAATGCATGATTTCATCATTCATTGCAGCTGTGTAGTATTCCACTATGTATATATACCATATCTTCAATTTCCACTTATCTGTCATCAGACATCTAGGTTGATTCCAAGTCTCAGCTATTCTACTAATACCTACCAATTCCTTTTATTTTATTTTATTTTATTTTATGTAGGAGTACTGCTATTTATTCAGCTACTGATTAGTTGAATGAATTGTGCATGAACTCCACCTTACTTTTTTTTTCATTTTTTATAATTTTATTTATTGAATCACTGTTACAAAGCTTTATGTCTCGGTCTAAGTCTTGGTCATACAATGAAACACCCATACCTTCACCAGTGCCCATCCTCCACCCCCAACAACCCCAGTATACCCCCATAACACACCCTCCCCCTACCTGTGGGGCAGATGATTTCCACATTACTTTCTCTCTACTTTGATCACATTCAATATTTTGACACCAGACCCACCATTATTATTTGGGATTTTACCCCAACACTCAGATCTGCTGAAAAGGCAACAGTAGACAATTTGTTTTCTATTGCTGGTTATGAATAACATATGTCACGTGGCTGCAGTAGTGGCCGATTTTGAAATTCTGAAATTTTAACACTTAAATCTGGAGGGATTTCTGCCAAAACCTGCTGGGTTCCAAGATTTGCTCCTGAGTCTCTGGAATCATGACCGTTAAGCAGCTTGATCAGGCATGGCCAGAAAGGCCATTCGTGGGCGATGACTTGGGGTCTCATTGGGGTGGGTAGGACAGGACTGGTTCCACCCCCATCCCGTGAGGCCCAAGATGTCTTGTCACTATGGGCCCAAGCCTGACTGTCCAATGGCCTCTGGAGGATGATGGCCACCGAGCTGCTAGGGGGAAGCAGGTGAAGGGACAATACCCTTTCCCCCTTGGGGTGGCCTGGAGACTGTAACCTACTGCATCGTCCGGACGCATTTCTGCCAAAAGCCACTGGGTTTTGAGATTTGTTTCTGAGTCTCTGGGATCATGGCCATTAAGCAGCTTGCTCAGGAGCCACAGAGGCTGTTCGTGGGTGATGACTTGGGGTCTCATTGGGACGGGGAGGACAAGACTGGCTCCACCCCCATCCCATGAGGCCCAACAAGTTTCGTCACTGCGGGTCCAAGCCTGACTGTCCAATGGCCTCTGGAGGATGACAGCCACTGAGCCGTCAAGGGGGAGCAGGCGAAGTGACAACACCCTTTCCCCCGGGGGTGGCCCTGCGACTGTAACCTACTGTGAGGTCCGGATGCATTTCTGCCAAAAGCCACTGGGTTTCAAGATTTGTTTCTGCGTCTCTGGGATCATGGCCATTAAGCAGCTTGATCAGGAGCCAGAGAGGCCATTCGTGGGCGATGACTTGGGGTCTCGTTGGGGTGGGGAGGACAGGACCGGCTCCACCCCCATCCCATGAGGCCCTGCATATCTCGTCATTGCGGGTGCAACCCTGACTGTCCAGTGGCCTCTGGAGGATGGTGGCCACTGGGCCGCCAGGGGGAACAGGCCAAGGCATGAAACCTATTCCCACCTGGGTTGGCCCAGCACCAGTAACCTACTGCAGGGACCAGACGCATTTCTGCCAAAAGCTGCTGGGTTTCGAGATTTGTTTCTGAGTCTCTGGGATCATGGCCATTAAGCAGTTCAATCAGGAACCAGAGAAGCCATGCCTCCAATTATACAGCTGAGCCAGAGGTGGTTTGTGGGTGTGTTTCCCACATACCTAACTTTTGGCCATTTACTTTCTTGTTAAACTTTGCCCCAAGTTTTTGGGGAATGGCCAAAGGCACAGCAGCAATTTTGGGGTATCTGGAAGTCTGAAGGCGCCATAAGGCTGCTGATGCACTCGCCTCACAGGTACAGATTGACCTGCTGACGGCACCATACCCCCAAAACACCTACCAATTCTTAAATTTCACCATCCAATGTCATTTTGGTGAAGAAGGGGGTATCCTGCTTTTATTTATTTTAATTGTTTTAATATGAGGCACCATGGTCTGCACATGGTCTGTTAATGATGGTGTTTCAAGCATACAGCTTCAACACCACACTCTCCACAGTGTCCACTTCCCTCCATCATTTCCAGTATCTTCCGTCTGAAGTGTGACCAAAAAAAAAAAATGCCTAGTTTGTCTTCAGACAGACATCTACTATCAGCTTCTTTCTCGTGTCAGAAATCCCTTCTGAACAGAGGGAGTGGGAGTATGTCGCTTTCTCTGATCTGTGCCCTCTTTGTCTCCTTATCACTTTTTTCATCAGAAGCATTACTCTCATGCGCAGGTCTTTGCCCCATTTTCTTCAATTCATCCTATAATTTAAATTTAAATGATTTCCCCCCAAAGGAAGCTTTCTGGCATTCTAAAATCAGGTCAACTCTTCTTCATTTTGAAGTGCAAATTTCACAGAAGTCATCTCTGTAACTGGAGATGTACTGGTGTGATTTCCTGTGTTTCTTTTCCCCACTACAAGCATAACTTCTGCCAGGCAGTGTAGTATCTGATTTTATTGCCCTTGTTCCCTTAGATCCTACGATCCGCTTAGTACATAACTGGCTCTAAAAACTATTCTGGTAATAATAAAGGAGAGGAGAGGGGGGATGATGTTTATATGTTCTTGCAATCTTTGTCATATTCACTCTTTCTCTTCCATTTAAAGGATTCAGTCACTACCCAATAATCTCTGTCAAGTCTCTAACCAGAATAAATATGTAATCCTCATAGTTATCTCTCCAATCTAGTGCTTTTAATAAAATATTTGACACATTCTAAATAAGAAAGTCCTTGAATATTATTTAATGCATAATTTCAGCTTTCAGGGGATCTATAATAAGCCGTTTTAAATAATTGTCTATAATCTTTTCATACTTCTACAACTTCAAGTCACAGAAACAAAAGAAATAAAGAGATCTCACAATGGGTCCTTTAATAAGCCTCTGGCAGAATTCTTCACAAATTCTTTTAGAAAGTCTGCCTATTCTGTTTTTTAAAGATCCTTAAAGGGAATTCTATAACTTCAATTAATGGCCCATTCAGGCAGCACTGTCATCCTTAAAAACATTCATTAGGCAACTATTTTGAATTATAACGTTACTCAAGTCGATATATATATACATATATATGTATGTATATATATATATATATATATATAGTCCACTTGAACACTCGAGGTATAAAAGAACCAAAAATGATCAAGGTGCAAACTTAAAGGACAAAAGCAAAATTCAACAGACAGATGATGAATGATAAATATTCAGTAAGTCAATTGTTGAGTGAATGATAGGCTTCTCGAGTTGTGTATCTATGATAACAGCACATATTTATGATCTTTCCAGTGCTGGTAATGTAAAGAGAAGTAATTTGAGGGGAGGAGAGCAGAACAGAAGGAGTCACAGGACTCAGAAGGAAGAGTAAGCCCGGAGAGGGTGCAGGGAGAGGCAGGGGAGGGCCATTCAGTGACCAAACTCAAGGCCTCATGTGTTCACCCTTTGTAAACTACTCCCAAGTCCCTTATTTTATCCCAAGTAGTTACTAGCTATAAGTATTAAACCCCTTCAATGTTCATTTTTAAAATTTGTGCATTTAATATCATCTTTTCTGCTTCTCTACATAAAAACACATTTTCTTTTTACTTCACTAATATTTCCCCCCATATTTTAGACATTTGGAATCCTTTCTCAGCATAATGTCTACTTTAAAAGTATGGGTGTTCAAAAGGAGAGAGAGAACAAAAGGGAATGCCCTGCTCTGAGAGGCAGGGTGGGATGGGGGGATCAGGGGTGGGAGGGACACTGGGATCAGAGGTGGTGGAAAATGGGCACTGGTGGAGGGATGGGTACTCGATCATTGTATAATTGAAACCCATGCACAAAAATGTGTAAGTCTACAACTGTACCTCATGGTGTCTCACTAATAAAAATTAAAAAAAGAAAGTATGGGTGTTGGAACACTGTATGACTGAAACCCAGTCATAAATAACATAAATAGTCTATTTTGTGGTGATTCAATAAAACAATTTTACAGAGACTATAAAATCCAGCTCCCAGAACCGCGCGGCCGCATTCGCCAAGCGACATCTTATCAGGACATCTTTTTTATGACATCTTATTATCTCATTCCTACTTTGGACAAACTGGCAGGCTATCGAATGTAGCCTGCCCACAGGGCAGAGTCTGGCAAACTCCCCGTGGCCTACCAAATATGCCAAATACCAGTAACAATGATGGGTCTCATTCTCCTAAAGAGCCTTGAATATAATCTCAGGGCTAGGATGAAAGAGACGTTACTGGGGCCTGCTCGAGGCAATCGATGATTAACAATAAAAAAATTAAGTATTAGTTCTTGTGAAATTCTAGGATTTTTCATACATTAATTAGAAAGGTATAGATTATATTATAAAGATAGTAGCCTTATATTCTTTAAAACATCTAGTGTCCAGCATTGTGAAAAAACTTTTAATTCAATTAGGCTATGATCACTCTTACTTTCTAAGTTGCCTTTTGGAGCAGTTAGCAATTTTAAAGCCCTTACCTATTCCTGAAGCTGGTGTGAAGGTGTGGATCTTATTAACAGTAGCAAAATCCATGGACTGAAAGTACCTAAAAGAAGACTGTCCTCTCTCCCAGATGAAAATATCAACTGAACTGTGATCTACAATAATGAAATAAAAGTCAAATCTAAAAGCAAAATTTACAGGAAAAAAAAATACACAGTTAAATATATTAAAATTTTCAATTTAAAAAATAGTGAGACATTGCTAAAACTTCGTTTAGTTGAACAAAAAAGCACAACACTGTAGGAAACATTTCAAGAGTCTTTGTGTAATTTACCATGTAAAGTGCAAACCTAGCCACTAGTTATGAGCTGATATTCAAGAAAAAGCAGTGAAAGATACTTTATTTTTTTTGGAATGCTAGAATTCCCATAGTAGATAAAAACACATTTCCATTTTCAGGGGATATTCTGAGGTAAAATATCCTCCTTCTCAAAAGACATTAAGCACTACTCTTTACTTTTATCATTTACCCATGGCTAGCCATGTACAGGTATGTAAAAATTTACCTGTTTGTACTCAGGGTAGAGAATTTTCAAAAATATCTTCATGCATTTTCTTTCTACTTTACCCACCCAATTTCTAACTTTAGAGATTTGGAACATCCAGAGTTTATGGATATATCGCAATTATATATTGAATCAAATTAAGTATTTTTTTCAAAATGCATTTTTTTGCATGTCACAATTTATCTATATTGATGATCTCCCAGTTCTGGTAATATAAAGAGAAGTTAAGGAAACAGGCGGCAAATTTGCTAAAATTATTACAAGGTCCATTGCATACTGTACACTCTGTGAAGATTCAATAATTTTTATAACTATATGCATTATCAACATTCTATCTTCTTACCCAGGAAGACAGCTCTGGCAAAGATTAAATAAGTGTCATCTCCTGAAGTCAAGGCTTCCACTTGTGTTGTCGCGTTGACTGGTATTTCTTGAAAGTTAATAAATTCACTGCCAGACCATCTGAGTAATAAGGAATTGGGGTGGGCACTCTCCTGCACGGTAAGCAAGAACACAGAGCCTCCTCTGGGGAACAGGGCCATGCTCAGCACACCCTGGGCAGGGAGTAGCTGGTGGAACACGAAGCTGCCTCCATTCCATCTGAAGACCTATCAGGGATTTTCAAATAGGAAACTTGGCATGACTAGAATCCAGCACTTAGGACAACTTAACAGGCAAATTTACACTCAATTAAGGTTACACTTTAATAAGTGAGAAAATATAAACTGACACATTCACTCTGTCTTCTCCCACCTTGTGTCTGTTTTGAGCACACACACATAGAATAAGCACAATTATTTTAAAATACATTAGTTCAAATATACACCTGAGCATAGATCAGTGGCAGTAAGAGAAGAAAAAAAGTTCAGAAGTTATTTAGTATGAAAATTTAGAATTGTATAAGAAACTTTCTGATACCATTACCTACTACTCAAGCAACTGAGTAAAATTAGAAACACTTCCATCTTTGAGTCCTGAAGGTGGCAATGCATACAAGGTTTTGAGTTAACAGTTTATATATTTAAAAGAACTAATAAAATCCCAAATTTGCCTGGTTTCTTATGCAATCCTGTCAGTTTCAGAGAAAATTATATTTATTCAGTCAACATTTTTGAATCTTATTTGAATCAGCATTAAACTAAGAATTATGGAGTGACTTCTCACTTTATGAATCTTATTAACTCTTAAGATAAAGCAAACAATACATTGACAATAAAATGAATCTATTATTTATACGTTTACACAAATGCTGATATTGCATTTGGAATAGTATCATAAAGAATTACAATTATATTAGGGAAATCAAGTTACAAAAAATATGACAGATGGGGCCAGAGTGATAGTATAGCAGATAGGGCATTTGCCTTACACAAGGCCAATCCAGGTCCTATCGCCAGTGACCTATCTAGTCCCTCAAGCCCACCAGGAGTGATCCCTGAGTGTAGAGACAGGAGTAGGCCCTAGGCATGACCAGGTGTGATGACTCTCATCCCCCCCAAAAAATATGACAGGTCTGGAAATATGGCTCAGTGCTAAAGCACACACCTTGCACACAGATGACCTGTGAAGAAAAGAGAAGGAGGAAGAAGAGGAGGAGGAAGAGGAGCAAGTAAGGTCATGACATAGCATTCACTAAAGTGATATACTTCACAACACGGTTTCATTATACAACAAAGGAGATCATATTCATAGGTATTCCCGGACAATAGACATAACCCAGTACTGTGCTGGGCAAATAAAGAAATGATTAACATGCTTGTCCATATAAATAATTCAGAAATCATTCAGAGTTTAACTGAAAACTAATAGTTTTTAAATGAGAAACAACATGAATCAATATGTTTCAAAGAAAAAGCTACTCAATAGAAAAATGGATCAGAGGTCAAAAAAGACCAATAATAAGAGTAAGAAACGATGGGCCCCTCTATAAGACAAGAAAAATTTGGATTAGAAAGAAATGTGCAGGGATGAAGCTACGGCTAAAGGTACAGCATATACCTACCTGGGCAAGAGAGCCAAGCTCAAGGCCAGGACGGTCTGCTCCCTTAGGACGGCTGGGATTGGCCCTGGTCACCCTCAGCACTGAAAGTGTGAGTGGCCCCAGGACCCCAGGCACTGAGAGGTGTAGGTCCTATGTAATTTTTCCTGTTTTGCTTTCAGTGAAGTAAAACAAGTTTGTTTAGAAACTAAAGGAATGGAAAGAGATACAGTTATGTGCGTAAGAGAGAATGTGGACTCCTCCAGAGGGGAAGAAAGCTCCAAGTCGCTTAGGGGAGCAGAATAACACTGGATATTTTCCTTAATACCTTAGTCCCAAAGCCTTTGTATAACTAGGAATTAATAGATAGGGCCTTTCCTGGGGAAAAGCACTGAACTCCTAGTGGTCCATTCCTGAGTTCCTATCGCAGGCCCCATTTTATAAAAAATGAATTGAAAAAAATGTCTATACCAAAAATAGTTATTCAGAAGAAAGCAAAGGTTGAAATAAGTTCCAAAGAAATTATTTAAACTTCTATTGTGATAGCACAGCGGTAGGGCGTTTGCCTTGCACGCAGCCAACGTGGCCGACCCGAGTTTGATTCCTCTGCCCCTCTCGGAGAGCCCGGCAAGCTACCGAGAGTATTCGATATGCCAGACACAGTAACAACAAAGTCTCCAATGGAGACGTTACTGGGCCCGCTCGAGCAAATCGACGAACAACGGGAGGGCCTTTACCTTTTAATAATAGGCAGCAATATATATAAATCTGGAAAGCAAAGGAAAGTTTGTTGATAGACTGAAAGGTAGCTTCTAGCAGACATTTAAAGGACTGATGAAAATTCCCAGGTGAGAGAAGAGAAAGAGAAAAAAAAGTGAATTAAAATAAAATCTAAAAGTCTTTAAGGTTTTTTGTTGTTGTTGTTGTTGTTGTTAAGAAACAAAGAGGAAAAATTGGCGACTGGGAAATGGGGCACGGATAGACAAAACGAAATCTGCCTGTTAATCTGGATATCTCTCAAAATCAAAAGGAAGATGCTTTCAGTTTGAAAATGAGGATGCTCTCACACTTGCTGATGGAAAAGAATTTAATGACAGAAAGACAATCACTAGATTTGCAGCTCAGTCGCTCTCACTGACACTGGAGAAGTAAAATAAGCAAGGAATTTTTTGTATGCCTTATTATAGAAGTGAGGGAAGAGATGAGACAGATTTAAAAGACTTGAGAAGTATATCTCTTTTGGTCTTGTGGTCATGCACACTGGTGCTGGGGAACTACTCCCAGCTCTGTGCTCAGGCAGCTGCTGGCATGCCAGACAGGACCATGTGGTGCTTAGAATCGAACCCAGCCTCCTGCATGCAAAGCATGCACTCCAGCCCTTTGGCCATCTCTCTCCCTCCGGCCCTAGGAACAGCATTCAATTTTTCCCCTTTCTTTCTCTTTAATTTTTATACCTCATTATAGATTTGGCAACATGGTTACAATAGGATTAGTGTTTATGATACAAAGGTATTTTCAACCTATAAAGCTACTGCATCCCTCCAGAAACAAAATGCCTAGAAGTATTTCTCAGAACTGGGGAGATCCTACATTTATACTGATTGCAATGACCTGATGGAGAGGTGTTAGTGATGGGTTGAGAATAACTAAATCTTATGAAGACAAAAATGGCACCGCTATGTGAAGCTAGCTATAGAAAATAGATGCTTCCTCTTTTTAAAACAGGAAGGAGAACTAATACTAGGTGGGTTTCAAGGGAATCTGAAGTAAAAAGATGAGCAATCTCCTTTCTGGTAGAGGAGTATGGAAAATGACAATATGATCAAGTAAACATATTATGTGGGATTATAAAATACAGTTTAGCCGGGGACATTGGTGGAGGGAATTGAGCACTGGTGAAGGGATGGCTATTGGAACATTGTATGTCTGAAACTCAATCATGAATAACTTTGTAATTCACAATGATCCAATAAAAATTAACAAAATAGTTTACTAGGAAAATATGGAATTTATGGAGTCATGGTGAGTGCAAGTAAAGTTAATCGTGAAATTCAGATAATATCACTCAGATAATACATTAGTGCAATTTTTCTTCAAGTTTCCCAACGCAATTATATTCTTATTAGATGCTCATGCTTAAATTGCATTTGTCTGACTCTTGAAGATATTATGTTATCTACAACTCTCACAGATCACAGATCATCCTGTTATTCGTCGATTGCCTCGAGCAGGCCCCAGTAACGTCTCCTTCATCCTAGCCCTGAGATTATATTCAAGGCTCTTTAGGAGAATGAGACCCATCATTGTTACTGGTATTTGGCATATTGGGTAAGCCACGGGGAGTTTGCCAGACTCTGCCGTGTGGGCAGGCTACATTCGGTAGCCTGCCAGTTTGTCAAAGTAGAATGAGATGTCATAATAAGATGATGCGCGGATGCGAGTCTCTGAGTCTTGGCCGCTGATGGGATTACACGGCGCCAAGGGGCCAGTTGGTGGGTGTGACCCCCGCCTACTGGAATTTGGAGGATCTGGGTAGAGAATGCTTGACTCCAATCTGAGTAGGCTTGGAGATCTCGGCCCCGGAACCCACGTGCCTTTGTCCCTCTGCCGGTACCTTCAGGTGTGCGGAGAAGGTATCTACAACTCTATTGTTTAAAAATTAACCTTAATCAATATCTGCATTCTATTTTCAAGTCACCACATTTAAATGATCATTTTATTAAAAACCACATCTTTGCTGAGTTCCAATAATTGCTTAAAAAGAAATTCATCAGAAGAGAAATCAAACCTGAGATAATGCAGAACCTTTTCTTTGACTTCCAACAATTAAATAATCTTGGCCATCTGCCGTAAAATATCTTACTTGAGAGCTTTCTGAAACAATGATTGTTTGTACCTAGAAGGAGAAGAGCGAGAGAAATTTTTTTATAGAAGAACTAAAGAAAGATTCTTAAAACAGTAATAGTATTAGTATGAAAAGTTCAAAACTTTGAAAAATCTCCTAAAACCTAAATATTTGTTTCTCAAGAAAATAAAAAATATTCCGATTAAGACACATGACTAATATGTATCAACCTGCAAAACAGTCCTTTTCCACATTAACAAAGAACATAATTGTTTTCTATTTAGATCACTTACAAATAAAATTTTTCTTGCATCTTTGGATTTTTTAAATAAATATTTTAACTGAGGCTATATCGGTTTACAATACCATATATTTTATAGGGATACAGTTCCACACCCTTTCAAAATGTGTATTATCACACCACCCAAGTACCAATCTTCCTCTACTTTTCATCTGCCACAAACGCACTTTGGTAACCCCTACAAAAAAAAAAAGTGAATTTTTTTTTACCAGAAATAATTTCAATCCAGATGTGAATGTGTATACACTATTAGCAGAAGGCTTTTCTTCATTTCTTCCTTTGTGAGTAATGACAAAATAGGGGGAAAAGCCAATATTAAAGGCCTCACAAGTTTTAGGATTTTCTATATTTAAATCCTGAGAAATAAGGGAAAAGGTTAACAATAATGAATGAGGCATCCAAAGTTTACATGTACATTTAAATTTCTGCATGCAATGTAAGTAAATCTTACCTGAATTGGAGTAAAAACTCCTTGCCATCGGTAGAGAGTAGAAGACAATTTTCTTAACATCACACCATATACCGAGTCTTCCCAAGTGAAGAAACACCAGCCAGAAGCAGATACATCAAAAAAACTTTGGACTATGGAGAATACAACATCAGTTCCTCCTGGAAAATATAAATTATGATTTATTTTTCTTAAATAATATAAGAAGCAGAACACGTCTCCCATACTCTCTTCATCATTTATATGGTGAGACCAATGAGTTAATAATTAAAAAAGGTAATTATGAGAGACTGTGTACATGAGAAACAGAAAAGAGGAGCTAAAGCTAGGGAAATTGAAAACAGCAGTAAAAAATAATTTTTTTCTATGAGATTAATACCCAAGAATAGCTGAGAGCAACACCAGGAGAATTACTCCATAACTTAGAGGCCAGCTGGGTATTCTAGGGGAAAGGACAATTCAGATAGAAAGGGGAACACCAAGTGGAGGGTGTTTGGAGGATCCTCCCAGGAGGGGAGATGCAGCTTGAAAGTAGACTGGACTGAACATGTTCGCCACTCAATGCCTCTTTGGCTGATCACAGCGCCCAGGAGGAGAGAGAGAACAGGGGGGAATGCCCTGCCACAGTGGCAGGGGGGGATGGGGGGATGGGAGGATGGGGGGGGAGGGATATTATCCTGGTGGTGGAAAATGGGCACTGGTGGAGGGATGGGTATTTGATCGTGATATGACCGAGATCCAAGCACAAAAATTTGTAAATCTACAACTGTACCTCATGGTGTTTCACTAATAAAAAAGAAAAAAAAAGAAATTAAAAAAAATAATAATAAAAATTTTTTTCTAATTTAAATCAAAATTGTTGATTCAGAGCTCTATACTAGTATTCCAAAATATCTATGTAACTAAATGCTTTTTTGTTTAGTTTTTTTTTTTTGAGGGACTCACAAACTGGCAATACTCAGGGGCTACTCCTGGCTCTGCACTCAGGAATTAGTCCCAGTAGTGCTCAGGGGACCATATTGAATGCGGGGGGTCAAACCCGGGTAAGTCTTCTGCAAGGAAAGCACCCTACCTGCTGTACTATGTCTCCAAGCCCCTCTAAATACATTTTAAAGAGAAATATGCTCAACATAATTTTTTAGTAAACTTTGACAAAGACTAAAACATAACCAAAATTGCAAAATTATAATCTTTTGTTGGGGTTGGAGAGCCAGTACAGGAGTTATGATGAACACCTTGATGCAGCAGGTCCTGACTGCTAACTCAAGTTCCCGGGGGTACCACCTGCAGAGGCCTTGGAGGCCCCTGCACTGCTGGGTAGGGCCCTGGATTTCTGCATAAGGGAACCAGCTTCCCAGCATCATTTGTAGAAAAGACTTTCCTTCTCTTATTTATTTATTTATTTATTTATTTATTTATTTCTTTTTGGGTCACACCTGGAGATGCACAGGGGCTCATGCACTCAGGAATTACTCCCGGCAGTGCTCAGGGTGTCATATGGGATGCTGGGAATTGAACCCGGGTCTGCCATGAGGCAAACGCCCTACCCGCTGTACTATCACTCCAGCCCCAAGACTTTCCTTTCTTAACTATATGTGTGTGTGTGTGTGTGTGTGTGTGTGTGTCTGTGTGTCTGTGTGTCTATGTGTGTTTATTCCAATGGTCTGCCACTTTCTCTTTTATAAAATCCTGCTAAGTACAGTCCTTTGACTTTATAACCACACGGTTGAAGTCCTTCGCTATGGAACTACCCTCTGCGTAGCCACTGTACTAGAGACTTCTCAGATCTCAGTCAGTCTATCCTCTTTTTCCTGATTTCTACATTCATTTCTTAGATTTTAAACACAGTGTGAATGCTGAAGATTCTAAGATTTATGTGTCCTAATGAGGCCTTCCTTTAAATCTAAAGAAATGTCTTCTTAAAAGTAACTCAACTAAAAGCATATTACACTGCACTAGTTTTATTTCCCTCATCAATAACACCTTCCTCTTGCCTAAAGTATTACCCAGGCCAAGTTATCATTTCAGATGCCTTTGGTTCCTTTCTTTCTGTCCTAGACTTCCTTTTGTGCCAATCCATTTTTATGTGACAGCCAGAATGATATCTTTAAAATGCAAATGTGATCATTTAAAATCACACATACAGATTAACTATATCCATGTCTAAACCAAAGACCTTCCATTAAACCTTAAAATAAAGACTAACATTCACGATGCACCTTTAGCTTGAAGTTCTTTTTTTTCAATTCACCTTTTATTAAGTAGCTATAAGTTTATAATGTTCCATGGGTTTCAGTTGTGCATTATTACAGATTAATATCCATATATGTTTGGCACCAGAATTCTAGTTCCCTCCTTTATCACAGACACAGTTGACTCTTCTCCCCATTCTGTAGATTCTCCTGCCTGCTTCCTTTCTGGTACTGACCATCTTTTCCGTGTAGTAAAATTATGTTTTAGAATTTCATTTGTTTATTTGTTTTGAATCACATGGTAAAATAAGTCAGATGATAAAAAAAACAACCTTGAGATTTCGGTCATATGTGGTCAAGTTCAAGTTTTTTCAATTTTGTTTGGTATTGGCTATAACATCAAAAGTTCAACACCTCCTCCTCCCTACTAAGCCCAAAGTCCCCTCTAAAGATTTCCTCTTATCTGCTTCCTTTATGCCTCCAGATGCTCCCTCAAAACTTTGCAGTTTCTCCTCCATGCTGCCCCAGTATAGGTGTTTTCATAATTAATCCCTACTTATACTTTGATCTTCAAAAACTGATATTGCAGGGAGGCACTTTGGTATGTTCTCCATCACTTAAAACTTTTTTAAAAGGACATTTATATTACTTTTAGCTACACATATTTTATTTTTTTTTGCTTTTGGGGGGACATGTGTGGCGATACTCAGGAAATACTCCTAGCTCTGTGCTCAGGGATCTCTCCTACCACTTCTCAGGGAACCAGACAAAATGTTGGCGATCCAACCAGGGATCCAACCCGAGCACTGTTGTGCATTATTTTATTAACTGTGTAAGGCAAATGCCTAACCCTTGGTACTATCTCTCCAGCCTAGATTATTTATTTCTGTCACCCCTTCTTCAGTTACAAATCCCATGAATTTAGTATCATGTCACATGATAATATTTTGGGGTACAATCAAAATTGGATCTCCATTTCCAATTGATAAAAGCATAGCATAATTCAGGGCAAAAAAATATATGTATATAAAATTAAACATACTCATGCCAAATGCTGTTTCAGATATGGTATCCCACTGCACACTCACAGCTAAATCAATGCCATTCGTACGTGACACATTTAAATAGATAGTCCTGTTGGTTTCTTCAACATCTATAGAGGTGTCTCTACATGAAACAGATCATGGAAAGCAGTTAGAGTTTATTTTCTGGAGATCTAAATATACATCACTTTGCTGGTATTATTTAATACAATTTTAGGTTTATATAACTCAAAGTACAATCCATCAACATATTAAGTAGGAGGAAAACTAGACTCTAGAGGTAAATTATGCATTTATGAAAATGTTATTAAAAGTACAAATGCAACACTCTGATACTGACCATAATAAAATATTGGGTCAATAATCAGTAATTTCAAACCCAAGCACAAAAAATTGTAAATCTACAATTATACCTCATGGTGTTTCACTAATAAAAAAAATTAAAAAAAAAATAATAATCAGTAATTTCATACTGCATAATAAAAACCTAAACATACTAAAGATATTCTTTAAAAATTAAAACTTTGTCACTCTTCTAAGTTTCTTCCTACAGAAACAAAAATTATTTTAGAGAAAAGATGATTCAGAAAATTCTTATTTTTATCAATGAAAGAACTAAATATTAGATAGAAAAACACTACTAGTCAATTTCCAGATAGAATTTTAAAACTACAATCATTGACATATGTTCAAAGAGTCATTTATTTGATTTGTGTAACTACATAATTTCTCACTTTTCATTATTACTGAAAACACAAAATAGGGCACATCTTAGTCTACAAAGGGTGACCTCTGAGAAAATACAAATTCCAATACATTATTTTGTAGAACATTATTCTGGTTTTTTTTTTTGATGTACTTCCCATTTGTGGGAGGAACTAAGGCCTCTCCGGATCTACTGGAATTTATGTGAAAAGTCTCCTATAGCATTAGGTCAGACTGATTTCCTCCTTTCTTTATATTGAAAAACAAGTTCTTAGGTTCAGAAATTATAATTTCCTTATGAATAAACAATACCTATTAGCAACTGCAGAAATACTGAATAGCCCCAGAGGGGCTTGGTTTTGCAAAACTGTTATCAGGGTTTGAACCTGCGCCCCAAGTCTCGCGCCTCCTGTTGGGTTAAACAAGGTGCAAACAAAATGCTCATCCATCTCTGGTTCTGTATCCAATACGGCTGAAATGTGTAGGGCCTGAAATCAAAATCAAAATATACAATAAACTAGAATACAGGATTTTTGTACACACATAAGAGAAACTTGCTTAGTTTTGACAACAGAATAATGTTTTAGAAAAAACTAACTCTAATTTAATGTTAATCCCCAGATGTATGGTTAACTTTTTCAAGTTACTACTTCCAAAATTTTCAACAGAGATATACTACATAAAAGTCACTAAAAATAAATTATATGACATTTGAAAACAGCACTAAGATTAAAAATTGTTATTTTTCTTGCCTTTTAATTCGTTATCCTCCTTTGGTTATACAACTGCTCATTCTAGTCTAACATTTATTATATTTAAATTAATTCTCTTTTATCTGTCTGTCCTCCCATTGCTCATCGATTTGCTCAAGCAATGGGTAGCTTGCCAGGCTTTGCCCTACAGGCGGAATACTCTCAGTAGCTTGCCGGGCTCTCTGAGAGGGGCAGAGAAATCGAACCCGGGTAGGCTGGGCCAGCAGTGCGCAAGGCAAACGCCCTACAGCTGTGCTATTGCTTCAGTTCTATGCAACTTTAATATAATCAAAAGGGATGTGTTAGAAGGTAAACTTCTGTAAGTATAAAATATATTTTATAATTAATACTCATTTTATCTCTCCAATCTAACATTTTCTATAAAAAAAGTTGGTGTTCCCATTGTATATATGCATCTCTCCAATCTAGCATTTTCTATAAAAAAAGTGTTCCCATTGTATATATGCATCTCAAACAAACATTCTAATGTAAGAATTATATTATGTTCAATGTATATGTGACAAAAAGAACTGATTACCCAAGGTTTAATAACCTCAACAAAAAAGGCTTAGTTTCCTTTTATTTATGGCTCATAGATAATATAAAGTTAAATATGCTATTTAAATATGCTTGAAAGTTTATATAGAATACATAATTTTATTATTATTACATTTCACAATTTTATTATCAGAGCAAATTTTTCCTGTTTGCTCATAGCACTTTCACATAACAACATCATCATACATTTACCTACAACCTCATCAGGTTTATTAAACCTAGGTTGCTTCTTTAAGTAAAAATGACTTTGTAAGTACTAAATGTAAACATTTTTTGTTCATAAGTGTTCATACAATACCTTGAATTGAACACCTTCTTCTAAGATGATATAGCCTTTGGAAGGAGTCAGATCACTGGACTCTTTCGAAGAATTCACTTCCGTTACAATGAACTGAACTGTCACAGTTCCAAAGAGTCCCTGTGCGGGTTCTCGAACAACAGACAATACAGCAACACTTTCCTGTACATAGACAGCTGTTGGTTCTCTTAAAAAAAAATGCTCACTGTTGTTAAATGATAAAACTCCAGGGCCATCATCATTAGCAAGGATAGTAATCAATGCTGTCAATACAAAAACATCCACAGGATGAGTTATTAAGTTAGGAAGTATGAATATGTCTCATTGAAAACTAAGCCAACACTTGTCCAGCTACCTTAGGAAAAAAAAGGAGAATATTGAAATCACTGATTAAAATTCCATATTCACTCATTTAATATAAAAATTAATCAGTGACTTTGGAATTAAGGGCAGTTTCCTCAAGTCTCTCAGAAAGCAGTTGCAAATTATCAAATTTAATGCAAAACATTATATGTGAAACATCACACTTGCCAAATAGAAAAAGACAATTATACCTGTCATGACTGCTATTGTTCCACATTTTCTAAAAGTATCAGCTAGGTAACAGGTATAAAAGTATAAAGAAAAAGTGTCACTATTTTCTGAATGGCATGATAGCCTTTTTGAAAAAGCACAAGAGAAAAACATTAGTAGGAATAATGAGTTTAAAACATATGCTATGCTACATATACTTCAAATATAAAAAAGATTTCTATATTTTATTGTTGCAAATAACTAAAATAGCTACTGAGCACTTACAAACTAGCTTAACCTATACTAATAATCACCCTACAAGTTTGATTCTACTATTCTTCTCAAAACTGTCTAATTCTTCATATCTGCCTCTATTTTAGAAAATTGCATGAAAGCAAGAGAGCTGTATATAAGAAATTATTAATTACCTATTGTATTTTCCCCCAATTCCAATCCAGGAGAAGGATATGCTAAAATCAGCTGAAATTTTTCATCCCCTTCTGGAATATCATCATCAAAAATTATGATGTCAACACTTTTATGCCTTTCTCCATCAGCAAAATGAAGAATCTGGCCAAAATAAATTGAAGTAGATAACATAGTTTTGGGTTTTCAAAGCATACTTGGAAAGAAATTATAATACAACTCTGAATATAAAGAACAAAGTGTTTTATAGAGATACTTTTCTTATTTGGAGATGATCTATTTAATTAATATATTTTACTATTTTGTGTGCTGGAACGATAGCACAGTAGGTAGGTGTCTGCCTTGCATGAGGCCAACTCAGATTCGATTCTTCCGTCCCTCTCAGAGAGCCCAGCAAGCTACTGAGAGTGTCCTGCCCACAGGGCAGAGCCTGGCAAGTTACCCACGACGTATTCGATATGCCAAAAACAGTAACAAGTCTCACAATGGAGACGTTACTGGTGCTCACTTGAGCAAATCGATGAACAACGGGAGGACAATAGTACGGTGCAGTGCTACTTTTTTGTATTTATTTTATATAAATTTAAAATATTAAGTCACTAAAAGTAACAGAATGAAGTTTGTTAAGGAATAAGAGGCATGAAGACACAATAAACATTTTTTAAAGCATTAAAGTTGTTTCAACAGATTAAAGGAATGAAAGTTAACATTTTCAAAAAGCATGAAAAATGTTCCAAGAGGGTGTTCTAATGACAGAAACTCAACAGGATAAACGGCTTCTCTCTAGTATTAAAAATGAAATAAAAGTTTAATAAATAGTACATGTTACAAAAACTAATAAATGAAAAAATACAGAAGAGTATTTTGATTATAGTAAAAATGTGATTTAGATACTTTCCTAAGATAACAAAGGCAACTACTTTCCCATGTAAAACTCTTCTGTCCTAATTTACTATAGAATGTATAATTGTTCATTACTTTTAGTTTTTGGTTCTGACTGGTACAGGACCCAAGTCATCATTATTTTCAAGAAATCATGATTAAAAATGAATTTACATAGGGTATCTGTGATCAATCTTGAACCCTACCATTGGCGTGAAGACATAATCCAGCTCCACTTGTGCTTCCAAATTCTGGGCATACACAAACAAGGAAACAAGGCCAAGTGCACCTCTGCTCCTCTGGGCGACCAATGTCAAACTCCCTTGGGTTTCATTTACTTCAAATCTAGAAAAACACAGGACAATATTATTTTCTTTTTCCTTTTAAGAGTTTATCTGGTAGCAAAGATCTAAAACTCAGGAAAGGATTTTTCACACAGCCTTGGGTTGACCTGCTCTGTTGCCATTCAACAATGCCTCGAGCACCATCATTGGCGTCAATAATAATTTGTGCAGTCAAGCCCTCTGAATCTGAAAAACACACAGAAATACATTTTGAATAGGATAAATTACTGAAGAGAACTGTTTGTCACATAAATTAAAAACAATGCCTCGGTGATTGTATGATTCCTAGAATACATTGCTTAAAAAATGCTTTTAAAACAATAAACATTGGTAACAGTTGAATAAAGGAATTTTCTGTTAATAAGAATTGCTGACTTAAGAAATTGAATCAAGTGAGAACAGTATGAAAAAGGATTGAGGAAGGATTTGGTTTATTTTCGTTATTTTAATCCAATTAACACATTCTGCCCCAAGCATAGCAGGGGAGCATATCATACTCTCCGACACTGAGATGAGTGGAGCCCCACAGTATTGCTGAATGTGGCCCAAACCAAAAGCACAAGGAAAGAGAAATAAAGGAAGTAACACAAAGGAAAACAGAAATGGAAAAGAGACCAAGGGGTGGGGAGGGAGGGCAGAGAGATAGGACAGTGAATAGGGAACATGCCTTGTATGCAGTGGCCCCTGGCTCAATCCACAAAATCCCACATGGTCCCTGAGACACACCAGGGGTGATCTCTGAGCCCTGAGCACTACCAGGTGTAGTAGCCAGATGTGTGTGAGTGTGTGTGTGAGAGACAGAGAGAGAGAGAGAGAGAGAGAGAGAGAGAGAGAGAGAGAGAGAGAGAGAGAGAACAGACACAAAGACACATACAAAGATACATACACAGAGACATGGAGACACAGAGACAAATAAAGGAGGCAATAAGAAACAGAAGTTGAGGCAACTAGAAAAAAATGCAGAAAAGGTTTAGTGAAATTAAGAAATAAATCGAATGCCAGAATGATAGTACAGCGAATAAGACATTTGCCTTGCATGCAGCTGACCAGGGTTCGGTTCCATGCAGCCCATATGGTGCCCTGAGCATTGCCAGGAGTAATTCCTAGTACACAATCAGGCATAACCGTTGAGCATCACCAGGTGTGGCCACAAACCAACCCCCAATGAACCCCCTTCAAAAATAAAGAAACAAATTGAGGTCATGGTCTCATTCCTTTTTTAAAAAATTTGGCACAAGTTCACTATATTACCAAAATATACAACTATATTCATGAAAATTAGTTATATTAACTAATAGTTAATATAAATAATCTTCTGACTATTTTATTTACTCCATTTTTGTCACTCCTGGCAGTGCTCAGGGCTCACTCCTGGTTCTGAACTTTAGGGATCACTCTTGGCAGAGTTTGGGGACCATATGTGGTGTCAGAGATTGAACCTAGGTTGCCACATGCAAGGAAAGCACCTTACCTGCTGGACTACTACTCTGCCCATAAGGCTTTTATTTTTTCATATCTTATTCTTTACGTTTTTAATTTCAGAGAGTCTATTCTAATATAGGATATTTAAAATAATAATATGTGCCCAGTGGAGAAGGAAAGGGGAAAATATAATTATTTGTGTGAAGAACACTATCAAAGTTGATGCCCATCAGACTAGGAACAGAGAGCAAGAAGGTCCCATCCACCACTACCTCGCTGCCTTAACTTGGGGTCAATCACTTACTTTCTCTTGGCTTCCACATCTTCATCAGTATAATGGGAAGCCAAGTAATTTTGCCACTAACATACAAAGCACTTTAAGTGGGATTGGGGGAGTACTAAAAAGTACCCAAGCAAAACTTAATCATACAAATTGCCTCATATCTGAATATGAAAGAAATACGCAGCATTTTGTTAGTTTCCTTAGCATGGGCTTCAATTATCTTATAATCATTACCGGTGCAGACAACCAAGTCATACGAACTATACACGTCTTTTACAAAAAGAAATTATTTTCAAACAATGGTATATTAAAAGTGCATAATTCTCTTTATAGTTTCGAAGCTGTCTTACAGGGCCTCAGAAGTAAAGGAGCCCTACCTCTCAGGTCACTGCTCTTGACTATACTTTTCATCCGTTAGCCCAGACTAATTTCCCTCTGCGTGGAGACCTTCTGACCAGGACAGGCCACCTCAGTGATATTCATAATCACACCTACTCTGCTATCTGCCCTAGGAGTGCCAGAGTCATTTCCCAACATTAAAAGTCTAAACTGCAAAAAAAAAAAAGTCTAAACTGCAGGGTTGGAGTACAGGAGGAAGTAGGGCGTTTGCCTCGCATGCTGCCGACCAAGGTCCAATCCCTGGCATACCCTGAGGAATGCCACGAATAATTACTGAGTGTAGAACCAGTGGTAAGCCCTGAGCACAAACCTCCCTCTCCCATCCCCCTCACCTCCAAAAGAATTCTGAAGTATAAGTGGAGGTTTATTCTTTAGAAATAGAGATATATCTTTATAAAGTGATCTGCATTAAATTACACTGAGATATTAGTTTTACTTTTAGTCTGTTATAAATTGAGTCTTTTCCAAAGCATGAAAAGAAAAAGATACAAAGGTCCATTAAAACAGGATGCACAGCACATCAAACAAAAGTTCTTCTCAACTAAAAAGCAATTAAATCAAATTATCTGGTGCATAGTTAACCATGGAACTAACTAACCAAATTTGTTAAAGAAAATATCTCCCAAAGAATGTACTTTACTTTGATGATTATAAATTTATTCAATGGGTATAAATTTAATAATTTTATATAATTCCAAAACATTTTATACTATCCAATGTGCAATATTGAAATATATTAGTCTCCAAATTAAATCTGAAAAGTACATTATATTTTCATATATAGATGAAATTCACATTCCAATGATCACCTCTGATCATTACTAACTTCAGTTCAAGTTAAAAGAAACCAAAAACAAAAGCCCATTTTACCTAGTCTAGGAGGAAATGAAGTTAGAGGAGCCATGATAAGTTCAACGGAAGTTAAATTCACAAAGAAATATTCTTCTAGTTCTGGTATATCATCCTGCAAAAAATTTATATCAATTAAAATCCTTATAATTGTGCTATCAAAGAAACTACACGTTATAAATTGTTTTAAAGCTATACATATATGTTTGTGCTAAATAATGTACAGAAAACATAAAAATGCATAAATCACAGAAAAATATAAATTTGAAAACAAAAGCATTAAACTGGTATCTAATTGTAGAAGGTCAAACTGCCCCATGACACTGCATATATTACATCATCTTTTCCCTCCTCAGGACCACTCAGACTGCTTCCTCTCCCTCTCCCTCTTCCAAAGGAAGAGAAGAACAATCATCAATAGTAAAGGGCAACTGTAAAAGCAACATCTAGAAGCAACTTCTCACTCAGGAGGATGCTCTGCCTTATCCTGTGATTTTGGGTGCTCACACGATAAGAGGAACTCCTCTAGTAACAAACTATAGAAATAATGTCTGAAAGTATAGTCTTTATACCACATCATTTTGGGCCTTGACTAATACATTTTAAAATCATATAAGTAGAATACTTAATAATATTTTAATAGTGTTTAGAATGAAGATTAGAACAACGTCGTGAAAAATGCAGGCTTTGAAACCAAGGAGTTCCTATACCAAATTAACTTAAGTGATTTAAATTGGGGGTATGGGTGCTCCAATCGTACCATTTTTGTAACAGGGGAAATAAAAGTTCCTTTGGAATATTATAATAATGATTTTAAACAAAGTGTGCAGAGTGCCTGGGTTGGAGAGAAGACTTAAAAAGTAACAGCAAGGGAAACTGGGGACACTGGGAGTGGGAAATGCACACTGGTGAAGGGACAGGTGTTGGAACATTATATGACTGAAACCCAATCATGAACAATTTTGTAACTGTGTATCTTACTATTTGTCCATTAAAATAACTAAATAAATAAATAAATAAATAAAAAGTAACAGCAGGACTGGGGAGAGAGCTCAAAGGGTTAGCCACATGTTTCATATGTCAGAGCCCCAGGTTTTCTCCCTGACACCAAGTGGTCCCCTGAGCACCACTCTCAGGAGTGATCCCTGAGCATCTACCTGGGAGTTACACCTGAGCACCCCAGATATGGTCCCCAACTTGAAAATAAAACAAAAGTGATAGCTATTTTTGAAGGAAATTTTAATAAATTCTTATGATTCACTAGTCTACAAAACATCAGTGAAAATTAGGCAAGTACTCAAAGCACATAAACTAGCAAATTTTATGTCAGGGATGACCAGCCTATATATAATGAGTGTGTGTGGTGTGTGTGTGTGTGTGTGTGTGTGTGTGTGTGTGTGTGAGAGAGAGAGAGAGAGAGAGAGAGAGGTGGGGGGGAGGTATATACTAGCAATGTACAGTTTTTGTTCTCTTATGTTTCTGTGACAAGGAAAAGCATACTGTCCAAATTATTTTAGGGATTATAGGGAGCATTGTGAGTTACCGAATCAGTGAGGTAAAAGACAACTCCACAACAAGCCTCATGATTTTCCAACTCCAGGAAACTACTCTCCCCCAAAGACCTCCAGTGAGACTTAGTTCTCTTGGTTATACAGGACTTCAGTTTCTTAATTGTATACTCAGATCAGAAAGGAGTGTGATGAGATCGAAAAAAAAAATGGAACTTGAAAACTAAGTACATAAAGCTAAACTCTATAAAATAAAAGGTACTGTGACTGCCTACTTACCATCTTAATAATAAATGTGGAATATCCATTTGCTTATACTGATTGACTTTATCAGATTTTTATTATACAAAAGCTGACTTTCCTGAGTTTTATCATACTTGTGCTATATGTCATAAAGACATAGAGCACCTCTTAAGACGTTTTAAATGATTTAATGTATTAGATCATTGAGTAGAAAATAAGAATGACTGACTTTAGAAGGCTTCCACTAGCTATAATTTTATAAAATTCTAGAAAGCTTCCAAGAAGTAAAATCTTTTATGAAAAGAACTCCCAACATACATGGCAACTGACAATTCTTTTTCTAAGGCAATATAAACTCAAGTTTCTCTCTATCCTCACCCACACATCTGCCATCCATTACCTTCTCCGTAAATGCTATTTTCATAAACCTCTTGGAAATACATTTAGGTAGCTGAAATACTGAGCCACCAACGAAAAGATTCTATGAAATTAAAGCCATCCAAAATGCTATTTCAGTGACCAATGTTTACTTTCTGTTTGATCATAAGCACAGTTTATGTCATAATTCTTTAGTAAGCTCCCACTTTTCCTATTTAACTTCTCGGGCTTTAACCTATGTGGGGCTGCTGATTCAGTTAACTGCTCAGAAACTGCCCTACTGTAGAAAGCTCTTTCGAGGTGACTGCCACCTTTCAAAGGAGTGCTCCAAAGAAATTCTCTTTATCACAAGATGTTTCTATAGTAACAGAAAACAACTTAATTAAAGGTACTAGAATATCCATTAATAGTCACTTCCTATAATTATCTAGGTGGAATAAAATAATAGCAAAATACTGCTTGCAGTTTACCTCAAGTATACTAATGTTGATGGCTGCCGATGTTTCCCCATCTCCTAAAATCAAAGAGCCAACTACAGAGACAAAGTCAGCATCTGGTTCAGCCATGTTTCCTTCTGTCAGATTCTTCGCACTTAACATACCAGGAAGTGTGGTGTATGTGACATTGATCGTTCCTGAGTTAGTATGGGAAAGATTTTACAATTATTCAAAATTTCTGAACAATATTTCATTGATTTTTTTGCCCTCATTTTTTTAACATCACTATTATGTTAAATGCAGATACACAGGAGTCAGAGAGATAGTCCAGCAGGTTAGGTGCTTGTGTGGCATGACCCAAAGCAGGGTTCAATCCCCAGCACCAAACTCCACCTGGAATGAGCCCTGAGTACCGCTGGATGAGGTCAAATCTTGTCAAATGCTTTCTCTTCATCTGTTGATATGATCATATGATTTTTATCTTTTCTTTTGTTGATATGATGGATTATGTTGATTGATTTCCAAGTGTTAAACCAGCCTTGCATCCCCGGGATGAATCCTACTTGGTCGTGGTGTATGATCTTTTTGATGAGTAGTTGAATTCTATTTGCTAGTATTTTGTTGAGAATCTTCGCATCCGTGTTCATCAGGGATATCGGCCTGTAGTTTTCTTTTCTCGTGGTATCTTTGTTTCCTTTTGGTATTAGAGAGATATGGGCTTCATAGAAACTGTTTGGGAGAGTTTCCGTTTTTTTCAATTTCCTGAAAGAGCTTGAGAAGGACTGGCAGCAGGTCCTCTTTAAATGTTTGGAAAAATTCGCTAGTGAATCCATCTGGGCCCGGGCTTTTGTTTTTGGGAAGACTTTTGATTGCAGTTTCTATTTCGTTGATGTTAATAGGTCTATTCAGATACTCCAGATCTTCTTGATTCAGCTTTGGGAGATTATAGGAGTCCAGGAATTTGTCCATTTCTTCTAGGTTCTCTTGTTTCGTGGCATACAGACTTTCAAAGTAGTCTCTGATGATCTTTTGGATTTCTTTGGTTTCTGTTGTGATATCCCCTTCTCATTTCTGATTCGGTTTATTAGGGTTCTCTCTCTCTCTGTTTCTTTGTGAGTGTTGCGAGTGGTTTATCTATCTTGTTTATTCTCTCGAAGAACCAGCTCTTGGTTTGATTGATCTTTCGGATTGTTTCTTTGGTTTCCATGTCATTGATTTCTGCTCTAAGTTTTATGATCTCTTTCCTTCTGCCTGATTTAGGCTCTTTCTGTTGATCCTTTTCTAAGGACTTGAGCTGTGAGGTCAAGTTGTTTATGTGCACCATTTCTACAGACCTAAGATATGCTTGCAGAGCTATAAATTTTCCCCTTAATACAGATTTCACTGCATCCCATAGGTTCTGGTAGCTCGTGTCTTCATTCTCATTTGTTTCCAAGTATCTTTTAATTTCGTCCTTGACTTCGTTCCTGACCCACTCATTGTTCAGCATCGAGTTGTTTAATTTCCAGGTGTTTGATTTGGTTCTCCGTGTCTGTGTGTGATTCACTTCTACCACTCCTGGGAATATATCCCAGAGAGGCAAAAAAATATAGCCGAAGTGACATCTGCAATTGTCTGTTTATTGCAGCACTCTTTACAATAGCCAGAATCTGGAAAAAACCTGAGTGCCCGAGAACAGATGACTGGTTAAAGAAACTTTGGTACATTTACACAATGGAGTACTATGTAGCTGTTAGAAAAGACAAGTGGTACTACATGGAAAGTATCATGTTAAGTGAAATGACTCAGAAAGAAAGGGATAGACATAGAAAGATTGCATTCATCTGGGGAACATAAAGTAACAAAATAGGAAACTAACACCCAAGAATGACAGAGATTAGTACCAGGAATTTTACTCAATGACCCGGAGGACAACCACACATGTTAGGGGAAGGGGGAGCTCAGAAAGAGAAGGGAACACCAAATAAAGGGTGTTGGGAGGATCTGCCCACGATGGGAGAGCATGCTGAAAGTAGACTATCGACCAAACATGATTGCCACTCAATGCCTCTTTTGCAAACCACAGCACTCAAAAGGAGAGAGAGGGAAATGCCCTGCCACAGAGGCAGGGTGGGATGGGGGATGGGGGGGTGGAAGGGATACTGGGATCCGTGGTGGTGGGAAATGTGCACTGGTGGAGGGATGGGTGTTTGATCATTGTATAATTGAAACCCAAGCACAAAAATATGTAAGTCTGCAACTGTACCTCATGATGTCTCACTATTAAAAAAATAAATAAATTAAAAAAATTAAAAAACAAAACAAAACAAAACAAAAAACCCTAAATAAATGAAAAGCATTTGTCCAGAAACCCTATTCATTACAGAATAACACAAACCTAGAGATCCAAATTCTCTGTTGATGAAAAGCTGGATTGTTGTGTTGGCCTCTTGTAGTAAGACAAACCTTGATGAAAGAGCAAAATTTAAAACTCCATGTGGCTCATCACTGGCTTCTACGGTCAGGACAGCTGCATAACCTTGAGCATCAAGCAGAGCAATTCCTGCTGGTGGAACGCCTAGAAAATGTCAGGACCCACAAGAAATGGAACCACGATTTGTCACTAATTTCTAAATACTTTTAAAAAATCCCAGCCCTCTAAAACATATTATAGTAATCAGAAAATGCTCCATTATGTACACTTCTGTCACAGAAATCATCAGGTTGGTAAAACATCCATATTTTAGTTTTGTTGGTAAATAATTATTTTTTTCTGTGATTAAAAATAGCAATTATTTGCTATACTGGCCGTCTGAATTACAGAAATTCAGAAACCATGGAAAGCAGCCAGATAATTTGCTCAAAAATTATTCCACTTGAAATATACATTCAATTGATCCTAAATCCAAACTACTCTTGTAATATAAAACTAATTTTAGGAAGCCCATCTTTGAGAATTATTTTATTCCATAAGGAAACAATTAGCAAAAATTTTAGAAAATTTTCCATAGTTCATGAATATAAATATTCCCATTCTGTGTTAATGTACTTGGGTAAATATTTCATGGGGCCACTGCCTTTTAAAGTGTTTTATATTTGTGCAAATTTAATAGTTACAGCAAGGGAAAGTATTTTTTCTGAACACAGAATCAGAAATAATTTAAGATCTCACACGGCCAACCTAGATTAGACCCTAGCAACCCATATGGGCCCCTGAATCACCAGGATCCCTGAATACACGGGAGTAAACACTAACGACAGCTGGGTATGGCACCAGAACAATAATAATAAAATAATAAATCAAAAACTAAACCCTAGGTACCTTGATAGTGCAGTAGCTGGTACATCAGTCTCAAAATTTAATTCTGAATTACCTTGTGTCCTGATATCATGGAGAATGACCTGATACACTTCTTTCTCTTCAGGAATATTGTCATCCAACAAATGCACAAATACTGTTTCATTCAATGATCCCTAGGTAAAAAAGAAATAATTGAACACAAACTCTTTTGTTTTGTTGGCCATATAAGTTTTGTAGCCAAATCTATTTTAATACAAAACATTTTGTGACTTTTTTAAAAAGAATGAATTAAGCCTTTGATCCCAGACTCTAGGATGGAGAAGAACAGAGGGGAAAGACATACAGGTGGGCAGTAAGAAGAAGTGGGCAGGGGCTGGAGCAATAGTACTGTGGATAGGGCATTTACATTGCACGCAGCCAACCGGGGTTCAGTTCCCAGGATCCCATGTGGTCTTCAGAGCACCGCCAGGAGTAATTCCTGAGTACGGAGCCAGGAGTAACTGCTGTGTATCGCTGGGTGTGACCAAAAAAGAAAAAAAAAAAAGAAGCGGGCAGGAAGTAACATGGTTCAAGGGTCTCAGCTCTATTAGTGGCATAACAGGGTGGATAGTTCCATAGAGAAATGCCGAGTCAGGACCACTGAAAGCAGTAGAGCCAAACTACAACAACCAAATTTGAAAAAATTCCTGTCAAGAAGACAGTCTGGCAGCTGGGAGGGAACCTGGGGTCACTGGTGAGGAGAAGTTTACACTAGTGGTGGGGCTACTGCTGGGACATTGTGTGCCTGAAACTCAACTATGAATAACTGTAAATCACGTTGTCCTCATAAAAAATTAAATCATTTTAAAAAGGACTTAAATGAAAACACTAATTCATAAGAAACCAGGGCTAAAGTAGATTGGAGCTCATCATGGAGAATTTGAATAATGAATTGGCAATAAGTAATGCAGAAGTAGTGAAAATTTTAGAGAGCAGCAACTTGGGGGAACTTCTATGGATAACGGGAAAAACCAAAGCCTGGAACAAACAATCAGCATCACAGGGAAACCAGCTACTAAAAATCTAGGGTAATACTAAAATAGGTTCGAGGGACTTGGATTATTGAGAAATTATTATCGTAGAAATTATTATTATAGTAGAAGCACCAAAAAAAGAACATTATCAACTAAATTATATCAAACTGAGTGGGAAACAGAAATGTGAATACATTACAATGCAGTTGTGCTGATTTTCTCTCAGATAAGTGTGGGTTATAAAGTTATTTCCAACCAATCACCTTCTTTCACACTATCAGAATCTCTAAATGTAATCTCAAAATATAACATAAACAATGTGCAAAGGAAAATTTTAAGAGCTATGTTTACTGTCATGTTTTTAAATCTCTGAAACAGTGAGGAATAAAATAACAAGCACAAACATGCCATTTCCAGAATGACACAGGAGAAACCAATACAAGTTAGGCGAGGAAAAAGAAAGCTTTACTCAAATACAAAGGCAGCGTTTTCTGTTTCTCAAAAAGAAGTGCTAGCAGTAGAAATGACATCTGTACCTATATGTTCATTGTGGCACTGTTCACAATGGCCAAAATCTGGAAACAACCCAAGTGTCTGAGAACAGATGGCTGGATAAAGAAATTTTGATACATCTACACAATGGAATACTATGTAGTCATTAGGAGAGATAAAGCCATGAACTTTGCTTATAAGTGGATAGACAAGGAGAGCATCATGCTAAGTGAAATGGGTCAGAAAGAGAGGGACAGACATAGAAGGACTACACTCATTTGTGGAGTATAAAATAACACAACATTTTACTGACACCCAAGGACAGTAAATACAAGGGCTAGGAAGATTGCTCCATAGTTGGAAGCCTGCCTCATGAGCAGAAGGGAGAAGGCAGCTGGAATAGAGAAGGGATCACTAAGAAAATGAGGGTTGGAGGAATCGGTCGGGATGGAAGATGTGTGCCGAAAGTAAGATAAAGGACCATGATATCCTCTCAGTACCTGTACTGCAAACCATAATGCCCCAAATTAGAGAGAGTATGGGGAATATTGTCTGCCCTGGAGGCAGGGGAGGGTGGGGAAGTGGGTTATACTGGGGATATTGGTGGTGAGGAATGTGCACTGGCGGAGGAATGGGTGTTTGATCATTGTGTGATTGAAACTCAAACATGAAAGCTTGTAACTATATCTCACGGTGATTCAATAAAATTTAAAAACAAAAAAGGAGGTTCTGGAGCTATAGTACAGTGGGTAGGGCATTTGCCTTACACGCAGCTGACCCGGGTTTGATTCTCAGCATCCCATATGGTCTCCTGAGCATCGCCAAGATTAATTCCTGAGTGCAGAGCTATAAGTAATCCCTGTGCATCACCGTGTGTGACACAAAGGCAAAAATAAATAAATAAATAAATAATGTTAAAAGAGGTCTACTGATATGAAAAAACGATTCTTTTTGAAGCCTTTGAAATTATTTGAACAGTGTTCTTTCTTTAGGTTTCTAAGAAATCTATAAATAATCACCCTAACACCTTGCATAATGTAATAAATTTTGCCATTTTCCTCACAAAACCTTGTTTGCTTTTGATATTAGTAGTAATACTTTCCTTTGTGCGATTACCTCAGGGAAGAAGAGTTGTCCAGTAAAGTTAGCAAAACTGAGTTCAAGGTTTTTCCCAAGAATTTTCCAGTTAACAGTAACATTTCCTCGACCTGGAGGCGTTCTTATCACATGGAATTGTAAAATTTCTCCTGCAATAAAAAATGTAAAAATTGATAAATGTTTAATGTATAATTAATATTTGAACTCAACAAAACCCAAATCCCAATCATGCAGCTATTATAGCACTTATATCAAAAACATTACAAAGCTGTTCTGTTTTGAATCTTCTAGAAGCTTTATACATGCTTAAAGTTTATTAATACCATGATCTAACTTCTAAATGCTTTCATTTTGTAGAACTTCAAGAAGTTCAAAAATTGCTAAATTATGAAAATTAGAAAAGCACATGCCAAAATGGAAATCACAAACTTGGATACACTCCAAAACATGCAACAGAACATAAATGTTCCAATAATTAAGAAAAATAGTGAAATCCTCATGGTTAAACTGGTAACAACACAAATTCTTCCTTCACTTCTCAAAAGGACACAAACTCCTTACACTGATATGCAATGTGATTTTACACAATGCATGCATATAAATGCTTGCAAATACCTGAAAATCACATTTCTTTGAATTGTAACTTACATATACCATCAATGATTTTGTTTTATAAAAAGAAATACAAAGGAAAGGTATAAAAATCTGCACGCTGACCTCTGTAACTTAACCAAAGTTACAGTTATCCTTCCTATTAACTACGGTGTTTTTGATACTTTAATTCCTGAGTTTTATGTTCCCATAATAATACTTTATAACAAACTAAATCATGAGAATCATTTTTTAAATTGTTACAAGTAAATTCCAAGGCAGTATTGCTGATGGTGATGTAGACGACAAAAATATACTCCAAGTACTGAATGATGATATACAAAGTTAAGATATACTAGTGAGATGCTGAAAGGGGATGAACAGCATAAGAGTTAGGGTAGCAAACATGTGTTCAACCCACTGTGGAACCCTGGTACCGCATGGCCTATGGGCACTGCTTGATATAGCTTTGGAGGCCCCTGAGCACTTCTGGGTGTGGCCCTCATGTTTCCTGAGCACCACTGGGTTGACCCTAAAGATCCTGGGCACCACAGGGCTAGAGCATCACCATTCTCTGTTCCAAGCCCTGGCCAAGTATCACCGGAAGTGCTTCCTGAGTCCCCTGAGCATGCTTGGAAGGCCCTTCTCAGCAGAAAAGGAGATACTAAGGAGTGGTATCACTAAAAGTTCTATTATTATAAGAAGATAATTGAAATAAGGTCTAATAGGATTTAAAAGAACATATCATTATGCAAATTTTGTATGAAGGACATAGGTTTGAAACTATGCATATTCATAAAAAATAATTTTTACTTAGTTATCCAAATAAGTAAATGATTCTGACACTTAAACAACTAGAATGAAAATAATAAAATTATAAGTGCCCTTTTCAAATACTTTTAAATTATCACCATCTTTTTCTGAAGATAATAAAACTAAACAGACATTAAAATTAGAAACGGTTCTCAACATATCATGAATAACTTAGAGATTTATATTCATTTTAATCACTGAAAAATACAATTTTCTTACTAAATTTAAGTAGACACAACTTCAATACAATTAGTTACTTTGGAAAAACTGTGACTACAAAAAGGCACAATTATCAGGAAGACCTTAAAAGCAGATTTCTTCAACACTTCAATGTTTAATGTACACATTTTAATTGTTTTATTACCCAAAAGAGCTTAAGGTCACCATTACATAAGCAGACTGTCTTGAATTATATTTTTACACTTACAGGAACTTCTAGTTAGGAATCATATTCTCCAAAAGTTGGGATATAACTGAGACTATACAACCAACCACAATGGTCCGAATACACTTAGAAATTTTTAAACTTACATAACTCATTAAAAAAACAGGTCTACTACAAACATGGATTTTCCTGTTGTACACCATGCAGAATTTCTCACAGAAGAGGTGTACACTAAACAAAAAGCTATATGATCTTTTCAAGTTACTTATTTTACTTCTGTCAATATCCTCATCCGTAAAATAGAAGTTCAAAGGCATGTTCTGTATATTTTTCATTTCTTAACTCACTGGGGTACAAATTTCTTTTTAATTCTAAATGCAAAGTATAGTGAAACACACTATAAATGTTTTATTTCAAACAGGCATATTTGAAGACAAAAAACAATTCAAACAATGCTATATACATAACCATAAATACAATTTGAATGTTCACTATTCAAGGAAGCTAATTTTAACAATAAAAATATTTAATATTTTTTCGAGTTTGGCACTATGGTCAAAAACTATAATATAAAACTCAAGCTAAAATACTCGCTGATTGAAACCTACTATTTGCTTTTAACAGAAAGCTAGTGCTCCACTGTTCATGTCAATGACTACCATTGTGCTCTTGCTAGGAGTTGTACTAAATACTTTGCACTTATTTGCTCATTTAATCATGACAAAGAAGTCAATAAAAAAAAGGAATGTTGCTCATCACTTAAAAGATGAGAAAACTGAGCATCCTCCTTCATCAGACCAGTGGGTGGGGCCAAATAGTTCAGAGGCTACGGTGCTTGCCTTGCATGTAGCTCACCTGGTTCCCAGAAACCAGTAAGTTCTCCTGAGCATTAAATTCCTGTGTTCAGAGCGAGGAGTAACTTCTGAGCAACACCGGGTGTTCCCCTCCCCTCAAAAAAAAATCCCCAAATATCACACCAGTGGGAAGTGTCAAGCTAGAATACAGTACCAATCTGCAAGGCTCTTAAAATCTAGTTGAAAGATCACAATTCAGCCTATTTCAAATAAGTTCCATGCACAGAGACATACACAGCTCAACAAAATAACAAAGGGGAAAAAGCATCAGCTACTCCCAGAGACTACACACAGAAAATGATATCCATGGAAAAGAGGATGAATGTGCTCAACCAATAAAAGAACCCACCTTCATGACCTATAATAGATCTCGACGATGTCTGAAAGCTAACAATTCCTGCCACATTATCATTAGCCAAAATGTTCACTCTAACAGTGTCAGAGTTGGGCGACACTCTACTTCCACCTTCAGTACACACCAAACCGACTACGATGCTTTCATCATCCTCTGGCTCAGAATCATCCAAAATGGTTAAAATAGCTATCTTTTTTGTTTCACCTGTAAAAAAATAATGGAATTTCAATTAATGGAACAAAATCATCACAAACAGACTTATAAAAGGACCCAGGTCCACAGAGCTGGGGGTGGGGGATGCGGTGGGGGTAGTGGGAGGGATACAAGGAGCATTGTTGGCGGAGAATGGGCACTGATGGAGGGATGGGTATTCAATCACTGTATGACTGAAATGGAAGCACGAAAGTTTGTAAGTCTGTAACTGTACCTAATAGTGATTCATTAAAAAAATTTTTTTTAAAAAAGGACTCAGGTAACTTCTGTTTTTGGAAGAAAGTAAAAATATCTAAGAAAATTCTTATCCTTCACAAATAACATATATGGGTACTAATATTATATGTGAATAATTATAACTGTATGTATTACATATAAATATATGTTGATTCACATAGCCTCCCATATATTAAAACACTGAGGAAGTTCATCAATTGTGAAGAAGGATTCACAATGTGAAGAAAGATTGTGGAGAAGGACATTCTGAATTATGGAAAAGTTAAAGGGTAGGTTTATTTGAAAGAATTCTGATTTTGAACAAGTCCTTATTCTTGTGCAATGACCTGGCTAGGTTAAAGCTTCTCAGTCATCTTTGGTTTAGAAAAACAAAATAACTCCCTCAGAGAGTGGAGTTTCATTCTCTTTCTGACAATTCTGAGTGACTTTCATCAGGTAATCAAATCAATACTTGATGGAAAAGGAACACCTGAAGAAGTGTTTACAAAGAATAAAGAAGGAGCAAAGATGGAGTCAAAGAACCAACCTGAATGATGAGTCTGGGTAGGTAGATAAGATGACAGCAACAAATATTAGTCTGTAGAATATGGAGCAGTGAGGCAAAGGAGGCAGAAATGAAATTCAGTAGAGAGACAGCAACCAGGGCTAAGTGACTGGCCCTTCTCAATTTGGTCTAGAATCCCCCAAGTCCTAGAGTACACTGACCACCCCTAAACCGAATTCTGAGTATACTGTTTCACCTGTGGTGTCCCAAATTCAATTCCTTAGAAACAAGAAGAAAAGTTACCAATTAACCAACCTGCATACACACCCCAGCAAAAGTGTCAGATCTCACTATTTTCAAAGTCATTTACTAGTAAAGAACAGTGATAGATACTTAGTCAAGTGGTGTAAACATCCATAAAAAATTTTAGTATAGGGGCTGGAGCAATAGCGCAGTGAGTAAGGCATTTTCCTTGCACGAAGCCGACCTGGTTCAATTCCCAGCATCCCATATTGTCCCTTGAGTACTGCCAGGGGTAATTCCTGAGTGTATGAGCCAGGAGTAACCCCTGTGTATCACCGGGTATGACCCAAAAAGAAAAAAAATAGTATAGATTATTTCAAAAGTAAAGTATACGTGCTCCAACACCCTCAATTACAATCCCCCTTCCCTCAGCCACCAAGTAAAGGCATTAAAATAATAAGTGGTCTTAGCAAATAGCTCAGAGGGAAGAACACATGTGTAAGTCCCAGCTATGATCCTGAGCACTGCACTATCCAGTCTCTGCCAAAAGTGTCCCCCAAATTCCACCAAGTGAGGTTCTCAAAAACCAAATAACAAAAATAATGTAATTTTTAATAACATTTATCTCCTCTTTATCGGTATATCACGAGGTTCCTTCCGTATACCTTACTTTTTTTAATCAGAAAAACACTGTTAAAAGATTCTCTATGGCAGTGCAGGAGAGAAAGTAGAGTGGGAAGAGCACGTGCCTTAAACACAGTCAAGCCAGGTTCAATTCCCAACACCACAGATGATCCCCTGAGCACTGCCAGGAGGGATCCCTGAGGACCCAGCAAGGAGCAAGTCCTGAGCACAGTGGGGTGTGGTCAAAAAACCAAAAACACAAACAATAACAAAATATTATCTAGAATTTATAAGTTTTTCAAATCAAGATATAAGCAATTATCTCAGTAGTACTTCCCCCCTCCCCCCCCAAAAAAAAGCTATTTTAAACATGAATTTTTAAAAATTTTATTAGGTGATATTATACCTAGTCTTGAAAAAAGAAACCATAAACCTCACTCTAATTCCAATTTATATTTACAACATAATTTAGATCTATAACACAAGTTGTGAGGGGCTGGAGCGATTGCACTCTGGTAGGGTGTCTGCTTTGCATGCGATCGACTTGGCCAACCTGAGTTCAATTCCTCCGCTTCTCTCAAGAGCCTGGCAAGCTACCAAGAGTATCTTGCTACACGGAAAAGCCTAGCAAGCTACCTGCGACGTATTCAATATGCCAAACACAGTAACAAGTCTCACAATGGAGATATTACTGGGCCGCTTGAGCAAATGATGAACAACGGGAGGACAGTACTACAGTGCTAATATAATTTGTGAGCATTTATAATAATAATTCCATGCAAATCTAAGAACAATGTTATAAACTAATCTATCACTAGGCTCAATTTAATACAAATGAAGTAAACAGAGAAGGCAAATTGGGTAAGAGAGGTTAACTCTACAATGACCCAGGAAAATGAGATTTCTGGTGATAAATGTACATAGTTAACACAGATACTGACAGTTTAATGTGTATGCCTGAAACCTATATAAATATTATAAACCAATGCTACTTCAATATAGAAAACTAGCATTTTAGCACTGTCCTCCCGTTGTTCATCTATTTTTCTCAAGCGAGCACCAGCAACGTCTCCATTGTGAGACTTGTTGCTACTGTTTTTGGCATATCGAATACGTCATGGGTACCTTGCCAGGCTCTACCATGCGGGCGGGATACTCTCAGTAGCTTGTTGGGTTCTCCGAGAGGGGTGGAGGAATCAAACCCAGGTTGACCGCGTGCAAGGCAAACTCCCTATTTGCTATGCTATCGCTCCGGCACATAGAAAACTATGGAAACAAATTTTATATTATTTATGCTTAAAAACCATTTTCATTGAAGATTTTTCCTGACTTGTCTAGTACAGTCATTTAATGGTCATTTCTCTAGCTCCCAGTGCTTCTTATCATGTGTTTGATTGTGTACCTATGGCTCACTCTTGTAACTTCTCTTCCCAAATTAGAATTTGCCTGAGCATTGACTCTCTTTTCCCTTAAAGGCATTGACATCTCATAGAAAGAGAAAATATAATATCTCCTAAAAAAATCTTTTTAATAAAACTAAAAAAAGATACAGATGTAGAAGCATGTCAGCATCTGTCATGGCAATGATTAAGAAGCCACCTAGCTTCTGTTTTCAAAATCATACTATGCTATTACATATCAATAAGAATATAAGTGGGGGGTAGAGCACATGGCACCCCTAAGGACTTAATCAGGGGGCCAGAAGGGACATCGAGGATCCAAGCAGGAGGTCGGCCTTGCATAAAGAAAGTGCTCTACCCACTGTACTATTGTTCCAGTCCCTTGATTTTCATAAGCACTGTCAAAAAAGTTAACTCTGGGGTAACAAAAATCCATTTAGAAACATCACTCACCTTCAGCGAAAGTCAGAATGTCGCCAGCACCTACAAAATCTAAACCTTCAATAGCTGTGCCACCAACAACACGCCACTCCACTGTCACCTGGCCCAGGCTTCCCCCCGTCCTGTGGATCATCAACTCCACTGTGCTTTGGGGCTGCTCCTGAACTTCAACATACAAGCCATCTTCGGAAGTATTGGGACTTATACTGTAGATCACAAAAACTCCGTAGGCATCGCCATTTAAGGCTATGACAACTGTAGAAGCATTTGGCTCGCCTATGGTTGGCTGGTTGTTAACACTGACCGTGACGTTCATAAGGTGAACTTCAAGGAGAGAAATCTGGAAACTCTCATCCATCTCTGGAAGATTATCTGGAAGGACAGAGACTGTGAGATTTACAAATCCTTCGCCTTCCTGCATTATGGCCCATTGCCTTGTCACAGGCTCATAGTCACTGCCAGCCACAGCCTGACTGCTAAAAAGAGATACTACTCTGGTTGTGTTTTTCCTATAGGTCCAGAAGCCTGAGTCATTCACAGTTGGGCTGATCCATGATGTCATCCAAAAACACTGGGGCCCCTCAGGAGCACTGAAAATGGAAAATGCTGAGCAGGCAGGTTCCTTGAGGCACAAAGCAGCACACGTATTCTGGGGTTCCCTCATTGCGGAGACATTGACCCAAGTTCTCTGGAGCGGATCTGGTACCCCTTGAATTGGTGATTCATAGAAGGACAGTAAATCTTGGCCTCCCTCCACCGCCAGAGCCACTACATCAATATCAGAAGTACCGTAGAACAGCAGCAGCCGGCCAAAGTGCCCTCCGCTAAAAGATGGAAGGACAAAAGACAGGTAAAGCACTCAGAGACACCAGAATTCCATGCAGAGAAGAAAAGAGCTGACGGGGTGCTTCAATATTTCAAGTACAAAGTGCCAACGCAAACAATGTTTTTTTTAATTACAGGTTTCAACATTTTGCTTTTTCACCTAAAGAAATCTTGCTAGCTTTGTAATCGATCGCATCGTTAACCAACTTTTGTAAGCATGTCAAAGCATGCAAAATCCCATCCATTTGAGAACTATCAAACAATTAGAAAACTAATTCCCATGACAAGATTTCACTAAAAGTAACTAACACCTTGACTACATTTTAAAGAATTGCAATTTCTTGTCACAAAGTCCAGAGACCATATATGAGTTAATTCTAGAGATTTTGTACCAACATGTAGGTGTATACATGTATACATGTACATATGTAGGTGTATATATATATATACATGTACATGTATATATCTATTATTTCTAAATAATAGAAACCCACATGGGGTTTAGCGAACTGTGTGCTGTATCAGAAAAGAAATATACTAGAAATTACACTTGATTAAGTACACTATTGTTCTTTAATTTGGAGACTAGTCATATTTAAGTTTCAATTTAAATGAAGAAAGCAGATTAAACCAAACATTTTTTGGTTAGAAAGCCAAGGATACATGATCCGTATCACTAATGAATGATAGGTGAGCCCGGCAAGCTACCGAGAGTATTCGATATGCCAAACACAGTAACAACAAAGTCTCCAATGGAGACGTTACTGGGCCCACTCGAGCAAATTCTTTATTTTAATAGTCATATTCAAGTAACAAATTGTAATAGCCTATAAAATAATTTCCATTCTACAAAAATATCAGTTTTGCAAACTGAATACTTCCTAGTGTCAAATATCTTTTCTGTCTATCCCTCTCCCTCCCCACTATCATTTCCCTTATCCCCACAGATGCAAGCAGCCATCTCCAGTACCTTCGCCTGACAGTTATGTTAGCACAGGAACTTCTCTCCAGAGGCTCTTGAACTCGGTAAACAGACTGAACAAAGGCTACTGTACCATAAGGGTTATCATTGGCAGGAATAACAATGTTTGCCACTCCATCTACCCCAATAGTACCTCCACCAGAGGCATCAGTTAGTTGCACTTGGATAACCTAAAAATACAGTGAAAAATTCCTTAACAGATCCCAGTTCTGAAATTAGATGATGCAGGAAAAACAAACATCTACAGATACAAGAACAAAACAGAACTGATTATACTTAAGAAATATGGCTAGTTAAGTACTTAATATTGTTACATAACCCTGTGAATGAGTTTTAATGTCCCATTTGGGTTTGCTAATATATAAAAGAATTTTTATCTACTGGAAATATTATAGGTAATTTTAATAATATTTGATATGTTGTCTCTGCTTTATACAAAAATTCCTACAATTTTTAAAAAAATCATAATTACAGGTCTTGATTTTCTAGGTGCTGGGGATCAAACTCAGGGCCTCGTGTATGCTAAGCATAGGCAGCAGGTAGGGTGTTTGCCTTGAACGTGGCCAACCCAGGTTCAATTCCTCCATCCTTCTCGGAGAGCCCAGCAAGCTACCGAGAGGATCCTGACCACATGGCAAAGCCTGGCAAGCTACCCTTGGTGTATTCTAAATGCCAAAACAGTAACAACAATGGAGGCGTTATTGGTGCCTGCTCGAGCACATCGATGAACAAGGGGAGGACAGTGCTACAGTGCATAATTACAGAGCCAGAGCAACAATACAGTGGGTAAGGCACTTGCCTTGCATGCGATCAACCTGGGTTCAATACCCAGCATCCCAAATGATACCCAAACCTGCCAGGAGTTGATGCCTGAGTGCAGAGCCAAGAATAAGCCCTAAGCATTGCTGGGTATGCCCCCTCCAAAAAAAAATTATAATTCCACCTAAATTTATTGTATTAATATCTCATTTTATAAGTGAATGACTTAATTAGCATTCAAATGCAAGTTTATGACTTTTCTTCTATACTTAGACTAAATAATTGTTAAATAAAAATTTTATGCAGGTCAATTAGTATTAAAATAAAGTTTATGGCTTTTCTTCTATATACTTAAAATAAAAATTTTAGAAAAAAAATAAAGAATTTAATACAGGACAGAGAGGTAGTAGAGCAGGTAAGGTGCTTGTCTGCATGCAGTGGTTTTGGTCACCAGCACTACATTTGGTCCTGAGTCCCACTAGGAGTCATCCATGAGCTCAGAGACAGGAACCAAGAATAAACCTTAAGCACCACTGAATGTGTCCACCTCACCCTGTCCCCCAGAACAAGCAATGTTATGATATCTAATCTTTAAATTTTTTTAATTTCATAAAAGTTTTTCAGCCTCTCTATGTAATAAGTCTACTCATTTGTCACCATTCTTATCATGAAAAATAAATATCAGACATGTATCTAGCATGATATTGTCATATAGTAAATTTTCAATACGGCTGAAGAATAAATGAATGAATATATGAAGAAAATATAAATCTGTGTTTAAAATTGGTTCACACTCAAGTCATACCAGACTCTGGATGCAAACATATTAAGAATTAATACAAAACAATATAGCAAAACTTATGACAAATACATGCAAACTAAATAATTATCAGTGTTCAAAAATATTATTCTAAAAAAACATTGTAAATCTATTTCTAAAATGTTTCTGCTGCCTGTAAGATCACTTTCACACATTTGAAATTCTTGAAGAAATAATCTGTTTGACATCTCCTATAAATGTCACGATAACAACCACCTGTTCTAGTCACTATCAGACAAGGCACGAGTAGAGTGTCATTCTATTCTAGCCATTCCTCTCACCTCTTCAGTCTCCGGAACGTCGTCAGCCAGGACCTCTAACAACAAGGTTTGAATGGTTTCCCCAGGGGCAAATGTCACATTACCTGAGACAACTCGCAGGTCGCCAGCAGCAAGCTGTCCATTAATGGTGGCAACCCACTGAACAGTAACATTGCCGAGTGTCCCAGAATTTCGAATTATTGCCAGGTTTACCTTCACTGAGCTAAACTCAGGTTCCTCTACAATAAATTTAGTAAGCTGAAAACCTGAAGGGCAGAGCAGAATTAATATCAAAAACAAAGAGAAACTGCGTCAACATAAAGCCAATGAATTGTCATCCTACTTGATGCTCTCCCACACAAGTAGCTGAAGTAGTCAGTGCCATGAAACCAGTAACATTGCTCAAGTCCAGCACCATGGCTGTTATTTCTGTGATAAATGCATAAACCACACACTGAGATGCCAAGGGAGTAAGCCATATTTCAGGCATGACAGAGATGGGCACAGGGAGTTCTGTGGCTAACTCACAATGCAAGTCTAACTGTTCCATACTATCAGACTTTCCTGCTTATCAAAACGATCCAGAAATCTAGAAATGTATAAATGCTCATTAATGAAATTTATTTTTTAAAGCCATGCTAAGGTTTGCTAGACATCTCTAGGAGCAGGACCTACTACGTAGCCTATGTGTGTGCAAATGTGTGCTATAGAACACTAATAACACTAATAGCAGATCATAAAATTAAATGGGAAAATATTGAGCATACAAAAGATATGTATGATTTATACTAGAGGTACCAAACTTATTTGGCCTCCACTTATCACCTTCTTTTCAAAAAAAAATACTCGGTACCCTACTAGAAATTTATCTTCTTTAAGTAATCAAATAGAATGTGCCCCCCATCTGCACCTGAGGCTTCACCTCCCACATTCCTGGATCGTTACATTACACACACACACACACACACACACACACACACACACACACACACACACCCCTCTACCCAGATGGTAAGACCCACTTTGAGAAATACTGATTTACATAGACAAGTAAAAGACATAGAGTGGTTACCAAATAATCCATAGGGGTCATCAGAAGCCTCAATAATAATGATCGCCTCTTCTGATGCCCCCAGTTTGGCTCCTCCTGTTGTTTCATTCAGTAGCTTCACTAGAAAAGTTTCTTCCAGTTCAGGATAGATATCATTAATGATATATATTGGCACAGCTTTGCTGGTTTCCCCTTCTAACAAGACCACATCTGAAGAAGCTATGCTATAATCTTCACCTAGAGAGAGAGAAAACCAAAATGCAAAGGCATTCAAAAACATAGCAACAAGATTTTGTTATTCTAACAAAAACATTTATGTATCAAATTATCATGTATATTCTTGGGAGGGCTTCAGTCAATACTGAATCATTCATTCTCAACAGGATTTCCCATCTTTTGCCAAAAAGGGGGTGGCGGGGAGGCAGGTCAAAATTTTTTAAATAATAGAAAAAGACCTCCTAAAGGTATCCAAGTTCATTCCTTCAGATTTGTGTTTTGTTTTGTTTCATATGGGGGCCATACCCAGCTGCACTCTCTGTCAGGAACCACTCCTGGTGGGTACCAGATGGAGTCCCAGGTCAGTCTCATGCAGGGTAAGTGCCTCACCTGCATTTCCCCCCTGCATTCTTCAGTATCATTTACACAATGAACTCCTCTCAAATATTAAAATGGAAACACTGAGTAAATTCAACAAAACTTCTTTAGTTTACTTTTCAAAAACTTTGTACATTTTGGTCATAATAGCATAGAAAATCATATACTTTTTTCCCCCAAACATAAAAATTCTAAAAATTTGGTGTTATTAATGTACATAAAAACTCCATATCTGTGCCTTTAAAAAATGTGGGTCATAATAGTTGGAAATGATCATGCTGCAAAAAAAAAACTGTGTGTTGAGAGTAGGTAAAGGAATATACATAATAATCTTTCAGTATCTGTATTGAAAACCACAATGCTCCAAAGGAGTGAGAGAGAGACAGAGACAGAGACACAGAGAGAGAGACAGAGAAAGAGACACAGAGATAGAGACAGAGACAGAGACAGAGACAGAGGAACAAGAAAAGTGCCTGCCATAGAGGTAGGCTGGTAGGGAGCAGGTGGGAAGTTGTGGGAGGGAAAATGGAGACATTGGTGGTGGAAAATGTACACTGGTAGACAGCTGGGTGTTGAAACATTGTATGACTAAAACCCAATCATGAACAGCTTTGTAAAGGTCTATCTCAAGGTCATTCAATTTAAAAAATCAAATAAAATCCTGCCTGTACAGCAGATCCTGGCAAGCTCCCCGTGGCGTATTCGATATGCCAAAAAAAAAAAAAAAAAACAAGAAGTCTCACAATGGAGATGTTACTAGTGCCGCCCACTTGAGCAAACTGATGAACAACAGGAGGACAGTACTAATTTAAATAAAGAAAATAAGATGCATGTAGTGCAGGGAAGATGGTACTGAGGTTAAGGCATTTTCTTTGCACATGGTTCACACAGATTCTATCTCCAGCCCTAAATACGGTCCCTTGGGCTCCACCATGAGTGACCCCTGAAGCAGAGTCAGGAGCAAGCCCTGAGCACAGGCAGGTGTGACTCCAGACCCCACTCCAATAAAATAAAAGATGCCAGAATATGATTAATCTTTAGCTGATTTTTTTGTTTTATTTTTTTATTTTATTTTTTTTGAGGTGGTTCATTTTTTTTTATTTTATTTTATTTTATTTTATTTTTTTATTAGTGAAAAACCATGAGGCACAGTTATAGGCCCACAAATTCTGCGCTTGGGTTACAGTTATACAATGATCAAGTGCCCATCCCTCCACCAGTGCCTGTCATCCATCCCCACGGGTCCCAGCACCCCCCCCCCTCATCCCCCCCCCCGTCCCATCCTGCCTCTGTGGCAGGGTATTCCCCCTTGTTCTCTCTCTCTTCTTTTGGGTACTGTGTTTTGCAAGAGAGGCATTGAGTGGCAATCATGTTTGGTCTATAGACTACTTTCAGCGTGATTCTCCCACCCTGGGAGGGTCCTCACAACACCCTTTATTTGGTGCTCTCTTCTCTATCTGAGCTTCCTTTTCACCTAGAGCCTGTGGCTGGCCTTCCATTCATGGAGCAAAATTCCTGGTACTAATCTCAGCCATTCCTGGGTGTTACTCTCCCTTTTTGTTGAGAAGCAGCTTTGAGCATCTAGCTGATTTTTTGAGCTACATCTTTGAGCACATTAGTTAATCAAGAAAATGCTGTCGATATACAACACGTCACTGTTCCCAAGATGACTGATCTCACCAGCTATTGCAGTTATTGGCACTGCTTTAAACTTCACAGAAACATCTGCAAATGCTCCGCCTGTTCTCGTCACATTGATAATGGGTCCGACATGATTTTCTGCCACTCGAACAACTGGAGCTGAGAGCTGAAGGACTCCAAATGCATCATCATTGGCGATGATAATTAGATGAGCAATAGTTTCGACATTAGGCCCCAGGCGTGGAGAATTTAGAACTAAAACACAGAAGAAAAGTTAAATGTCAAAATTCTAAGAACTGGCCAAAATTCATCAAGAAAACTCAGCAAAGATTCTATCAACTAAAAAGGATCATCCATTGCAATTTTCTCTCTACTATATATTGTTTTTAAAAATAACTGATTATTTAAAAAACAGCAATAAACACGAAGAATACAAATACAAAACTCAAATGTCTTTATTTTCTTGTAGCTTTACAATGCAGAAAAATTTTTAAAATAGCACAGCGGGTAGGGCATCTGCCTTGCACGCAGCCAACATGGCCGACCCGAGTTCGATTCCTCCGCCCGGCAAGCTACCGAGAGTATTCGATATGCCAGACACAGGAACAACAAAGTCTCCAATGGAGACGTTACTGGGCCCGCTCGAGCAAATCGACGATCAACGGGAGGGCCTTTACTTACTTACTTACTTTAGAATCTTATCAAAGCAATAGCGGAACTATAGGGATAGTTTAATTTAAATTTGGAGAATTTCAGTCTAAGTGATTTTGAAAAAAAAAACTGAAAAATTTACCAAAGGGAAAACAAATGAACTTAGTCATTATTTTGAATAACATTATAATGATGGAATCTACAGAGTAATGGCTTTCTTATTAGTTTATCTCCAAGTCCATTTGGGGGAAAAAAAGCATTTCAGATACCATATTGAGTAGGAAAGCAATTTTCATGTAGCCTTCCCTGACCAGCTGCAAATCATCAGAGTCTAATCATTGTTGTCCTTCACAAACCACTTCCTCCCTACTCCATCAGACCATCAGAGCCAACAGTCATGATCTGCCTCAGTGGAGAAGTAGTCAGCCTCTATGTCCCTCCAAGCTGCCTTATGAGAGTGTGTGCCAAATTAAGGCTTCTTTCTTTCCTTCCACTTCATTTAAAGGAGGAAATCTCATTCTGAAGGCATTTAGAACCATCCACAAATTCTCCCCAACTGCTTTTCTAGGTTCAATCCCAACCAGCACTCTTCTCACAACAATATTCAGAAAGCAACTCTTTTTCCAGGGAACCCGAATCTGGCAATGCTAATGGGTGACTCCTGGATCTGCACTAAGGAATTAGTTCTGGCAGAGTTGGAGAACCATATGTGGTGCCGAAGATCAAATTCAGGTCTGCCGAGTACAAGGCAAGCTTCCCACCCACTGAACCATCTCTCCAGCCTGTACCAAAAGCAACTTTAACACCTATGAAACATCACCAAATTCATATCAGAGGTAACCAAATTTGAGTTAGAATTGCTCTAAGAATCTTAGTATTGTTATTATGAATAACATTTGACATTTAGAAAAAATTAATCTTAAAACAAGGCATAAACCATTTCATTTAATAATAGAAGTCAAGGTCATAAAAATTATATCCAACGTAAAATCATAAGCTACAGATCAATACAATACCATCAAATTAGAAAAGAATGGTATACAGGATCATAGTAACAAATGATTTTTAAAAGTGTGAACTATTTGCCAGATATGTTCTAAAACACTTTTTGTGTATGAACTGACATAAGTCCCATATTATCACTACGTGTCCACATTTTACAAATAAGTAGTCAAAGGCACAGAGAAGTGGAGGAAGCCACCAAAAATCAGACAGAGACAGAGAGAGAGGCTACTACCGTCGGCAGATATGACTAACTCTGCTCCAATACCCAACTCCTCATAAAAACTTGTGTACATCCTTCCTCTAACATAACTGTTCTTTCAGCCCAATGTCTTTACCAAATTACAGATATACTACACTTAGAAATCCTAAAAACTCTACAAAGCAAGTCCGAAAAGAGTAAGTTTGTGTAGTAAAGTAATAGGATACAAAACCATAGGCAAGAATCCATTACCTTTCTATATGCAAAAATGAAACAGAAGAGAGAGAGAAATTAAATAAATAATCCCATTCATAGTTGTGCCTCAGAAAATCAAGCATTTAGGAATCAGACGAACAAAAGAAGTGATAGACATTTTTTAAAGACATTGATGAAACACTATTAAATTTTAAATGGACTCATAAAGCCTGCCCAACAGCCAATGCAATCTCGGGGAAACAAAGAGAATGGGGAGCTTCTTTTTCCCCAATTCCCAACTGTACTATAAAGCAGTAGTTATCAAAACAGTGTAGTACTGGAGCCAGTCAAAGTTCCTCAGATAAATAGTTTAGTTCTGATACAGGAGCAAAAAGTATGAGCGGAGCAAGTGAGGCTCTTCAACAAATAGTGGTCACATGCCAAAAAAGCAAAAGGAACGCAGATCCCTTTCTAATACCACGCACAAAAGTCAAATCAAAATGTACTTTTGGTATCAGACCTTGATATTAGGCCTGAGTCTATAAGCTATGTTGAGAAAAGCAAAGGAAGAATATTTCATGACACTGAACTTACTATATCTTCAAGGATTCAATGCCATTGGCCAAGCAAACGTTGGCAAAGATAAAAATGGAACTACATCAAACTAAGCTTCTTCTCTTCAAAAGAAAGAATGATCAGAATAAAAAGGTTGGGAGCCAGGTTGAGTGGTCTACCTGCACTTGCCTTGCACACAACCAACCAGGGTTCAATCCCCGGCATTTCATATGGTACCCTGAGCACTGCCCCAGGAGTAATTCTTGAGTGCAGCACCAAAAGTAACCCTGAGCATTGCCAGGTGTGTTCCCATACTTAAGAAAATAATAAAAAGGTTCCTCATAGACTGGGAGAAAATATTTTCTCACAATTAATCTGATAAAAGGTTATCATCCAACATATATAAAACTCTGACAGGACTTTACAAGGAAAAAAAGTCAGCCCATCATAAAAATATGAATTCAAGAGATAAACAAAAACTTCCTCAATAAGATATACAAATGGCCAAAAGACATGCAATGCATCCACTGCATCATTTCTCATCAGGAAACTGAAAATTATTTATCATCAGGGAAATGTAAATAAAAACAATGAGATCTTCCAGAGGAAGAAAGGAGATGAAGTAAATATCTTGCTACCATGACTGTCCATATCCTACCTAGTTAATTACAAAGTGCTTTAAAGTTAATGCATGGAGTACAACAGTCCTAGAGGTCAGTTACACATGGATTACATAGATACTTTTAAAATTTAGTTTCACTCAAGAACATTAATTAGAAAAGAATTACAAATCAACATTACAGCACTTAGTTCGACAGTCAAGGTATAGAAACAACCTACATGCCCAACTATGGATCAAGAAGTTGTGACATAAATACACAATGTAATACTATACAGCTCTAATTCTATTCAGCTCTGAAAATCATGCAATTTGCCATGATATGGATGCAACTAGAGGATGTTATGCTGAGTGAAGTCAGAAAACAAGGGGGAAATACAGACAGGTATCTTTCATATGTGGGACTTAAAGATACATAGCAATGTTACAACACAACAAGGCAACACTAGGAGAGAACTGATTCACAAAATTAGTTTGGAGGAAAGCTTAAAGGGAGGAACCTTGGAGACTTTGGGGGAGGGAAAAGGGTATAAACACTGGAGACATGTGGTGTTACAATTATGTATGTGGGAAACAATTAATCAGAATACTGAAAATCACTGTACCCAAATCAACTTTTTTTAAGTTAAAAAATAAAAAATAAAATTTAGTTTGAAAATGTAATAAACTTTGAAAACATCACTTTATGTTTTTAAGACCTATATTTTCAGTTACCTTATAAAATTTTGTAAGATGATGCTTTCAAAGTTAGAAGCTACTATTTTTATCAAATTTTCTATTATAACCAATTCTAATTGCATTCATAAAGAATTTTTTTAAGATTCTTGCCTCTAACTAAATGATTACTTACTTGGGCGACCCTGTCCATCTTCTATTAAAGTAGAGTTAAGTAGTTCAATAAATAGAGATTCCGACCTTTCAGGCTCATCATCATCCAAAATTGAAACTGTTATTGTGGCCTCACTCTGATTAGGCCCAAAAAGAGCAAATCCAGAAGCTGGTATACAGTCTCTTCCTTGAGTTGCTCTGGCTAAATTAGGTGGAAAGTAAGACGGCTTTTCCATATCACCTAGCGTTGCATAAGTAACCATGACTTTTCCCATGAGGCCTTTTAACCTTATTATTGACAAGGTAATGTTCTGTGTTGCTTCCTCAACTTGAATTGGTCTGTTTTTCTCAGAAAATATAAAAACCCCATAAGGATCATCACTAGCCAAAACAACCAATGTGGCATTAGTATGATTGCCCAAAGAACCGCTGGAGACACTGAGGATTGACACAGAGAATACTTTATCCAGTTCTGGTTGTTCATCTGGCAGTATTTCCACTGTGATGTTGGCACTCTTCTGCCCAATCTCAAATGTGACATTGCCAGAGGTGAAGGCGAGATCACCATCGGGATCAGACTCTATGCTCCAAACCAAAGTCACTTGAGAAAGGGCTCCATGGCTTCTCATAATCTGTATGTAAGACAGTAATATTGAGACAAGTTAAAATGAGGGACTGGAGCATATGCTTTGCATGTGGAAGGTGCAGGGCAGACTCCTGGCACCACCAGGCCCTCCAAGTAGCACAGAAGCTACCCCTAAACACAGAGCTTGGAATAGCCCCTAAACACAGCAGCAAAACAAATACACAGAAAGTATTCAAAGAGAGATTAAGATCATCAACTGCACTGACTATAATGACATAACAAAAGTAGAATATTAATTTTTTATTTTTTTATATAAGTTATCTCAAGAATTTAAGATTTTTGGGCCAGAGAGTTATTAGCACATGGACAACTGCACACAGCTGACTCGGCCACATAAGGTCCTCTGAGTCCACCAGGAGTGATCCCTGAGCACAGAACCATGAGCACCACAAAATAATTAAATAAACAAATAATTTAAGCCTCTTGAAAGCAAAGATCATAAATTTCTATCTTTGAGGACCCTCATAGAATCTTAAAAATTAATTACTACTTTTAAGTAATTACTTATAAAGTAATGATTGCATAAAACTATATGTTTACTAGACATTTTAACTTCAAACTAAACGATAGCCGGATCTTCTCTAAAATTGTAACATTAATAATAAAATGCAATTATTTTATTTGCACACTCATCAAAGTTCACATTTGCTGCAAAGATGTTACAAACAGATAAAAATGTTCTGTGAAGATAAGGTAAGGTAAATTTATTTATAACATAATATGAGACTGATACTCAAGGACAGTAGAGACACGGCCAGGAATATTGCTTCATGGCTGGTAGCCTGTCTTATGAGCTGGGGGAGAAGGCAGCTGGAATAGAGAAGGGATCACTAAGTAGATAAAGGACCAAATGTGATAGCCTCTCAGTGTCTGTATTGCAAGCCATAATGCCCAAAAGGAGAGAGAGTATGGGGGAAATAAATGCGCAGTGGTGGAGAGATGGGTGTTCGATCATTGTATGACTGAAACTCAAACATGACAGCTTTGTAACTGTATTTCACGGTGATTCAATAAAATAAATCACTGTCACTGTCATTGTCCTCCCATTGTTCATCAATTTGCTCAAGTGGGGCCAGTAATGTCTCCACTGTTACACTTGTTACTGTGTTTGGCATATCGAATACATCACAGGTACCTTGCCAGGCTTTGCCGTGCAGGCGAGATACCCTTGGTAGCTTGCCCGGCTCTCTGAGAGGGGCGGAGGAATCAAATCCAGGTCACCCAGGTCGGACACAGGCAAGGCAAATGCCCTACCCGCTGTGCTATCACTCCAAAAGAAAAGGCCCAGCTCATCAAACTGCCAAGCGACCAAACTATTCCAGATGTATAGCTCCTGGACTCCTCAGAACTCCACACTACTCTCACCCCAGTAAGGTCACAGCAAGTCTGATGGGAAAGTCGCATAGAAAACCACCACGCTCAATGAGCCTAATCAATAACACAGAAGACTCAACTGGCACTAACCAGCTCAGCAGATCCTCAGACAATGACTTTAATATCATCGCTGGGAGATGTAACAATGATCACAAATTGACTCCTATGGATCTAAGTTTTGAAAATTCCATCTGTCTTTGTGCTGTAACCAACAATAGGAAGTATATTTGTACCTGCAAGGGGCAGAGTGGGGTGATGGTAGGAAACTGGGGCCACTGGTGGAGAGAAGGGCTCACCAATTGTGGGATTAATGATGCAACATCTAATGCCTCAAGCAACTGTATTACAAACAACTTGATAAATCACAATGCTATGATAAGAAAAACTTTTTAAATAATTAAATATTACATGTAAATCAAATATTTTGCTTATACCTAAATATTTAATTTAAAATCCAAACAAAATTTAAGAAGGGTATTTACATAATAATCTAGCAATACAGAAGTGATATTATTTCAATGATCTTTGTTCATTATTTGTATAAAATCAGAAAAGTTAAGAATCTTCTAGTTCCTCTGAGTTATCTAGAAATAAATTTTCTTGAGCTCTTTGGTAGTTACAAAGTACATTAGCTTCGTACATGAAAACCGTAACCGTTAACACTATTACAGCCACGTTACCTAAACTCTAACAGTAATTTTTACTAAATTTTTAAAATTGACTTTTAATTCCCACCTTAGTAGAGGGATGAATATACATGTAATAGTCCCCATTATTATGATTATCATAATATTATTACTGCATTCCACAAGTAGCACTGTAGCACTGTGCTGTAGTACTGTCCTCACATTGTTCATCGATTTGCTCGAGAGGCCCCAGTAACGTCTCCATTTGTGAAACCTGTTGTTACTGTGTTTGGCATATTGAATATGTCACAGGTAGCTTGCCAGGCTTTGCCACTGGGGCGAGATACTCTCGGTAGCTTGCTGGGCTCTCCAAGAGGGGCAAAGGAATCGAACCTGGGTCAGCCGGGCCAACTGCATGCAAGGCAAATGCCCTACTACTGTGCTATCGCTCCAGCCCTGCATTCCACAAGTGTTCTGAATAATTTTTCCTTTCAAAATATAGAGAGCAAGCTATTTATCCACCCAGTGACAATTCCAGGTGACATGCTTTGACCAAGAAAGTGGAAGTAGAAGTGCTACATATCACATCCAGAATCAAGCAGGGTCTCAATAGTCGTATGTGAAAAACTTGTGTTTACATCCTTCCCCAATCACAGAAAATCTACTCCAAAACTTTGATTAATCTACAAAGAGACCTACCTGAAACCCCAGTGAAACAAGTTTTCACAACAAATGACAAAAGGATTTCACCAATACAAAGATCACCAAGAGAAAATCTCACTGCAAGCAATAAACTGTAAATGCGAAGAGATTTCTAAGGTGAGGAATATTACCCCAGGGAACAATGAGATTGTGCTGAAAACCAAAGACCCAATCTACATTTCTGTAACTACAATACTGAAACATAAAGCAAATACCTGCAGAGTATAAACTCAGGTCTGGGTTGCTGATGAAAAAGGAAGTCTCGTGGGCCGTCCCCCACGCCCCACCGAGGTCGCCGGCTGCCCCCCACGAGCGGTTCTCCGGCACGGCCACGGCCCCGGAGGCACAAGGACTTAGAACAGAGAACCAGCCGCTTGGAGCAGAAAAGCAAATGGACTATGTGTTAAACAGCGCCACCAAGCCTGCCCGGAGGGGAAAGGGTGTTGACCGGCCCGCCCGCTCCTCTCTGGAAAGAAAGATGGCAGCCGCACGGGCACAGAAACCAATCTCTTAACTATCTAACTTTTAATAGAAATTCTTCCAGGGTCAATAAGTAAAATAGCAGAAATTCAAAACCGCGCGGCCGCTATTGCGGCCGCGCGACCTCATTTTATTCTTAAACCAAGTTGTAGAAAGCAAATCATTTCACAACGCTGTTTCAGCATATCTGATTGTGAGGGGTGGGTCGTAAACTCTAAACAATAATTGTGCATCTTCTATCGAAACAATCTATCTAGTCAAAGTAGATAGAGTATTAACTAGAACTCATCTGACTCACAAGAATTGGGAGGGGTGGGGGGAGGTGGGGGTCTATTGGGGTTCGGGGTTAAAAATAAGTATTGGTAAAGGGAAATGTGTTTGATATTTACATGACTGAGACCTAAACCCGAAAGCTCTGTAACTTTTCCCACAGTGATTCAATAAATAAATAAATAAATAAATAAAAAAGAAAAAAAAAAAGAAAAAGGAAGTCTCAGTTTCCCCTTGCCAACAAGAGGGGAACCCACAGTTTCCCCTCACCAGTAGTTCCATTTCTCCCCATCAACCTACCACACCTCATCCTCAAGGCCCTATCTTTAACATTCCTGGAGTCCTCCAGGACCCTATTCTTCTGTCGCGGAACTAGTAGTCACAAGACAAAGACGATGAACAATACTCGAGGCAGGTGACTAGGAAAATAAACCAGCCCGATCACCCTGTCTGAATACTCTGGAATCCTAAGACCCAGTTTTCCTATAAAAAAAATCTCACAAAAAGAGCCATAGTAAACTTAGTCCTATACTAAGGTCTTCACTACTTAGGAAGCTCTTTTTCTTTTCTCTTTCACTTTCTCATAAAATTTTCTACTTTTCAACTCTGAGTCTGAGCATCTTTATTATTCAACATTTTCATTCTTGCATGAAATATTCAAGAGTGAAGAACCTGGGAATCGCGAATGAACACAGAGACCTACCACCACTGCTTCTGCTTCTCCTGCCATCACTGGAAGATGGCATCTCAGTGACCTCACAAAGATCAAAATTACTGCTTACTCTTAGCTCTTAACAACCCAGCTCCCGTCAATCTACTTTTGACTAAGATCAGACAATCCTCACTCTGACAGAAAGAAAGCACCCACGAGACTTTGCAGCACAGGGACTCCCGCTGCCTGTTTGCTCAGACTCTGCTCCCTGCCTGCCATGGGATAATGCTATTATCAGCAGCCTGAGATCCCAGCCTCCTCTGAAACCAACCCTCACAAGAGTTCAGCCACCACCAAATTTTGAACCAACCCAGCACCCAAATGGATTCTGGGCACTGACCAGACCACTTAAACTCGGCACACAGGTCATTGATCACCCAGACTCATAAGTCCCATGTTTGTCACACAGATCCATGTAATCTAAACTTTAGTGAGAACGTGAGCAGTCACAAAAAAGAAATCACAATATTCAGGAATGATGAAAAAGGGAGAAGAAGAGTTAATTCAAGCTTGGTAGGAATGGTCCAGCCTCTACAGAAAACAATACGGGTGTTTCTCAAGAACATAAGACCCAGCTCTTCCACTTTGAACTATCTACGCACAAAACACAATAATTCAAAAAGATATGGGCACACAATGTTCATTTCAGCACTTAGGAAAACTTTCAGGATGTGGAGACAGCCCAAATGTCCAACAGTAGATGAATGGATAAAGGAGTTCTGGTATGAATGCACAACAGAATATCAGACAGTCACAGAAAAAAAATAAAATAAAATAGTGAAGTTCATGGCAACCTGGATATAGTTGAAGAATATCATGTTGACAAAAAGAAAACCAGAGGTAGAGAATAAAAGTCAGATGATCTTATGCATCTGTGGTATATAATGAAACAAATCATGGGGCCGGAGAGATAGTAGAGTGGGTCAGGCATTTGCCGTGCACCAGCCAACCCGGCTTCGATCCATGGATTGGATCCTGAATGAGCACCACCAGGATTGACTCCTGAGTGCACAGACAGGAGTAACCCCTAAGCACTGCCGGCTGTGGCCCAAAAACCAAAAAAGAAACAAACAAATAAAATGTATAAACAATATCAATTGATAATAAACTCTGGGCACTGGATTACAGAACTGAGAACAGGACATTGTAGGGATGGAGAAGAGAAGAGGTGGACCAAAAGAAACACAAGATGGAGAGTCTCTGGCATGTATGTGTGGTCAAAAGGTACAAAACCATAATTGCCCATCAACAGTATGGAAGAGAGTTGGGGTGGGGTGGACGAAGGTCAGGCCAGAGCAGATATGGGGAGAGGTACAGAGGGCCATGAGTGGTGGCGGTAATATATAGTATTTGTACAAGAAAGCTATTTACTTAAACACAACTATAACCACATGATATTAACGATAAAAAGAATCACAAACTACTATCCATTTCTCCACAACCGCTCAGTGAAGAAGATTGTGAAATGCAGCCTCTATAGTTCTCATTCTCTCAGTGAAAGAGGACCATCCACCTCCACTGACATAAGTACACCCGAGTGAAAAAAATATTCATCATAACTAAACTTTTAGAATTTAAATGTTTACTACCTAAAACCTAGCAGAATTAGGACAAACCTCTTCATAAAATAGTACTTGTGTTACAGCTCCTTTTCCTTCTTGAGGAATCTTCTGGATCTTCAGATCACTCTAGGTTGCGAAAATAAATCTCTATGTAAAACTAAAGACAAATGTCAACGTGCTGTTCAATTATTAATTTGCATTGCCTATGCCCAAGGTTCATAATTCTCCAGCACACAGAAAAAAGAGTTAACAAGTTATACTGTATTTTTTTAATGTAGAAAATGGAGGAAGGATGTACTCACATTTAATGTAACAATGCTGAATCCATCTTCTGGTTCAGTTCCAGTGACAAAGAGAGACTCGGGGCTAAATTCAAATACACCATGTGCATGGTCAGAGGCCACAATTGTCACTAGGATTTGGGAGGCCACTCCTAGACTGGCTGCATGAGAAAGTTCCAACAAATAATAAGAAAATGCTAATTAGTCATTTAGAAACAAAAGCAAAGCCAAGGAAGGCTTTAGAAAAGAGTCCTATCATTCACTGAGTAAATTCCAATTTGTTTTAGAAAGGCAGACACAAATGGGAGGCACACATATTCATTCTTTAATGACCTTTCTCTATTTGGGCACTAACTTAGAAACAAATGCTGCATAAACATTTGGAGATGAATAAGGAAAACCTGTTTTTCTTTTTCTCCTCAGTGAAAAAACATTCTTCCACAGAGAACATCTGAGGAAAGTCTCCCACGCCCTAACTGGCCTCAGAAAGGCATGAACCAAGATACTGTTCTGACCTTGTGGAACAGCTACCCTCTGATGTTTACCAGTGTGGCCCAACACTTAATTTCAACCCAGGCATTAATTCCAACATACAATGATAATCTACTTCTTCTGGCTAAATAGTCCAATTCCATTTTACTAGATGTCAGTTTTTTTTTAAGGATGCCAAAATTTTCGAAAATGGTTTTTAAGCCTGAGAAGTTCACCCCTTATACTATTATGACAGAAACAGGACAAGGGTCTTGACAGTAGTGATTAAGCAGAGATCCTAGATAAGGCACTGAGGACTTGGAGATGGAAGGGAAGGTGAAATCATGAGTTCTGACACTAAAATAGAAAGCCTGACGCTGTGCAAAAGGCACATTTGAGGATTACAGTGTGCTATGCATTCACTCCTCATATTAAAAAGTCAAAATTCTGAATCATGCCAGTTATGAGTCTGTTCCGAAAGGCAACCTTAACAGTCCCTCCCATTAACTGGCAATCTCCCTTTTATTTCCTTTTTAATTTTTTTCCAACACCCCATTTAATTTCTTCATTTTTTCTATTAATTTTAATAAGATGTTACCTATAAAAATCCATGGTTCCTTTTGTAAAGAAAACAAGCATAATGCATTCACTGTGGAAACATTAATGTTTTCATCTATCGCTTTTTGGAATGACAGCTATTGTGTGGTACTCAGGGTTTTCTGGGATCATTCTTGGCAATGCTCAAGGGGCCATCAGGTGCTGGGGACTGAACCAGGATTCAGAAAATGCCTTACATAACCCCCTGCATTATTCCCCTGACACCTCATCTATCTCATGTAGGAATTCAAAATATAAAAACATGTTTTTCAGAAATCTATTTTTATATGATGGCCAAGCAAAATTTATCGTATAATTAGAATGAGGAGTCATTATTAAGTTCACAGAGAGTTATTTGGCTTTCTGAAGCAAGCAAGAAGTCGATCTGATAATCACTATGTCTTGCTGTGTAGCTAGAACATGAAGCAAATAAATCTTCATAAAGTGGTGATGGTTCGTGAGATAAAATAGAAAACTTGTACACAGTAACTTGTCAGTAAGTGGGTCAGTATTATGGTCTGTAAAATGAAATGGCAATATAAAATGCAGAATACTGAAGTGACCGAAAATCACTGCTTACCACGTTTGTGAATAGCTGGAAGGAAGAATTCCATGTCCCCATCACCACTCCCACTGCCTTCAACCCTAAAGAGTCCAGTCACTTCACAAGGAGACAGACAGGGACACAATGCACACAACACACATTGACATAAGGAAAAATTAAAAGCTTTTAAGAACATCCCTAGCAGAAAAAAAAAACAAAGAAACGCAATCATAGTCACCCAATAGCATGCAATCTTCTGAAGGAAACATTATTTTACATGGTATAACAATGGCCAAGTCACCAATACATAAAGCTTCATTCACAGGGTCAAGAACTACTCCGTATAAGGTTCAAACAGTATTTCCCAACTTTGTCATTGATAGCCATAATGGTTTGGGGAGGGACTCCCCGACAGTGCTCAGAGGCCCCTGCAGCATTCCTGGTCATTCTCAGCCCATCCATGCAGGCCTGATAGTTTGATGCTAGGCTGGCAATGCAGTGCTCTAAAGCACAGTGGCCCTGGGGACCATCGGGGAATCACCTGGTAGTAAATAGTTTATTTTTAAAGCATCTACTTTCAGCACTCAAATTGTGTCCAACACTTAAAAATTCTTATTAGATGTTTTATGTGTATATATAACCAAAAGGCTCTATAATTCTCATAAAAGCCATCTTATCACTAACAACAACCAATTCAAGATGAGGAAAGTGCATCTAACAATTCTCTCTGATCCCGTAACCAGACTCCCTCCAGAGTTACTACTCTCAGATTTATTACCCTTTTGCCACTGACATTGCCGAAAGAACTTTAGACAAGGAGTCCAAAGATCTGTGTTAGGCCGCAGATGTAAGATGCCAGTTATAAAACCTCCAGTAAGTTACTAAAACTCTCAGTGCCTCACATTTTCATTTATGTAAAATATCTTTTATAGAACTGCTGTAAAGTTAAAATACACAATGTAAAATATTATTTGGAGTAACTTGGTAACATACAGAGCGCTGAAATAGTGACTGGTTATTCCTTCATTTCCAAAATATCTTATATCCCACTGTTACTTAACTGATTGTTTAGAGGAAGGGCAAACAGAAAGTGAAACAATGATAGGATTAGAAAAAAGGAGGTGGTACTACATGGAAAGTATCATGCTAAGCGAAATGAGTCAGAAAGAGAGGGATAGACATAGAAAGATTGCATTCATCTGGGGAACATAAAGTAACAAAATAGGAGACTAACATCCAAGAGTGGCCGGGATTAGTACCAGGAGGTTCACTCTATGGCTTGGAGGCCAACCACACATGCTAGGGGGAAAGGGAACTCAGATAGAGAAGGGAGCACCAAATAAAGGTGTTGGGAGGATCCTCCCAGGATGGGAGAAGCATGCTGACAGTAGACTATAGACCGAACATGACTGCCACTCAATGCCTCTTTTGCAAACCACAAAACCCAAGAGGAGAGAGAGAGAACAAAAGAGAATGCCCTGCCACAGAAGCAGGATGGGATGGGGGTGCTGGGAGGTGGGAGGGATACTGGGATTCGTGGGGGGTGGGGGGAATGGGCACTAGTGGAAGGATGGGTATTTGAACATTGTATAATTGAAACCCAAGCACAAAAATGTGTAGTCTACAACTGTATTTCATGGTGTCTCACTAATAAAAAATTTTAAAAAAAGGAGATAGAAAGAAGCAAGACATGACCCTATATATGTCCTTCAAACAGTATCCTTGCTGGTTTATGATCTACCCTACCTTTGTTTTTCCCTTCAAGGGTCTGAGATCAAACAGAAATGGGAGTTTGGAGCACTGAAAATTTGAAACTGTACTAGAATTTATGAGAATATTCAATGCAAGGCTTATTTTTATTACTTATTATTCATTAGTTAGGAGAAATAGCATAAAATTCTCCGGTGAGTTTAAGACATCTATCTATCCAGGTAGTTACTGTATATAGATTCAGTATTCCAGAAAAAATAGTATAGAATAAGGATTGCACCCTTGAGTTTCAAAATAATTTAGTTCCACAAACTGTCCACTTCTTAGACAGTTCTCTATCTGACTCAAAGAATAAAGGCCACATATAGATTCACTTACTAAGAAGCTACAAGTTCCATTTTTTTAATAAATATGCATGCCCAATTCATATATAACAATGTCTATTCTAGAGAAATTGGAAATATTTATGTAAATTTCTTAAATATCACTATGATCACAAATATTTCTCAACAATATTTGGTGTTTTAAGTAATGGTCATGAATCTTTCTTGGTGTTACATAAATTTTTTAGCCATAAATTTTACAAAGAACAAGTTTTCAGATATTTGATAATGATGTCTGCATTAAATAAAGTCCTTTCATGGATTTGGATTTACTAGGGCTTGTCTCTGAAGGATAAGCAAAATTGATCACTTTATATGTCAATTTCCAAACAGATTATTCAGCATAATTTTACTGTTTTAAGCATTCAGCCACGTTTAATCACTGTTTATTCATTGCCCTGGTCCCAAACACTGATTTTACCTCTTCTCCTTTCACCTGGCATCTGGGAACTGAGGAAGGGAAAGTGTGACATGTAGCAAAAGATTTTAATAGTTCCGTCCTACCCAGTATCTCCTGTTCAGATGGCTATCATGACAGCACATTTTTTTTTCAGAAAATAAAGGGAAAAGCTGGGCAATAACTCCAGACTTATAAAGAAAGAGACACATGGAATAGACAGCACACCAACTCTCAATTTCTTAACATTTATGAAGGAAGAACGTTACATTTTACCTATTTTCTACCGATTTTCATGTAGCACCTGAAAATCAACCACAGATATTTCTGCAAACAGACATATAATACCACATCTAAAGATACATATAAACAGTATAAATAGCCTCATTTCAATGCTGGTAAGTTTTGCCACTCGATGGATTTTTCATGGATTTTTCACTATAAACAGCTTCTCTAAGCATAGTTTTAGGAGTACAAGAATTAAAGATACAGTCACGTTGTTTTGTTTTATTCATAACTACCTTATAATAGTTTATCTAAAAGGACTAGTTATCAACACTACGATATTTGAAGGTACTATGAAAATTGGCAGGGCTGAGGAGTGAAAAATATAGAGGGGTGATTTTAGAAGCAACTATTACAAATGAAAACTACCATTTAATGATCCAGAAAAATTGTACAACTTAACTTTAAAAGTACATCCCCTGCAGGAAAAGGCCAATGGATAATAAGGGGGGAAAACAACATAGCAGGAAGTGTCCTTATGATAAACACTAGTTATTTTAACTCAAAATTAACAAAACCTCACAGGACTATATGTAAATGAAACTATAAATTGAATATTAATTTCTAAAACTAATGCCCTAGGGCTGGAGTGATAGCACAGCGGGTGGGACGTTTGCCTTGCACATGGCCAACCCGGGTTTGATCCCCAGCATCCCATATGGTACCCTGAGCACCGCCAGGAGTAATTCCTGAGTGCAAAGCCAGGAGTAACCCCTGAGCATCGCCAGGTGTAACCCAAAAAACAAAAGTAATAAATAAATAAAATAAATAAAACTAATGTCCTACCATGATGTAAAGAAATGGCAATTTTCTTTTTATCAAGATAGAGATTGCCATAGAAAAAAAATTGTCCACCATATATCTTAAGTCATTATTAACCTTCAGGTAGTTCTTTCTAAAGACTATGAATAAGCTTACTTTAAAAACAAATTAATTCAGAAAAAGGGGCAAAAAATGTGAAATGGAGCAGGGAAGACCTCTTTAATAAATTGTGCTGGCAAAACTGGATGGCTACATGCAAAAAAGTGGGCTCAGATCTCTGCCTAATGCCATGCACAAAAGTAAGATCAAAATGGATTTATGATCTCAACACCAGACCAGAATCCATAAAGTTCATTGAAGACAAAGTTGGCAAAACCCTCCATGTTATTGAAGCTAATGGTATCTTCAAATATGTCAAGCCACTGGCCAAGCAAGTGAAAACAGAGATAGACAAATGGGACTATCTTAAACTAGGGAGCTTCTGAACCTCAAAAGAAACAGTGACCAAATTACAAAGACAGTCTATAGAATGGGAAAGGATATTCGCCAAATACACATCCGACAAGGGGTTGATATCAAGGATATACCAGGTACTGGTTGAACTTCACGAGAAGAAAGCACCCAACCCCATCAAAAAATGGGGCAAGGAAATGATCAGAAACTTTTGCAAAGAAGAAATCCGAATGGCAAAAAGGCACATGAGAAAATGCTCTACATCACTAATCATCAGAGAGATGCAGATCAAAACAACAATGAGTTATCATTTCACACCACAGAGACTGGCCCACATCCAAAAGAACAAAAGCAACCGGTGCTGGCGCAGATGTGTTGAGAAAGAGACCCTCCTTCACTGCTGGTGGGAATGCCAACTGGTCCAACCCTTTTGGAAAACAGTATGGACGATTCTCAAAAAATTAGAATTTGAGCTCCCATTTGACCCAGCAATACCACTCCTGGGAATATATCCCAGAGAGGCAAAAAAGTATAGCCGAAGTGACATCTGCAATTGTCTGTTTATTGCAGCACTCTTTACAATAGCCAGAATCTGGAAAAACCTGAGTGCCCGAGAACAGATGACTGGTTAAAGAAACTTTGGTACATTTACACAATGGAGTACTATGTAGCTGTTAGAAAAGACAAAGTCATGAAATTTACATACAAGTGGTACTACTTGGAAAGTATCATGTTAAGCGAAATGAGTCAGAAAGAGAGGGATAGACACAGAAAGATTGCATTCATCTGGGAAACATAAAGCAACAAAATGGGAGACTAACACCCAGGAGTAGCTGAGATTAATACCAGAAATTCTGCTCCATGACTTGGAAGCCAGCCACATGTGCTAGGGTTAAAGAAAGCTCAGAGAGAGAAGAGAAGAGAGCACCAAATAAAGGGTGGGAGAAGCATGCTGAAAGTAGATTCTAGACCAAACATGATTGCCACTCAATGCTTCTCTTGCAAAACACAGGATCCAAAATAAGAGAGAGAGAACAAGGGGGAATGCCCTGCCACAGAGGCAGGGTGGGATGGGGGGAGAGGGGGTGGGAGGGATGCTGGGCCCCGTGATGGTGGAGGATGGGCGCTGGTGGAGGGATGGGTACTTGATCATTGTATAACTGAAACCCAAGAACAAAAATTTGTAAGTCTATAACTGTACCTCTTGGTGTTTCACAAATAAATAAATAAATAAATAAATAATAAGAAATTAATTCAAAGAAATGTATTTTCTCTACACTTAGCCATCATTAGGACAGGTGAACAAATACTCCATATTTATTAATTACCTGTCTTACCTCCTCCTTCTGAGTTGAACAACTCAACTTTAAAAGATTTTTCCAATTCAGGGACAGAATTATCAGTGATGTTAACAGAAATGTATTTATATCTGTCTCCATGTTGAAATTCTAAGGTTCCAGCAACGTTCTGAAAAACAAGATATAGGCATTAGATTTTGAGTATTTGGTACATGAATTTTCCAAATGGTAATGTTTTCTATGTTCCAAAATAGTTATTGAAAGTGAAAGAATGTTAAATATAAAATTGGGAACACTTCCGTCAATTGAAGTGTCTAATCATAAATTTTAACAACTAAATAAATGTTTTTTATTCATCTTATTCTTATTAATAGTAGTAAAGGCAATATCTAATCATAAATTTTTACCAACTAAATAAATGTTTTTTATTCATCTTATTCTTATTAATAGTAGTAAAGGCAATATATCAAAGCACTCTAGCACTGTAGCACTGTGTTCCCATTGTTCATTGATTTGCTAGAGCAATCAAGGAAAATGAGAATTATTAATGGGTGATATCCACAAATCCTTAAGTAGTTAACCGAGTGAGATGCAAGGAATTTTCTTCACCGAGTACATTTGGGACTATTTAAATTAAATTACAGAGTAACTGAGATATTCGGTACTTTTATAAAGGCATTTCTTCTGAGTATTTCTCCAAGTAACAATGAACATCAGCCCATTTCATGTGAAATTATCTTTCATTATAATTGCATTTGATTTATAATATAATCTCTCATAAGAAAAGTTCTCACATTACAAGGAAAACAGTTATTTAACATCAAAATCTTAAGGCCCTCTTCTTTATGTCTCATATAAACATCTCTCTCAAATCATTATATTAAATGTTACTGTTTCTTAAATTTCCCTTGTGTGTTGCTGCCCAACAGAAATTATTACATTTCACAGGAAAGAAGACAAATTAGTAAAGATTTCCTCGGCCATACATTTATTTATCTTTTTTTCTGTTTTTGTTATAGTTTAGATAACATGGTTATGACAGTGTTGGTGGTTATGGTTCTGGTGTGCAAAATTACAGCTGTTTCACCACCCTAGAATATCCACAACCTTCTACTACTGTCCCTACATCACTTCTGTAAGAATAATAGTTTAAACCTAGATCTTTCTTGTCCCCAATCCCAGGGGTTCATTTGTTTTGTTTTGTTTTATATGTTTTACTTTTATCAAGACCACACTACTCACTTGAAGGAAAAAGATAATAAAAATTCAAAAACATGCTAATTATTTTTTTACAATGTTGGTTTTGTTTGATGGATATAGACAAGATGAAATAAAATGTTCAAGAAACAATTTACATGTTATTATTTAAAAAAAAACCCTAAAACAGGTGCTGGAGAGATAAAACAGTGATCAGGGTGTTTGCCTTGCATGTGACCAACCTAGGTTCAATCCTCAACATCGCATATAGTGTCCCAAGAATGATCCTTGAGTTCAGAGCCAGGAGAAACCCCTGAACATCACTGGTTGTAGCCCCAAAATAAAACAAAACAAAAAACCTATAGCATTTAAATAAATAAGAGATATCCATAACATATTAAGGTGCAAGAAAAATCTATTTAAAAGCTATTTAAGTGTCAGATCTCAAGGAACTGAATAAAGAAACTATCTTTTAAAATGATCTGTAGTTGACATCATTTTAAAAGACTGGCAAACTACTACTTTTTTTTTCCTTATTTCCTGTATCCCAACTTCTTCCAATCTTCCAAAAGGATTATATAGCAGACAAAGCTTCAAAAGAGGAATGCGACATACCTGGTAATCGTCAGGACTGACTGCTGTTAATGGCACTGTTCTAAACTCTACCATAACCCTCCCCAGGAGTCCTTGTGCACGGGTGACCAGTAACTTCACTTCTCCATCCTCCTCCTGCACGGTGACATGTGGAATGCTGCTGGCAGGCGGGACCATTTTGTCATCAGGCAGGGGAGGCAATCCTGTGGAAAACTGCAGCAAACCTGGTAGATAACACAGAGAACCAGAGCTTACTTGCTTGCTTGCTTGCTATTTTTTTTTCTTTGGGTCACACACAGCAATGCACAGGGGTTATTCCTGGCTCTGCACTCAGGAATTACTCCGGGCAGTGCTCGGGAGACCATATGGGATGCTGGGAATCGAACCTGAGTCAGCCGCGTGCAAGGCAAACGCCATACCCGCTGTTCTATCACTCCAGTCCCAAAACAGAGCTTTCTTGCACCTAATTATTGGTGGAAGAATTTCTCATCCACTTGTAATAATCTTTCAGAATTAATTTGAGGAACGAAACAAAATTCTGCGAGCTGGGGCCAGAAATAGTACAGAAGGTAGGGTACTTGCCTTGACAGGCTGACCTGAATTCCATCCTAGGAAGTCCATATGATCCCCCTTAATTTTCAGAATGTCAAACATTAAAATGATGATTTTCCTATCAATTCAAAGAAAGTTTATTTTTCCAAATCTAAATATTTGTAGCAAGAATGATAGAGTTTTAAAACAAACATTCAAACATTTATACTCTTATATTTAACTCTCTGGAATTCATTGCTAAACTTAAAAGTAGAATACAACTAATGGAATAACTAATGGAAATCTAAGGAATTTGCAGTATATAGTTTTAATTTAACTAAAAAATCCAAGTTGGAGAGCTTGTAAGATTTCCTAGATGGGCTTTTTAATGTACTTTAGTTCTATGAAAAAAGTATTACTATAAACGTAGAAAAAAATCTTTGAATTTATTAAAAGTGGCATCAATTGCAGTCTCCCCTTCAAGAAAATTGTTGCTTTTTACAATAAGACAAATAAAGATTAAAATAAACAGTGCTGACTCTATAAAGTTTAATTAGAGGTAAATTAAAAAGTACCTCAATCAGGTGGTGGTATCAGAGCATCATAGTGTTTTCAAATTAAAAATTAAAGCTGCTGATAGTCACATGACAAGAACTATGAAGCCTTTGGGAGTTATTCTGTCTACATAACTAAAACAGAGATTGGGCTATCGCTGAAGGTTAGGTACCAGCATGTCCAGACAAGCTCAGACATGCTCAGACTCTGCTACCTCTACCAAGAAGATTCAGAGTTGGCTCACAATTGAACTACACCAACTTTCCCCCTGATTAATCTCACCTTTGTATTCTACCAATCATAACTCAACTAGTAGACTAATTTACATGACTATCATACATTTTCTGTGTGACTATAAGAACTGTCCCAATTAACTCATAACAGAATTCAAGACCTTCTTGAATTTTGAGGCTCTAGTTCTTTAAAAAAAAATGCTTATTTTACTTAACTAGATCTCCTTCTTTACTGGATGACACAAGAATGTAAATGTTTGTTTTAAATAATCCTGTACTTATTAAAACCATTATTAAATTTCAGGAGATGGCTTTATATTTTTCCTTCATAAACAGTGACCCTTAAAACTGCAGCCTAGAAGTCAGAGGGTACAAAGGAGTTCTAATTGAATCATTTGTAAAATGTGTCTTAAAAGATTCACAGTGAGTATAAGTATAGCCATAGAAGATTTTTCTCGCAAAAGGACAGGTTACCATATGGATGATCACTAGCTTTGACAGTAATATCTGTTGTTTCTTTTTCTGGATCTATGCTTGCACCACTGGTGGGTGTTGAACCTAATTTCCCATCTCCAGAAATTGCAGAAACCAGTGTCACACGGAAATATTGATTAAGCTCAGGAATATCATCATCAAGAACATATATATTCAGGACCTAGAAATATAAAAATCAAGATATATGAGCACGATAAAATATGAACTACCCACCAGAAGAAAATAATATAATTTAAATTCAAGTTACTGGGACTGGAGTGATAGCACAGTGGGTAGGGCATTTGCCTTGCACATAGCTGACCCCCGTTCAATTCCCAGCATCCCATATGGTCCCCTGAGCACTGCCAGAAATAATTCCTGCGTGAAGTGCCAGGAGTAACCCCTGTGCACCGCTGGGTGTGATCCAAAAAGCAAAAATTTTTTTAAATTTTAAAAAATAATAAATTCAATTTGCTGTTTAATGTGGAATACTCTTATTATTCATTTATTTGGGGGTGAGTGGTTAGGAATGCCCGTGGCACTCAAGTCTGACTCTTGGCTCTGTACTAAAGGATCACTCCTGGTGGGGCTCTGGGGACCACTTGGGTGCTGTGGTTTGAACTCAGAACATCTGTGTGAAAGGTAGGTGCACTATACACTGTACCATCTCTTCAGCCCCAAACTATTTCCAAATATACACACACATATACAAAAAATAAATCATTAATTCTCTAAACGAGTGCTGAGCAGTTAACATTTTATTTCCAAATAATTCTATTAATTTATCAATATCATATCACCTATAATATGGTGGTTATTTCACTTGTTAAAAAAAACTACACTTTAAATGTGAAAACACCTTCCGACTCTTTCCCCCTGGCAGCAAGATGGCGGCCGCCTCAGAGCTTTTCGGAAAGCCAGGTATGAGCCGGCGGTGACGGGGCAACTGCAACCTCATGAGAAGGGGGGCATTCCCGGCTCGTCCTTCACCCCCTACCAAGGTCACGAGTTGCCCCCCAAGAGCAGCTCTCCAGCACGGCCATGGCTCCAGAGCCACAGAAACCAATCTCGTAATTATCTGGCTCTTGGAAAAAAATCCATTCAGACTTAATAAGTAAAATATCAGAAATCCAAAATCGCACAGCCGCAATAGCAGCCACACGACATCATTTGGTTCTCATAACCAGCTGTAGAAAACAAATTATTTCACAATGCCTTTTCAGCAGTTCTGATTGTTGGGTGTAAACTCTAAACAATAATGGTGCATCTTTTGTTGAAATAATGAATGTAATCAAAGTAGATAGAGAAGTAAGTAGAATTCATCTGCCTCACAGGCATTGGGAGGGGTAGGAGGGGGGTACATTGGTGTTCTGGTTGTGAAAAATAAGTACTGATAAAGAGAAAGGTGTTTGATCATTGCATAACCGAGACTTAAACCTGAAAGCTTTGTAACTTTTCCCACAGTGATTTAATAAATGAATATAAAAAATGTGAAAATAGATAATCTTTTGAATAATTTTAGGGTTATGAAAACTTATCTTCTTGTTTGACTACGGAACCCAAAACCTTTATCATGGATCTGCAGACTGCTACTGGGAAACTTGTGTTATAGTAAATCAACTTGCCTCTTTCTTCCTTCAATTTACAGAGACAGGCTTCCTCAGTTTTATATTTTATCCAGTAGGTTCTAAATAACTTAGAACAGAGGTTCCCAAACATATTTAGTTTATCATCCCCTCTTCACAAAACAATATCACTCAGCACTCCCTTCAGAAAGCTGCCATCTGTTCCCTGGTTTACTATCATTCCCCTAATCCCCTCCTTCTAGAACCTCCCAAATTGCCCACTTTGGGAAAAAAGACTAGAAATCTCCTCAGTTATTTACAAATCTTAAGTTATTTTATGATTTGTTCCTGATAACTTACAAGCTATTTACATTTTTATTACCAATGTATACTAATAAGAATATAAGGGAAAGAACATCTGAGACAGGAGGAAGATATATCAATTTCACTTATAGAAGTGCTACACTACTCAAACTTATATTCACAACAAAATACTATGCTTTATACAAAGTTTTAATAAAACTATAGATCATTGAATATAAAAAAAATTAATTCCTCCAAGTTAAAAAATAAAATGAGCCTACAGCTGTAAGGTTTTCTCACTGGCTGAGTGTCATAGTGCCATTAAGAACTCCATGGTTTTCATTACATCAATAATAATAAAAATTTCACAAAAACCTCTGGGCTAAAATATTTTTATTATATTGGGATTGATTAAGAAACTGATCTTTGTCATTTTACAAAATAGTTTATACCATAATTTAACTAGTCATCTACATATTGCAAATCACTTAAAATTTTCAAAAGCTGCAAATTAAAAAATAAATATATTAGAAAAGGCTCTCCAGAACACAGGGGATTGCCCTGCCACAGAGACAAGGGGGATGGGGGATGGGGTGGGAGGGATATTATCCATGGTGGTGGAAAATGGGCACTGGTGGAGGGATGGGTATCTGATCATTGTATAATTGAAACCAAAGCACAAAAAATTGTAAATTTACAACTGTAAAAAAAAAAATAAAATAAAATAAAGGAAAAAAAAAAAAAGAAAAGGCTCTCCAGCAAGCTTTCAAAGAAACAAAGTACAGTTTACCTCTGATCGTTGCCAAGGGAAGAATGTGATAGATCCACTGGCATTAGCAAAATCATCAACAAGGTAATTAATGCCATCAGATTCGATCTGGGAGATGGTATAAAAAACATGCACATAATCCAGGGCTCCTCTGGTTCGCTCCACCACACAAGAAATAGTGGAGCCTTCCTCTGCAATCTGTCATGGAAAAAAGTTATAGACACATATTAATTTGGTCAGAAAATTGCAAAGTTTTTATGAATGACATCTCCCATAAACACAATTCTATCACTTATTATAGTATGGAAGATGTCTCCATGTTCTTTTTATATTTTTGGTACTGCTAGGAAGTCATATTTTTCTTCATTCCTTTAAAGGATATATAAATCAAAAAAGAATTGTAATTCATTATCTACACATACATTTTATTCATGGGTACCACTTGTGTATCAGGCAATGTGCTAAATGCTCTGGTTACAAAAAAGATTTTTGGAAAAGACAAAGGAAAGGGAAAAAGGGAAAGGGAAATGAAAAGAAAAGGGAAGGGCAGGAACGTGAAAGAAAGGAAAGGAAAACATTGTCCTTTCTCTGGGTAAGTGTAAAAAGGAAAACAAACTGATTTTTATGAGAGTTCAGCATTAAATGTGACTTCAGACCAAAGATGACACAAGTTTGGGGTAGAAAGTGGAATGTGACAACATCCGGGAGAACTTTCTAAGCATGGACATATGAAAATATTGTGAATTTGCTGAAATTCTTTTAAGGACTGCATCAAGTGCCCACTGGGAAGCACTGAGAAATGCTAGGAAGGGAACCACAGTCGATTAGTTTTTTATGTCATGGTTAATACATTTTTAATACTTTCCTCATATGTACATATACCTATATAAATATTTTCATGCATGTTTTTATTTGGAAAATATTTTTATCTACATGTTTAAAATATTTGAAAATGACATGGACAAAAGAGATGGAATCACTTTAAGAATATAGTCTTTATGGCTGGAAAGATAGCACAGTGTAAGGTGACTGCCTTGCATGCAACTGTCCTGGGTTCCATACAGGCCTCTGAGAACCTCCAGGAGTGATCTCTGAGTGCTGACCCACGAGTAAGCCCTGAGCACTATCAGTGTGTTCCTCAAACAACAACAAAAGTGTACAGTCTTTATATTCTTAAACTCTCAGTCAGTTCAATTTTAATATTAGCAAATGAAAAGTTAAAGGAACAAAAACTCTATAGTACACAAGTAAATAAGTAAAGGACATACTTATATAACCATATCTCATTTAAAACCAATAAATGAGAGGTGGAGTATATGGACCAAAGAGATGGAGTACATGCAAGTATGTTTCAATAGCTGGATTTGATTCCCAGCAGCAGCTGACTCCCGAGCACTACCAAGTGAGGTTCTGATGGCCACAGACAGGAGGCCCTGGGGACCTCCAGAATCTCGGCTTGAATACAAAGCCATCAACTCACAGTGCCCCACTGGATCAAGTATCACTGGGAATCTCCACTATTTTCAAAACAACCCAATACAAACACACAAGATACTTTAGGTCATGAAACAAGGGTATAAAGGTAAAGGTAAAGGTATAGGCCCTCCCGTTGTTCGTCGATTTGCTCGAGCGGGCCCAGTAACGTCTCCATTGAAGATTTTGTTGTTACTGTGTTTGGCATATCGAATACATCACAGGTGGCTTGCCAGGCTCTGCCGTGCGGGCGAGATACTCTCGGTAGCTTGCCGGGCTCTCTGAGAGGGGCGGAGGAATCGAACTCGGGTTGGCCATGTTGGCTGCGTGCAAGGCAAACGCCCTACCGCTGTGCTATCGCTCCAAAGTTATATAAAACAAGGGTATATGCAATTTTATTAATGGCATTTAGAGACTGGGTAAGGTGTAAAGGCAAGTATAGACGAGAAGAAGATCAAGTACAGTCACTTCCGCCATGTTCCAACATAACTGAACTGTGAGCATGAAAAGGATTTCACATTTGCTTGAATGATTTCACTCACTAGACACATAGTTAATATATGAGAAACGGGATGCATGGGACTATACATCGCCACACGTTCAGGCACATCTCAAAGATCTCAGATCTATGTCTATGTTTTGTGTCACATTTGCCCACAATGAATGAGTGTGATAACTTCTCTTCTAATTTCAGATTAACTTCCCTTCACTTCAGAGACACAGAAAATGAAATTCTTCTGATGCCCATCTACAAAAGCAAAAGAGAATTTTTTCAAATAGGGCTGGAACAATAACACAGAGGGTAGGGCGTTTGCCTCGCACGCGGCCGACCTGGGTTTGATTCCTCCGCCCCCTCGGAGAGCTCGGCAAGCTAGGAGAGTATCTCGCCCACTTGGCAAAGCCTGGCAAGCTCCCTGTGATGTATTCAATATGCTAAAATTAATAAGAATGAGTCTCACAATTTGTTGTGAGACATTACTGGTGCCCACTCGAGCAAATTGATGAACAACGGGAGGACAGTGCTACAGTGCTACAGGTATGATACTTATTATAGCATTTTAAGATTTCAAATATGAAATATTTAATTAATGTAATATATTTAGCTATGAAATATTTATTGTGATTATACATGCCACTGGTCAAGTTTTGAATAGTGTTCTCTTAGCCTCATCTGTCTCATAAATGATAGCATAGGATGAATGATGTACTAAAAGGAAAGCTTGGATACTCACAAGTTGGAATTAAAGGTTTATTAATTTAATTCATTCAAAATATTAATTCTGATTAAAAGTTGGAATGGGATTATGCAGAAAATTTCTATTGTAACTAGAATTAAAATCATGCTTTTTCAATAGGTAAGTATATCGATTTCTAGGCAAAATAAATGTTCTTCTGAAGCATTTTCTGTTTTTGTTATATGGTGTTTTTGTTTTGTTACATGTAATTTTGTTCTATTATATATATTTAGATACTACATGTAACAAAACCACCAGCACTCACCATTCTTATAAGAAACTAATTTACACACTTTTGTGAATCTACCAAACCTTTAGGTCAGCTTTAATAAAAGGTAACAGAAAAGTTTCTAAAACTTATTTTTGTATAAAAATAATGTACTATTCTATGAACTGATCTTCTCTAAAGAAATAAAATATTAAAGATAAACAATAGGGATCCAATTAAATTTTTATTTGTTTCATGGTTGGGTGATAATCTATGATATCAGATTGTATCATTATCATATATCTAAAAGAATCTATTCACATGACATACGGTTAGCACTTAAAAATAAGTACAATACAAGCTGAAGAATTTTCTCATTTTCACAAGTACCTTCCTTTTAAGTTTATTTGCAGTGTTTATAAAACATAAACGTAATCTATTTTAAAAAAACTAGAGTTGAGCAAGTTGCATGACTCACTACAGACTGAATAGCAGTGACAATCTCTACCTGTTGTGCAGAAAACCCTGGCACAACTCTCAAATGAAGCCAAATAAAGAAGGCAAGGAGGCAGTAATCACACAAATCACTAGACGTCTCAGTTCTTTATAATTTAGTGTTAGGCAATACTTCAGTGAATGTCAAAATAAGAATTTTAAAAAATGGAAAAACAAAGTCCAGAGCAATAATACAGTGAGTAGGGCACTTGCCTTGCTCACAGTCGACCTGGGTTCCATTGCCAGCACAGCATATGGTCCCCCGAACCCCAGGAGTGATCCCTGAACAAAGAGCCACACCACCAGGTGTGGCCCAAAGACAAACCAAAAAAAAACAAAAAAATGTGATTTGGGGTCAGAGTGATAATACAGCAGGTAGGGCATTTGCCTTGCATCCTATATGGTCTTCCGAGCACTGCCAGGAGTAATTAATTCCTGAGTGTAGAGCCAGGAGTAAGCCCTGGGCTTCATCAGGTGTCAACCAAAAAGTCACCAAAAAAATGTGATTATGCTTTAGTCTTATTCCTTTGCATGTCTGAGAATGTGTGTGTCTGGGGGAGTATTAGGGGTACTGGCATATGGGGCAACTTTCTGAAGATAAAGCAGGAACTCTACTACTGAGCTACATATTTTGCTGTCTTCCCTCAATAGTACTTTTTGCCATATGAATCCATAAAAAGTAGAAAATTATAACATAACTCCTAGGGACTTTATTTTTTTAAATTTACAAGTTTGTAATGCATATCTCATAGAGACAAACCGTGCAGGCTTGGAGATCTCAGCCCCGGATCCCACACACCTGGGTTCCTCTGCCAGTTCTTTTATGCGTGAGGCTCATCCAAGTGTGTGGAGAGTGGCCCCAGCATGACCTTGGCTGGGGCCTGGAGGTCTTCAGCAGTAGGGCCCTGGTGAGAACAGTCAGGCACAGGGTAGGAGACTCTGCCTTGTTCTCTCCCGGGAGCTTGGTGTGATAATCTCTGGATCCTGGCCATTGTTGGGGTTACACGGCAGTTGGTGGATGTAACTTATTAATTTGTGCAATATTTGTAACCTCTGGGCTATGATATTCTATTTCAGGTATCCAAAGAGACCACTACTTAAAAATCTTTTATGACTCTCTCCAAACCAAATTGCTCAGAAACAGTAAGACACTTAAGAGAACTGGGACTGGAGCAATAGTACAGTGGGTGGAACACTCTCCTTGCAAGTGGCCAACTTGGGTCTGACACTCAGCACCCCTTATGGTTCCCTGAGCCCCGCCAGAAATGATTCCTGAGCTTAGCCTGGTGTTGCCCAAAAAACAAACAAAAAAAACTTAAAAGATACAGGCACATGATTTCACTCATAATGCAATCTATGAGCTGCCTTTTTTATGCTCTCCCCATTCATATTTTCCTTAGTTATTTCAATGTACAGACACACACTTCTCAATCTATTTGAATTAACTTGCAAAGGAGTCTCTTGTTCCTTGGCAATCTTTCATGGACACTGAGCTGCTACTGTCACATATAACACCTGTGAAGGAAGCAGTTTCACGAGATCTCACATTACTGAACAAGAAACCAAGATGATTATGCATCTTTGAAAAGTTGGAAAGAACTGATAAGGATAGTAAAACAGCCTAATGAATTTGGCTGGCCACAACAGTTAACAGGAAAGGTATTTACACCCAACATGGAAGAAGGATATAACTACTCAGGTACATTTCACATGTAGAAAAATATTCAAAATAATATTTTTAGTTTCTAATACAATTATTCATGGAAACTTTCAGCATGTTGTTTCATTTATATGGCAGACACATAGTACCAAAATAGCATATTAAATGTCAGTATAACTATAATTTTGTGAAGTGCATTAACTTTAAAATTAATTGCTGAAATTTAATGTGCTAGTTTAGTACTTTAATCATTTCATGGAACTTCTGAATTAAACTATAAACTTAAAAGTTGAAAGTCCTTGTAATTTACATATGCATCAACTGACTCTTGCATACTTCTGGGGTCCTATATTCAAGCAATTCCAATAAAAAAAAAAGCCTACTCCTTAACAAATCCATCAACAATAGATTTTTTTTTTTTTGCTTTTTGGGTCACACCCTGCGATTCACAGGAGTTACTCCTGGCTCTGCACTCAGGAGTTGCTCCTGGCAGTGCTCAGGACCATATGGGACACTGGGAATCGAACCCGGGTCGGCTGCACGCAAGGCAAATGCCCTACCCGCTGTGCTATCTCTCCAGCCCCCAACAATAGCTTCTTTAACTCTAAAATCCTCCAAGCTCAGTACTTACCTCTGGTATACAAGTTCCTGTAAAACCAAATAAGCCATTGGCGTTATCACTTTTTTGTATTCTTAACTTCGCTATGGCATTTTCTCCAGAAATACGAGCTCCTCCATATACAGAAACTAGTTTAAGAATAAACAGTTCTTCTCCTTCTTCTTCATTGTCATCTCTTGCAGAAATAATGAATGATTTGTTTGTTTCTCCCTGTCTGAATTCTAGATATCCAGAAACAGGATATAAATCATTCTTCGCTGGCATGGCATGAAGTTCATAAATTTCTTCGAGGCTCAACTTTCTCCCATAGGACCTCACATCTTGCATTAAACCTGTAAATCTACTGTTGCCATTTATTCCAGCTCCGATTCTCAGTATCCCGGGACCTGAAATTAGAGACATATTAAAATGTCACATGAGCCATAGCCATGCCATTCTAAACTATAAGAATTATGTGGAAAATGAAAAAAAAAGTATTGAAAGGTATTATTAGATGAAGTTTTTATATAAATAGAAGTAACTGACAGTTTCTGTTTGATGAAAAATAAAACAGTAACTAGAATTTGATAATTTAAACCTGTTTATGTGCATATACATATAAAACACACACACATATATACATATATAGTGTATGCATTTATTTGTGTATATATTTATGTGTGCACATATACATATATACATACATAATACAAACAAACATAAATGTATACATATATACATAAATATATGTGCATATAAACATATATACACTATATATATATGTGTGTGTAGGTTTTTTTGAGAAATAATTCTTCCATGGCATCTGAAAACTGATTTACAGGCTTAGTAATGGAATCACTCAATTCAGTGGCTTTTTTGTGGGGACCTCTCAAATTGTACTCAGACTGACATAAAAACAAGAATAACTTTAAGCTCTTGAAACAGTAACATAGGTGGAACTGGTGGTGAGTTACTGAGAGTAAAAGAGACAATGGGATTTTCTTGATCTGGGGCTGTTTAGATGGGTGTTTTTAGAGTTTTTTTTTTAAAAAAAGTCATCTGTTGGGGCCAGAGAAAGAGTATATTGTGCAAGTGTATATGGTGTGCCTTGCACGCGGTTGACCTGGGCTCAATTTCCAGCACTGTATATGGTCCCAGGAGCACAGCCGGGAGGGATCCCTGAATGCAGAGTCAGTAATCCCTGAGCCCTGCTGGGTGTGACTCACAGAAGATATTTTCCTACATACTTGTGACATATACAATTATGTATTTTATAACGTGTTACTCTATTTCATGCTAGGAAGGCAGCTATGCTAGCCACTATCCTGACTGTCCTCGCCACCGGGGCCCGGTGGAGGGGAGCGGGTTGAGCTTTCCTCCCCACCCCGACCAGGGCTCCAGCAGCCAAAGACCTCCAGGACCAGCCACCACCATGCTGAGACCACTCTCCGTACACATGAAGGTAATGGCAGAGGGACAAAGTCACGCGGGTTCCGGGGCCGAGATCTCCAAGCCTACTCGGATTTGGGCCGAGCATCCTCCACCCAGATCCTCCAAATTCCAGTAGGCGGGGGTCACACCTACCACCTGGCCCCCTGGCGCCGTGTAATCCCATCAACGGCCAAGACTCAGAGACTATAAAAACCAGCTCCCGGAAGAACAGTGGAAGAAGACATCTTATTATGACATCTTATTATCTCATTCCTACTTTGGACAACCTGGCAGGCTACCGAATGTAACCTGCCCACACGGCAGAGTCTGGCAAACTCCCTGTGGCGTACCCAATATGCCAAATACCAGTAAAAATGATGGGTCTCATTCTCCTAAGGAGCCTTGAATATAATCTCAGGGCTAGGATGAAGGAGACGTCACTGGGGTCTGCTCGAGGCAATCGACGATTAACCAGATGATTTGTGATTTGTGATTGTGACTCTATTTCATTAGTGAGAATTTTATCTATTTTATTTGTGACTTGCTAATTAAAACACAAAATACATTACTTGCAGTCAGCTAAACAAAGAAAAAAAACATCAGCGGTGGGGCAAAAGTAGTAGAGGGGTTAATATATTTGATATTATGATATGATACGATACGATATGATATGATATGATATGATATGATATGATAATGCCAGTTTGTACCCAGTACCCATCAAGTTCCCCCAAGCACTGCCAAGAGTAAACTCTGGTCACCCAGTTAGAAATAGGCCCCGAGTACTGTCAGGCATCGCACAAAAAACAAAAAAGAAAGAAGAAAGAGAGAAAAAGAATCAGCTGTCATTTCTCTTAGGCTTTTCCATGTTTGTTATACCACAGCACCACCAAAAGGATCTATGTTAACAGATACATTGTTTTATCTAAGCTAGCTAAATGATAGAGAGAGAGATGGATGGTGGTTATAAATTCACACAAACCAAAGAGAGAATAGTCTAACGCTAAATAGTAATCAAAGCACAATCCTTAGAACTGAAACCGTTGTGTGTTCATGTTCTCTTGTCTGATTTTTTTCTAGAAGATAAACATAGTAAAATACTGAAAGTGCCAGTGTGAGGAAGCTTCAGAATGAAAATATTCATTAAGCTATAAATGTATAATGTCTCTTGAGCTTCTTATGAAATTTTTTTAAAAAATCAAATCACAGGAAAGGGGAGCTAAAAAGCAAATAATTATGGAGATAAGCAATATTTGTGGTTTCGTGTGCACACAAGGAGACTGGATATGATGCAGCTTATGAAACAAAGTTTCTTTTCAAATCACTCCAGATAAAACACCAATTCACCTTTTTCATACAATGAGCCTGTATCATTCCTGGGTTTTGAAATGTAATTTTTCTCACCTCATTCTGTTTTTGATTTATGCCCTCCTCAATCTAACACTACCAAGCTAGCAGAAGTCCCTCAGATACTGCACTCTGCTTCCCACTCCTATATCTCAGTTTGTCCCTCTGCCCAGAAAATTATTCCTTCTGCCTCTTTTCCCACAAGAGGAATAAATGCTCTCCTTCATAATTACATTCTTCCTCCTTAGAGTGCATTAAAGATCTCTCTGTCTGCAGATCTCTCTTTCAGTTTACTCCAAGGCACCGTGGGGTCAAAGACTAAATCACTTCTGCAGCACTCGCCACAATGCTTATGATCATGGTAGCCATGTAGTCTAAAGGAAATTAAACTAATACGTGAGCAAAGTTTATACCCCTGTTAGCCTTTGTAGAGAAACAAAAATATTTTTTATCAAAATTCTGTGTCCAAGTTGTAAAAATGACACTCACCATCAGTAATTGCTTCTCCTTTCAGACTCCGGATTCCTCTAGGCACTGCGCTTCCATCAAGGTAGAACTCAATGATACCATCATCCAGGATGATCAGAAGATGAAGCCAAACATTTTCCTCTAAATACTTCATGACAGTTGTCTTGGCAATATATGTAGCATTGGAACCCAGAGTTTTGTAATGAAGGGCAAGTGTCACGTGAGTTTCATTTGTCTGAACTTTTACCCCATAGTAGATGCCTCCATTACCATCATCCTTTGCTACAACAAACCCATTCGTATTGGCATTGGGCATTACCCAAGCTGAAAATGTAAAGTTGGCAATTGAATTGTTCCTAGAAGGATGGTATTTGGGATTAACGGTTCCAAACGCACCCTCTAGCCCACTGAAGTACAGTGCGTCTGTGCCACTGTGATGACGCCTCATGTGTGGCTGTAGATGGACCGTACTGGGGAAAACTCCAACCAGCAAATAATCTATCATCGGAGGCAAGCCAGTGGTGAACTCACTTGACAGTATTTCCCAGCCTACTCGTACGTCACCAAAGACACCTTGCTGCCTCAAAATGGTAAAGTTGGTAATATAGGACATGTCATCTTCTGAGAAGACATCTTCAGCCACTTCTCTTTCTATACACCCTGGCTCCAAGCTGAAAATTCCAAAAGGGTCGTCATTGAATGGAATCATGACTGTCACCTGGAGGTTAACTCCTGCCAGTTGGCCTCCAGGCCCTGGGGACCCACCTGCAGTAAGAAAAATGATCGTGAGTCAGAAACAAAAATTTGAAGTAATTTTTAGCATACAGTGAAGAAGAAAAGAATTTGGGAAGGAAACTTCTGGCTAAGTAATTTACTTAGTGATCAATGAGCAACAAATTGACCTTATGACTTTTCCCACATTTTCATAGGCACTCTGATTAAGCATAACCTAGAGAAGACCAGTTTCTGTGCTTAAAAGTAACGGGAAAAAAATCTATTTTTGAAACGTTCAAAGTAACACTCCCATTCCCAAGGGCACTTAGAAATTTAAATTTATTTGAATTTTATTTATTTTTTACTTAATAAATATTTACTTAATAAAATTAAAAATTTATTATGTATTTACTATTCCAGTGATTGCACTGCCACTCTCCACACGCTCGGACAAGCCTCACACACGAAGGAACCAGCAGAGGAACTCAGGTATGCGGGACCCGTGACTGAGATCTCCAAGCCTGCTCTGATCGGGACTGGTCCTCCTTCACCCAGATCCCCCATTTTCCTATAGCTTGGCAGTCACACCCACAAACTGCCCCTGACACCATGTAACCTCATCAACAGCCAGATCCAGAGACTATAAACAAAACTCCCAGAAGAGAGCGATGCAGTTTCTCCCTCTCGGGGAGCCCAGCAAGCTACAGAGTATCCCACCAGCATGGCAGAGCCTGGCAAGTACTCACAATGTATTTGATATGCCAAAAACAGTGCCAATAATGGGTTTCATTCCCCTGATCCTGAAAGAGACCCCAATATGCCATTAAGCTATGCTAGCACGAGACAGGGACAAATGGAGACATTACTGGCATCTGCTCGAGCAAATCGATGAACAACGAAATGACAAGTGATACAGGTGATTACTTAATAAAATTAAATATTTATTAAGTATTTACTGTTCCAGTGATTGTACTGCCAGTACAGCCCTAATTACTTAAATACAAAATGCCAAATTTGAGAGTTAAAATAAAATATAACACACCTGAAATATTCACAAGTTTTAGAATATAAAATTCATTGAACTCAGGAATTCTATCTGGATAAGCGCGGAGAATGATTGGTTTGGTTTCTTCCCCATCCATAAAATCAACGGTCCCGGATGTTTCATAAAACTCTTGTCCTGAATGCAAAGCAGTGTCATTCTGAAGAAGTTGCCATGCCACGGAAACATTGCCGAAGTGTCCCCTGTGTCTCAGAACCCTACATAAAAAAATTAAATTAATATTTATGAAATATGTTTAAGTAGTAACAAACACCAATTAGCTTCCAATTAGCTTACTGTGCTATCTCAAAACATATTTTTCTCTTTAGTATCTAAAATAAAAGCCAGCAAGCACTTACTGAGCAATCATGATTTTAAGCTTAAGTAGGAGGTAAAACTGAATAACAAAAGGCAGAGTCTTCAAAATTCAAATTGAAAGAGAAATTCTAAACCCAACTGAAAAATATTTAGGTGACAAATGGCAAAAGTTCTTCAAAAGAGTACAGGGTGAGGTGAATAAATAAAAAAAAATAAATCTGAAAGGAAAATTTGAGAAAGTCATGGATAATTTAGCTGTCCTGGAAATGACAAAAATTAGAAACTCAGTGAGAATGATGGGAGAATAATATTCTCTTATCGAGAACTAATCAGTTTATTTTTTTAAACAAATGACAACTGGTATAAACAGTTTACAATTTATTTATAGAACCAAGTTTGACATCGGCCCATTAACTAACATTTTTTATTTTGAATTTTAAGAAAAATATAATTTTGCATGAATATTTTTATCCAATTTTAAGTTTGTTTTATTCAAAGATTCTTACCAAAATACATTGGTCTTTCCTTCTTCTACTGCTTTGTCTATGGGCTCCAAAGAAAAAATGCCATTTGGGTCATCATTAGCTTCAATAATTACTGTAGCTACTCCATGTTGAAATACTACAGTATTACCTATATTAAAAATAAAAGATTGAAATAACAAAAAAAGCAATTACCTTATTGTTACATTCCTACCTTTGGATTAAGAAACAAGTTATGATTAAATTAAAATTTCAGAAAGAATTATTAATGGTCATAAATAAGTGAGAACAGGAGATGCCAAAGTAAGCTATATGTGATTTGTCTTTGAGGAAAAATACTTTAATTACTTTACTGCAAAAATATACAAGACCTAAAACTTTATAAGCTGCATTTACCACTTACAGAATGCTTGCACTTCGATATGAAAAAGAGGTGATTTCGTGATTATTTTAAAACAATGGAATAATTTCTGTAAATTTAAATATTCATAATATGGGTTTAAGAAAACCAAAAATTTACATTTATAATAACCAGGAAAATCATATTGAGCTGTCCTCCCATTGTTCATCGATTTACTTAAGTGGGCCCAGTAATGTCTCCATTTTGAGACTTGTTGTTACTGAGTTTGGTATATCGAATACGTCACGGGGAGCTTGCCAGGCTTTGCAGTGCGGGCAAGATACTCTTGGTAGCTTGCTGGGCTCTCCGAGAGGAGCGGAGGAATCGAACCCGGCTCGGCCAGGCTGGCTGTGTGCAAGGCAAATGCCCTACCACTGTGCTATGGCTCCAGCCCAACCAAGAAAATATTATTGTATAAGTTAAAACATTGTATTTTAGAACAGAAAAATGATATGTTCTCTTAATAAAAAGAAAATAGGAACCAATCATGAGAGAACAATATTCCAGTGGTTTATGTCATATCACATTCTATTTAGATCATTTTCTTGTTTTAAAGGGCTGGGGCGATAGCACAGCAGTAGGGAGTTTTCCTTGCACGTGGCCAACTTGGCTGACCTGAGTTCAATTCCTCCGCCCCTCTCAGAGAGCCCGGCAAGCTACCGAGAGTATCTTGCCCGCACTGCAAAGCCTGGCAAGCTCCCCATGACGTATTCAATATGCCAAACTCAGTAACAAGAAGTCTTACAATGGAGACGTTACTGGACCCACTCGAGCAAATTGATGAACAATGGGAGGACAGTGCAGTGCTTGTTTTAAATTGTATTAAAACATTTTTCACTGTTGCCAAGCAGTCTTTGGTAGTAGTAGTGTCCACAATTGCATGTACCCCTGAGTGACATATGAAATATGGAAGGGATCTTAATAATTTAACAGCCTGGTCCAAATCATTATTTTTAAGTAGAAGAAGCTACTATTCCCAATCTTCGGCTTGCCCACATTCAGAAAATGACTAGGAAATCTAGTCATTTCTAGGAAATTATTTAAAACAAAGGAGTCAGGTTTTGCAGTTGCTCAACAGGACATAATTTTCCTGTTCTGATACAACTGTCACATTGACTAATGTAATCAGGCTCACTAATTTGGTTGGTTTTCTTTCTCCCAAATCTCCTTACTCTTCCTGTGACTTTCATAACTCTCTAGTAGATAAAACCGTTTGAGCAGCTATACTATGAGTTACAATGTAGAGAAATACTGACTTTTCTTCATCCTGAATCAGGGGCTGTGGTCCAAGAGATATGTTTAATAAGTCCACTGTAGTAACAATTTTAATGTAATGTTTAATTAAAGTGAACCAGTCAAGATCTATTGAGTTATGTTATTATTGACTGTCAGAGTTTCATTATTAATGTTAGGAAATGTGGTGTGTGGTTTTTAAGAGGGGTATGGTTGGATAATCTTGCTATGCTAATCTATCTTATTGGGATGAACACAATTTAAATAAAAACTTTACTTTCTAAAAAAAAATATATAAGACCCTTTTCCTCATAATAAGAATACTGCTTCAATAGTTTAACTAGAAACCAAAAACAGTTTCACTTAATGTCAAATATTTGAAATAGATTCATTTCATTTCATAAAGTAATGAATGACTTAACTATAATATACACACACTCCTATCCGTATTATTTGGAATCACTAGGTTGAGTGTTTCCCACTAGAGCTCTGACTTCTATTAGTAGAATATGAAATAGTCATTGACAGAATAAGTCAATCTTTGTGGTGCTAAATTTGAGTCCTATTTCAAATCTGTGCATGGCATATTAGTCCCATTACTGCCTATAAAATAAAGCCTCTTCTTATCCGTAACGCTCATCTTTCCCATCTTTTTTCACTTAACTTTCTCCACTTTTGATCTCCTACCCCAAGGAACAATGCTTCCAAAATTCTTCCCTGAATACCCAGATTAAGCTAAACATGTCTTCTTCAACAACTATGTTGCCTGCATAACCCTTCACACATTTTCAATATCTTCAACAGTAATCCCATTATATTAGGACGCATGCATGATTTTGTTACAAACTTCTAGGACAAATTCTCAGTAAGCAATTCCATACACTAGCAGTGTAGAGGCTCAGAAATTGTTACATAAAAGTTAGTTAAGAATGTTAACTGAAATAATGCAAATAAAAATTTCAAAATTAGATTAAGATTAGAAGGAAACAACTAAAACATTGTAAAAGCAGAAATGCTATGCAGCACACCAGCACATTAAAATAATTTGCATAGACGAGGGGTGGACAACTAGTTTTCATGCTTTGTACGGCGTGTGAAATTACGTGGCCTTGGGCCTTGGTACATGATGGCACAGATGCAGATGCATCTTATTGGTTGCCCCTGGTCCACCTGCCTGTATTGTATGGCCTGAAAATTAGCAGAAAAAAAGTTTCTCCACCATGATATAGGTATACTACCATATCTCACCTTACTTGATAAACAGTGAAAGTAGAGAAAACAAAAATAAACAGCAAATCATTGCATATGAAACACTGATAACAGAGAATAAGAACTTAAAATCTACCATCAAATCTAACAACAAAAATAATAAAACATGAGCTGAATAGGGCTCTGCAATCATATGCATGTAATAAAACATCATAAAGGTGATACTAAAAGTTCATTCTCTTTCTCCACTGGGAGGACTAGCAATATTTAATAAGGGTTCACATACTTTGTTGCACTAATCCAACCTCAGTGCCACAGTCTGTGTTAAGTGATAACTATCAAGAATAAACCCCTAGGGCCAGAATTAAGTTCTATTAAGGAATATTGTTTTTCAACCTCTTCCCTCATGAGCCCTGAAGGGTTTTGAAGGGTCTTCAATGTTTTGGTCCTCAAAAAGGAGGAGAAAAACAAGAAATAACTTGTAAAAATGTTAAAATCACAGATTCTAGATAGCTAAGTCTTTAAACTTGAAGTCATCATCCCGCATGTCTCTCAAATTATATCCCTGCAATAACTGAACATATGTACTTTATTTAATATATATTAGTATTATTATCTACATATCCTTCATTTCCCCAAGACTTCATTTTAGAAAATAGACTCCTAAACTCCCCTTGCATAATCTTTTTCAACTCTCACTATAAAAGGTTCACAATATATTTATTTTATTCTTGGAGATGGTTTAATCCTAGTGACAGTGTGACACAAAGACAAAATCTCATCTGAACTACAGAAAAAAAACCCAAAATTAGAAAATGTTATCAAGAACTTATCTCCAGAGTAAACTCTACTAAGATAATCATTGTTTCCTCAAACTTCTCATCTCATAACAAAATTTTGTTTTCCACTTTTACTCATCAAATTTAATTGTATCTCTGGAAATTCCTTACATTGAAGTTTGAAGTTTGAGGGAAAATAAGTACATTCTCTAAAATAGTTTTGGTATTCGTAATTAGCCTAGAATTGTTGACATTACCAAGATAATTACAATTAATGAAAAGACAGGGACTAGTGCAGACTGGTGAGATTAAAGAGCCCTTAATTTTGAAAAGGACCGTTTGCTAGAAAGAACTTTTTGAGAAAACCAGAGAAATCTGAGTGGTGTGTTGATACAATAGCTGTATCAACTTGAATTCCTGCGTAAGTTTTAGGTTTTGGTTTTTATCAGGGTTGGGACCTAGACAGTACTTGGTTGTGAGTCGGCCTGAAATACTGTAGGGTTTTGTTTCCCAGCCTCCCCACCCCTACCCTGCCCCCTTCCTCTCTTACCTGCCTCCCAGGCCCCTCCAGTCTCCTCCCAAGAGCCTCCCAAGCCATCCCAGTCCCTTCCCAGACTCTTTCCAGGACCCTCCCAACTCCCACCTCCTCTGCCCCACCTTCCCCTACCCACAACCTTCCCAGTACCTAGAACCTTCTAGCAGGCTCTGCTATGACCACTGTAGCCACAAGAGGTTGCCCCACACCAGCAGCTGTAGTGAGACACACCATCCAGTGCCTCCTGGTGGCAGGAGCAGGCCTGCAGGGGTGGGATTGAAACTGCTCTCTGGGGCCGGGCTGGGTTGACAGGCCCTGAAGGGACAATAGCTAAATGACAGGGTTCTTCCTGGGTGACTTTGTTTTTTGTTTTGTTTGTTTGTTTGTTTGTTTGTTTTAGTTTTGGGGCTACAACCACCCTGCAGTGCTCAGAGTTTACTCTTGGCTCTGTGCTCAGTGATCACGCCTGGTGGGGTTCAGGGGACCATATGGGACTCCAGGGATCAAAATCAGATCAGCTGCATGAAAGGCAAATGCCCTTTCTGTTCTCTCGTTGCTCTGGCTCCTGCCTTGGTAGGACTTACACAAAGCATGTTGCGATCAGTGGGGTTGGCCTGACCAGATTCCCAAGGGAATCTGGGAGGCACTGCATACCTCAGGATCCAGCTCGTCCTCAGCCTGCAGCACAGTCAGGCAACTGGACCTGTCAGTTTGGCTCTGCTACACTACTTCTTACAGGAAGCCCTCTGGGACTCACAGTTATAGGTCAGATGGTCCGTACACACTTCACCCAGCCTTGGCTGCTCAGCTGTGACCCCTCCTCACTCACTGGGCCTTAACTCCTGGTTTAAATCATAAATTTTAGGTTAAAAAGATACAGGTTTTAAGGGGTCACGGGGATCATATCTTCAATTTATTCTCAAAAGGTTCACTCAATGCCTCTCTTGCAAACCACAGGACCCAAAAGGAGAGAGAACAAAAGGGAATGCCCTGCCACAGAGGCAGGGTGGGATGGGGGGGATGGGTGGTGGGAGGGATGCTGGGACCCATGGTGGTAGAGGATGGGCGCTGGTGGAGGGATGGGTACTTGATCATTGTATAACTGAAATCCAAGCACAAAAATTTGTAAGTCTAAAAAAAAAAGGTTCAGGGGAAAATAGTTCTTTATAGTCTTTAAACAAGAAGATAAATCTAAAGAAGCTCTAGAACCCCTGTTTGACCAAAGATGGAGCCAAAACATCTTGGTTCCTTTATAGTACCAAGATGGTGAAATGATCCATCTTTCCTCCTTTGTAAATTGTCACTTGGGGCTGGAGCAATAGCGCAGTGGGTAGGGCATTTGCCTTGCACACGGCTGACCCAGATTTGATTCCCAGCATCCCACAAGCTCCCCTGAGCACCGACAGGGGTAATTCCTGAGTGCAGAGCCAGGAGTAACCCCTGTGCATTGCCGGGTGTGACCCAAAAAGAAAAAACCAGTAAATAATCACCTACTGTGGGCACAGTCCCAAAGCTTTATCCACCAGCTGGCCCAGGCACCTGAAGAAGATTCCCTTCATTCAGCTGCTTGGTGGCAAGGTCAGGAGTGACAAACCCCTGATGCCCTAACCCCAGACATGACCAGATGACGCATAGAGTCACTTTGATTAGAATATTTCTATTCCAAGCTTCTTAACAACCATGATCCCAGAGATACACAAACGAATCTCGGAACCGAGCCTCGGAACTTTGTATTAGTCCATTTTCACCAGGCCACTCCAGACGGGAGCAGGTGCTGTCCCTCCGCCTGTTCCCCAAGAACCCCGGTGGCTGCCATCTTCCAGAACTCATTGGAAACCCCAGGTACAGAGCAGCAGTAATGGCAAATGCCAGACCTCACAGGATAGGGGAGGAGCTGGCCCTTCTCCTCACCCCCACCTCTGGGGACTCTGAGATGATGCCCACAAATGGCTGCCAGCTACTTATTAGGCTACTTAAGGACCATGATCCCAGAAACACACAAACAAATCTCAGAAACGAGCAGCTCTTGGCAGAGATCTCTCCAGACCCTAATTATAAAAAATTCAGAATTCTAAGACCAGGCGGCCACGATATGCTATTCATAACCAACAATACAAAACAAATTGTTTGGCGCTGCCTTTTCGGCAGGTCTGAGTGTTAGGTGAAAATTCCAAAACACAGGCATGGGTAGGGTTGAGATGGGGGATATACTGGGATTTTTGGTGGTGGAAAATGTACACTTGTGAAGGGATGGGTGTTTGATCATTGTATGACTGGGACTCAAACATGAAAGCTTTGTAACTGTTCTTACGGTGATTCAATAAATAATTTTTTAAAAAGAATATTTATATTCCATATGTAGTATCGTAGCTTCCTATTTATGACATATTGTGAAAATACATTTAAAATGATTACTCAGAGCTCAGCAGGTGGCAGGAAGATTCAGCATAAACATCTGTCTCCCCATCCCTCAAGAAAGCGAAGGAAACAATTTCTCTCTTTAACAGTCACAAAAGACAAGACTACTTAATGAAGTTTCAACACTACTTAATAAAACACTGGAAAAGAAATGAGACCTGACTTAAAATATGATGCATTTACCTGTTGAATTAAAGAGGGTTACATAAAAGAGCTCATCCGTCTCTGGGATATCATCTTCATTAACAATTATGGTTATGTTCTGCTCTCTACTTCCAACAGCAAAAATGAGGATTTCCCCCTTTTCAATGGGAATAAAGTCTCCCTCACGTGCACTAGCCGTCCCATCCACGGTGGCAAGCATCACGGCACAGGAAACATCGAGAGATCCATTTCGGAGGACTCGGAAGCCAGCAGTCTCGCCTTCCTGAACCCTCAGTACACGAGGCTCTGAAATATTCATGGAGGAGGAATGTGAGCTTTTCCGATGGCACACACTTTCATATAACACGGCCAACCTCTGCCCACCCTCCAGAAAGGCCCTTCTCTGTGTTTGCGTCATTTTTCGAACTCCTATAAGAGATTTCCTCTGATGACTCCCCATTAATGACTTTCTCTTCCCCGAATTCCTGCAGAATTCACTATCTTCACGCTCAACTTCTCAGAAAATTTCTTCTTATGTGAACTCCTATGCCTGCCTTTTCCTAGTTTAGATAGTTCTTTGAGAAATGAGAAAGCAGGCATCTTATATTTTATGTTTGCCACAGTAATTCATTAAGTCACCTTAAAGTTTAAAAGTATAAATCGATTTTTAAAAATCAAGACTTTTTAAGATTCCTCCTATTGCAAACCGAATAGCTTGCCAGGAGGTTAAGAAATACGGGGCTAACTCAATGCCTCTTTGCAAACCACCACACCCAAAAGGAGAGAGAGAACAAAAGGGTATGCCCTGCCACAGAGGCAGGGTGGGACGGGGGGTGGGGGGGGGAAGGGATACTGGGATCCGTGGTGGTGGGGAATGTGCACTGGTGGAGGAATGGGTGTGTGATCATTGTGTGATTATAACCCAAACATGAAAGCTTGTAACTTTCTCACCGTGATTCAATAAAATTTAAAAAAGAAAAGAAAGAAAAAGAAATATGGGCTGGAGTAATGGCACAGTAGGTAAGGCATTTGCCTTGCACACCAGCCAACCCTGATTTGACTCCCAAGCAAATTTGATTCCCAAAAGCAAAAAAAAAAAAAAAAAAAAAAAGAATGAAATGGGGCTGGAGTGATAGCACAGTGGTTAGGGCATTTGCCTTGCACACGACAGACCTGGGTTCGATTCCCAGCATTCCATATGGTCCCCCCGAGCACCACCAGGAGTAATTCCTGAGTAAAGAGCCAGGAGTAATGCATCGCCAGGTGTGATCCAAAAATAAAAAAAAAAAGAATTAAAGATCAATTATGTGCCATGAATGAAACCAGGCCAGGGAGAAAGCTCAAAGGGTTGAAGCATATCTTGCAGCACCAAGCCCCACATTCCAATGCTGGCACCACATTGCCTTCCCATGATGCACTCTGCCAGGTATGTCCCAGAGGCCTCCAGTGCCTGGAGGAGATGTTGGGTTGGGCCCTGGCACTGGAACATCAGGGCCACACAGGCATGTAAGAAAGGTCAGGTGTGGTCATTAGACACACTGGACACTTCTTGGGAGGTCAACAAAGTAAATAAAGGTAAAAAATAAAACTAAATGATATACCAAAGGGCAAAGGACATTTTGAAATGTCTAAAGAAAGCTGATGTCTACAGAAAAATTATACAACATGGAGACAGCTTGATTTATATAGTCCCTTAAATATTAGCTATTAGAGTGACTATCCACTGGGAACAATGCTCACACCCTACAGACTACATTTGTGGACTGGGAAGGAAAAGAAAGTACCTTTTTTTCTATGAAAAGGAAAGAAAATATCTTGAATTTGGAACAGAATGAATAATAAGGCCACATATTTTTCTCTGTCCTTTAGCTGATCTTTCTCAGGGGCTTGTTGAGAAGTCAAGTGAATAATGATGATCCCAAGAAATCATGCAGCAAATAGTTAAACAGGCATCAACAGTGGCTTATCAGAAGTGCTTATTTCAAGAAACTATTTATAAAACATATACCTATTGTTTAATAAAGATGTACACTCACTCAAATAAAATAGCAATACCACCTGCAAAATAAATGGGGTCATCATTTCTTTCAATCCTCAGAGTTGCAGTAGTTCCATTTCCTAATTTAGCTCCCCCTGTGGCATTCAGCAGAGTAATGGTAAATTCTTCCATTTCCTCTGGAATCTTTTGGGGAAAAGTAAGCCAGGCATAGTTTTAAGTCAGGTGAATTTTACATATAATTGCATTATAGAATTCTATTTTTTCCTTTTTAAATAGTTCTATCAATATTATTAAATTCATTTCTATTTGAGGCAAAGGTTCTCTAAATTATTCAAGTGAACTCAAATCTCTAATATTTTAAAGACCATTCATAAACCACTTCATCGATTATCTCAGTTTATAATAATATTAGAATAACCCGGGCTTAGCGTCCCAACTGCATATGTGTAAGACACCCCACACCACTTTATTTTGACTAACAACACTTCATATAAAGAGATATTTTGCAAAAATAGAAACACTACACAGCTCTCATTATTTCTGTAATGAAAGAGATTTATATTTTAACAAGAATAAAGTCAAAGAGAAAAATAACTGCTGGCACATTTACTGCACACTTCAAATAGTAACAAAAGCTCAGCTATCATTCCGTCCACAGTCACTGACAGACCTTACTGAAGTTTCACCAGAAGTGTCATGAAGATCTCATTCCCATGGGTCTAGAGCAATAGCACAGAGGATATGGTGTTTGCCTCCATGCAGCTCACCAGGATTTGATCCCCGGCATCATTTACGGTCCCCCAGCACCACTAGGAGTGATTTCTGACTGCAGAACCTAAGTAACCCCTGAGCATCACCAAGTGGCCTAACCTTCACCCCACACCCACGCCCTAAAAAAAAAAATCTCCTTCCCACATCCCTAAGAGTAAATGTATTCTTCAGGTACACAGTTTGTCTTCACTTTATCCACCAGTTAGTCTTCTCACTTTGGGGTCTGTTTGTTTCTGTTTAGGACCACACCCAGTGGTACTCAGAGCTTATTCCTGGCCCTGTGCTCAGGGATCACTCCTGGTGGGGCGCAGCGGGACCATATGGTTCAGGAAATTGAACCAGGGTCTGCCATGTGCTAAGCAAAAGCCCTATTTGCTGTGCTACTTCTCTGATCCCAATCTTCTCATTTTTAAACAGAAGATTTTATCCCTTAAAGGAGGAGTTGGTGGGATAGTAGATGGGATCCTTTGCTAACCAAAGCATAATTCCCCAAAGAACCAACAGATATTAAATTCTGACTCTTTGTTATCAAAAGTACAAACACCATGCTGAATCAAAAATCTATCTGGTTCAGTATCCAAATTCTAAGAATCCACTACAAGATACAAGAAGCCGGCAGCACATGCTGGGGGGAAAGGCAGCTCAGATAGAGAAGGGAACACCAAGTAAAGGGTGTTTGGAGGATTCACTTGAGATGCAAGATGTGTGCTGAAAGTAGACTATAGACCAAACACGATGCCCACTTAATACCTCTATTGCAAACCACAATATCCTAAAGGAGAGAGCAAAAGGGAGGCAGGTCTTTATCATATAGTGTCATTACAAAATCTATAACCAGAGTCATTCATTAAAAAATAATTACTGAGCAGTAACAAGGAAAGAGATATGTGCAATATTTACCTCATCTGGAAGGGAAATAATCGTGATATTTTTTGAAAATTCCTGATCTCCAAAGAAAATAATCCCTTGGACAGGAACTACATCCTGTGTAAAGTCTGGAGTAACTATCCAAGATACACTGACATTGCCAAAACTGCCTCGATTTCTTATGATACGATAAACCGCTGTGAAACACAAATATGGATGATACATATGAATACATATTCATTTTAGAACAATGTATTAAGACATTTCTCAAAATGTTGAATGTAAAAATAAGATCCTTCTTTAGTGAAAAAAAAATACTGACTTTATAAAGTGCCTGAGGTTCATATAAAAATGTCCTTACTCTAAAGGTATGCAATTGATAAAGTAAATGGACTTGACATCATTCTTCAAGTTTGGTTTTAAAGGTCATTTAGTTTCGTGAATAGAATGGTTATTAATTATGTATAGCTATCATAATCTTCTCAGGATATTTCCTAAAGGCAGTTTAGAGAAAGCTGCATGTTCAAAATGATTTTCTTATCTCAACATTAGTCGGGGCTGGAGCGATAGCACAGTGGGTAGGGCGTTTACCTTACAAGCGGCCAACATGGCCGACCCGAGTTCAATTCCTCCACCCCTCTCGGAGAGCCCGGCAAGCTACCGAGAGTATTCGATATGCCAGACACAGTAACAACAAAGTCTTCAATGGAGACGTTACTGGGCCCGCTCGAGCAAATCGATGATCAACGAGAGGGCCTTTACCTTTACCTTTACCAACATTAGTCAATAAATTAACCACTTCTAGTTTGATGCACTGCAATAACTCCCAATCTGTAACTCTTGGTTTTAAACCTTTTTTGTCTCACTCTACTCTTCTTGAGTACTTTTGGTCAGGATCATCACAATACTTCATATAAGAAATAAAAATAAAAGTTCTAAAAATGATTTTAAAAAAGATAAATTTCTAAACACAATTTCTAAGCAGACTGGACAACTGCAAACAACTAGTTACAAAGAACTAGAAGAATGATTCTTCCTATATGTGAACAGTAATAGGATACAAGAAACTGGATCATTGTATAACTGAAACCCAAGCACAAAAATTTGTAAGTCTACAACTGTACCTCATGGTGTTTCACAAATAAAAATTAAAAAATAAATAAATAAAATAAAAATAATGAGCAATAAAAAAAGAAAGAAATTACCGCTGTAGATATAATCTCCTTTACTTTCATTTATCGTAACACTTAAATCATCAGAAACAAATTCTACAATTCCATGAGGCTCGTCATTTTTCAGAATGGTTATGTTGACGACGGTGGCACTTCCCAGCTTGCTTTCCCATTCACCGTGGCTGCTGAGGACCACAGAATAGTGTTCGTCCAGCTAAAATAAACATGTCGGTAAAGAAAATTAGGAGGCTGAAATTTTTAAAGTCAATATATATGTATATATGGGCTGGAGCAATAGCACAGTGGGTAGGGCATTTGTCTTGCACATGGCCGGCCCTGCCAAGCCAGGTTCGATTCCTCCGCCCCTCTCAGAGAGCCCAGCAAGCTACCAAGAGTATCTTGTCCTCATGGTAAAGCCTGGCAAGCTACCCGTGACGTATTCAATATGCCAAACACAGTAACAAGTGTCACAATGGAGACGTTTCTGAGCCCGCTCGAGCAAATCGATGAACAACGAAAGAACAGTGACATGATACACACATATATATACATATATATACATATATATCTCACAGACATAGCAAATTTCAGACACATGCACCTCACAAAAAGAACAAAAATGTCAGTACTACTCTTAATACTTTTTACTTTCTCCTGTCAATTAAGCAGCACCAGGTATAAGTACAATACCCAAAAATAAAGAAAAAATAAAAGCAACGCTATACAGAACATTGTACCTTATCACTAATGAGTATCACTTAAACTAATAAGAGCAAGTAAAAAAAATCAAGTTAAAACCCATATACGCCTTAGTTTAAAAGTAAAACAAAAAACATATCTGATCTCACTAATAAAAAAGCCATAAATTCATTTCCCTCTAAAGTACACTTTTAGAGGCCTGAGCGGTAGTACAGTGGGTAGAGCATTTGCCTTGAACGCAGCTGACCCAGATTTGATCCCTGGCATCCCATATGGTCCCTCAAGCACCACCAGGAGTAATTTTTGAGTGCAGAGCCAGGAGTAACCCCTGAGCATTGATGGGTGTGACCCAAGAAGCAAAATAAGAAAAAAAGGAAAGGAAAACAAATAAATTATACATTTATAGGAAAAAAACCAGTTCAGAAACATAAATAAAAGTTCAATGGGGACTGGAGCGATAGCACAGCGGATAGGGTGTTTGCCTTGCACACGGCCAACCCGGGTTCGATTCCCAGCATCCCATAAGGTCCCCTGAGCACCGTCAGGGATAATTCCTGAGTGCAGAGCCAGGAGTAACCCCTGTGAATCACCAGGTGTGACCCAAAAAGCAAATGAATAAATAAATAAAAGGTATGGGTTTTTTTTTAAAAAAAAGTTCAATGAATACACGTAAGATTAAAGCAAAAAGAAAAGGAAAACTGGTCTTACTGAAAATTTCAGACTGCTTGTTATTTCTTTGGGCAGGACAAACATACACAATTCAAATCTGAGTGTTGCGTGGTATTTTAAAAAATTGTTTTTTTCGTTTCTAAATGTAAGTATCTCAAAATCATTTCTTTTTCTGTTTCTCCTTGCCAATGTTCAAAATATTTGCCAATGTCAAAATATAACAAACTAAATATGATTAATTTTCAAAAAATATATAAGGAAATTAAAAAAATGCCATACCTCTGGTATCCCATCCAGTCTTGTCAGCAAAGTTATTACGATCTCCCTTTCCCCAGGTTTAAATTCTAGTACCCCTGTGTTTCCGTAAAATTCATTGCTATCTCTTGGCTCCACTCGGTAGTGAAGAAATTGCTTAACTAGAGCTCCCTTGGACCGGATGATATGAAGTTCCACAGATTCTCCTTCCTTGAAAAATATCCACAGAAATTCGAATCCTTTGAGATCATTCTCCTGAACTTCTGAGTACAAAACAGATGCAACTTTTTTTTTTCATACTTACCTTTATAACATAGGGTCCTCTGGAAGCAGGAGAAAATTCAAAAATTCCCCCAGGATCATCATTCTCCAAAATCAGTAGGTCACGACTGGTATATCCAGATTTCAGCACCTGATTTTCCACATTTACCCTGGAGAAGTTAGAAGGAAATGGTGCCAACTAGGTATGTTTCTACTTTTGAACTTTGCAGACTAATTTAAAACACAACAGTTTCGGATAATTCATATAAAGCTGACTGAGTTTAACTTAAATTGAATTTAAGTGTCTTAAGATTTCTTATGATCAAAACACCTTTAGTCATAGCATATTGGGAAAAATGATTTCAGATTTCATTATTATATTTGGTTGAAATTAAACACTGCAAATGCACACCAGAATATAGTAACCAAAGGTGGTAAGTATAGTTTATGTTGATAAATAATAACACTGACAGATTTGTTTCAGTTTAAGAAACAATTTCATTTGTAACATATAAACTACATTTTACTAAACTGTCACAGTTCTGTTAAAAGCCATTGGGTCAAACTTTACTAATTGAATAAAAACTGAATAACTGCACAGGCTAAAATAAACCACACAGATCAAAAATAAATTATCATGTTTTGTATATATGCAAAGAAACCTTATATTCTATTTAGCTCAATTTTAAACTCATACATTTCTTTTATTATGAAAAAAGTAGAACACTGGTGGAAAAGGGGCACTGGTGGAGGGATGGGTACTTGATCATTGTATAATTGAAACCCAAGCACAAAAATTTGTAAGTCTACAACTGTACCTCATGGTGTTTCACTAATAAAAATTTTTTTAAAAAGTAGAACACATATATAAAGCAATCAGACATATCCAAGATATATCATATTTATGTAATATATAAACTTGTCTCAAAAGAATGTGCTAAAACAAGATATACTTTATGCCTTTTATACTTAATGTATAATTAGAATGATCAAGGCAACCTATACCATGAGATTCCTTACTAGCCAATATGCTCCTTGGGAAATTTCAATTTCACAAGCTGCTCAAATCTTTTCATATATCTCCTTCTATTGAACCAAAAGTACTAATAATAAGACCTCAGATCATAATGGAGCACAACTAATATGTAGGAAGGACAGATAACTTGCTATGTAATACAGAACTGAATTAAATTACTTCTCTGGCATTTAGAAATCTGACAACCAATACCGAGAAATACAAATGAGCTGAAACAAGAGAGCTCAAGTGAAAGAGCTCACGCAAGAATATGATTAAACTGTGGATGTAATGATATGATTTTCATAGTAAAATTGCCAAATTTAACCATATCTATATTTGCGGTAATTAAGATTTCCTATATTCTCATAAGATAGGATACATAAAGCTGAAACAATATAAAATACACAAAACTATACTTAGTACTAAACTGCAGCTCTGTAGCACTGTCCTCCCATTGTTCATCCATTTGCACGAGCAGGAACCAGTAACGTCCCGTTGTGAGACTTGTTGTTACTGTTTTTTGCATATCAAATACACCACCGGGAGCTAACCTACTCATCTTCTGTAAGAAGGCAAATTTCAAAATATTCTTAATAAAACTGGGAAAATGTAGGCAAGAAATTTCCTTGATGTACTTAACAGTTAATGAAAGGTATAGGTGTACTGATTGGATCATTCTCTATTAATCCAAATAAAATACTCATAAAAGATACTAGGTGGGGCAGGAGCAATAGCACAGTGGGGAGGGCGTTTGCCTTGCACGCGGCTGACCCAGGTTCGAGTTCCAGCATCCCTTATGGTACCCTGAGCACCACCAGGAGTAATTCCTGAGTGCAGAGCCAGGAGTAACCCTGAGCATTGTTGGGTGTGACCCAAAAATAGAAGAAGAAAGAAGGAAGAAGGAAGAAGAAGAAGAAGAAGAAGAAGAAGAAGAAGAAGAAGAAGAAGAAGAAGAAGAAGAAGAAGAAGAGAGAAGGGAGGGAGAAGGGAGAAGGAGGAGGAGGAGGAGGAGAAGGAAGAGGAGGAGGAAGAGAAGAAGAAGGAAGAGGAGGAGGAGAAGGAGGAGGAGAAGGAGAAGGAGAAGGAGAAGATGATGATGAAGAGGAGGAAGAGGAAGAGGAAGAAGAGGAATGGGAAGAAGAAGGGGATAAGAAGAAGAAGAGGAGGAGGAGGAGGAGAAGGAGAAGGAGAAGAAGGAGAAGGAGAAGAAGAAGAAGAAGAAGAAGAAGAAGAAGAAGAAGAAGAAGAAGAAGAAGAAGAAGAAGAAGAAGAAAGAAGAAGAAGAAGAAGAAGAAGAAGAAGAAGAAGAAGAAGAAGAAGAAGAAGAAGAAGAAGAAGAAGAGAGAAGGGAGGGAGAAGGGAGAAGGAGGAGGAGGAGCAGAAGAAGGAAGAGGAGGAGGAGGAGAAGAAGAAGGAAGAGGAGGAGGAGAAGGAGGAGAAGAAGGAGAAGGAGAAGAAGATGATGATGAAGAGGAGGAAGAGGAAGAGGAAGAGGAAGAAGAGGAATGGGAAGAAGAAGAAGGGGATAAGAAGAAGAAGAGGAGGAGGAGAAGGAGAAGGAGAAGAAGAAGAAGAAGAAGAAGAAGAAGAAGAAGAGAGAAGGGAGGGAGAAGGGAGAAGGAGGAGGAGGAGAAGAAGAAGGAAGAGGAGGAGGAGGAGAAGGAGGAGAAGGAGAAGGAGGAGAAGAAGGAGAAGGAGAAGGAAGAGAAGAAAGAAGGAAGAAGAAGATGATGATGATGAAGAGGAGGAATAGGAAGAGGAAGAAGAGGAAGGGGAAGAAGAAGAAGGGGATAAGAAGAAGAAGAGGAGGAGGAGGAAGAGAAGGAGAAGGAGAAGAAGAAGAAGAAGAAGAAGAAGAAGAAGAAGAAGAAGAAGAAGAAGAAGAAGGGAGGAGGAAGGGAGAAGGAGGAGGAGAAGAGAAGAAGGGAGGAGGAAGGGAGAAGGAGGAGGAGAAGAAGAAGGAAGAGGAGGAGGAGGAGAAGGAGGAGAAGAAGGAGAAGGAGAAGGAGAAGGAGGAGAAGAAGGAAGAAGAAGATGAGGAGGAGGAGGAGGAGGAGGAAGAGGAGGAAGAGGAAGGGGAAGAAGAAGAAGGGGAGAAGAAGAGGAGGAGGAGGAGGAGAAAGAGAAGAGGAAGAAGGAGGAGGAGGAGGAGAAAGAGAAGAAGAGGAAGGAGGAGGAGGAGGAGGAGAAAGAGAAAGAGAAGAAGATGAAGGAGGAGGAGGAGGAGGTGATGATGATACTAGGTAAGAATTTCACAAAACACAATAATTGTTTCCTAAGCTGTGTGAGCCATGAGGAAAGTTTGAAATTTCTAAGTTCTTCCAAATAAGTACTAAATTTTAAACTATCAGACATTTTATTTAAATGCATTTACAAGTTTAGACTACTAGGGCAAAAATAAAGCATAAATTATCCCCAGATCATTAGAACATGAAATTACACACAGAGCATGCACAGGCAGGCAGACGAGCAAACTTCCTCAAGGCCTGTGGTCATGCAGAGCACAGCCTTGTCCAAAAACAATAGCTTGCAAAGCAAAATTTGGAGTCACTAAACACAATGCATTATTTTGTCCACTTACCCAAAGTACACGACAAACCTTTCAGTTTCTACCCTGTCAAAGAGGGAGAAAAAGGGGACAGAGACACCATTTGCCAAAATCACACATGAATCCTACTAAAAATGTTGAACAAGGTAAAAGTAGAGCCCATAAAGAAGACCTTTCATTTCCCTCCGAACTTGTAATGCGTACTTTAGAGGATCTCAGAACACCAGTACTTTGCCATTGACATACACTAGCAAAAGGTTCGGCAGTTTCCTCTCCAGGAAGATGACCCCATGGCCAGCCAGCAGCTCAAACCCCGGGGAAGACAATTTTTCCAGGACTCCTCTATGGCACGGGACCCTGTTAAGCACTTATGAATATTCACAAACTACAGCCACTGAGCAAATTTCATTCCGGATTCAGTATGACCTATTAATACTCAACTTTAAATTAACTTTAAAACAAAAACTCAGGCTGGAGAGCTAGAACAGCAGGTAAGGCGCTTGTCTTGCCCACTGGTGGACACGGGTTCTATCCCTGGTATTCCACATATATCCCAGAGCAACACCAGGAGAAGTCCATGAGTATATCTCAGGAATAAGCCCCAAACACCAGTAAGGCATCCCAATACCTCTCTTCTCAGATCAAAATTATTTGATGTGGTTTTTTTTTTGGGGGGGGGGGGGGTTGTGTTTTATTTTTGGTTACTCTTTTCATAAAATATTAAAGGGTTTTTTTATATAATTTATTTATTTATTGAATCACTGTAGGAAAAGTTACAGAGCTTTCGGGTTTAGGTCTAAGTCATGTAAATATCAAACACATTTCCCTTTACCAATACTTATTTTTACCCACGAACCCCAATAGAACCCCACCTCCCACCCCTCCCAATTCCTGTGAGGCAGATGAGTTCTAGTTAACACTCTATCTACTTTGACTAGATCTATTGTTTCAACAAAAGATGCACCATTATTATTTAGAGTTTACGACCCCCCCCCCCCCCATCAGACATGCTGAAAAAGCGTTGTGAAATGATTTGCTTTCTACAGCTGAGTTCAAGAATTAAAGGTTGTTGGGCAGCCACAATAGCGGCCGGGCGGTTTTGGATTTCTGCTATTTTACTTATTAACCCTGGAAGTATTTCTATTAAAAGTTAGATAGTTAAGAGATTGGTTTCTGTGCTCTGGATTCGTGGCCGTGCCGGAGAGCCGCTCGTGGGGGGCAACTGGTGACCTCGGTAGGGCGTGAAGGACGGACCGGAACGCCCCCCTTCCCATGAGGTCCCTGCCGCCCCCAACCCCGGCTCAAAGGTTTATTTAAAACTGAATTCTCGGGGCTGGAGCAATAGCACAGCGGGTAGGGCGTTTGCCTTGCATGCAGCCAACATGACCGACACAGGTTCAATTCCCAGCACCCCATATGGTCCCCTGAGCACCGCCAGGGGCAATTCCTGAGTGCATGAGCCAGGAGTAACCCCTGAGCATCGCCGGGTGTGACCCAAAAAGCAAAAAAAAAAAAAAAAAAAAAAAAAAAAAAACTGAATTCTCACCTTGAGTAGGCAAAATATAAGCTCCACAAAATGTTTGTTTTCACTTTGTAGTTTAAAAATACATACAAGGGGCTGGAGCAATAGCACAGTGGGTAGGGCGTTTGCCTTGCACGCAGCCGACCCGAATTCGATTCCCAGCATCCCATATGGTCCCCCGAGCACCACAGGAGTGATTCCTGAGTGTAAAGCCAGGAATTACCCCTGAGCATCACCGGGTGTGACCCAAAAAGGCAAATAAATAAATATAAATAAATATATACATAAAAATACATACGATGAAAATTTGCTTAAATTTATATTATATATTAAGGCAAAGAACTGTATTTAAAATTTTGTTCTACTTAAGGCATACTTAGTAATAAACCATTGTATGAATTATTGCACACCCTAAACCACAGTGTACACTATCTACATAAACCCATTTTAACAAAAAAGTCATAAGATAATTACTTTTTAATTATGATAAATATTATTTAAATAAAACTTTGTATCAAGAAATATAAAATGTTCCAAATCTCCAACACCTTGCACTTTACATAGCCTTGAAAAGCGCATCAGAATATACTGCTTAGGGCATTCATTATCTTTTAGATCAAGTGACATTAACTTACACATCACATATAGCAAAATTTTTCCGTCATAAGGTAGCATAAGAAACTGTTTCTGAATAGGAGAAAGCTAAAGAAAAAGTATTGTTAACTAAAGCTGTACTAAAACTATCATAATTTTTTCAGGACCAGGACAACTTTTACATTATTTTTTTAAATACAGAGAATTTATAGTTAAGTTTGATATTGAGAAAACTATCACAATAAAGTATTTAAGATCTCTGTTGCAATATTTCATTGTAACTCTTTGTAATCATACTAACATTCATTCAATCTTTCTTTCATTTTATTTTTTTTAAGGTACAAAATTCAGATGGAGATTATTGGTAGAATCTTATTTCAAATAGATTTCATTTCTCATTATTTGACATAGTACTTAAGTACTCTTCAAGTACCTAAGCATAATTTGACCATTCTGTCCACGGACAACAGAAAATATAAACATCACTAACTACTAATCAAATTAAGACATTTTAAATATTAATTTCTCAATTTAAATAGAGGATTCAAGAATTTTGAAATTTTCTACTCTATAATTTATCATTTTCATATGTACAGTTTTAATCCAGAGGTAAGAAAAAAACATATAAAATATTTAACTACAAAAGTTTGACTGTTCCCTCCGCCCTCCCCCCTCTGGAAAGAAAGATGGCGGCCGCATGGGAGCCTTGTGGAGAGCAGGTATGAGCCGGGGGTATGGGGGTGACTAAAACCTCATGGGAAGGGGGGCGTTCTGGCCCATCCTTCACGCCCTACCAGTTACCCCCCACGAGCGGCTCTCCGGCACGGCCACGACTCCAGAGCACAGAAACCAATCTCTTAATTATCTGACTTTCAGCAGAAATACTTCCAGGGTTAATAAGTAAAATAGCAGAAATCCAAAACCGCGCGGCCGCTATTGTGGCTGCGCAACAACATATAATTCTTAAACCTAGCTGTAGAAAGCAAATCATTTCACAACGCTTTTTCAGCATGTCTGATGGGGGGGGGCAGTGTAAACTCTAAATAACAATGGTGCATCTTTTATCGAAACAATGACTCACAGGCATTGGGAGGAGTGCGAGGTGGGGTTTTATTGGGGTTCTTAGTGGTAAAAAATAAGTATTGGTAAAGGGAAAGGTGTTTGATATTTGCATGACTGAGACCTAAACCTGAAAGTTTTGTAACTTTTCCCACAGTGATTCAATATATAAATAAATTATAAAAAAAGTTTGACTGTTTGAAATGAATTAGTTGCTATGAACTTGCAGTGGTATAAGTTTGTTTCTATAGATAACACATATTTGATTTACAATTGCAATTCATTTATTCTTATTTTTCAAGATTTCTCACAGACTTAATAAATCACTGTCACTGTCACTGTCCTCCCATTGTTCATCGATTTGCTCGAGTGGCACCAGTAACGTCTCCACTGTGACAATTGTTACTCTGTTTGGCATATCGAATACGTCACGGGTAGCTTGCCAGGCTTTGCTGTGTGGGCGAGATACTCTCGGTAGCTTCCCTGGCTCCCTGAGAGGAGCGGAGGAATCAAACTTGGGTCAGCCATGTTGGCCACTTGCAAAGCAAATGCCCTACCCGCTGTGCTATTGCTCCAGCCTGACTTAATAAATATTGAAAACCTAATATAAGGAATAGCAGAGAACAAGTGAAAGAAGAATTTTTAGTTTACATTTTATTAAACTGATTTATTTTATTATATAAAATACATTTCACTATAACTTAATTCAAAATATTTAATTTAAAAACAAAACCTTTTGATAAATTGTGTGCCATATGTATGAGTTATTTGTATAATTCACTTATTTGTTTTGTTGCTGTCTTATTTCACATTTTTGTGGAAAATGAATTAATATGGTTCTAAAAGCAAAGGAAAAAAGAATTTGTCCCCTACATTCTATATTTTTCTTTCTCAGTAAAAGTTAATAAGCTCATTAGGTTTACAAAATGTGTTTAGAAAAGACAGAAGAGGCTAATGCTAGAGAGAGGATCAGGGGTTCAACAAAATAATCAGGGGTGATGGAATAGTTCAACTGTCTGGAATTCATGCAATGCACTGCCCATGCTTAACATACGTTGATACTTCCTATAAGTTCTCTGAGTGATGCCTCTTCACAATGAATAGCAAGGTAAAATTCATTGTCAAAATACTCATAAGTTGAACCTAAGTTTTCAACAGATAAGAGAATGGCCAAAAGATCAGCATAACTTTTATTTATGTAGCTTTATCTTTTTTATTTTTGTAGCTTTATCTTTTTTATTTTATAAGGATAAAAAAAGAAAATTATTTAAGAAAACTAGAAGACATAAATGTTATTAGACATTCCAAATGGGTGGTTACCTGTCGAGGGAAAGTGTTACAGTCTCATTCATCTCTGGAATGTCATCAGCCTTGACAGTAATGTTGATCATTGTGTCACTTTGCCCACTTACAAATACAACAGAGCCATTAAAGGGGCCTATATCGTCCAGGGTCACTGCTTTTGAATTAAATCCAGAGGCTCTCAAACTCCAATAAACAGCAGCTTGGCCATCAGTTCCATCCCGATGTAAAGGAATGCATACCTAATAAAAATAAAATTTTTTCTGAGATATACAGTCACAAATTATATATATTTCAGTCAGTAGATATATATACACATTATTATACATATATATAGATACATAGATTATATATACACATTTTCAATCTGTCACTGTCACTGTCCTCCCTTTGTTCCTCGATTTACTTGAGCGGGAACCAGTAATGTCTCCATTGTGAGACTTCTTGTTACTGTGTCTGGCATATCGAACACGTCATGGGGAGCTTGCCAGGCTTTGCCATGGGGGCGAGATACTCTCAGTAGCTTGCCGGGCTCTCCAAGAGGAGCGGAGGAAATGAACCCAAGCACAGAAAGGAAAAGTATTAAAAGTCATTAAACACGTCTCTGGAAAGAAAGATGGCGGCCGCACGGGAGCCTTGTGGACAGCAGGTTTGAGCCGGGCTCGGCGGGAGCGGCGGGGACCTCATGGGAAGGGGGGCTTTGTGGGCCGTCCCCCACACCCCACCGAGGTCGCCAGCTGCCCCCCACGAGCGGCTCTCCGGCACAGCCACGACTCCAGGGCACAGAAACCAATCTCTTAACTAGCTAACTTTTAATAGAAATTCTTCCAGGGTCAATAAGTAAAATAGCAGAAATTCAAAACCATTTTATTCTTAAACCAAGTTGTAGAAAGCAAATCATTTCACAACGCTGTTTCAGCATATCTGATTGTGGGGGGTGGGTCGTAAACTCTAAACAATAATTGTGCATCTTCTATCGAAACAATCTATCTAGTCAAAGTAGATAGAGTATTAACTAGAACTCATCTGCCTCACAAGAATTGGGAGGGGTGGGAGGTGGGGGTCTATTGGGGTTCGGGGTTAAAAATAAGTATTGGTAAAGGGAAATGTGTTTGATATTTACATGACTGAGACCTAAACCCAAAAGCTCTGTAACTTTTCCCACAGTGATTCAATAAATAAATAAATTATAAAAAAAAAAAGTCATTAAACACAACTGAAAAAGTTTTGCTACAAGCATTAATTTTAAATTGAACAATTTTATTACTTTCTGCTTATCAAGCGCATCTACACAAACATACATAATCAGGGATTTTTCTTAATTAAAATTATTCTAAAAGCAAATAATATTCATTAAAATAGTTGATTTTTGCTAAAAATAATTTTTTATCAGATTATCTAACAAAAGAATAAATATGAAAAATAAAATTTTGTGATTTAAAAGTTGGAAATTATGTTACATAAAATGCACTCTAAAGTGATACATGTTAAGAAAATAATTTAAAAATAGAATTAATAGAGTAACATAAATGTGGATAAGCATGTTTCTGTCAACAAAGTAAATATAATAAAAGCAAAATAAATATTCACATTGTGCCTGAGTTACCTTGAACAAGTTACTAAATTTCTGTTATCAATTCCCATATGCAAATGCAGTCAGTGTTTCCCTATTTTGCAAATCTGCAATGAGGATCAGACTGTCTCTCCGTAGTATGAGCTAAGTAGTGGAAGCTATTACATAATTCTGAAATACATGGCACTTGATAATATTTTTACTTACAGTACATATATGCACATATAATACATACATGATAAAAAAAACACTTTAGATCATAATACTTTTCCCAAAGAATATAAATGTTTAATGTAGAAATACTATTCTTTTTAAGATCCTTAAGAAAGAATCCTGTATTATTTACTCTTTAACATGGCTCATCTAAACAAAAACAGATGTTTCCTCACTACTCAGTGTGGTAATTTGCTGAGCCATGGCAAGTGTAGGAGGCTAGAGAGCTAAATTATTAGGGCTAATCAAAATAGTGAGAACAGTATCTTAAATAACCCCGAGGGAGAAGGCACAGCTAGGCTATAGATGGTACATGGAGAACAAAAAAAAAAAAACTACCACTCTACTCTTATGCTAAGGATGCAGAGGAATGTAGGTTCAAGTAACCCACATCTTTCCTTCAAATGAAAGTTCCCTCAAGAAATATATAAAATGGAAAATCTGTAGTTTTATAAGATAAATGAATAAAAGCAATTCACTTTTTCCTTAAAGCAATTCACTTTTAAGAACAAATTAAATCCTTTTAGATTTTCCCCCGCTATTTTGGAGACAGAAAATTAAGATACGTGTTTTTTTAAAAAAAAATCAAAAATATCTTTAAAAATCAATCTTCTCTTCCAAGATACAAAGAAAGACAGATCTTGTCACCGTATTTTGATAACAAAAATGTCTGTCTTCATTCCTGATCTGAACACCAGCACAACTGAAGTGTAAAAATTTGATACACTGCTCAAAGAATAGAAAAGACAGAATATCAGAACCAGAATGTGGGACAAGGGGTGGTATTCATGAGTAGTGTGTGTGTGTGTGTGTGTGTGTGTGTGTGTGTGTGATGCAAAAATTTACCCCTCCAACATATATGAATAAAATTCTGACTTTGGAATTCTTTGCAACCACCACCTTGACTGCCAGAGAACTCATAGCAACCAAGTTTGACAAGACAAATATAAGTGCTCAAAAATGAGTTAAGAACAACCGCTCATACACAGAGCTATCCATTTTGTCAAATGGCATAGCACTACCTAAAAGGAGCCACACCAAAGAAGTAAGTTATTTAAAAGTCGTCACATATCTACTCACTCCTTGATCAGCTGATTCCAACTTTGGACCATCAACACAGCAAAACATGAACAGTAAAAAAAAAATCATGTAGTCCTCATTTACTTATGCCAAATTACATACAGAGGCTTCCCATGAATGGTGAAGTTTTTCAAGATCTACTGAAAAGCTTACATTATATACATGCAATAACCATGTGTCCCTACATTATCTCAAAAACATTACACCCCATCAGTAAGGAGCACACTTACCACATAAGTATCAGAATCTTCTGGTTCATGCAAAATGACTGGAAGATTGCTAATAAAGCCAATTTCTCCATTTGCAATATCTGGAGTAATCTCTAAAGAAACATTTTGAATTTTTCCAAACCTAGGACTTATAGACGGGATTGGGGGAATTATGTTCAACAACTCCAGAGTTTCCAACTGTAATTAAAAAGAAATGAAGCAATAAAAATGGAAAGAAGATAAACTTTTAATTTACAAAGTAGTTTTACAAGTATGTGCAATAAAGTTGTGTGAAGTCACCAACAGCTCAACAACTTCATTCTACACCTCTATTCACCATTTTATTCCAATTTCTTGCAATGACTTCTTAAACTCTTTCTGCTCCTTCATTTTCACTATATCTCAGGCTTCTTCTGTAACACCGTAAATGATACCGGATACTTACTAATCTCTGTATCACTCTCATATTCTTAATTTTTATAGTCAATCTTCAATGATCATCATATAAATGTTACACAGATACCTTATAGACAAAAATCCAAAATAGAAACCACTCTACTCCTTGTCCCCTTACCACTCCCAATCAATATATGCATCTGTGTTCCTTCCTTGTTTTCTGTATCTTACTATTCCAATTTGTATGCAAATATCAAAGAACTGTGCCTTGTTCTTTCCTCTCTTCCACCTCTCTACAATTTACTGAAGTATAAAAACTTCTCTGTCAGAGAAAATTCAACACCAAAAGGCAGTTTGTAACTTCAATAGATACTGGCTTTTATATTTAAAGAAATACAACACATGTTGCATTTCTTTAACATCTAAAGTTACTATATTTCATGAACATGACCACCGGGGTGACTGTTCATGATGTTCATGATGTTTTTTCACATGAATTAATCTTGTCAACACAAGTCCAAATCTCCACTCTTAAAAAAAACAGGAAAGTTCGTTCCCAACACTGTGCCGGTCTTCTTTCCCTCCCAGGTCAGTTAATCCATCAGTAATCAAACCCGGGAATTGGCTTTCTCCCAGCAAGCACCCCAGGCATCCTCTAGGACCCTGGGTCTCCCACCATCACTGAGGCTCTTTCTGTTCATCCCCAATGTTGTGCCAGTCTTCTTCCCCTCCCAGCTGGTACCCCCCCCCCACACACACACACACCAGGTACCTGTGGGGGCGTGGCCTCTTCAGAAGTGGACATGGTGTCTGGAGAAGTGGGTGTGGCCTAATTTTAGGCGGGGGGGGGCAATGCTCACGCAACCGCATGTAGTTTACTCATGCCAAGAAATCTAGTGTAACATCTCAATCCCCATACCTCCACAGGAACATGAAGAAACAATGCAAATCCCCACCTTGTTGGGAGGATGATGAAAAGAGTTCAGAAGCCTCAGTAGGTGCTACTCACCTAAAAGACCTTTCTGAGAAAGAATTCAGATATGAAGTCATGAAGATGTTCAATGAACTCCATGAAACAGTCAGACAGATATCCAGTAACATGAGAGAAACAATTGAGAAATTACGGGAAAATGAGAGCAGAAATTGGAAAGCTACACACAGAAATGTCATGAATAAAAGATTCCGTAGATGAAATAAAGAACTCAGTTTATGCTCTCAATAACAGAATGGCCACAGCTGAAGACAGAATCAGTGAGCTGGAAGATCAGCTGCACCAAGCCAACAGGGAAAAACAAACAATGGCAAAAGACCTCAAAATAGCTCTACAGCGAATCAGAGTCCTAGGAGACAATTCCAAGAGGAACAACATTAGAATCATTGGAGTACCAGAAGGTCAGGGAAACAATCCCAATGAAAAAGCTACGGTCAAACAAATCATTGCTGAAAAATTCCCAGAGCTGGACAATACAACCATTCAGATTCAAGGAGCCTGAAAAGTGCCAGCTAAACAATTGAGAAATTACGGGAGCCAGCTAAAAGAGACCCTAACAAAAACACTCCAATACATAACATAGTTAGAATGATGGATGCCATCCACAGAAACAAATTACTGCAAGGAGCAAGGTCAAAAAAGGAAATCATATACAAAGGAGCACCCCTTAGATTCACAGCAGACCTATCAGAGAAACCCTCCAAGCCCGAAGGCAATGGTGGGATATAGTGAAATAATTCACTGAAATGAACAATTCACCAAGAATACTCTATCTGGCTAAACTCTCACTCAAAATCGAAGGACTGATGCACTGTTTTCTAGATAAACAGCAGCTCAGGAACTTCATAGGCTCAAAACCAAACCTAAAACAAGGGCTAAAGGGGCTACTATAAGACAAGACAAACCCTACAACCACAACAGACCCTTACAGAAAGATGACACAAAACCCCATAACAATATTCTCTCTCAATGTTAACAGTCTAAATTCACCAATGAAGAGACACAGAGTGGCAAAATGGATTCAGAGACAGAACTCAACATTCTGCTTCCTACAAGAAACTCATCAGAACAGTCAGAGAAAACACAGACTCAAAGTTAAAGGATGGAAAACAATCCTGCAAGAAAATAGCTCCCTCAAAAAGCTGGGGTAGCCAAACTAGTATCTGACAACATCAATTTCTGGTTGAAAAAGATTAGAAGGGACAGTGAAGGCCATTTTCTATTCATCAAGGGATACATACAACAGAAAGAAATCACAAATCACACTCTTAAATGTATATGCACCTAATGAGGGAACAGCTAAATATGTAACAAAACTGCTAACAGATTTTAAGGAGGACATTGCTAGCAATACAACAGTAGTTGGAGACTTCAACATCGCCTTATCACCTCTGGATAGATAACAAGAACAAAACTCAGCAAGGAAACCTTGGCTTTGAAGGAAGAAATAGAAGAGAGAGGGCTTAGAGACCTATACAGGGCTTTACACCCCCAAAAAGAAAGAAAACACATTCTTTTCCAGTGCACACGGAACATTTTCTAAAAAGGACCATGTGCTAGGACACAAAACATACCTCAATAGAATCTGAAACATAGAAATAGCATCAACAATCCTTTCAGACCATGATGCACCGAAAATAGAAATGAATCATACACAGACACGAAGAACCAAATCAAACACCTGAAAATTAAACAACTCAATATTGAACAATGAGTGGGTCAGGAAGGAAGTCAAGGACGAAATCAAAAGATACCTGGAAACAAATGAGAATGAAGACACAAGCTACCAGAACTTATGGGATACAGCTAAAGCCGTGGTAAGGGGAAAATTTATAGCTCTGCAAGCATTTCTCTGGAAGGAAGAGCCCACATAAACAATTTGACTTCACAGCTCAAGAACTTAGAAAAGGATCAACAAAAGGAGCCCAAATCAGGCAGAAGAAAAGAGATCATAAAACTTAGAGCAAAAATCAACGACATGGAAACCAATAAAACAATCTGAAATATTAATGAAACCGAGAACTGGTTCTTCGAGAAAATAAACAAGATAGATAAACCACTAGCAAGACTCACAAAGAAACAGAGAGAGAGAGAGAGAAAACTAATAAATCGAATCAGAAATAAGAATGGGGATATCACAACAGAAACCAAAGAAATTAAAAAAATCATCAGAAAGTCTGTATGCCACGAAACAAGAGAACCTAGAAGAAATGGATATATTCCTGGATTCCTATAATCTCCAAGGCTGAATCAAGAAGATCTAGAGTACCTGAATAGTCCTATTAACATCAAGGAAACTGAAACTGTAATCAAAAGTCTTCCCAAAAACAAAAGCCCAGGTCCAGATGGATTCACTAGTGGATTTTTCCGAACATTTAAAGAGGACCTATTGCCAGTTCTTCTCAAGCTTTTTCAGTAAATTGAAGAAACAGAAACTCTCCCGAACAGTGTCTATGAATCCCATATCTCTCTAATCCCAAAAGGAAACAAAGACAACACAAGAAAAGAAAACTACAGGCCGATATCCCTGATGAACACGGATGCGAAGATTCTCAACAAAATACTAGCAAAAAAAATTCAACAACTCATCTAAAATATCATACACCATGACAAAGTGGGATTCATCACAGGGATGCAAGGATGGTTTAACATTCAGAAATCAATCAACATAATCTATCATATCAACAAAAGAAAAGATAAAAATTATATGATCATATCTTACTGTGTCTGGCATATCGAATACTCTCGGTAGCTTGCCGGGCTCTCTGCAGAGAAAGCATTTGACAAGATCCAGCACCCATTTATGATGAAAACCCTCGCCAAAATGAATGGGGATAGAGGGGACTTTCCTCAATATAGTTAAAGCTATATACCACAAGTCTACAGCAAGCATCATCCTCAATGGGGAAAAACTGAGAGTCTTCCCTCTAAGATCAGGGATGAGACAAGGATGCCCACTCTCTCCACTGCTGTTCAATATAGTACTGGAAGAATTTGCAATAGCGATTAGGCAAGAAAAAGATATTAAAGGAATTCAGGTAGAAAAGGAAGAAATCAAGCTCTCACTATTTGCACATGGCATGATACTATACTTAGAGAACCCTATAACCTCTACGAAGAAACTCCTAGAAACAATAGGCTTGTATAGTAATGTTGCAGGCTATAAAATCAATACCCAAAAGTCATGGCTTTCCTATATGCAAACAGTGAGAGAGAGGAAAGTGAAATGAAAAAAAATCCTGTTCACAATTGTGCCCCAGAAAATCAAGTACCTAGGAATCAGCCCCAGCATTGGAGCACAACATGGTTGGCCAAGTGTGGCAGCGCCGGTCTCCAGTACCTCAGCCCTGTTTAGGAAACCTCCCTAATTGGGACTTCTTAACATCTCATTTACTTTAGAATTGTTTTTGTGTTACTATGGGGTGGGCAGGGGCTTCCCACACTATTATGATGCTGAGGATTGTAACCTGTTGTAGTGTTAGAGTGGTATTGGGGAATCCACCTCAGATCCTCATACAGTAAGGCATGCTTTTGGCCATGGTGCTACACACTGGGCCAGGAGTTGCTTTTAAAAAAGATATCTATGGATTCTGCAGTGTGAACAGGGTATGGATTGATAAATTGATTTTTGAAAAGCAAATGTATTCAGATGTTGAAGGGTTGTGATATATCAAGATTCCCAACGAGCCAGATCGTTCTCCACTGGAGAGAGAAGCAATACATACTTATTGTGTGGGTGATGTAGTTTCATGCCCAAGTCATATATTGGAAAATGCTGAGATGGACACAGATACAGGAACTCTAGTCCTGC